CAGGATCACAAAAAATTTAGTTGGACAGGTCAACCTTTTTGCCGAAAGAAGTAAAAAAAAATCATCTCCCCGTGAACAGGTAACATCATTTACTTTTTGCTCCATCTAATGTACATACTTACCTGTTCTTGGAAAGATTCATCTCGCCCCAGGCAATTGAAACCCTAAAGTCGCCTTTTTTTTGGGAGATATAACTTATTTTTGGGTCTCCATTATTACCAGTTATCATGTTGATCATCATCATCTTACCTCAATGTCAACCAGTTTTCATCATCATCTTCTTTGTCTTTACCTTTTTTTTTCCTCTACCTGTAGATTAACATGAAAAAAAAGGTAATTGCTTACAGCATCAATTTATTATCATGTTATTCATCATCATCAATTGATTGTGAATTATTATTATCAACCATTAAGATTGTTAATGGTCATTACATCATTTGATTGTCTGTTAATTCAAATTGAATTCAATTGAAATCATGATAATATTAATACTTTTTTTGTTGTGTTGTAAATTTAATCAAGAGGAGGAAAAAAAGTTCTGATGATGATTATGATGAGTAAAACCTTAATTATGCAATTATGATATTACAATTGTAATTACAATTAATCATCTTATCAGCAGAAAAAAATGATTTTTTTTTCTGATGATGATGATGATCAGAAAATCACTTCTCAAATTAGATGAGAATCAGGTTATTGTGGATGATTAAGTTTTCCTAATTAATTGATTGCTACCTGATTATGATTAAAGTTGTAAGGCTTTGTTGTTATTGTTATTCAGTATTGATGATTGTCTGTTATTTGATTTGTTTTTTGTTACCTTACAAATTGTTACAATTAACTTGTTGTCATCAAGTTGATCAACAATTAATGATAAACTTCAAGTCTTTTATATATTATATATACAAAATGTTTGATTGTTGTGTAATTTTTAATCAACAATTAGTAAGCAATTTAATACATATTCATTTATATCAGACCAACTAATTATTTACTGATTAATTATGATAATTGCTCGAGACACATGATGTTTACCTTAATTGTTGTTAAGATTGTAAAGAAAAAATTTATTAAAGGTTAACAATCAAGTCTTAATTGTCATTCACTTTTTTTTTGATTCAGTTTAACGAGTTGATTCATTTTCATTCTTGACAACAATTAACTTTTGTTGTTTCCAACTCAACAACAACAATAATAACAACATTAACATTGTAATGAACGTGAAGTGAATTACAATCAACTGAATTAACTAATTGTCAACAAAATATATAAAAAAAATCAACAACAACAACAACAACAACGATAACATTTAGCTAATCCAATCAATATGAATTGAATTATAAATTGTTTGATTGTTAAACTTTCACTTTTTGTTTCACTTGATTCGTTGATTGTAACAATCGTTTAAATTGTGAACTTTAATTGTTTGTTGGCATAAGAAATTCATCTACAACAATCAATAAACTAACCAATTTATTGTCATAATAATTGCTACTCATGCAGATGAAGCGTGATTATTGTTATTACCGTTGATTGTTAAATGATAATCATTATCACAACAAATTAATGTTGATTAAATGGTTAAAAATTTACCTTTCATTTTAATGATTAACTGATTAATACATTATGGTTATGATTATGATTTGTTTAATAATAATTGTGATTAACTGAATGTATAAAAAAAACCCTGATGATGTTGGTTCATCTTAATGGTAACACAATTAATCTTGATTGGTTCATGTTAAACAATTGCAATCTAATTATTATTATATTGGTTTGTATATATATATGGTGTTGTTGTTGGTAGATTAGTTAATCAACCTTAATTGTCCTTGTTACATTGACATTTTATTTTTGCAATTATAATAATTGTTACACATAGAGATTGAGTAAATTGTTTTCCTCCATAGGAATTGACCCAGAAAACCAATAATAAAGTGAAAATAATCAACAATAGTAAAAACCACAGAGTAAATTGTAAGGTTAATTGTTTGGGTTGATTATTCGTGGATTTTGTTGATTATAATGATTTAGTTTCTATTGTAATCATTTTAATGGTGATGTTGTTGTTGTTGATGATGATGATGATGATAATGACCGATTACCAGAAACCAACAATCAACCTGAAAGTTTGTTGATCTTATACCGGTACGAAAACAAATGCACACCTACACATACATTCATTTATATGTATCAATTGTTGATGATGATGATGATGATAAGTTGATCATCATCATCATCATCATCCTCTCACCATGATGATGATGTTTCAAAAGTTTCATGATTGGCAATTGATTGTAAATTGCACATTAATAACATAAAGGGTTTGGTGTTAATCAAAAAGTTTCCAATAGTTAAACCGGTTCATAAACTATTGATTTTAATCACCAACATTGAATAATCATTATTATTAACCGCAATCAATTGATTGTTAAACTTAATTTACCATACACTCGGTGAGTAAGTAGTAGTTAATTTGATCAACAATCAAGACTTTAACCTTTTATTTTATTTTCTCATTTCTTATATATATAACAATCAATTTAAAATGAATTAAAATCTATATAAATCAGATTAAGATTAACTTTAATTGTAACATTATTTTCACTATTTAAAAGTACAGAAAAAAAATTGATTGATTAATTTTTTTTTCTACAATTTTCTCTTGATAATCAGCTGATAATTAAACTTGAAATTCAATCAACAGCAACAACATTGAACAAATCTGCTTGTAACTTGATCGCTGATAATAATCATTATAATTATTACAATTAAATGTTACCCAAGGTTGTTAGATTTATCTGATTACCCAATTACCGGTTGTTACTATGTTGATGATGAAGATAATGATGATAATATATCTTTACTATTTGTCTTCTCATTCATGTTACCTGGAATTAATTGTTTCCATATTGAATCTCAATCAACACCTTTCATGATGAAATTTGTTGTTATTTCTCACAATAGTCAATGTGTGTGTGTGTGTGTGTGTGTGTGATTGAGTGTTTGTATTTTGTGTCTGTTGTTCATTGTTAATTGTGATTAAATTGCAATTCAATTGTTGATTTGAGTGCAATACATTATACACTATTTACCATTACTGTATATAAATGTGTGTCTTGCTATTATTGTATCATAGATGCAATTTAAGTGCAACTATAACAATCGTAAAGCTAAAAATCAGTGAGCTTGCAATTCCCTGGTTATCCTTGAAAATGTCCATTCACACTTGGATACATTGAGAGTCTTATATTATTAATACGTCTTGTAGCTTGCAAATAATAACAAGGATGTGTTTTTGTTGTTGTTGTTGTTGTTGTGTGTGTGTGTGTTTGAGCATCAAACAAGTGATTTAAAGGGTAAGGAAGAGAGATGATGATGAGAAGGATGAAAATATCCTTAGTGAGAATGAAAAATTCACGTAATATTAACAGATAACGTGCTTTGTGTTGGTTGAACTTTTCTTTTCTCTCTGAGATTTTCTCCTTCTCTTCCAAGGTCTTCTTGTTTCTTTCTTTTCTTTCCTTAATGTGTATATTGCATCGATTTTTTTTACCATCATCATCTTCTTCTTCTTCTTCTTCTTCTTTATCTTCCATCTTATTTCTCTCTTTTTCTTCTTGCATCATTTTCTCTGGAAAAAAGTCTGAATCATTCCCTGAAGAACGAGATGAAAATGATGAGCATCATGATGAAAATGTGAAATGATGTTGATGCTGTTACTGTAATAATAATAATGATGATGATGATAAAAGATGATGAGGATGAGAATGATGATAATAATGAAATCATCATCTAAGTTTGTTACATGTTTGAAGGATGAAGTTATTTTGGTAAAGAAAAGAAAGAGACTGATAATGATAATGATGATGAGAAAGGAAGCATGAGATGAAAGAGATGATTGAGGAAGAAAGAAAGAGATGATGATGATGATAATGATGATAAGAGAGAGAGAGAGGGAAAGTTGAATGTAGGCCAAATTATTATTAATATATTGTTAGGGATTCTGATGACGTCAAGATTTATCAACGATGCTTCAAGTCAAATGATGATGATGATGATGATGAAGATACAGGAAGATGAGAATATAAAAAAATGATGAATTGAAATTAATTCTCAACTGATTAGTTTAATTGTTTCTCATTTTTATATTAACCATTTATTGGTTTAAATAGATACAATTAGATTGATTGTCACAATTTGTCAACCAAAATCATTAACAATCATATAACTCATTTGCTGTTTGAAAAATGAAATTATTTATATTTTGTTTCACTTTTGATGATTAAATTTACTCTCAATGACTTTATTTCAATCAATCAATTATTTGATAAATTGATGAAAAATCATTAAGATGATTAGTTTTATAGTTTTTCTCATAGGAATCACAATTAAAGTTAATTGAGTTAATTCCGGAAATGTTTATATTAATTAGAGACTTTAATTCTTGGATTCTTGAAGAGGAAGGGAAAAAGTTAACAACAATCAATATCAATGGTGATTAAATCTAATCAGTTAATGACGATAATGATGCAAGATTATTGATTTAATCTTTACAATTGAAAATAATTAAACCTCAAAGCATGATGATGATAATTGTCTACCTGAAGATTTGGTAATTAGCCAAAAACAACAATTAACCTTATATCATTTACTATGATTACCCAATAACGACAACAATCAAGTGGAAACAATTGAGTGATTTCAATCAAAACAAATAACATACGAAAACAATCAAGTAACAATCAACAAGAGTAACAAAATAAAATCAACAAACAATCAACGTTAACAATTAACTCTAGTTAATTGAATCAGAAATAACAAGAGAAACAGCTAATACACTCAAGCAAATCTCTCGCTTTTTTTTTGCTCATGATGATAAACAATTAAATCTCATTGGATTATCTCAATGTTATCGAAACTATTAATATAATTTTTCATCTCTTTCTTCAATCTCTTACTAATCAACTAATTGTTTAAATTTGATTATCTAATTACAGGAAGGTGATTTAACAAAAACTCCCTACAAGAGTGTCTCATGTTTGGATAAATATATACGCCAATGGGCTGAATTTCAGAATAGCCAGAAAATTTTACTCACCACACCTTCAGTTCTGGTTGGTTATCGGGTCAAAGTGTATCGGTCAGAAGGGACTACCCAATGGTACACAGCGGTGATTTTATCATACAATGAAAACACCAAGGTAATTGTACAACAATTAACTAAATTAATCTCAATAATGATAACATACAATTGATTGGGTTCAACTGTAACCAATTCAGATACACACACACACAATTAAACCCAAAAGTAACTAACTTATTGACCACAATTAACTTGACCATCGACTTGACTCTTTGGTTAATTTAGTTAATTGTATAGTTTCAGTATCATTTTGATTAATATGATGATGATTAATTCAATTGATTAACTGTTGATTATTTCATTTCAATCATTCACCTTGAATTGTTCAATATATTTATATTAATACAATTGTAATCAAAAGTGATTATCATTAATCATTAATTTGTGAAACTTTCAATTGTAACTATTGATTGTTACATCATTAATTTTTTTACAACAATTTAACTTTCTCACTTGAATTTATATATATAGTTGATTGCAATTAGGTAATAATAAATTGCTATTGCTTATTTTTCATATTATTCAGCATATCATTAAATTTGCAATAGTAAGCATGACAATCCTGTTGACACAATTATAATTTAAAATTAATCACATTAATTAAATTTAGACTGATTGAAAGAATCACAATTTAATTAACAACATTGAGAAAATAATGAAAAACTTGTTACAACAATTTAATTTAATAACGTGCCAAATTTATTAATTGCTTACCTTGCATAGAGAAAGTTGTTTATTGGTGATTGTTTATTCAGGTAACAATTAACTTCCGTAAGAGAAACAAAATTTACATAAATTGTTACAATTAACTGATAGGAAAATGAGTATTTAAATGGTAGTGTTTATTTATGGATAGTAATTAAAATGTTTCTACTAATTGTTACAACTGATTGATTATAAATGAAAAACAAAGCAAAACTTGACAACAATCAGAAAACAATTTAAAGTTAATTGTTGATTCAGGCAAATGTATTATCCTTGATTATCATTCAATCAACAACAACAACAACAAATCTTATCAAAGTAAATGTTAACAATTAAAGTTATTTTATATTAATCTAGTTGATCTGGACAATTTAGTAATTGTGAAAACTGATTAATATTAACTGTTAATTGTTGGTTAACGTTTCGCAAATTTTCAAGGTTAATCTTGTTTCCATTTCATTGACCCATAATTATACGAGTAACAAGTAATGATGATTACACTTAATTGCAATTATTAATTACGATAATAAGATGTTGATTATGATCTGTTTTAATTATCGAGTAAAAGTTTCCAATCTCATCACGATTTCCTGGTGAAAAGGATTTACTATATTTCTCATCTCATGTTTTTTTCATGGTAAAAGTTCATTGAGATAACAGGAATGATGATGATTCCAACTCTATCGATCGTCCACCCACACACTCACATACACAAACTCCCATTTATTATTATTATCATCACGTTGTAGGTTTACTCAGCATCATCATCATCATCATTATCTTCATCTTCATCTTCATCTTCATCTTCATCTTCATCTTCGTCTCAAGTAAAAGCAACAGAAAAAAAAGTTTCATGTTATCAAGTTTACAATATTACTTAAGGTTATCTGGTTTTCTCATTCCAATCAATACTTTTTTTCTGGTTCGAACCAGAAAAAGAAACCGAAAAACAAAAAGAACCAGAATTTTTTGCTCAACTTTTCATGAAGATGAACATGATGGTATCATCATGTTTATAGGCTTTTAATTTTTTCTCTTCTCTCCATCATCATCATCATCATCATCCCTCTTATCCTCATCACTTCCTCTTCCTCTCTGATGTTTATGTTTGTTACCTTTGTATTTATATTACAAACTCAACGTGAGTATAACTTGTTTATTTTTCTGTTCCCTTGATTACTTATCATTGATATTTAATCAACAATTTTAGTTGGTAAATTGGAAAAAAAAATCCTTAATCATATTAATATCACTCATGTAATTAACAACATTACATTTCACTAATTTATTAGATTAATTTTCATCTATCAATGTAAATATATATAATTGATTGATTTGGTTAATTTGAATCTAAATTGTAATAGTCACTTGTTGGGTTTGATTACAAAATTATGTCTATAATTAGGTTAACACTTATGAAAGTGATGTGATTTACTTTGATTATAATTTATATAATTAACCTGTTAATTGTTTATTTCTGTGTGTCACTAGTTTGAATGTGAGTTAATCATAATAATAATGATTAATATTAATTGTTGGATTTTTAAATTATACTAACGAACAATTTATAATAATAATAATTGTCTTCGTTTCTTTGATTGTGTATCCAAGTGACCATAACCTGACTATTTACTCCGGAAGTTAAATGAAGATGATGATAAGGATGATAATGAGGATGAAAAGTAAGAGGAAGAAAACAGGAAGAGAGAGAGAGAGAGAGAGAGAGAGAGAGATGAGGGAGAAAGAGAGAGAAAAGTAAATTAAATTTACTATTAGTACTTTGAAAGCATTGACACAGTTTTACAATCCAACGTTAATACTTATTTTCTCATCGTATCGTTAATCCTTTAATCATGTTTATTGTTGTTATTTGTATTAATAGTGCAATTAAATTTAATTGTTTACCATTTTAATGTTAATCATATTCATTATCATTAACCTTTATTGTGTAACAACAATAAGAGAAACAAATTACTCAATATTATTATCATTTCAAACTAATAACATTAATTGATACAATTTTTTTTACTATTCCAATTGATAGTTTTACTATTAACTCTTTGCTTTCAATTGAATTTTTTTTTTCTTATAAATTATCTCGTTTCATCATTTATAAACACAATTTAATTGTCTATGTTTACAATTAGTTAATCATTTGACGGTAATGATGTTTAAAAAATGGTTGATTGTTGCTGATTAGTTTCCAAATATTTGATTTGGTTAAAAGCCAAGTTACAAATTTCCGTTTCATCTTATATTTACTTTCCTCGACCTTATTATTGACTCCTTTTTTCACCTCTCTCTCTCTCTCATCATTATCATCCTCTCCATCACCACCACCACCATCATCATCATCATCAGCACTTTTGATTAAAGCTCATTTCAAGCTTAACCAAGCAAAACCAGTTAATCAACAACATGAATACGAGTGAAAAAATCAGAAGCAGAATTAAAATTACCCTTAAATGTTGTTACTCTCTTGGTAACAACGTTTTTTTCCTACATTAATTATAATCACAATTAACTTAACAACAATTAATGTGTTTACCTGTAAGAATTGTTTGCAATCATCAATAGATGATGAGGGATAAGAGAGAGAGAGAAAAGTATCGAAAAACTTTAATTACTTTTCTTTTTCTTATCTTACCTGTTTCCTGATCACTGATCATTACTATTTCATCTTAATCATCATCATTGTAAACAATTAAATCACATCAATTTATTATACAATTGATTAAATAACACAATCAGTTGTTATTTGCAGGAAAGCAACAAAAAAAAACATTCAAGATTTGAATCAATTACTTGAGTATGAAGACATTTAGTGATTAGTTGATTGGAATCATTAATCAGCTATATATATATAAATGTATGTGTATGATTCATGGAAAATCAATTAACTATTGATATCAAGTAATTAATTGATATACCAGTAATCAAATTAAGGTGATTGTTGCCTTGCCAATGTGTAAATTAAGCTTTTAAACAAGTGACAATTGGTTAGTATATTTGTCACGCGTTTTTTTTGTCACTCATCTCGAAGCCAAGAAAACAAAATTTGCTGATGATGAACGTGTCTTGATTACTAGATATCATTTCATCATTAATACTTAATCATCGTTTTCATCATCCTCATCCTCATAAACCTTGTAACAACATCTCATTTGACTTTTAACCAAAGAGCAAGAAAAAAAAATGTATTTCTATGTGTGCAAATATATTAACATATATTTTGCTATTTGCTGCAAGAAAATGCAATTGCAATATCATCATGGATGATAAATCTGAGGCAGAAAGAGAGAGAGAGAGAGAGAGAGAGAGAAGATGAAAAAAATCTGGTTGCTAAATTAAAAATTTGGTAATAATGATGCTAATCATCATCTTCCTCACTCTCGAGGTAATAATAGTTACAATAACATGGACAACATTTTAAGAGTTAACGGAAACCCTGGATAAATGCATGTTTTATAATCACGGGCTGGAAAAGTCTCATCATCATCATCATCTTCATCTTCCCATCATCATCATAAAACTCTCTCTCTCTCTGCTTTATTTCCCTTTTTATCTTCTTTTTCATCCTCAACAACAACCTCATCCTCAAGCTATGAAAAAGGTACTGGATGATAAAGATGAAGATGATGATAATGATTATGATGGGTAATTTAGGTTTCACCTTAAGGCCAAACCAGTTTTTACCCGGAGGGGTTTTGAGAGGGAGAGACTTACAGACAGGCTCGTCCTATCAACTGTATCAAAAAAATCATTTCTCAATCTTTCCTCTCTTTTTTTTCTCATCTTCTCTCTCTCTCTCTTATCTCTCTTTCTTTCCACATCACCATCATCATCATCATCCTCATCTCCTCATCACTTTTCCTACCTGATAATAGTTTTGTTGTTGTTTGTTGCTGTTAACTGATTGTAATTAAATTTATCCATTTTCTTTTGCCACTAAATTAAGGGCAAATCAGTTAGTTAACTAACTGATTTAAATGTTTAACTTTTTTCCTTTCATATAATGATAATAATAATTGTTGTATTTATCATCCATGATACTTAAACAATTTGTTAATTGTTTCACCTCTAATTATGTATTTTTCACTTACACTTTTTTGTTTACTGGATTAATCAATTGTTATCCTTGATTGTTGATTGTTAATTTGTGTGTGTGTGTGTGTTTGATTGAGTTGATTAACATTGTCAGACTGTAATTTCCAATCAATAATCAATTTCTCCACAATAGTTTGTATTGTGAGATGTTAATTGTTTGCGAAAAAATTAAATTGTTACTCCTTCGTATTACATAATATCATTTGGAGTGACTTTAAATTGTAACAATTTAATAATAATCATTAGAAGCGGTTCATTTTTTACTATCAGACAATTTAAGGTCATCGAAAATGTTGAAGGCTAATCAGTTACAATCTAATTTACAATCAAGTTAATCAACTAACTGTTGGTTGGTGGTATTATTATTATTGGGAAATTAAAGAGTAGAATATAATTTTTTTTTGTTTGATTCGAATTGATTGTAACAATTTAAATTGTTTGACCTGAATAGCACGGAAGTTGTTAGTTAACTAATCAAACAATCAAGTAACTTACAGATACGATGATTAAAAGTGATGACAAGAAATTATAAATACAATCATTTATTATCATTATCAACACAATTTACTGATTACTTTTTATTTCTCTAATTTTCCTCCTACAACAATTTACTTGATTATCTTCATTCAATTTAATAAACAACAATCAACGTTTCAAGTTTATTTAATTGCGATTATCAGATTTGATTGTTAACAATTGAATTTATCTGAACGTGTGGCTTAAATTTTCATTGGCTTTTAAATCATCCAAGGGTCAAGTCTAATTGTTGACCACTAATCATGTTAATCAATATGATGATGATGATGATTAGTTATTGAAAATTGTTGATGGTCAATCTTAATTATAAATCAATACGATAACAATTTAATTATCATTGTTTACTTTTGATTGTTGTTGATTGTTGTGAGGTCATTTCACTTTTTTATGTCTTGAAAACCTTGAAATGATTAACTAATTATATTGTGACTAATTGATTTAATCAACGTAATAATAATAATGATAATCATCTTGACGATGATAATATAAAAATTGATCAATTTAATTAACTCTTCATTTACTATTACGTTGATTTAACAATTAGCAATTGAAAAATTAGTTGATTTGATTTGAAAGAAGTAAAAAAAAGTACAAGTTAATTGTAGACAATTTAATGGATTTTAATTGTAATCAATTGATTTGTTTTTTTTTTACTTCTTCTTCATGATTATCACAATTGATTGTGTAAATATGATTAACGAAAAAAAGTTAATTGTTTGCTCCCAATTATTGATTCAAAGGTAAATCATATAATCAACTTAATTAATAAATAATTTTTGTACCTCACAATATTGTCTGATTGTTAATTGTGACAAGATAATTTAGTTTGATTATATTTCAATACCAATTTACGTTACGATCCAACATTTGATTGTTACAATTAACTTTACCAGTTAATCACTTTTTGCAAATATGTATGATTACAGTTTTTTACCTTACAATTAATTATTGTTGTTTAATCAAAAAAAACAAGGGAAGTAACAATTTAGTTGATTGTTACAACCAAATTATCAAACAATTAACCATTAAAATGATATTATTTAAATGAGAATATTGAAAATGCAATTGGCAGTTGAATGAATATTTGTCCTAATCAAATTAAATTTGATTACAATCAAAGCTTGGAGTTGTAACCACAATCGATGGTTAATTGTAACAATTTATTTTGCTCTTGATCAGAAAACTAGTTTTTTGTTTAATTCTGTTGATTAACTTTCACCTATTATATTAAACTGACTGTTACTACATCACTAGACATCATCATCATCATTAGTTGGTGATGATGATGAAAAAATCTTCAAGGAGATGAGGAAGAAAAGAAAGAGAAGAAAGAGAAAAATAATATTGTAAACAGACAGACAAAGGATGATAAAGAGAGAGAGAGAGAGAGCATGGCATTAGTAATATAAAAGAGGAAGAAGGAGCGAGAGAGAGAGAGAGAGAAGACAAATATAGAAAGAGAAGATAAGTGAGTTGTTTCTACCTTTCTTTTTTCTCTCTCACTTGTTTTTCTGGTTGAGGAAAAGAGAGAACGAGAGAGAGGAAGGGAGAGCGAGAGAGAGAAACCAAAGGGAGTAAAAGAGAGAACGAGAGTAAATGAGAGAGAATTAGAGAGATAAGGTTATAGCCTAATAGAAAGAGAAGATAAGTGAGTTGCCTCCATTTTTTCTCTCTCTCTCTCTCTCTCTCTCTCTCTCGCTCTTTCTCTCTCTCTTCCTTTTTCTCTCTCACTTGTTTTTCTGGTTGAGGGAGCAAGGGAGAGAAATGTGAGTAAGATATTTGGGTAATAGTAGTTTTCAAGAGAAGATCAAGAGAAGAAGAGAAACTAAAGAGAGAAAAAAGAAAGAGAAAAAGAAAGAAAAGAAAGAGAAAAATTTTATAATATACAAAATGAAAAAAGATGATATTCTATTGTAATTTTCTATTTTTATTATGTTTTAACGGATTATCCTAATCAACAATCATCATCATCATCATCTTTATCTTCATCTAATTAATAATCTTGGAGCAAAATTAAATCTTAATCAACCAAAATTACAATGAGTTAATTGTGTGTCAATCAATTGATTCATCTTTATATAAACCCTCAAGTGTTATATGTGTTTGTCTGTGTATCCAATTGGTATACATCAAAGTTAAATTGGATTAAATTGATTTTTCAAGTGATTAATTGATTAATTTTGTCAATTTTTGTTTCTCATTTGTTGTTAATTGTGATCAAATTTCTTACGTTTTTACCCAAATAATAGGAATTAACATTAACCGATGATACTGTTCTTGAGGAACGTAATGAAGATCCAACTTTGGTTCAGATGAAATTGATTGGTGATGGAGGTAATTATCAATATCTTTAATTGTTACAATCACTAAACACTCACTCACATAGACACATCATCATAATCATCAACATCGTCAACATTATCACCACCACAACAACAACAACATAATCATCATTAATTGTGATACTTTTTTTTTGTCAAGGATATTTAATGTATCTTATTAAATACCATTGAGAGATTTAAATTGTGACAATCAAATTGATTAGCTTTTCAAGGTGTGGTGTTTATGTGATGTGTCCATTGTGTGTATGTGTATAGTTAATCAGTGGTTAATTTAGTGATTTGGTTAATTGTTAATTTTTTGTTCTTTTTCTTTATTTTTTTCCTTAATTGTTCTAGTTGTGGAATCGATATTAAAAGGAGAAGAAATCGGAATTACTCCTCGTAGACGTGCCTGTAATCAAAATTCACGAGAATCATTAACTAATAGTAACAATACAATTAAGGATTCTAATTACAACAGTTGTAGTAGTAATATTAATAGTAATAATAACTCTGCTAATTGTAACAGTAAAAAGTTAACTAATCCAATAAGCAGTAATAATAATAATCAACCAACAATCAATTCTAATCATCATATCCACCATTCAAATCGAGTTAAAAATCCAAATAATTTGGTTAATAATAATAATAGTAGCAATTTAAACGTCAATGATAATACAAATAATCATTTAACCACAACAACAATTAATAATAATCATCAAACTGATAGTAACAACGTTAATACTACAGGCAATGAAAAGAGATTGCTGTTAAATCAACAACACCAACACCACCACCACAACCAACAACAGGATCACCATCAAAGCATTCAGAATCAACTAATTGTATTGCTAGTGTGATGAACTCAAGTGCTACACCACAACAACAACAACAACAACAACAACCCAACCAACAAGCGATAATAGTAAATATCAAAAATTTGGACTCGATTTAAGTGATCAACATAATATACATTATAAAGCTCAAGATAAAGTTAATCATAGCGGACGTGATAATATAACACCACCAACTACAACAACAACTACAACTACAACAACAGGATCAACAGTGACCACAACAACAACAACAACAACCCCAAGCACAACAAAAGTCCAGTCAAAATTAACTAATTCAAATTCTTCCTCATCAACGTCATCATCTTCCTCTAACACGTTGATGCATCTTCACATGACACCTCAATCAGGTTCTCATCTACCTAGGCCACCTTGTCCACCTAATGGTGATCGCACAACCGGTCCTCCACCCCCTGTATCATCATCATCATCATCATCATCAACATCAACATCATCCCAACAACAACAACAACAACAAAATCATCACCACCACCAACAACAACAACAACAACAACAGATTCACCATCAGCACCATCAACAACAACAAAAGCAACAAATTCATCATCAACAACAATCTCATCACCATTTAACATCCCAAGCATCCTCATCTTTACCTGCACCTCCCTCATCATCAGATTCAAATAACAGCTCAACAATGTCTCGTCCTCCTCCAGGGATTATCTCTCCCTATGCCAATCCAATTAATAATTATCAGGCAATGCTAATGATTCAACAACAACAGGAATTATTATGGCAAAAATACCCTGAAATGAGGGGAATCACAGTTCCTCCTGGTAACCTAGATAATCGTTTATTGTCACCTTATCAAATTAATGATTGGAAGTTAATTCAAGAACGTGAAAGACAATTACAAGAGAAATTGTAAGTTTAATTATCTTAAAACAATCAGTTAATTTGCATAATAATAATAATAACAACAACTCAATCTCCTTTTCCATAATAATAAGTGTTGACTTTACAAATTCAATTCTCAAGTGATTTATGTTATATTATATTCCGAGTGTGTTTCTGTTGTCAAAATTTGTGAACCTTCATCATTTGTTAATTGTTGTCTAATCTTAATCAATTTGCTTCTTTAATTGTTGTTTATTTTTCTCATGTTTACTGAGTGTGTTTGTTTGTGTCTACGAGTTTAATTTAATTGTGATCATTAAGATGAAACATTTATTCAAATCTACTGTTTATCTAAATATCCATATCATAGTGGATAAATTTGATTGAAATATCAACAATTAGAGTAACAATTAACTAATCACTTATCTGTTTCTCTCTCTCTCTCTCATTCTATTATTATATTTATGTTAATCTCGCTGATTAAGATAATTGAATATGAATGAATGTCTTTGAATGACCTTTACTCAATCTTAATCTCTTTTTAATCATTTGTTAATTATTATCGTTATTAATTTTTTCTCTATCCTAATCAACTAATCAACTAATCTCTTAATTTTCCCTCATTACTTTCAAGTTGTTTTAATTACGTAGACTTGCACTTAACCCTTAATCACTCTCGGCTCTCACACTAATCATAATCAACCACTTTCAACAATTAAATATTATATTTGTCTCTCATTTGATATTGATTAGTTAATTAGTTTGATTTACTTTCTAATTTCATAATTGATCGTCAATCATAATGATCATCATCATCATATAATTATTATTATATTTGTTTTATTGTTTATTTTTTTTGTTAGTTATCAATAGTCAACAATTAACATTAAATGAAGATATTGGTTAGTTGATTAGTTGATTAATTATCAGCAATCTCTATGTGATTAGTGTTAATTTTGTTTAGGTTTCCACTTAAAATGTATTAATTTGTTGTTTAATATACTTTGTTGATTATCATGATGACGATGTGATGTTTTAATTTGATTTGATTTGATTAACTTACCTTAAATTAATTGAATACTCGTTAAACCAGTTTGATTGTTGATTTTCATGACAAGACATTAGTTACAACTATTAATTGTATTGATCATCATCATCATCAACCTTAATCATCATCAAAGTTTATTAACTTTTCCCCTTAATGATCAAGGATAATTATTGACATTTTCTGGTTTCTTTTGTTTATAACAATCAGTTAATTGTTACAATTGAAGAGTAAATCAATTGTGAAACAATTGATGAAATAATAACGATTTAAGATGTTTACAGGTTTTTTAATTGTAGTTTAATATCAACTTAATTTAATCTTAATTGTTGTTTGTGAACGAAAAAATTTTTCTGCTAAATTGTTGTGTTAATGTTGATTCAATGATTAGTATCAAAAATTAAGGTTCGTTGAGTTTAAGATTGTAACTAAATTAAAACTAATTGTAACACACTAACCCTGGTTAATTGGCAACAGTTTTAATCAATTAAAATTGTCCCACAATTAGTTAATTCATCAAATACATATGAGAGAGTCATTGTTAATGTTGATTATTACAGGAATACAATTACAAATGATTACAATTAACAACTTTTACCAAAGTTAATTGGACATGAAACCTTGAAAAAAAAGTCAACAATTAAATTAACAATTTCTCATACTAAATTATACATAATCAACAAGATAGAAATTAAATTAATCATCAAACCTCAGCTAATCAGTAATCAACTTGAAGTTAAAGTTAATTGTTACAATCAAATTTACCTCAATCCAAAATCTGATTGATCTAAATCAACCTTTTTTTTTAATTTAAATAGATGATTACAATTGTTTAAAGAAACACACAATTAAGAGATGATTTTTTTTTAATTGTTCAAGCAAACAATTAGTTAATTTGTTGGCAATCATCACACCCTAATGAAACCAACACACACACAAACAATCAATTAGAATTGATTAGATTCCCATCCCATCATCATGATCACAATTAGATTAAACAATTAACAACTTGATACAATTTGATATTCTTGAAACAATTAACTCAATGGGAATGATTTAATTAACAATTAACAATATTGTTTATTGGGTCAAGTAACAACAACAAGAACCAAAAAAAGACCAGAAATAATTTGATTCAAGTTGTCTAACAATCAAATTTGATTGTACTACAATTAACTAATCATTTACGGTTTTCCTTGGTCAAGGAAACTAATCAACTAATCAACGATTAAATTGTTAGATAATTTTGTTTTTTTTTCGTTGTTCTTTCAATCTCATTCATCATTATTCAATGGATAAGGTATGATTTTCATGTCTCATGAAACTGAAGGTTATCATGAAATTAGGAATTAAATATTTACATTAAATCAATTGGATAATAGATATACAATTGAGTTGCTAAGGATAAATAATACTCCATATGAATACCATGAATACCATGAATTTACATGATGAAATGATTAGCAACAAGAAAGATGATTAAGATTATCTGAATTTGCTAATATTCTGGTTGAATCTTTTTACTCAACTTATTGAATTTCAGGTTAATCTGATTTTCATCAACAACCTACATGAAAAATAAAAAGCTTCAGGTAACGGTCAGAATATCATGAAGATAATGATGATAATCAAGGATATAATTTCATCATCCGTGGGTTGATTCAGGAAAATAATGATTTAAGGATGAGAAATTTGTTCACAATCAGTTAATCCATGATACCTGAGGGATAATCTCTTGGTGATCAACTGAACTAATCATGAAATTCAATATAAGACGGAATTAAATTGGTCACAATTTACTTTTAGTTGTTATCATCAATGTTTAATTATCTCTCTATCTCAAGTTAATCATTGTTTCCTAGATGATTTAGATAATCAAATTAATAACTTTTCCATTTTTTATTTTCTCATCTTTCCAATCAATATAATTTACGTCACAATTAAATTGATTGATTGATTTACTTTTTATTTCTCATTAACTATTAACAGGTAAAAATAAAATAAATAAAACAATTAAATTGATTTTCAGTGTCATTCACTTGGTGTTTGTGTGTGTGTCTATTAATTATATTGTTGCAATTTACTAATCATAATTTTCACCCAACAATCAACAAAGACAATTATTTAATTGAAAATCGTAACTAATGTTTTATTGACTTTGAAATAATAATAATCATATAACTAATCACTTTGAATGAGAAATTTAGTAATTTCAACCAATTTAAATGATAAACAATCAGATTGATCAAAACAATCAATAGTTAATTGTGTTTATTTGATGACTAATTGTTTTCCTTTCTTTTCTTTACCTTTAAAATGTGTTAACTTGTTACCTGGATAATCAATTGACAATCAACGATGAACAATTAAAATCGCGTTTTCTCTCTCACCATCATCATCATCATCATCTTCCAGGAAACATGATGATAAAATGAAAGAGAGAGAAGCAAAAGAAAGAGACAAACAGATGAGAGAAAGAGAAAGAGCCGAAAGGGAAAAGAAACAAAGAGATGCAGTTCAACAGCACTTCGAGGAATCCTTAAGAATAGCCAATCAAAAGGTAAGTTAATCATTTGAATATCAACAATTTAAACATTCACCTTGGTGATGGATTTACATTAATGTGTAACAATCAACAGCAAATGACGAGAAACAATCGACACAATAACTGGAAAAGTGTATAAACCAATCAAACAATAATAGACTCGAATCGCAATCATGACAATTGTAACAGAATCAATTGTATACCAATATCCTCATCAGAATCAATTCTATATATTGAATCATGATGATGATGGAAAACAAATAGAATAAGAATTTTTTTTCCTCAATAAGAACACTGAGTTTTCCCCTTCTGTTGTTGTGCTTCAATTGCATGATAAACAAACAGCAAAATGAGAGAGAGAGAGAGAGAGAGATTGTGTGAGAAGAGTAAAAAAACCCTTTCATCATCTTTGTGATGCTTTTGTAGTGAAAAAGTACAATTGTTATCAACTGTAAACAACAACAACAGAATCAACAGCAACCGAAAAAAAAACTGGTCCTTTTTTGTTACATTCTTTGAGAATCTTATTTTTTTCTTAATAACTTTCTTTCTCTTTTTTCTCTTCTTTTTCCTCTATCATCATCATTATCATCCTCATCTTCTTGTGCTCACTATTTTCTTTTATTCTTTTTCGTCTGTGAAGACGAAGAAGAAAAATAACCACTTTCAGTTCTCTCTCTCTCTCTCAACTTCTTTTCTATTCTGAACTCACTCCCTTTTAAAAGATTTAGCCTTTGACCTCCTTTGTTCCCTCTCTCACTCTTTCTCCCTTTTCTTAAGTAAAAAGAAAACTTTTTCACTTTTTTTACCCTCAGTCTCTCTCTCTCTCTCTCATTGCCTATTAATATTTTTTCTCAAGGTCCCCGTTGACCTCTGTCCGTCCTTGAACTATCCTTTGACCTGACCAGCGATTCCACTGTCTTGATAATTTCGCTTGGATTTTTCTTTTCGCTTTTTCTTTTCTCTCTTTTTTTTCTCTTCCTCTCTTTCCAGCCATTGATTTTGTGTTTCTTTTTTTTCATCTTCTCCAAAAATGAACCTGACAACATTTGTTCAAGGTATGTGTTGATTTCGTTGTTGTTGTTGTTGTTGATTCTGGTTACTGTTCTTACTGGTTGATTTTGCTGTTGGTGTGTTGTTGCCAGTTGACTGTCAAAGTCATCGAAACCTGACCAAGAACAATAAGAAGTAAAAAAAGAAAGTTTTGTCACGCGATGAATGAAAAGGTGTGGTTACTAAAATTTTCTCATAGTAAACTTGATTCAATCTTTTTTTCTTCTTCTTCTTTCCTTCATCTTGATTCCTTTTTTATCTTCCTTCCTCCTTGCATCATGAAAACAACAGAACCATCATAATCACCATCATGTAACTGATGTTGGAAAATTTATCCAACCTTAATTGACATTCCATGAGTTTTCAGTTATTTCCTCTCATTTGAATTCTCATGGTCTAATGATTCTCACACACATTTCATGATGATGATTCCAACCTAATGTGAAAGTATAAAAATAAATGCAAGTTTTGTTTGATGAGAATGAAAAAAAGGTTTCAAGTTATCAATGAGATGAATGAATGAAAAAAAAGATGATGATGATAATATTGCACTACTGTTACTATTATCATTATCATTACACAATAACTCATCATGTTCATTGTGTGTGTGTACCTTTAATTTGGATGCGTTGAATAAGCAAAGGGAAAAAAAATTTCTCGCTTTTCTTGGATTTTTGATTGTAACACAATTGTAATCATCATCATCATTTGCATCATTAACAAGATGAGAAATCAATGATTTGAATAAAATGTTAATGCTATTATTTGATTATTAAATAGCAACGGGTTTCATCTGGATGGCCTGGAATGGGAAAAGGAAACACCGCCGGTGGTGGTAATCAACCTCATCCTGTTCGTTCACAACAAGGTCCACCTTCACATCCTCCGGTCACTTCCAGTGGACCAAATTCAATGACCAGATCATATATTCCAATGTACAATGGTGATATTAGTGAGAAAGATGATAAATCAACAAATTCCAGTAATTCATCATCAAGATCAAGCTCCAGTGCAACATCAAGTCATCAACCTGCTTTAAATAATAGTAATAATAATAATAATAATAATAATAGTGTTAACAATTTAGTCCATCCGGACGTAAGATCAATTAGAAACTTGGAGCAACAACAACGACATCATCAACAATCATCGTCATCATCACAACAACAACAACAATCCTCAACATCATCACCATCACCATCTAAATCCCAGCAACAATCTCGATCATCAGGAAATAATAAATTAGATTATCGATCAGCTGAACTAAATTTTTCTCAGCTTCATGCAGCAGCAACACAACAACAATACAATGTACTTAGTCAACAACAATCACATTCACCAAATGGACCTCAACACCCACTGCATCTTATTCATGCACCATCATGGGGAATTCCTAGACCAGGATTATCTTCAGGTAACTATTTAAATTGATTATAAGCATTTTAATCATTGATTAATCGATCATATTGATTCAGCTTTTGTTCACACGGATATAAACACATAGAGAGATTTAATATTTCCGTTTCTCTCTCGTTTTCTCCCTCGTTTTCTCCCTCCCTTCCTCTCTCTCTCTCTCTCTCTCTCTCTCTCTATTTCTCTCCCTATGTTGATTTTTCATCACATTTGAAACATTTACATTACAATAACATAAATACATTTCTTTATCCTATGAGTTAAGTGAAATAACAGTTTAAAATAACAAATGATATGAAGATGAGAAGTGATGATGATGAAGAAGAAGAGAAGACGAAAAGAAGGGAAAAAGATAAAGTTCATACAAATTCATCGTATCATATGATGTGTCATCGTAATTGGACCATGAAGTTGGAATTAAGTTACAAAAGGAAGAAGAGAAAATCATGTTATTATGACAATCTCTCTGATGATAGTCTTTTTCATCTCTCATCCCCATCATCTCATCTCATCATCTTCTTCTCTTCTCCCAAAGTATGTTGAGTAAATGTTGTCTCCCTCGAGCTTTAATATAAATCTATGTATAGATCTGAGAGAAGAAGAAGAAAAATCGATTACACTTGAATCCTTCTATTTTCCTCTTCCCTTTATCATCATCATCATCATCATTTTTTCATCTCTCTCTCTCTCTCTCTCTCTCTCTCTCTCTCTCTCTCTCTCTCTCTCTCTCTCTCTCTCTCTCTTACCATGTAATCCTGTTCAGTTGAAGGTTCACTTTTATTCTCCTGCTTTTTTCTGATGACCTCTTCCTCTGTAAAAGTGTAGTAGTATGTTGCCTTTACCAGGGAATATCAGAATTCTGAAGAGGATGAAAAAAGATTAGAAAGTAAAAAAGAAGAAAAAAGTAATCGACAAAATGAGAGATAATTTTGAATTATTTGTGATTTAAGGAAGTGATTTCCAACTTACTCATTTCTTGTTTTTTTCTCTTCAACATCGAAATATAAGAGATTTAATTTGATTGCTTTCCATTTAATGATTTACCCTTCAAGGTTATTAAAAGACTGGTAAATGGTTTGTTTTCATATTTGTTTACTTTTTTTCTCCAATTGAAAATCTCTTAATTATAGTTAAGGTGATTTAATCGTCTACCTGTATGGGAAAAAGTATGAGAATAAAAAAAAAGTATTAGATTAATGGTTTATAAATGTTATTCCATGTAATTAGGATATTGTTTTTCTTTTGTATCATTCTAATAACAATCAATAAACACATGAACAATTGACTGAATCGATGATTGATTAATCAATAATTATAATCAAACTATATTTATTTAGATTGATTAATCAAATTGATTTTTATGTTTTTTTCTCTTTACGTTTAGATGGTACAAGTCACTCACAAGGTAAAGGGTCTCAATCTCATCAACAATCGGGTGGTCATCCTGGTGGGCTACCGCTTCATCTGCAGGGTCACCATGGTCCAGTTGGTCCAGGACAACTTAATCCAAGTCAATTGCATCTATTAAATAATATGAATGATGGAGCTAAATTAATGGCTCATTATGATGTTAAAAGTATGAACAATTTAATGCGTGAAAATAGTTCATCACCTTTATCATCATCTTCTTCAACACCTTCGTCAAGTAAAAAGGCCAATGCTAGTCCAGTGAATAGCACCAATAACAACAGTAATAATAATAACACCAATAATAGTAATCATTTAAGGGATAATAGTAATTGTAATAATAATAACTCAGGGTCACGATCTGATCATCATTTATCATCTTCATCTTCAAAACATGGACCCAATCATCGTGCCAATAGTGAGATACCTGGACCATATGGATATACACCTTATGGTTATCCTCCACCACCTCCACGATCAAGTGGGATTAAAGATACTCCACCAATATCGCCACATCATCCACCTTCATCTTTACCACCTCCTCACTTGGCAGTGGGTAAATTAAATAGTTCAACAGCTAATTCAATTTCGTTAACTAGTACACCAAATTCACGTAATTGTTTCTCACCAATGGCTAATCATTCACTGGGCAGACCATCTTCAAGTGGACCCAGTTCATCATCTAGACCACCACCACCAGCGGCACATTCAGGAGGTTCAACTACCAGTTCCATGGTTTCGGTAACAGAAAAACGGGAACCATCACCTTTAATTGATCGATCAGGTACACCGATAGGTCGTAATACGGGTACACCTTTAGGTAGACCACCTTCAGCCTCGTCAAGTAAACATTTGAGTGGAAAAGTTGGACATCAATTTAATTCAATTGATAGGATTAGTCCACTTTATCATAATTCAACATCACAATCTTCCTCATCGTCTACTTCTTCCTCTTCTTTACAAAGTGGTCAACAACAACAACAACAACAACCATCAGGGTCATCACACAGTTCAAGTCCCTTCTCTCAACAAAGTCAGCCAACAGGAGTACCACTCATGTCCGCTCCTCCTGCCCACCAAAGCTCCTCGCCTGGACTGGCTACTAGTCGAAGTAATACACCTCAACTTTCATCGTCCAATGTTCAATCTCATCCGTCATCCGTCGTCCTTTCATCAACCTCTTCATCTTCTTCGTCATCTTCATCAACAAACCATCCCAGCCTTACAAATCTTTCATCTTCACAAGATCAACCTCAGAATCTTGTAAAATCAGAATCAAAGGTACGCAATAGTGGTAACAACTCCTCTAATATAAATCACCAACAACAACAACAACAACAACAGTCACTTAATAGTAACATCTCCTCCAAGGGGGTAACATCACATCATCAAGGTGTGGTACCATCAGGTTACATGAAACATAATTTACAATATCCAGGTGAAGATCATAAATTGAATTTAACCAATCCTAATGATAGATATTCAATTAATGGACCCAATATGGAAGCTATTTCAAAACAGCAACATCATCATCACCAACGACAACAACAACAACAATATCCTCCAATTACAAATTCAGGTGTAATACCTGGAGCACCAGGTTCGGGTTTATATCCTCATTATATGAAAGGTTTACCACCAACAAGGTATGATCTAAGTGGAGGACAAGCACCGCATACAATGGGTTATGATGTATCTCGATTATCTCGTACATCAGGACCACCACCACCACCAGTGCCATTTAATCTTGCTCATCCATCGAGCTCTTTTGATGGTCAATTAAAAGGTCCTGGTGATCATCACATTGGCTCCAATAATAGTAATAATAACAACAGCAAATCATCGGGTAATTCACAAAATTCATATAAAGTTAATTGTGATTCAAGAATGGGCACAGAAACTATTAACCTTGATCTACATCAGACTCATTATTCAAATAAGGGAAATTCGTCAATTAATTCTTTCTCGGGTAACAATACATTAACCATTTCATCATCACCAGCTTCCGTTTCAACAGCGTTAACAATAACCACTAGCCCGTTAACATCAATCTCACCAACTGGAACTATCGTTAAATCAGGAATTAATTCTAGTAATTCTAATAATGGATCTCGTCTAATTTCACCAAGTAATTTACCACCCAATTCATACCTACCACCAGGTATTCATTCAGGATTAGTTGGACAGAGTAATTTTGTTAATCATCATCTTGCACCTCATCCACTTCAACAACAACCCCACCCGATGAGTTTAACCAATAATATGACTCCATTGGGCCCATTGTCTAATCCAACGATTACCAATGGTTCCTCTGGAAGTATAATCCATGGGTTACCAGTGATTAGTGATAAAAAATTATCCAATGTTACATTAAATTCCTCTGCAAAGGATAATGAATATGATCAATTTGGTAAGCGTAAGGGTTTCCATAAGGATACCTATGATTTATCAAAGAAGATAAGAAAAGAAGATGAAGATAATTTAAGCAATAGAAGTAAATTACAAGTGGGTGTTTCTCCAACTGATCTTGGTCGTCGATCATCTCCCAATAAGCACCAATCTTCATTAACAATCAATGAAGATAAAAGTGTTAACTCAATTACAGAGGGTAAAAAGATACAGCAAAAGTTTTTAAGTGAATCAACAATGGATGACCAATCAATTCACAGCTCAAGTAAAGGAACCATTGAAACACCAATGACCATAACAACAACCATGTTACCACCTCCATCTCTTAACACTGCATCATCTTCATCACCTTTAACTCAATCTTCAAGTTCAAATACAACCATAACGGTAACACCAACCAATGTAACACAATCAGTGACAACAACTTCAATCACTGGACCAACACCAATCATATCAACATCAACAACCATGAACAGTGAATCTCCGGTAACAACTACAACAATTACTCCGGTAGTAACCGTTACATCAATCCAACAGCCAACAATTGTGACAACAACACCTACAATTACCTCAAATGAGACAACCACCAACAGTGGCCCATCCAAGTTCCATCCTAAATTAAAGAAAGCCTGGTTACAAAGACATTCCGAAGCCGAAGTGGAAAGTAATTCAAATCAATCAACATCATCATCTTCCATAAGTGTAACCAACAGTAACAACACAGTGAATAATAACATTACTCCAACCATAATAATCAAAGAAGAAGATAAATCTAAACAGGTAAGAAGGTGTAAAATAAATAGAAAAGAAAAGAAATTAATTCTCAACGGAAGAAAACAATTTACCAAAAATAATTAACATTGAGATTTACATTAGTGATTAAGAAATCAAAAAGAAAATAAAAATCTCAACTTGACTTACCAATTAGCTTCTTAATAGTTACAATCTATCAACAAGTTTTTCCATTAGAATAAAAATAATCTTTCAATTTGTAGGTCATCAACTTATCAGCAATTAACTTGAATATCATTAAATAGTAATTAAAACTTATAAATTTTTCTCTCAACAAAATGATTAATTTTTTTTTCTTTTAATTAAAAACAAAAAGAAACAAAAACAATTGAATCTCCATTTTGTTTCTCCGATTGTGGCTCCATCTCTCGTTTCGAATTACAAGTTTTTCCTTATTCTCTTAAATGTGTTTTCATTAATTAGTGTTAATTTTAATTTCTAATTAGTAAATTGCTTTTTAAAGCTAATTTTTTTTTCTCTCTCAAGTTTAACTTGTTAATTAGAATTGTAATCAATATGACTGGAATGTTTAAGCAATGCTTTTATCTAAATTCTAGAGTAGGTGATCTTTTCTTTTCCTCTATGTGTAAGCCTAAGGTGTTGTTACATCATTTTAATTGAATATCAATTAGGTTAATTGTTTTCGTTTTTTTAAATTTTGTTCTTTTATTAATTTTGTCTTATTTTTGCTTTTTTATTTTTCTCTTTTAGACTTTACCTGTTACAACCAATCGTGCACAGCAACAGCAACAACAACCATCATCACAATCAACGCCATCAAATCATAAAGTGAAACAATCAACACAAAATAGTAAGGGTGGTGATCAACATTCGGATACTTCAGTATCTTCATCTCCCAGGGTGAAAAGGAAAATTTCTCGAGAAGAAAAGAATAAGAAAAAAGTGAAAAAAGAACCTTTAAGTGATGAAGATGGTGATGAAACAAGTTCAGTGTCTGATTTTGATTTTAATGGTGATAAAAGTAATTCATCTGCCCCAGAGAAATCATCAAAAAGTTCCAAATCTGGATTAATTAAAAAACGTGTTACCTCTTCTCGGAATATATCAAAACGTCATAAAAGCTCTGGAGGAAGTAACAGTGGAAGTGGCAGTGAGAATAAGAAAGAAGATAAATTGTCCAAAGATGCACGTGAAAGGCACCATCGAACCAAAGAGAGTAAAATAAATGCTCGTCGAGGTCGTAAACCTAAAAGCTCAACTCGTGGATCAAAAGAATCAAATGGAAGTAAAGAAAAACCTTCTCATGAGATTAAAGAGAGTAAAAAGAAATCTTCTAAATTACCTGAGCTTCCATGGCAATTTGTCAAGGGAACATCTCCCGAATATCGTAAGAAAACTGGTGCTATTTGGTTACAAGATGGTTCTTGTTACGATATTGCACCGAGGCTTCCTAAGTGTCGAGAATGTCGCATGACACCTAACCAGAGATCTAAGAAAATGCCCAATATTTTCTGCCGTTTTTACGCTTTCCGTAAATTACGTTATGCTAAAAATGGTGTATTAGTTGATTCCGGTTTCTCTGAACCTCGAGATGCAACTCATTATGATTTAAAACTCTGGTTACCACCGGAAACACCATGTAAAGATCTTGATGTTGAAACATCTAAATTTCTTATTACTTATGTTGGAGATCAATTTTGTGACCTTGTTAAACAAGAGCAACAAGCGCTCAAAATTCACATGGGAAAGGATAAAACCTTAACCTGGAAACGAGTAGTTCAAGGAGTTCGTGAGATGTGTGATGTTTGTGAGACAACACTTTTTAATATTCATTGGGTTTGTCATAAATGTGGATTTGTCATTTGTATCGATTGTTATAAGGCTCGTGCCCAAGGTGATGTTAAAGAAGAGGATAATCCACCTCGAGATAGAGATGAATTCCAATGGTTACTTTGTACTAATCGTCAACCTCATGTGCAAAATAAATTAATGATGACCCAAATAATTGCACAAACAGCTCTTAATGATGTTGGTAATTTGTTGCACATAATTCGTAAAGCATTTAAAATAGAGCCTAAATGTGGTTGTGATGTTAATACAATATTTGATTCCAATGGATTAAGTAATCTACTCTTAAACAAAGCCGTACGAGATAAGATTAACGCATGTAATGGTAAAAATATGCCCAATGGATTAAGTAAAAGTGATTCTAAATCAGAGATTAACAGTAAATCGGATAATTTATCAAAAGATTCTGAAAATAGTACATTAACTGGTTTCTCCTCTGAAAGTGGATCATCACCATTATTCTGGTTGGCTGATGTTGCCCTTTCTCGTAAAATGGGCTCAGATAAATCAGGTGAAGATGGTAACACAATTAACACCACTGGTGGTGATAAATTAGATGATAAATCAACAATTAAAGGTGAAACTGATGATTGTAATTTTTCAACATTACGTGAGCTGTTGATCCGTCCAACATCAAAGAAGAAGAAAGGAAAAAGTTCAAAGAAAGGAAAGAAAACAAAGAAAAATGAAAAGACAACAACCTCCGAAGATAATGAGAATGATGGAGATGATGATGAAGATAATGAAGATAATGAAGAGGAGGAAGAAGATGATGGTGAAGAGGAAGATGATGATGAGACAACATCAGATGAATTGGATGAAGTTGAAGAAACTAGAGTTAAAAAGAAAATCAAGAAAGAAGAAAATGAAGACTCAAAAGTATCAACTAATAGTTTGTCATCTTCAATAACAACATCATCTTCATCATCATCATCATCATCATCGTCAACAATAGTCAACTCAACATCATCTACAACCACAACAACAACAACAACAACAACGTCAACTTCATCTAAAGAGACCAAACCATCAATAAATACTGGTGGTAACTCAAATTCATCAGTAGGAGTTTCAGTTGATAAACCATCAATTAAATGTGAATCAACTAAATCAACAATCAATTTACCATCGGATTCCAGAAAATTGGAACATTATACTCCACGATTTACTCCTAAGCGTGATACCAATAATCCACCATCCAGGTCATGTAGCATTGATGAGACGAAAAAAATATTCCCAAATATACCACATACATGGCTATGTTCAGGGCGATTACTTGTATTTCAAGACCCAAAGTTACCTGACAATTTAAAGCTATTTAAGGAGCAATGGAAACGAAAACAGGTTAGTCTTTCTCTCTCACTCTCTCACTAATGGCTTATTTTAGACTTCCTTGATCATGATCTCCATCATCATCATCATCATCATGCTCCTGCTCTTTACTTTTTTTTCATCTTCTCTTTTTCCTAAGTCTTGTTATCGACCATCATCATCATCATCTACTATTAGATGATGTATCTTTCTGATAATTTCGTTTCTTTTTTTTCTTCTTGCTATTTGATACAAAAACTCCTTACGGGTGTTATTAGGGAAGATTATGCTTTTATATATAAAGAAGAAGAAAAAAAAATGATCGAAATTAGATCGAATTATAAATATATTAGTTTTTTTTAAGTGCAATTATGTTACCAATTTAATTCTCTTCTACTTTTCTCTATTGAAAACATTTCGATATTTAATGATAATAATCGTTTTTTTTTCTTATTTTATTTCTTTTTTATTAGCCTGTTCTCATCAGTGGAATCAATAAACTTTTGGACAGTAGCTTATGGAATCCCGATGAATTTAATCGTCTTTTCGGTGATGCCAAAAGTGATGTGGTCAATTGTAAAACTGGTCATGTTTTACCTAAACTTCAGATGAAAAAATTTTGGGATGGATTTGAAAATCTTAACAAACGGTTGAAAGGAGATGATAATGAATTTTTGACCTTGAAATTGAAAGATTGGCCTCCTGGAGATGATTTCAGTGATCTATTGCCAGATCATTATGGTGACCTTATGGACTGTTTACCTTTACCTGAATATACAAGACGTGATGGTTGCCTCAATCTTGCTGGACGATTACCTGAATGTTTCGTACGACCTGATTTAGGCCCTAAAATGTATAACGCTTATGGTTCAGCTTGTTCCTATGATAAAGGAACAACTAATTTACACCTTGACATTTCCGATGCGGTTAACATTATGGTTTATGTTGGTATACCCAAGGGAGCGGGTTCCAAATCAGAGGATTACCAAGAGGCTGCATTGAAAGCCATTGATGAGGGAGGTTGTGATGAAGAAATGAAAAAACGATCTCGAGAAAAGGGTAAACAATTGGGTGCCCTTTGGCATATTTACGAGTCAAAAGATGCCGATTCAATTCGTGATCTATTAAATAAAGTAGCCAAAGAACGTGGCGTTGAACTTGGTGCCCATTTTGATCCGATTCACGATCAATCTTGGTACCTTGATTCAAATCTTCGAGATCGACTTAAATCTGAATACAAAATTGAGGGTTACAGTATAGCCCAATGTTTAGGCGATGCTGTTTTCATTCCCGCCGGGGCTCCTCATCAAGTTCGTAACCTTCAAAGTTGCATCAAGGTGGCCGGTGATTTTGTCTCACCCGAAAATGTCACCCAATGTTTCAATTTGACCCAAGAATTTCGCCAACTCTCCGATTCTCATATTAACCATGAAGATAAATTGCAAATCAAGAACATCATTTACCATGCAATTAAAGACTCACTCGCCTCCCTTCAAAATAAACTATCCGAAGGGCCAAAATCAAGTCATTCCCACTCCCACCATCACCATCATCATAAAAGTTCAAACTCTGTAAACAACAACAAGAGTAACAATTCAAACAGTAATAGTAACCATAATTCATCATCAACCACTTCAACGAAAGCCCATTGACATAAAGCCAATAATTGTTTGAAACTCAAATTATCAACTAATAACAAACAATTAACAACCCAAATCAAGAATCAATCAAAACCAAGCAAGAAAATTAAAAAACATAAATTGCAAGATTCAAAAGAAACCAACACAACAAAAAAAACTTCACTTGGAAAGAAAAGCAAATTTAACTTGCGAAAAGTTAACATTTAATTGGAAATCTAATTGTGAAAAGAAAAATTGATAAAAAAACAACAACCTGGAGAAATATTAACAATTAACTGTAATCAATTTTTCAAACTCCCTTTTCTAAATGTAAACAGTTAATTGTTACAATTTAAATCAATTGACTAACAACAAGAAAATAATAATATTACCACTATTGTCAAATCATAATTTCTCATTGTGAGATATATGATAAACTATTAATTGTCTTAATCATTGTAATATATTTCATCTTCATCTATTCCTTACCTAATCATCATCCTCATCATCATCATCATCTAAATTTAACATTACCACCACTTTCATTAGCATCTTCATCCTCAATATCATTTTAATGTTTCCTCTCATTACCAATTGCTAATTGATTTTAAAAGATTGTTTTTTGCTTCTCATTAATTAAAACACAAAAATCATCTGTAAACTCAGTTAATTGTGATTATCATGTTTTTAATTGCTCTTTAAATCGGATGATTAATATTCACTAGTATGTTGAATTTTATCTCGGTGCCACTTTCAACATTCATTTATCTCTCTCTCTCTCTCTTATCATCCATTTAAATTAACAATTAACTGCATGCAATTAAATCATCATCGTCGTCGTCATCTTAATTTGCACCGTTTACCACAACCACCAATCCAACAATCAATTTAATTGTAAATTTCTTATAAAACAACAACATATAAATATATACATAGAATTGAAAAAAACGCAGTGAGTGTTTTGTTTTCCGCTACCATTAGTAAATTGATTGTAATTAATATAATTTAAAGCGAGAAAAGTAAAATCACAATTTAAATTGCGAAGAAAATTAATCGGGATTTAAACAATTAAATCTCAATGTTCAGTATATTTTAAATGTGTTCATATAAACGGAACCTTTTTTTTTTAATGAAAAAGAATAAAAAAAATTACAAATTACTCGTTAATTGTGACAATTTATTTCGCGATTTGATTGTATTAATTAGTTTGATTGAAATGAAATTGAGTCGAAAGTGAGTTGATTTGTAAATATATTAATTATTAACAAAAAGTTTGCGTTTATGACAACAAAAAATGATGGAGATGAGGATGAGGATGATGACAATGATGGTGGGTGATGACAAGGGACAATGATTAAAAAAAAGCTTAATTGTTGATTGTTTGATTTGTGTCAATTGTATTTCCAGCAAGGTGATTTAAAAAGTTACATTGGTAAAAGATTGGAAAGTTACCTTTCTCTCTTTGGGAGAATGTAATTAAACCTTGACAATTGATTGTAAAGGTTTCGATTACAAATCATATTACAATTAGAAGATTTTTTTTTACACAATTATAATTAAAAACGAGGACAATTATTTTACAATGAGTTTGTTTTCTTTGTTGATTAGTTTCAAATGGTTCAAGTGGTAAAATTGAATACGAGGTGTAATTTGTTTTACCATCCAGATGAAGCACCATAACCAGCACCAGCGGCGGCTGAGTAATCTTCACCGTGACCTAAGCCATGACCGTAAGCTGGGGCAGCTGGGGCTCCGTATGATGGGGCACCATATGAGGGACCACCGTATGATGGAGCACCGTATGAGGCAGCAGCGGGTGCAGGGTATGAGGAGGCAGCTCCCCAGTTATCACCTCCCCATGATGAGGGTTCCCATGAAGGTACCGAAGGCCATGAAGGTGCAGGCCAAGATGGAGCGGGCCAGGATTGTTTGGGCCATGACTTGGCTTCCAATTCAAGAGGTAAACTAAATAATTGTAATAGAACAACAAAATTATAAGAAAAAAAAAGTTTTCCAAACAAAATAAGAAAAACAAAGTTGATCAACACTCGAAATACTCACGGAATTGGGATTGGGACAGGTAAAACTCCGAACTTCTTTTTCTTTGAGTGTTTCATGAGAAGGGCCAAAGCAGCGAGTTTCTTGATCTTGAGGAGTTTTCGTCGACTTCCTTCAACTTGTGTAACATAATAGTTAACAAGAACCAATTGGAGTACAACTAGAACTAAGAAAGCGAGCGATAAGCCCGTTTTACGACTGGAAAGAGACATAATTTAGATCCTTAAGAGAAAGAAAGAGAGAGAGAGAGAAACAATTAGATAATCACAATAATAAGCAGCACATTAACGAGTAAATTAATCCGTTGAGAGAGAGATGGAGTTAAATTTACTTCCAATTGATTTGTAAAGGTAAAAAGAGTTAACTTTCGTTTTGGAATTGATTTTTTATTACCTTTTGGTTTTAGTGATGGAACTTAATTAATTTGGTTGATGTGATTAGTTGAACTGTGATCAAGTGAATGAAGTTATAATTCGTAATGTGATTCCCTTTTATATATCATCATCTCCTCTTGATGCTTCCTACAAACGGTCAGTATATTTTAGCATTAACTGTCCACCATAAAGGTGTAGTCGAAAGGTAAAGTCTCTTTCTTACTTTCTCTTACTTTCTTTCGTTCTGTCGACTTTTCTCTCTTTCGAACTCAATTTTTACCTTACTCTCCACCTTTCACCTCATTTTTTTACTGACCAATTAACGGGTGACGCTATTTTAGAGATGGACCAAGGAGCCACACACATACTCTCTCAGTCTCTCTCTCTCTATTCACAAACAGTGATAAAAAATTATTCAAAGAAGGAGGGGAAAAGAAGAAGATGATGAACAAGATGATAAAAAAGAAGAAGATGATAAGAAGATATGAAAGAGAAAGCAAAAGTCCGGTTGAGATGTAACAACGAGGAAATGAGTTGCAACTGTACTATCAACACCCGAGGCGAAAAATTGAGAACCAGGAGTCGATTAGTAATGATAATATTAATACATTAAAAAGTGAATAATCTAGATCACTAAAGAAAGAGGCTGATCAATCTTCCGGCGATCATCATCATCATCATCATTCTTAATATCGAGCTTATCATCTTCATCATCATCTTACCCTGTAAACATTTCGCTCTCGTCTAAACATAAACGACGATATTGACTTTCTCTTTCTCTCCCTTTCTTTTTCCAAATCTACCTTCAATTCTTCACCTTCATCTTTGTATTCACCTTCATCATCATCATCATCATTAATTGCAATTAGAAAAAGAAGAAAAAACCAAGATGGAGAGAGAGAGAGAGAGAGAATCAATTGCCCAAAAGAATATATTATTTTCTATCAATTTTCTATATTCCATTCAAAAGTATTTTCTCTTTACCCTGAAGAACATTTTTCGAGATTGTTTTTAATTTTTCTTCTTATTCTTAAGAATGATTAACTTCTCACTCAGTTCATTACTATCGAAATAGTTAATTCTAAACTTTGATTCTAATTATGAAACAATCAGGTTGCCTTTAAGGCCTTTACCATTTCCTTAAAGATATTTCTTCATCTTTACTCAGTTTTTTTTTCTTCTTCTGTTTCTGATTAACGGTAATTAATACACAATATCAGTTTTCCCTTTTTCTGTTTCCATTTTCAATGATGATGATGATGATCACCATTAGTTAATATCATCATTCACTTATCATGATTATCTTATTTTTCTCATCATCTTCAATAGTTTGTCAGTTTTTCGCATTTAAAATTGTTATATATTCAGAATTGAATTTTTGTTTATCACCCATCAGGATGGTTGATTAATATTAGTTTGCAGTTCATCGTCATTTTTGTTACAGTTTTATAAATATAAACGATGAAATTTACTATTCTATTCATGATTAAGAGATTTGTTCAATATAAAAAATATAATCAAAAAATAAAGTGAATTAAAGTTAATCACTCACTTTGATTCATCTTTCCATCAGATGAGTACAATTGCCGTTAACCATAAGTAGCATCATTTTTTGTTTTCCTATTTAATCAATCCAATGATTATAATTATCTCCACCAATTAATCTAATCAAGTAATTGTTTCCTGTGAATATTTTGTTTTCCATCATGTAATCAATACGATAAAGTCAAATATCTTTGTTGTTGATCCGTTGATTGATTTGAATCTTCAGTCTTGGCTTGAGATTTCCAATGTTTTCCTTTGAGTAATTTAGTTGAGTTGAATTTTGATATGTGTGTTTATGATCAGGATAATTAGCTAATTGTAACAATTAGAATTACATATTTGTATCTCCAAGAAATGAGGGAAAAACAAAATAGATAAAGAGAGAGAGAGACTTGTTTCAATTACCATGGGGGAAACGCCTTCAGATGATTCGTAATGTAACATGTCCGATTAATCTGATCAATTGCGTGAGAAATTATCTCCATATCCGGTCTCATATTCATCTCGATGAAAAGAAAATGAATCAGATAACAAAAAATCATAAGATTTATGACTAATTCTATTGAAAATTGATTAATATGACGAGACAATTAAGACAACAAAGGCCTTGGAATTGAAAAAGAAGAGGGAAAAACAATCAACATGGAGAACCGAACACAAAGAAAACACTAGAAAAAGGTAGAAAATGGAGTTAAATAAGATTATTGGTTAATCGAAATGGAAAATTGCATCAGATTTAATTAAGATACCGACAATTAAATTTGATTGGTGATTCTAATAGAATCCAAGTTAACAGAGAAAAAAGAGAAAAACATATGAGAGGGAGCAAGAAGAATCTCCCTAAACCAAGGGAGCGTTTCCACTTGTTTACTTATTTTCTATTCTCTGGAAATCGGTGCCTAATGATAGAGTGAATTAATTGTTGATTATTGATTAAGTTTCTATATTTTTATAATTGTATTTTCTATTTTTTCTAAATTGTTGTAATACTCACCGACTGATGGACTGACTGTCACCTTTGTAATTGTCTTTGTTTGGTTTTTATCTGTTGTTCCAAAAACACTTTTAACTTTTGTGAAAATTTTTGTTCTTTTTGTAGAAAACCAAAAATGGTTGATAATGTAAATTATTTTGGTAAATTAATAGAACTTGGAACTAAACGGAAATTTGTGGTCGATTCTGAGGTGACGGATGCTCCTTCCGTCGGGGGTACTCCATGTTTCAAATGTACCATACGAATTGTGAGTCATGATGTTTTGGTTGAGCAGATCGGTTCCAGTAAGAAAGCGGCCAAAGCGGCTGCCGCTCAAATCGCCTATGAAGAAACTTATCAAAAGGTGAATCGTTTTTCTCAATTTACCAATTGATCAAATCGACAATTAAACGTTTCCAAATTGTGTTTGCGTGGCTTACTTATTTTCCATGGGAGCTTGAGCCTCATTAAGCTGATGTGATTGAATATTGGAGCGTTTTTTTTTCTATGTCATTTCTTCATTTGGCTTCATCTTTTTCTATTCTTTTTTTTTCTTATTCAATTTTTATTCTATTTTTCTATAGGTTAATGCTTCCAATGGTGTTTCTGTGAGTGAAATATCAACCAAATTAAAGAGTGTCGAGATTGTCTCCGATAAAGTGTCAACCTGTATTGAATTTGCCAAAAAATTAGCCTCAATAGATGTAACTAATATCAATGTTGATGATAGTTACTCTGAACTGAATCAACTTGTCTCGGATATTCAGTGCTCTCTTTCATACAAACATGAGGAAAACAAGGTTGAAGAATCGGTTGAATTTCAATTTGTCTGTGAAGTCCGTCCAACTAATTCATTATATCCAGTGGTCAGTGGTTATGGTTGGAGTTGTACTAGTTTGGAAGAGGCCAAAACAAAAGCGGTCACTCAACTTCTCAAAGTTATTGGTACATTTTCAGACCAACCTCCGCCTTCCGATTAATTAATCACAATCCAGCAAAACAATTCCAATGAAATTACTTAAAGACAACATTTCCCCTCCTCTGTGCATGGTTAATTTTATATCTACGATTGATCTAATTTAATTATTTTCGCATTTTATTGATAATATTTACCAATACTAATCAATCTTCCACTCAGTTAATCAACAAAATCAACCCAATGCAATAATAATTATCAAATACTTGAGTTGCTACTACAAGTTAATCAACTTAGTGTTAATTGTTACACTTTTTTTTCAATTAACATCTCTCTCTCTCTCTCTTTCTATCAAATCAAAATGATCAAGATTGGAATGAAAATGTTTTTTAACAATTTACGACAAGCAAATAACTTAGCATATACAAGATGCGAAAAGTGAAATTGTAACAATTTAATTTTCTACTTTGTATTACAACATTGAATCAATTGATGCAATTAAAGATTGGACTCGAAAAGGAACAATCAACTAACTAACAACAACGAGAACTTAATTGTATAAATACACTTTTAATTATTCTAAAGAATTGAAGCCAAGAAACAAAAAGGAAAGAAAGAAATTAAAATTACATAGAATTTAAATTGTGTAATTAGAATCAGAAAATCATTAATTAGAAAGTTGAATTAACCATTGGGAATATGGAGGTTGCTCAGTTTACATGAATTTCTGCCAAGAATGAAAACATTACTCAGCTGATAGACAATCTGATAACTTTCTCTTTCTTTCTCTGTCGAAAACTATTTCGTTATCATCGTTCCAACCTTCATTATATAAGAAGAAAAAGAAAGTCAAATAGAAAGAGAAGATAAAAGAACAAGAGAAAGAAGAAAGTCTCTCTCTCTCTCTCTCTCTCTCTCTCTCTCTCTCTCGATTCTGTTACTAAGGCTCTCAGTCAATATACTAACATTCAGTTACCCTGGAAAATTATTGTTGTTACCAGAACCTGGGATGTGAAGATGATAAGAGAGTGAGAGAGAGAGAGATGAAGATGAGGATGAGAAATGATGAGGATGAACTAAAGGGCTACAAATGAAGATGAAAAGAGAGACTTGAAATTGAATAATAATCATGATGATTAGTGATCATTATCTTAACCATTTTTACTCTGTGAGTTTATTACCCAATATTAATTTCATCCTCTTCCTCATCCTCCTCCTTCAATCATCATCACCATTTGGATTATCCTTATACTAATCTAATCCATTGGTGAAAACTGTAATCTCAACAAATCAATTGATTTAATTATCATCATTTACCTTTGGCCTTCACTTATTGTGGTCATCAGTTAATTGTGTCAACATTATCAGATATTATTGTGCTGTTATCAATTTCTTTCATGTTAATATTTAATCAATTCAGTGAATTATTTAATTCATCAAAATTTACTATTTCTCGTGTTAATTTGGTTAATCAAATTAACTCATTTTTTCAACAATTTAATTCAATTGTTTCACCTTTCACTAAAATGGGATAAACTGTGATATTAATCCTATTAATCTGATTAGATTCCTTTCCTTTAATTTTGTTTTTCTTTTTTCCTTTGATTATTAATTTTCTCGATATTATTGTGTTAAATTGTTGATAATTAACGTTCAACGTTACTTGTTAATTGTTGTAATTTAACATTCTACTCCATTGATTTGGTCAATGGTTTCAGTTTGTAAGCAAAGTCTTGGGACCTTCGGATGCCAAGCATTTTCATTGGAACCAGAAAAGAAACTCATATTTGGATTGATTAATATTCACAATTAAATCTCAACTGATCAGTTGGCTTTACAATTAGCTAATTCTGTACATAATCATTCATCTGCCAATCACTAATTATACAAATGGTAATATCGTTACTTGGTCAACATAATCAATTTTATCCATCGCACATTAAATTGTAAGCATTTTCCTTTAATATTTGATATTTACAATCAATCGACAATTGATTAACCTTGTTAATTGTTTATTCTTGTCACAAGGAAATCAGATTAACCTTTTCGGCAGATTATCTTAATCCTGAGCTGAATTATTGAAGGAATATCAGAAAATTAATTCGGAGAGTTTCGAGATTATTTTAGTTTCTTCATCGATTCTCAATTATTATCATGATGATACGAGAATTGTCATCATTTAAATTTGATTATTTTCTTAATTCTAATATATTTATATAAAATATAATTAAAAGAGGAACAAAAAATTAACGATTTAAACCAATTAGTTTTGACAGAATAGATTAAGTTGTTGGTTCGTTGCTGTTTCTTGGTTAAACCTGATTAATGATCGTAACTCTTGATTTCCTTACTTTCTGATTATTTTTAGCTTTTGTCTTATTAGCTAATCATATTAGCGAGTGTGTAATTGTTTCCATTTAATTAGATTAAATTGAGAGGATTATTATTATTCCATTCTTCACAATTAATCTAGATAAACAATCGTATTAAATTGTCAACCCTTAAGGCGATTGATTTCTCACAATTCCTTCATCATCTGTGGTTACATTGACTCAATGATAAATATACAATAAATGTCATTTGTTATATAATATAATTAGTGGTTACAATTATTAACAATCAACTTATAACAATTAACTTTGACAGCAAAGTATTTGACTAAAGTATATTGATAACATATTGTTTTCAGGGTGAACCTTGAAATCTAGAGATTCAAGTTCAAACATAAATACATTTTTCAGTAATTAATATTTAAGCCAACACTGTTTTTGGTTTGATTGATTGTGATTAACTTAATTGTGTATCTATGTATGTGGGTCACTGGTTGTATTAGCCAAGAAAATATGGAAAAATGGTGATGATAATTAAGATAATGATGAGAGATCGTTGTAATAATCATTTGGCTCCAATCCAAAAACCATAGTTGATGAAAAGTTGATGAACAATAATGGTTTGTATCAGTCGGTAACACAATTAACCCTTTTGCTAAATCTTAATTAAGTTAACTTGGTAAACTTGATTTAAATTAACTCTCATAGAGAGAACGATTTCATTTAAAATCAAGGATAAACTCGGTGCAGTTTAGGTGGTAATTAGTTGATTTCTTTTGAAGATTCTGTTCAAATTGAGAGTAAAATTAACCAGCACAATTTAACCTCCTGGTTCCAATCGAATGGCTGATTTACTAATCACTTTTCTTCCTTTCTTTTCATTTGATTCCAGAGATTATCTTTGTATTAGTCGCCATTTTTGGGTTGGATTGAAAGATTGATTCCTTTTCTTTCTGATTCGGGATTAATCAATTTGATCGTACGGATAGTCTTTCTCATTTTCCTTCATTTCTTCACACTGGGCTGTCTAATTACCAACGGTAGCATTTACTTATCAGCTAATCCAAATGGCTCGGTCCAAAGTAGCAACCAAAGCTTATCCCAAGGCTCCCGATGGTGGATATGGATGGATTATCGTCTTTTCATCCTTCATGATCCATTTCCTTGCTGATGGAGTTACATATACTTTTGGTATTTTTTATGTTGAACTGTTGCAACATTTTAAAGCAGGTAAAGGGATCACCGCATGGGTTCCGAGCATAATGACTGGAATTACTTATGGAATTGGTAAGAAACTGAAAAGCTCAATCATAATAAATTCGATATTTTATCCACTTTGATTAGCGAACATCAAAATCAAGCTGTGATTAAAACAAAAAGAGAAACAATAATAAAAAGAAATCACTGTTAGTTCTCAATAGAATTTATGTTTACTGTATATAGAAAAGAAAAGAAGAAAAAATTGATTTGATTTGATTTTCTTTTCTTTTCTCGATTATCTCATATTACCAATTGACTATGTTATTGGTACATTTTAATAGTTACCTTATAAGATGATATGATACAAGAGATTGAAAATTAATCCAATTTGATTGAATTTATTAGAGTAGAAAATTATTGTTCCATTGAGAATAATTTCCTCTCGATGACAAGACATTGAGATGGAAGTAGACATGAGAAAGAGAAAATCAATTAACATGATCTCTCTCTCTCTCTCTCTCTATTTCTGTCTAAATACTAACTGTCACTAGAATTTTAGTAATTTGACTGATTGTTGGTAGACACAAATGGGAAGAGATGGTTAATTAATTGTTGCAAAATTGAAAGCTGGTAATTTACACTAATTGATATTCTAAATGTCAACATAAAGAAGGAAAAAAATATCAACAGTTCCTTTAGTAGGTTAAGAGGTAATAGAAAAGATTATTCATATTTTTAAATTTCACCTCTTTTTCCAAATAATCTCATGTGGATATTCATCACTGAGCCTTGACATTCAAAAAGAAAAACTAAAATTAAACACAGATAGAACATTAATTAACTATTAATTAATTGAAAATAGATGAAGGAAATAAATAAATCACTCCAACTGATTCATCTTCTTGATTGATTGACTTTCCCGCTTTTTTTTCGTTAACCTTTTCCGTTAGAATTTTTCTTCGATTGTGTCGCCATCTAGTTTCCTAAGAATTATAATCTTAATTGTTAATCAAAATAAATGTGAATTGTGACTAATCAAAGAATTAAGAATTAAAGTCGTAAATGAATTTTCATGACATTTGATGGAAATTTTTGTTTGACATTTAAGAGTAGCTTCGTTTTTAATTCTGTTCTAAGTTTACATGTTCGATTTTATTGTTTCGATTACAATTTTTTTCTTATTCTTTTCTGTTAATTTTTCTTTTGTTTAATCAAAGGTCCAATCGCTAGTGGATTAACAAACAAATATGGCTGCCGTACGATCACCATAGTTGGTGCCTTGTTTGCAAGCTTTGGATTAATGACCAGTGCATTCGCACCCAATGTTACTTATCTCTTTTTCTCCATAGGCATTTGTGCAGGTAAATCTTAATCTCCTATTAAGATTAATGAGACAATGGAATTAAATTTTCTTCTTCTTCTTCATTAGGAGCTGGTCTTGGATTAATATATCTTCCGGCTATAGTAAGTGTAACATGTTATTTTGAGAAAAGACGAGCTTTCGCCACTGGAATAGCTGTTTGTGGCTCTGGACTTGGCGGTGCTGCTTTTGCCCCACTAACCGAATGGCTGATTGGCCTTTATGGTTGGCGAGGTGGACTCTTGATCATTTCAAGTCTTTTACTAAATTGCTGTGTATTTGGAGCATTACTTAGACCTTTAAAAGAAAACGAATCAAATGTTGAAGAGGAGACGATGGTGGAAAACAGTATTAATAACAACGTGGATTCCAGTGTAAATCATAAATCTATCAAAATTGATTTAAATATAAAGACCATTGATGAGACCATTAATGATGACAAGAATAAACCAAGAAATGTCATCATTAGTAAAAAGATTTCTCCTCAAAATAATGATTTTCACATGGGAAATACTGTTAATGGTGATATTATGATAACTAAATCATGTTACAGTGATAATAACAATAATGATCAATCGATTGTTGCAACTTTACCAAGCCTTACCTTAGAAAGCAACAACAACAACAACAACAGTTTATCTAATGGTCAAGCAAAAGAAATACCAATGTTGACCATCTCTGAACCATTAAGTCCATCTCGTCATTCCATATGTGCCTTACATCCTCCGTTAGCTGATCAATTTCAACCTTCAATGGATCAAAAAAGTGAACCTTTAATTGTTAACAATAATCTAATCAACGGTTCGATTATTGGAAATGGAAACAAAAATGGTTTCGGTTATCAAATTCAACACAATTTACGATTAAACAACAACATCAACTCGAATAGTTTCGTTACGAACAACCAACTAATCTCAAGTCAACCTGACGAACAAGCAACAATCGATCAATCTAATGTTATCCAACGACGGAAAAACTCAGCATCCGGTTCATGTGGTATTCTTTATCGACGAGATATATTTTATTCTGCATCAACGATGCATCTTAATCTTCCAACAAACACCAAATCGAATAAAAAATTATCATATTCAGCATCAACTTCCGCCGTTAACGATTTAAGTACATCATCCATTGCCTCTGAATCCAGTACAAGTCCCGATGTAGGAACAACATCCGGTCAACCGGTGGTCAACAGTAATAAAAGTAACAGTATACAGAATCACAGATTGATGATAAATTTAGATACATAAATTCATCTTCACTCTCCCTTTCATCATCATCCTCATCTTCTTCACCATCTTCATCAACTACCGTTACAACGGCATCATCATCACTTTCCTCTTCCTCATCTTCACTTACCAATGTCTCTAAATTTAGATGGTACTTTATGTCTGATTGGTTAACTTTTCTCTGTTCAGATGAAGTTCGTGATACTCTTGATGAGATGATGAATTTCCGTCTCCTTCGTAATCCAATCTTCTTAATCTTCTCAATCTCAAACCTTTTAACCTCATTGGGTTTCTATGTTCCCCATATTTATATCAAAGATCGTGTAGTTGGCCGTAAATTAGCCTCCGATTCTGAGGCATCCAATTTACTTGCCATCATGGGAATAGCGTCAACTTTTGGTCGGCTAATTTTTGGCTTTATCTCAGATTTAAAAGTAATCAATCGATTACTATTATTTAATTGTTGTATTTCTCTGTGTGGCCTTTCAACAATCCTTAGCTCGTTTGTCCAAACGTACACCTTTATGGCCTTATATTGTGCTATCTTCGGGATCACTTGTGGTAAGACTAACCATTTCCACCTTCTTTCTAATTACAATCAACTAATCATCATCATCTACTAATTAACTATTGTCTCCTAGGAGCCTATGTTAGCTTAACCTCAGTTATATTGGTTGACCTTTTGGGTATCGAAAAGCTTACAAATGCCTTTGGTTTGGTTTTACTTTTTCAAGGAGTCGCTTGTCTACTTGGACCTCCAATCGTTGGTAAGAACTTGGATTACTTGGAGTTTTAACTCCCTGTAAACGAATGATAATTTAATCATATTGTTTCCTTTTCTTCAACAATTAGGTTGGATGTTTGATTTAACAGGATCTTATGATCCAGGATTCTCATGGGCTGGATCGATGATCTTAATTGGTGGCCTAATCCTTTTCCTCCTTCCTTACCTGACCCATGGTCGATTTAAATTGTCCCTTCACAACACCAACAAACGTAAATCACCAAAAATTACCGTTGATGATATTAATCTAGTCGTTAATTGAAAAATCAAGCCCACCAAATCAAAGATACTCAATGATTATTATTATTATCATATTAATATTATTACTAATATCTGAATCTCACAATTAGTATTGATTATCAAGGGGAAATAATCACAAAATGCAAGCAAACATTTCCTTCAAATTATTATCAATATTTTATTTTATCTAAATCACTAATAACCCATAACAACACAAACTAATTGTTTAACAATTAACATACATACATATATATATTATATTTAATGAAAACAACAACAACAATTAACACAAACTTAATGTTATCAGATGTAAATTGTGTTTTGCAAACCAAACTATTGTGTAAAATAATATTTGATTGTTAAAATCCCTTGTTAATTACTGTTACTCAAATGATGAAAAAATAAATAAATTGTTTCACCATAAAGTTAATTATTACGTTTAATCATTAGAATTGATCAATAGTGAAAAATTAACTGATCAGATAACAATCGAATCGATATCGAAAATTATTACCTGGGAGTTAATTTTAACTGGACGAGAAAATTATCTCCACAGTTGACAAAACAATAACTATCGAATTGGAACTTTAATTAACTTAATTGTGATTGGAATAAAAGTTCTAATCAGCTAACAGAATAAGAGATGGAGTAACTTTCGATTCCATGTAAAGGAAAAGCTTCTCGGAGTTTGTTCACCAACCACCGGCTTAGAATTCTGGCTTTATTATTTTCTCTTCATCATCAATTTATCTTCTCTCTCTTTCTCATTCTCTTTATCTTCTCTATCATTTCATCTTCATTTTCTTGTTCATCATTTTCTCGCATTTTTTGTTCTCTCACAAAAAGGTACTCACAGAAAGTGAACATGCTCATGGTGGAAAAAGGAACCATTGAAATCTGAAAGAAGAAGTAAAAACCATTTTCACCTTATTCTTTTTTTCTTCACTCTCTTTGTTTTCTTTCTTATTCTCTCTCTCTCTCTCCAATCTTCGAATTTTTTTCTTCTCTTTTATCATCAGTGAATACACTTTATCATTCTCATCATCATCATCTCTCTTTCTATCCTATTCTTATATAATTGTGATTGTCTATCTCTCTCTCTCTCTCTCTCAAATGTCTTTATGTTTATCGAATTGCCTTTATCTTTAATTACTCAGCTGATGAATTATTTTAACTTTCCACTCAACTCAACCTTCATTAATTGTCATTATAATCAAACAAAGATCGTCACTAATTGTGGATCTAACAATCAAAGTTACTCTAATTTCCCATCAACACCACGTTACATTATTAACAACACGTTAACCTCACAATCTCCGATACCTTTTATTGTGACTATCAATTTCCTCTGGTCATTATCTTACCTGTCTAAAAGTTTTCTCAATCAATTTGGTAATTTAATTGGACCACAATCATCACAACCATCATCATCTCTGGACTTGGTTTGGTAAAGTGTCAATTATTGAAAGGAGTATCATGATGATTACCATTATTGGGATAGGAATAAAAAACCAAGTCATCAAATGTTTCATCAATTATTTCAATCAATTTAAAATGGGTAAGTAAATACATTAATCGTCTATCCATCACATCACCATCATTATCTTTACACACTGACTGATAATCATTATCATGATCAACATGAAGATATATCTACACTTTTTATCCAATCAATTCAATTCTAAATTCATTTATCATGCTATTCACCATCATCACCTTCAACAATCATTAAGCTTAACCTTTTATAACCAAATACTTTCCCTCCAAAGGGAAATGATGAATTTTCAGTTTTCTATTTCTTTTCTTTTCTTTTCTTTTTGTCTCTTTTTCTTCATCTTCATCTTCTCATTGTGATGCACAATGATAATTTAAATTCATTCATTAATTTCAGTAATACAATGAGAGAGAAAGATATTTATATGTGTATATGGACCAATTGGTAAATTGTTGAGTTTCTTTTCTCATGCAAATCCAATGTACCACCAACAAGAGGATACACTTGATATAATATGAAAATTCCCCCATGATATATATAAAATTCCCACTGCGATGGCGTCTTCTCCCACCATCATCATACACTTATTATTATTACATTACATTGTTCATGATACAAACAAAAGAATCAGTTGATCCTATCCCACTCTCTCTCTCTCTCACTCTCTCACTGACTTCCTCCTCTTCCACCCACTTCCCAATCCTTCATTCAAACTCCAACCCAATAAACCTTTACCTTTTTTCAACTCTATCTTTTCATCAATGTTATCCTTTTTTTTGCTCTCTCCCACTCTCTCACTCTTCCATTTTCTTCCCTTCATCATCCTCATCATCCTCATCATCATCTCATTCACATTCTCATCTTTCTCATCATCATCATCTTCTTCTTTTTTTCTCTCCTTCTTTCTTTTTCTGATTCATTGAACGCTTATTGTCCTGTGAATAAAAAATACTCAGGTCTTCATTTCCAGTTGACCGAATCTGTCAACTAACATTTAACTTTCAAACTTATTAACTATTAACTGTTGTTATTTAGTTATAATTCTTGATTGTTATGAAGAGAAGAAAAAAATTCTAATTCCAATCATAATCAACGTTAATATAAATATTATGGAGAAACAAAAAGTTCCATAGACAAAATCAAATCGACAAAGTTGATAAGTTGATATGATTTCTTGTTCACGGAACAGTTAACTTAATTGTTAATATGGTTTCGAGAACAATTTAATTTAGTTTTAATTTTAAATTTACTTTCAACTTGATTAACATTATCATCCTCCCATTGGGATACAATCAATATAATAATATATTTCTTGTTTATCAACTAAGTTAATTACCAATTTCATGGTTCAATAATAGTTGATATAATTAATTTATTACTATTAATATTATTATCCCCAATCGTTAGTATATAACATTTAATTGCTTCTGAAAGAAAGTTAATTAATTGAAAGATAATTAACATTAACAATTGAAAATAAATTAATTTCAATCTCAATCAATCAATCAGTTGATATATAAAAATATTATCAATAATTAATTATTTAGATTTCAACCTAATCACTGATGATTATTATTGATAATCAAATGAAAAATTAGTCTGTATGATTAACCAAGTAATTTAATTGTTACTGTCTAGTGGGCTTTGTGTTGTATTTATTATTATTATATTTAATCAACATGAACCAATCAGTTAATTGAATTTGATTAAATAATCATTCAGTTCTTGGGAGTTTTATCTGGGATTTTATTGTTTACTGTCAAGGCTCAAACTGACCACTAGAGTGACCAGTCAATTGTGTGAGATATTAATTGATGGTTAATTGATTCAACGTTAATTTTATCATTAATTAAATCTTATTCTTGATATGATGATGATTAGTTTTCATGGTAATAATCAACTAAATGTCAAGATTATCTTGAGATCTGAAAACTTTCATCATAATTTAATTAAGTTGTAATCTTTTTAACAGATTAAATTGATTATAAACTTTTCTCTAAATAATTGAAAATTTAATTACGTTAAAATCAATTTAAATCATATCCATACTAAAGTAATTAGATTAATGATGATATTTAATTGTTGGAATGAAAATTTTCTAGATGTTGAGATGGAAACAATTAAATGACAATTTAGTTGATTGTTTTTCTTATACACTTCCGATTAACTGATTAATATTATTTTCTTGTATCTTGATAATTAAACTTCATCTTCAAAAGTAAAGTAAAAAACAATTAGTTGATTGTTGATTGATTTTTGCTGACTGAAACCATTGAAACATTTTCATTCACATTCAAATGATAAAACTAATTGAATTGTATCAATAATCTGCAATTAATTGTAACAAATCATAATACAATTAAAGTAATTTGTTTATAATACTAATTACGTCAATAGATAAACAAATAATCAAACAATTAAATTAGTATTAATAATTTCAAATACTAATTAACTTTTTCAAATTAAACGCGTGGGCTTCAAATACAATTGAATTTATTAGTTAATTTGACGATTAATTATAATCAACCGATAATGTAATTAACAGTAAAGACTAAGTGATTAATTGTAACAAAAAAAATGATACAATTTGATTTGTAAATCAAATCAAATCAAATCAAATTGAATAGTAACAAACAAAAAAACGATTCAAAAGTTTCAATCAAATTCAATCAAGAATGAAAATTGATCCAGATGAATGGCAGGAATACAACTCAGAGAATCGTAAATATAATAATAATAATAATAATTCTCAATAATAATTTATTATCTCAATAAATTATTAGGAAGAAAAAGTTATTCCAATTATTATCTAAGCCGAAATCTTTTTTTAAACCAGAAAAAAACGATTCCTGGTTCCATCCTCATCTCTAATGTATTGAGGTTTTTTTCACCATCTTTTGCTGAACTAATCATTTCTTTCCATGAAGATGATGATGATGATGATGATCGCGGATGATTTTATCCTCATCATCTCTTTTTTTTCTATCAGCATTATTATTATATCATGATAATAATATGATATGGAAAACAATTTACTCGGTTAACTTTTGAAACGCGAAATGATGATGATCACAAAAAGGAAACTGTAATTTAATGTATTGACCCTGCAATTAAAACTAATTTAGTTTCTACATTTTGTTTCATCATTTTCCTCTAAATTGTCACCATTAACTTTCACACAATTAACATTATTACGAAGTTAATATTACCTATTGATTTAAAACTTTCGACTCTCCAATTTTATGCTTTTTATTTTATTCTTTTTATGCTTTTCCATTTCGGCGCATATTCAGTTGATCGGCTTCAAGAATTGGCTTCATTTGGTTCCCTCTTTTTGTCTCTTGTTATTGTTACAATTAACTGATTGTTTTCCAATTTTTTTCTCAATTTCGATTAATTTTTTCTTCTTTTCTTGTGATTAAACATCATGTTCATCAGTTTCTCTACAATCTACTCTCTCTTTCACCGTTCAATTGCAAATTCTACGTTTGGTAGAAATTAATCTAATTCCATAAATGGATTAGTTTCTATTCCTCTTGGATTTTGGATTTTCTTTGGATTTTCCTCTTCTATATTATGAATTTCGAGTCTTTTTCCCTTGTGTTATGTCTTGGAAATTTAATTGTATCTTTTCCACTCAATTGGTACTTATTTTCGAATACATTTTGACTTTAGAATTTCCCTGTTTTCTATTTGTGATGTTGATATTCTGATTTTGGTGTTCCCTTTTGAATTCTATGGTTGACTAATTGATTGTTTTTTCTCTCTCTTTTTTTTTGTCTCAATTTATGTTTAGGTGTATCTCTCTTGTGGATAAATGATACATATTAATGATCGAAAGCCTTGATTCAGCTATGCTGATACGCCGATTACATCCAGTTAATTGTTGTTGTTACCTTTGGTTATTATTATTATTACAATTGTTTCTCAATGTTACTCTTATATCAAGTGATGATCTCATCTATTCGGGTTCAGGATGTTTCGATGATGAAGAAAAGTGTACAGGATTTGTTGAAATGGGATCAGGAGATGACTTGATTACTCCGGTTTACATTCCGCCCAAAAGTGGTCTAACCACGAGCCCATCATCATCCTCAATACCCTTATCAACATCTAAACCATCAAATCAATTAACAACTCCAGTTTCCGAAGAGGTTGATGAAGAAGATGAAGAATGTGTCGACGAAGAGGAAGATTGTGTCGATGGATCAGGTTCAGGTGAACCCTCATCATCTTCCTCATCCTCATCTTCTCTTCCCTCTGTTAGTTCATCTGAAAGAACAGTTGTAATCACTTTATCATCTCCATCACCTTTATTTCCGTCATCATCATCATCATCATCCCCTCCCTTTTATCCACTCTCATCAACAACCGTTTCAACCACGACAATTTGGACTCCATGGACTGGACCAAATTACATAAGACCATCTCCTTCACCCGAAGAACCAATAATCGATTACGAGGAACCAGTACCACGAACTCCTCGTCCAATGCCACCACCATTAGCAATTCCACCTCGACCTTATCCAACAACTAAATTAAGGTTACCCACTCGTCCAACTGGAACACCACCGATAATAAATGTCCCCCTGCCCGTGATACCAACCTCACCTGCAGAGGAAAAAGGGAAAACCAAACCAACCTTAATAACCCATAAAAGCTCAGCTGATACAACGGCAATGATTATTGGCCTAATTGCTATTGTTTTAATTGTGATTGTTATAGTGACTCCATTGTTTCTATTTCTTAAGGTTCGATATCGATCTGGACCAGCATATAAAACTGAATCAACGAGTAAAAATTTTCGCTTCCTTCCGGTTGCCACTGGGGCACCAACTTTGCTCACCTCAGCTTCACAATCAACTCACCTTGCTGGTCCACTTTTAGAAGGGTCAACAGTAGTTCACAAAGGGACAAAGGTTACCACCAATGGTAAAAAGAAAGACGGAATGGAATGGTATGTTTAACGTGCAATTGGACAATTAAATCAACAATGAACAATTTAACTTTTAATCAATCGATTAAAAGAAAAGGAAAAAGGAAACAGCATCAACAACAACAATCAATTTTAACTCACAAATCAAAAGTGACAGTTAACACAATTTTTTGATATTTGTTTATTATTTTCTAGTCTCAAATCTAGTCAACAATTAACATCCAAAGAAAAAGAGACAATTAACAATTTTTTTGCCTACACACACTCAATTCCAATCAACAATCATCTTAATCATCTTCATTTTCATTAACACTTTTTTCATGGCACCTTCACCTTCAATCATTGTTACCATATAAATATATAAATACTTATCCTACCAAGTCAACAATCATAATCATCACAATCCTGTTGATAATTAAATCATCACAATCACAAATTCAAAAGCTATAAAATGATCATCATTAACAACCAGATTACCAACAATAAGCCAAACAATCAGACTAATCAAGAATCTTCAATCAATTTTACCTACTATTGGATTGTAATTGAAATTGTTTCTCATTTTAATTGTTTAATTTTTGTCAATTTATCTCATATTTTTGATTACTTTCTCTTTGCTTGATTATATTATAAATGATCAGCAAACAATTAACTTGGTAAATTTTTACACACACGAGAAACAAATTTAATTTACAATCAACAGGAAAAACTGAAAATCCAATCAGTAATCAATGTTGATTACAATTAATCATCAATTTTGAGGTAAAAATATAGTCCGATGAGAGCTACCGATTACCCAGAATGCAATAATTAACAATAATACAGCAATTACGAGAAAAGTAATCAATAATAATTAATTATTAATGCTAATTATTTACAATTAATATGTATAAAAAGTCATACCGACCCAAAGACAATGGATTAACTCTGGATAATCTCATCTACTTTTTGTTTTTTCTTGATTGTTTTTCATTTTAATTTGTTTTTATTTCTGTTTTAATCCTTATCCTTTTGATATTATCAATACAAGATTAAAAATGTTTTAGCCTTAAGGCTATAAAGCCAAATTAACTAATTGTATCATTAATAATTGATCAATGATCGGGTTAATCTGAGTAAAGAAACAAACATAATCATAAGAAAATGATTTAATTAATTGTGATTAGTTTTTCACGATGAAAAGTGATAGTTTTCAATCAATTATTATCTTAATTAGATCCAATTGTTGATTCAATGTTAGAATATCACTTTTAATTGCTAGAATAACAATTACAATTAAACTTTTTCTTTTGATTTTTTTTTCTCTCTGGGAAAAGTATTATGATAAAAAGGGATTAGTTAATTGCTCGAATAATTTATTCGTATTTAAGGTTTATAATCGTATTAGAAGGTTAAATATATTAACGACAATTTAGTAAATTAAGCTTTATAATTAAGGATTAACTTGCAAGGAGAAGAGAGAGGAAAATATAATAATTATTTACAATTGAACAATCGTTGAATAAATTGTTATTATGATTGCGATTAATTTTTCTAATGATTAATTGATGTTGTTCTGGATTCCATTTCCATTGAATTCTCAGTTGATGTTATATTAATTATTGCAATTCTATTAACATTATTATCTAAAGGTTGTTGTTGAATTGGAGCGATAATATTGTCCTTACTTATGGTCCTATTGGAGGGTTCGAGTTGTGGTTTCTTTGGTTTCCTCGATTGTTTCAATTTGTACATTTTGTCCCATTTCGATCTGGTCAAATCAAACCAAATGTAAATCGCAAGTGGATATAACATTATAATGGCATCTGAATGCCAGGCCATTCCAGGTAAGACGGCAAGGGTTGCCTTAAAGACGGCGGTGTGAAAGATTGATGAAATCATTGGTCCAGCTCCTTCAATACAAGAGAGTAGACAATAAAGTTGACCAACTTCATTGGGAGCGATTATCCTTGATAAAATTGATCTCACTGAGATTGAAGCTAATCCTGAGAAGATGCTTGTTGCAAAAGCTAAATAATAACCTAAAGAGGTTAATAGAGCTCCTTTGATGGTCAACGAGATGACCAATGAAAGTGATCCCATTATACCAAAAACGGTATCACTTAATTTTAACGTTGGAACCAATATTAAGGTGGCCAAAGTTGTTCCTAATGGTGGTGCAAGGGAAAGTATAGCATAACGGTCAGCGTATTCATCTGCTGACCAGTTGAGTACTTTTTGACAGAATTGATAGCCGATTGGATCTTCACCTCTCATTGCAATTAGGACAACGGTCATCATTGCAATTAGATGCCAAATCTGTGCACGTCCATTGTTATCACGTTTACGACAGCAAGTTTTCAACATGGTTGTCACACTTTTCGGATTAAATATATCGGCTAAAACGGAAAATAATCCCATCTTTTTATCCACTGGTGATGAAACTCGGATTGAAGGTCGTTCCAATGAACGAATCGATAATCTCATCTCTACTTGACGACTAATCGCTGGATTTTTCTGCGAGTCAAGTTCATCTGAAAGTGATCGTTCAATTGAACATTTACCGGCATCTCTCATAAATATCAATGCCCAAAGTGACGCTAATCCCCACAAAAGAGACGTTAATCCAAAAACGGCAACATAATTACGGTACTGATTAGGAAACCAAGGTTTCATTGTTAACAATTTACCACCGGCGACAGTTGCAATGGAAGGAGCTGATTAACGGGATTTTGTGTTGGAGGGAAATTAAGAAAATGTTATTAGTTAATCTGTTTGTTGTTTCTTTTTTTTCTTTACAAGGTTATAAAGTAATTAATCGTTGATTTTCATTGTCAATTGTTGAATAGCAAAGAGATTAAATTGCTAATCGTAATCACTGATTAGATTAGTAAAACAATCAATCAAAACTAACGATTGGTCTGTTAATCCCAACGAAAACAACTCCATCTATCAAGTAAAATTTTCACTCTTTAATCATTACACTTGCAATTAATCAAAAAATTAAACCTTTAATTGGGTTTATTTTGAGCGATTTGCTAATTTTCAAACTAATCAACACATGGAAATATTAATTGTTATGATTATCATTTTCTTATTTTAAAGTTATCTCTTTAATTACGCTTTGGTTGATTAACTATTTGCACACGAGCTTAATTGTGATTAGATTAGGTTAATTAGTGAATCTTCAAGACAATATGATTGATAATTAATCTTTAATTGTTACTAAATCCTTTTTGCTTCCCGGTTTGTATTGTCTTTTCATTGGGTTTAACAATCAACTGGGTAATGATATTAATTGTTTAGGTTAATTGTTGCCAATAATCTACTCACATAACGATATAAAAAACTCCATGACGGCAAATCGAAGTGACCTTAAGTGGCCTGGGGTCGTTCGAGTGATTATTGTATAACAACCGGTCATTGGAACGGTCAATCCACCAAGTAATCCCTCCAATATGTATGAATATAAGATTGTCGTTGGTGCTGTTGAGTTAAATTGTGGAAAATTGTATTAATTTAATTGTAACAATCAAATTATCCAACAATCGGTTGATTAATTAAAACTACAAACTAATTAGATTTTAACTTTTTCTTTTTCTTTTTTTATTGTAATTTAAATTATACCTTTCACTTTTTTTTCTCATCTCTTAATGAGACAATTAACTGATTGTTTCTCCTTAATTTCAGTCATTTATTAATCATTTTCAATTATCATCTTAATTTACTTGTACCTAAGATTGAATATTAATAATAATAATTAAATTAATAATTTATTTAAGTTTAATTTAATTCCTTGATTAACTCTAATAGTTTGCAAATTGACAATTGGTATGAATGAGAAAAACCTAAATTAATCAATTAAATGTAACAATTAAGTTAAAAATTTTCATTGTAAACCTAATACAAAACTTAATAATTAAAACAAATTAGAGTTGATCAAGGATTAGTTAAGCTTGTTAATTGTGACAATTAAAAAATGATATCATTTAAAGCAAAGGTTATCAATTGAGTTTCGTAATTTTACAAAAAAAAAGTTAATTGCAATCTAGATGATTATGATTTAATTGTTATATTTAAATGAATATAAAAAATACAATTAAGTAGCAGTCATCTAGGTAATTAGTTAATTAGCAATTTATAATAGCAAATAATTAATATACATAAAAGACAAATTAAATCATCATCAGTACATGATAATAATAATAGTTTTGAAGCAGCAAAAGTTAATCACAATTAACTTGAAGCAATCGGTGTTATAAATTGAGCCAAACAATTAAAAGGTTGAGGATATTAAGGAGACAAATAATTTGATTAATCAATTTACCCAATGTTAATTGTTACATGTTATCCTGTTATTGTTCAGAATATCATGAAAATTAATGAATCTTAATTTTTGTTTAGATCATCAGATCCATTGAGTTGTAACTGGATTTAGTGAGCAATTAGTGATTATGATTAACTTACCTAAATCAAATTGTATACAATTATAACAGCAAATGAGATTCGCTACTAATCCGCCAATTGGAGCGACAATTAGTAAACCATGTAAATGATTAGGATAAGTGTCAATCCAATAGCCCAAAAATAGAGGGTATAATATACCGGGTGCTGTGGTTGTGATGATTTGTAAATTTTTCAGGGTGGTCACTGATTGTAGGACTGAATTTTTGGTTGATTCAAACTGGGGGTCACTTAATTCAGCTAAATCTTTACAGACTGACCAGTCCAAATTGTGTTCATTGAGACAATACTTGTCCTGAGCAAACTGGGTGAAAGTGACCATGGGCAGGGCAAAGGGCAACATACACAATAAGTAATAAACATCAACCTTAAGGTGACAAAGGGCACGAAAAATTTTCTCAATCATTGTTGACATGACAATTTAAGATGATTAGTTAATTAGTATATATAAATAATATTGAACTCGATACCAAAATTTATACAAACATAATAAGTTGAATGAGTTTTTTGTTGTTGTTGTAAATTGTTAGGAATCAAATTAATTTAATTGTTTTAGTTACTATTTGGTTAATTGTTATCAACTATTTTTAAATTGTGATGTATTTATCAACAAACTTTGTCTTTGATTAGTTTTATTAATGTTGATCTTGATGAAACAATAATAATAACTGAAGATGAAGTTAATTGTTAATCAACTCCATTCATGATTAACTTTATCACTCATCTCACTCAATTGTGAGAGTCTCAATGTTAAAACGAGTTTAATTAATATTGATAATAAAACATAATTAGTTGATTATCATCAGAAATATTATAATCATCATCGTCACCTCTTTAACTAATATTAACAAAAATTAATTTTCTCATCAAGTGATTTAATTATGATTGGCAGGATAATAGTTAATTCAATGAAAAAATAAAATTAAATTGAGTTTATCATTTAATTGCTGAACATTTTTGTTTTTTTCTTAACCACCAACAATTAACTTAATTTAATACTTTCTTTGGGTTTACTGCTCATTGGAAACCAACAATTAACAAGGTTGACCAAATTAATATTAATTAATAGTATCACTTTAAGAAAAATTAACTGATTTTGTTATTTTTTTTTCCTCTACGTTGATTTAAAATTTCAGTAGTTTTGATTAGTTGATTGTGATCATCACCATTGGGCAATTTAATTAACCTTGGGGCTAAAATCAAATTATCAAATTGAAGGACATTGTATATACTATAAGTATCACAATTAATTTCGTCAATCGTTATTATTATTGATTAATTGTTGATTATTATTCAAATGTAAGAAAAAGTTTCTCTTACATCAGCAAATTATTATCATAATTGAGACAATTAATCTTAACAATTAAGTGATAATGTTAATTGAGTTTCTAGAAGTTTTTTGTTTTGTTATTGTACAGAAAATGTTTACTCCTAATTAAACCTCATGGTTAAATTACTTGAACATGAAGGTGACAATTGTGTGATGATTAACTGTTGTTACTAATTTACTCTTATCAATCAATGTAAATTAGAGCAGTGATTAGTGGTAATAATTTAATTCAGAGAGAATCATTTTAAATTGTTCTGACAGTAATTTTAGTATATTATACATATGTGAATCAGTTAATTAGGTAATTGATTAAAATGGGGAAACTCTTGTAATTTAATCTGATGAATGAATTATTTTCATAATTAACTTAAATCTCTTAGGTCATTTAGTTAATTATGTTCAAAATAAGATAATCTTAATGAGTGGTAATTAGATTCTCATCTAATTATTATCGTAATAATAACGATTAACAATCTTGACAAGAAAATGTCATCACTTGAACGCAATTAGAGAGATAAAATTATCTATCAATTGATTAATCGTAACGAAAATAATACAATAATAATAATAATAATAATCTTACGAATTAATAATAATCGAAAATGAAACTTTTTCGAAAAACTTTTCATCTCTTCAAGAATTTAGAATTAGTCGATTGAGTTGTTTTTTCTTTCGCAGTTATTACTACAGAATCTCAAGATAAATCTCAAGAATTAGAATATTTTTTGTGAGATAGAAAACAAAAAAAGTTCTCCATCGAAATGAGAAAAAAATATTAAAATATAAAAACGAAACATGAGAAAGAATTGAAAACTTTGAACGAAAAAAAAAGTTCCAATTTGTTTCGAATAGAAAACACCAGATGTCGCCTTAAGTCGAACCGCGGAAAAGAAAAAAAAATTATTCTCTTTAGAATTTTTTTCTCTTCCTTATCAGTTGTGATCTTAACTTTTGTGTAACAACATCAATTATTGACATGACAGATTAACTTTGTTTCGTTTATTGTATTTAATTGTTTACCAAATTAAGTGATCCGTGAATGTGATTAAGGAATTAAATCAAATTAATCAATAACCTTTTCCATAAATTACTTTTGGGTTTAAGTCTCTACACAATTGGTAACCTTTTACCTTCTTGTTTCTTTTTTTCCTTCTTATTTTGTTCTCTTTCTTTACTTTCTTTGTGTTGGGTTTTACCTATTTTTTTTTCTTCTTTTTCTCTACCGGTAAAGATTGGATTATCTTCCTGTGTATTTTGTTTTTTTTTGTTTTGTTTCTTCTTTAATTTTCTACCTGTATAATATTTGCTAATGCTCTGTGATAGTGAACTTTGTATGTGTGTCTGTGTATCTCTGTTACTGTGTTTACTTAGGTGATTGTTTTCTGTGATTAACAAGGAATAAGAACAAGATAAAACAGTTTATTTTCTCATCATCCTAATCATCATCATTCCATCATAACTTGTTACCATTATAATTTCTTTTAATAGTATTTATCAATCAATCAAAATTAATCATCATGACAACTTCCAGTAATTATGGTAAAATCAATGGATCAACCAAAGGAAATCGATGTTCTTGTTGCCCTTATGGTTGTCACGTTGACGTTGAATTTGTTCAATATTGTGAATCTTTATTAGCTTCCTGGTATAATAAGCAACTTTCTTCCGCTTCGGCCTCATCTAAAGGTTCATTTTCACTAAATCGTCCACCCAAAAGACGCATATTAACTTCAACAACCTCACTTCCCAATGATGAGGCTACTTATCAATGGTTAGTTGATCAAAACACTGGACGTACTAATGGACATTCAAAAACCATTAACAACAATCATTCATTTCATTACCAATATCCATTAAATAATAATAATAATAATAACACATCATCACCAACCACTACAACAAATGGACATCAATCGTTAAATCTAAGCACATCATCAAATTTCCTCTATAGACTCCGTCCTGTTGGAAGAAGTAATTCCTCCTCAAGAGTTCACGATATACTCAACCCACCAAGTCCAATCGATAAATCATTAACCGATGCCGTTGAATTATTCGAGAAAGTTTTAAAAGAACACGAACAAGCAGCATTTTCCTATTCCGTTCCAAATTCTCCTTCTCCATACTTTAATACACCATCACCTTTACAAACATCAACACCTACACGTCGAGCATCATTACCTCGTTACATTGGAAACACCGATCTAATCAATCCTAATGGAAATGTTAGCTCACCAAATTCACCCAATCCTGTTACAGGTTCAAATCACCTAACCTTTGAATCTCAATCACCAGGAGTAACACCGACAGGCTATTCAAATAACAACAGTTACTCATCAAATAGTAACAACGTTAACCATCATAATCACAATGGTTCAATCAATAACAACAACAAAACTTTTCTCAATCATTTTCGTGATCAATTGCAAGTGAGCGTTCAAAAAATGCGAGATCTTGAACAGCAGGTAAAAAATATTCCTGTTTTAAAGCAACAAATAGCACTTCTTCAAGCAGAGAGGAAAAGATTATTGGAAAAGGTTAATGATGAGAAACAAGATGATACTAAAAAATTGGTTCAAAACTGTGATTCAATTAATCCGATTCAACGATTGACCACTGAGGAGATTTTCAAACATGAGGTTGATGTTAATTTACCATTAAATAGTAATCGTATTGAAGAGCTTGAAAAAAATGGTATAATTACACCTCCTCTAACCAGAAGAAAATTTTTACTTTTTAAAACTAATTCTAATTTACCTGATGATCAATCTCAGGTATTATTATCTAAAAAGAATGAGAAAAATTCATTTAAATTGAAAATGAATCACTCACCTGTCAATAAATTGTCATTGTCCAGCCGTGATAGTACCACCCAAACTGATACAAATCAATTGGTATTAGATAAACAGCAAATTGATAGTTCAGTTAACAAGCAGCAATTATCTTCATCATCACCAAGCTCAATCAAATCAAAGTCTTTCAAGCACAATTTAAGTGTCAACAATAAGGTTACATGTGTCTCCATAAGGCCATCGACATTAACTCTTACAAATTCATTATCATCTTCATCATCCCAACAAAGTGCAACAGTCGAATCACATTTACCAGGTAGATTAACAACAACACCTACACACAATTTAACACCAATTTTTGATGATTTACCTTCACCTAAAACCTTTAGATCAATTGGTATATCAGTTAACATTGCACCTACTCTACCACGTCGATCTTTAGTAAGTTTAAGGGAAAGTGATCTAAAAAAGGTACAATCCAATGACGAGAATAAACAACAACAAGATCAATATCAACAACAAGTTTCATCTTTAACGCCAACGGCATTAACAACATTACCGTCCTTATCTGCTCTACCCAATCCGCCACTCCTAACATCCCGAGGCACAAATCCAATGCCACTAGATCGTAGTGAAGCGATAACACAAGCTACACCAAGAACCTTACACGCCTCTGTAGGTACAGATCATTTTCACCTTCACGATGTAGGAATCAATTTCGATTATCGGAAAGATTTACATATCCGGGACTTCAATCGATCAAATCAAACTGACTCTCTTAGAACTCAAGACGCAATTGTCCAAGTTAATGGAAAGTGTTCTAACTGTGAATTAAAACAAATGGAAACTGTTGGTGTTGGAAGTGGACCAATTTATTTACCCTCAGAATCTATTGGGATAACAAATGCTTCTGAGGTTGGTGTTAATACTGAAATCTACAACAATCATGGCGGTGTTAATACTCGAATGGTTGATTCAATGATTTCCTCAATATCATCAATGGCGAGTAGTATTCAGTCAATTAAATTATGTGATAAATGTAATGAAACAATTACATCTCTTGCTCGGGAAGTTGTAATCAACAAGGATAAACAGATTCCAAGCCCTGGAATCGGTTCTCGTATTCCTAGACTTTCTGCCTCATTACCTCCACTACCACCAACACAACAACAACACCAACAGTCAAGCTCAATGCCATTAACAACTACAGTAGTTACGGAAACAACATCATCAACAACCGAGGGAGCAACAACAACAACCAACATTTTACCAACTACTACCACAATAAAATCAACTAATCTTGCAAATAAGATAATCATTGAAGAGGGAAATGATGATGAAATACTTGTTTTTAGGGATCCTAATGCCAGTTTAGGATCACGAAAACATCGATCTAATTTTCCGTCTATGATGACACCGCAAGTTGACCTGGAGGGAATCCGTTTATTAGATGAAGCGTGTAAAATAACAGACTCGGAAGAATCGGAAGATGATGATGATGATGATGATGATGACCCTGAATCGTTTTCATCAATTGAAGGTACTTACATCCTTGACGAAGGTGTTATTGTACCTGGTGGTCGACGTCAAGTCCAAAATAGTACCAAAAATCATAATAATAACGTTGATGCTACAAATAATATAAACAATGTTCGTCTCAAAAAAATGTAAGTACAATGATTAACATTATAAAAGAAAACAAAGCTTCTTAATCAAACAACTAATCCATCCTCTCATAATCAAGGTGTTTACCTCATCAAGTAAAATTGATTAACTACAATTAACTTAACTCCTTAGTATTACATTAATTATCTGTGGCGTTTCCGAGATTCAATGTTAGTGTTGTGTATGTGTGGGAAGATGAAATTAATTTGATTTCGTTTTTTTCTTCTTCTTCTTTCTCCTCCTGAACTTACAATTTATTAATTCTCCTCCCTTCCTACATGGCAATTAATTTAATTTCCTGTTTCTCATCACCTTTTCCATTTATCTTCACACAGAATCGAACCAAGCAAAGAACTTCGAGCAGCATTAAAGGTTCTAAATGATAGTTTACTAAAACCCGATCTATCAAACAAACCAGCAACGGTGAGTGTCAATCATTTTTTAATTATCAACTAGACACATTTACGCAACAATTAAGGATATGAATTAATTTTTTCTCTTTCCATTTCACCCAATCAACGTTTACATCATTTCTCAATTTGGAAAATAAAATTCAATGAATCTTATCCTTGATTTTCAAGTGAATTGAGAAAATTAACTTTTAAAATCAGCACGCAAGGTTTTATAACTTTTTAAATGATTTATTCATATGCCAATATAAATTGTTAGTTATCAAAGTGTTAACAAACTAATTAAGTTTGTTCCTTGTTTTAACTGACAATCACAATTAATGATTCCAACTGAAAATGAATCAGATAAAAACTCTAACTGATAAACTGTTATCCATGGGGTGATAAAGTTGATGCTTTTAACATGATTATGATGATGATGATGATGAGGTAAGACAATAATAATCCAGGTTCCAGTTGATTAGTTGATTAGTTAGAAAAAAATATTTATTTTTTTTGCTACAATTAGTGTGACCTTCAATACTAGTTAAACACTTATTTATATGGAGATTAATTGAGATGTGATAATTTTCATGATGAAAAAGATTAAATATTTGCAGGAATAGAAGAAGGAAACAAATTATCTTGATTATTTTTCGATTAATTTAAAATTCTGACATAGATTGAGTTTAAATGTTGTATTTTCTTGCTTAATGTTGATGTTTTCAAATCTCATTCAAGTTTTTTTTTATATTTTACCTCAATACCTGATTCCAATTTAATCTTCATGACAATATAACCCAAAATGACTGATGAATTGAATAGATTAACCAGTGTCCCTAATTGATTATCAGGAGTGACCTGATACCCCTAAAGATGAGAGAGAGAGAGAAGATGATAAAATGATGTTGATTCCATGTTGCTAATCTTGTTTTCCGATCATCATCATTTGTTGCCATGTAATATTATCATCATCATTTATCGTTTAAATTTTATGATTTAAAACCAACTATAGATTAGTATCTTCACCTGAATTCTTTATTTTTTTCACCAGGTAAATCATCATGATAATCCCCGAGTAAATACTTGATTAACCAACTGAATCGTTCAGAATAATATTTTTTTTTGTTTCTTTTGTTGGTAAAAACTTGTTGCTCAGTGAAAGTAATTCACAACTTGCAGAATTAGTTTCAAGAACTATTTTCCCCCTGTTATCATGATGATATTACATTAAATTGTTACCTTGTTATCAAGTTGATTGTGATGATGATCTTGCAAAAGATCAACAATCTCCTTTTTTTCCGCTTAATAGACAATTATCATTATCACCAAACAATTTAACCAACACCATTTTCTAATTTCTCTATCATGATTTTCTTTCATCTTAATTGTTAATTACCGATTTTTGGTCAATCTCTCCCTAATCTGATGCTCTAATTGTTGTTGTTGAAATTTCCCGATGATCTTCATTAGTTAACCACAATTGGTTTAACTTAATTACCTTTCATGTGTTTCAATTGATGTTACTGGTTTTGGTATTAGCTTATTAACTTTAATATTGATTATCATGATTATCATAATTAATTGATAATTTATAATCAATGTAATAATAAATTATTGCTTAATCTCTTGTTTCCTCTTCACTTCTTGATTGCTTGAGTATTCAATTAACTATTATAAGACTCTTGATGTAATTACTATCAATTATTATTGACTTTCTTGATTACGTTGAGAATTAACTTTTTTTTTGTTAATCAAATTAACTGTCAATTTTTCAGGCTTATTAAATCAGTTGATAATAAGTGTAAAATTTATGATTAGTTATGCAACTTAATTAACTTAATTTTTACAGATTATTTCGTTGATTTTCACAGCAATTGAATAATTAATCACATTAATCAGTTATGGTTAACAATTTTTCATATCCTAATCTTATTAACTCAATTGTACAATATTATGAATTATTGTTGTTGTTGTTTTTTTATAAACCAAATCAACTAATTGTTCAGTTGTCAATGGTTTCCTTTTAATCATTGGTGAAATGATTACCTTGATAATATTTTATTTAAGATAATCAATGGTTGACTGTCATTCACATTGATTAACAATTAACTTTTTTTTTATCAATAAGAAGCTCTTGTTACAATGTTTGTTGTTTAAAGTTTACAATCATCGTCAAAATTAACATGATGTCGATTATAACTTACAATTTGAAATAGATAATTGTAATTCAACAATAAACAATCAATATTTGAAAAGTAATGATTATCAAATAATCAAGAGGACAATTTATCATTGTCATTGATGATCAACAAGATTCAAATTTCTTGCCAATAAAGTTGGACAATGATCATGATCATCATTAGATTTCCTGTCGACCAGTTGAATGAATTTAGAAAACAATCAAAACAACAATTAACATGCCAGCAAATTAAGTGAGTAAACATTAGCTTTTTGTTTACTATTTTTCATCGTCTTAGGTTATTGTTACCAAGAAATTTGAGTTTCTCTTCATGATGATGATTGTCATCCTCATCATCTTACTCTTGAGATGATAATCATCATCTTGACAAAAAAAGACTCCAAACAAGGGTCTCTATTAATATCATCATCTTGTTCAACCTAAACACATGGTAAATGGTAAAGTTTTTACACTAGAAAAAAGCTTATAATTATCTCTTGATTGTTGTTTTGATCGACTGATTACTAGTTGATTGTTACATATGTTACTTTTCTTAATTGTTACCTTGATTTTCATTTGAGTTTAAATATCACTGTTTTTAATCGTAATTGTTTTGATAACTTTTACTTGGCACACCTTAATTTTGTAGGCGATTTAATTTCTAATGTAATAATACCTTTAATTTACTTATTCTGATCAACAATTAAGCTGAAATGTATATATTATAATAGTAATAATTAATTGCGTTTGTAAAGTATTTAACCAACGATTTTATAGCAATTAAAATTTTTATCCCACTATTATTAGATTGTTATTGTATTATTTGCATCCTATTAGGATGAAACAATTTACTGTCCACCAACAACAATCAACAATTTACAATTAACTATTATATAAATTGTTTTGTATTTGCCTTTTAGCTAAACTTTATTAGTAACCATTAATTGTGATTATTTTCTGGTTTATTATTTATGATTTTGTTTCTTATATTCAAGCCCACAGTTAATATTGGTTTAAATAAATTACTGGACACTAATCATTAGTAATTATAAACTGTAATTAACTGATTACACCACTAATATGATGATAATAGTTTCAACAATCAATTTTTTCTTTTCATTATTTTAATATATATTTACACTCCTTGAAATATTTGAAACGTTTAAATTATTTAATAACAATTAACTTATTACTCAAGTTAATCAATTGCAATTTTCATCAATTCTGTCACTTGATAAATCATCAATTAACTGATTCAGTTTACTTTTCATGATTATCTCCAATCGCCTACATGTAAAAGTTACTCAATTTCATTTTCAACTCATCATCTTAATTATGATTTTCATCCTTCGCACAAATTTCATGTTTACAACTAATACAACAATCATCATATGATTAGACCACACATTGATTTATAATCAACAAGAAATTTAATTGTGATGATTAACTTTCAATCAAAATTAAATTACAACATTGTAAACAATATATCATTTGATTAGCTTTGTTAACTGTCAGAATTGAATTATTTTGATTATTGTAAACAAAATTTTCAAGGTCAGTGAAAGTTTTTATCTATTTTTTTGTTGTTATTTTGAGTTAACAAACTTTTAATTGTTTGTCAAAGATGATAAATGATCATTGAACAATTTATTTCCAATGGTTTAATATTTAAAACTATTAACATGTGAAAGTTGTAATAAAATGTATGATTAGATTGTATTAAAACAGTTTCTCATTGAACAAGTATTGATTATGATCATTGATTTATCAATAACAATTAAGGTAATAGTCCACATATGAATGAATCAGGATCAATGTCTATATTTTTAAAATCAATTGTTGTATTATTAATCCCATCGATTTCATATTGGTACATAATTGATTTATTCCTAGAGAATGAGTTAATTAAAACTGGAGGCCATTCCATTGAGCCTTTATGAACAAAATGTGACCATAGGTTTATCATAAACTTACTGACCTGCCGATCAGAATCAGTATATTCATCAGCATCTTCAAAAGGTAAACCAAATAATATTTTAGTATCATCGGCGTGGAGGGGCCCATAGGCTCGAATAGGATCATTCTTGTAGCCCGAAGTTACATAAGTATAATAATATTGGTAAACCGGATTTCCGGTTGCCCATTGTCGTGAAAATGATAAAAGAGGACAATGTTGACAGAGATCATTGATTGCGGAAATAACAGAACCAGTTAATTGTTTTGAATCGTCGTCACTTTCAATTGAATTAAGGTAATATTTTAAAATGGCTTGCAAATGTTCTGGTTGAACTACACCCGTTGTTTTGGTGATATATGATTGAATCTGATTAGCTGCTGAGGTTAAACTGGTTACATTGAGAACTGCTAAAGTTTCAATGGGAACCTTGCCAACTAGAATTGGTTTACCATGAACATGATCACCTCTCTGAGCCAGGGTGTCGGTTGAATGAGGTAGGAAGGCATTTCCATAGGATGGGAGAAATATTGATCCTCCACACTGATTGGGTTCAGTTGATTCCAGTGACCCCTGAGCTTGAGCTATTTCCAGTGCATCGACTCTCATGAGACAATCAATTTCTTCATCAAGCAAGGGTACATTTTCCAAGGTTACTCGAGAACAGTTAACACGACGAGTAACTTCACGAGTCTTTCTCAAGGCCAACAACGGGGAATCTAAACCAGATCTTTTACAAGCTATTCCACTCATTACCATAGCCTGTTGGAAAAGAGGTCGAGTTTCCTTGGACATTAAATGCATCGTTGCAAAATTAGCACCTGCAGAATGTCCCATAAGTGTTACCCGTTTTGGATCACCACCAAAAGCGTCAATATTGTTTTGGACCCATTCAAGAGCCGCTTTTTGGTCCCAAAGTGCAAGATTACCGGGAATCTTTGTCGGATGCCCAGACATTAGGCCCAAAGCACCAAGTCGATAGTTGAAAACGACGAAAACCATGTTACCTAATCCAGCCAGGTAACCACCATAAATATGAGGATTGCCTGACGATCCATAAACGAAGCCACTTCCATGGATAAAAACAAGCACTGGTAGCTTAGGATTTCTTGGTAAACCAACAAGGGACAAATTAGCAGGAGTATAAACATTGATGAAGAGACAATTTTCACTTGAAGGTATCGTTGAGTGTTTCGCTTCGTCCTCCGGGGTCTGGATACACCCGAATTGATAAGAAGTGGCATTATAAACACCTTTGTGATGTAAATGATGTCCTCTCAATGGAATCGTTGGTTTAAATCTCAATGGACCCACCGGTGGTAACGCGTAAGGGATTCCCAAAAAATGGTGAACCGGAGTGTCTAATATTTGCCGAGTGAAGCCCCGTAACCAGGACCATTGGATCTTAACCAGAGGATCGGAACAATTAAAATTATTACTATCATTTGATGACACTTTTGATAAAATACTTATTATTAGAGTTAAAATGATTAACTTCATCTCGTTATGTGTTTTGCTAATTTATAAATATTCGTTAGTTACTGGCAACGATTGAAGTTAATTTTTACAATTTGATTTATCCAATTAACTAAATCGATTTGCTTTTTCAGTAATAATCTTGTAAAAACAATAGAAATTAATTGTTGTTTTTTTCCAATCAATGATTAAATTTCTATTGTAGTGATAAGTTAATCGTGGTAATGATAACTGTTTGATTCGATTGTTTTTGGTTCGATTGTTAATTGTCACAATTATCTTCCTATGTAAGTTGATTAATTAACTTTCCAAAAACTGTACAGGCCAACTCGGTGCATAAAGATTAGTTAAACTAATCAATGTACTTAAATTATTGTAAAATGGGTTATTGATCAATAATTATTGATTTAAATGATTTTTCGACAATTAGTTGATTGTTCAATTAATGAACAAGAGATATAATTTTTCTCACCAATCCCCGCTAATTGTCATTAGTTGATTTCAACTGATTACTTTTGACTTGGTTGAGTTGACAATTCACTTAATCTAATTTGAACCAATAAGCAGATTGGTTCCAATGATTAGTGATTGATGATTAAGGTTAATATTGATAATTAGTTTTCACTTTCCTCTTATTTTAATCTGATTAATTGTTGATTTCTCATGTTGATTTACAGTTACAATTTATCTTTTGTTTACAATCACTCTCACCTTATTTTCCTATGGTGAATATCAACTTGGATAAAATCCAATGTTAATTAACTACGATTACAATTAATCTTGTTAAAGGCAAACAACATTATCAATTTTAAGGGAAACATTGTAAACAATTAGTTGATTGATTATCATTAATATTGACTAATTGATTACTTTCTAACATTCATCATAATTGATATGACTCACTAATTATAGTAATTTAAAAGAGTTAAACTTTCCACTAACTATTGATCAAGTTGAATATTAGTTTTAATTATCTAATCAACCATTTAATTGTTATGGTTGATTATAGCCAATTATTAAATACCAATCATTAAGTACTAACTGTTAATTGAATGTATGAAATTTGAGACAAAAAAAAATTCATTCTGTTCAAGAAAATAAAAATTAAATTGCTGTTTCATCATGATTAAGGTAATTGTTACAATGATAAGCTAATCATGATCATAAACATGGTAAAAATTAACAATCTTATACAATTAACTGATTGTAAAAGTGAAATAACTAAACAGCTCTAACGAGTGAAACGATTTAACTTTTACTGCATCAATCTATAAATAATATTAATAGTAATCTACCATTGGGATATTCATAACAATCAGATAACAATTTAAGATATTAATAAATTAACAACAATTTAAGTTAACATAGTTAATAATATCCATTGATTTTTACTGTTACTTCAACGTAACTTCATATACTTCAAGTTCAAGTTTATTTTTAACGTAACGTTGAGTTTGTTGATCTTAATCCAGTAGCTATTTCTAGTCAGTTAAACTAATTAACATTTACAAATAAGAGTAAAATTAAGATCATGTTTTAAATTATTCACTGAATTTTTTGAGTTAATCAATTCATCAATAAGATCCAATTGAGAAATGAATTTATGTCTATCCTTATATTGTTGTTGCCTTAATGGTTACACAAGATTATATTACAATTTGATTGTAAGACTATTAATTTTACTAATTGTTTTTCTTTGATCATTTAACAATTAACAGGCGAAAAGTATACAAATCATTGAGAAAGAATGGTTTTCAATTGCAGCATGTAAAGATTCTGATCCATTGTCTATCGAGAAATATCTTGATTGTTTCGAATCTTTTTCGACTCATCTTTTGAATAAGATCGTTAATTTAACCGATTCCAGCGGTAACACGGCCATGCACTATGCGATTTCCCATTCAAATTTCGACGTTGTTTCCGTTCTGTTGGACTCCAAGGTCTGTGATGTCAACAAACAAAACAAGGTAACGAATCCCTCGAACATGTCCCATGAATTATCACAATGGATATTATGTGATTCTATTCAAGGATATGAATTCCTCTTGATAGAACACGAATAATCTTTCCGAATTGTTTTCTATCTATTATCATTAACCATCTAATTAACTCTTATTGTAATGCTAATTTCAGGCTGGTTACACGGCGATCATGTTGGTTTCTACTGCTCGAGTGTCCAATGATACACACAAGGAAGTAATCAAACGGTTGTTCAATCTTGGTGATGTTAATATAAGAGCTAAACAGGTACACACACACTCACTCACTCACAGACTCTTACCTGAAGTTTATGATAATATAAACAACAATTTAATTGTTAATGAGAAAGGAGTATTGGATTGGATTACAATTAATGAGAGGCGGTGATTAAGGATTAACAAGTCTACGAAACAATAACAGTCCAACCATAAAGAAAAGTGATTGAGAAGAAGGAAAGAAAACCATGAGGATAAAAATGAAGATGATGAAGATGATGAGGATGATAAAGTTGAATTGATTGAGTAAAAGAAATACTGGTTTACCTGTTGAATTTAGATTGACGTTACTTACAATGAGTTGGCGTTTACTTTGAGCATTAGTTACACATAAAGAGTATCAGTTTAGTGTATTATGATAATGGAGGAAAATCAATCATAATCAACAAGTCTAATTGTAATTCCGTTAAATTGTTACGTTGATTTTTCTTTTGCTTCTTCAGGTGAATCAAGAATGAAAACAGATAATAGAATAGTTAATTTGTATTTTTCTTTTCTTTTTTACAATTTAGTTAATTTTCTATCTGATTAACTTAATGTTATTTAGTTAAACTTGTTTGACTTTAAGATCCTCTTGATGATGATGATAATGATTAGCATTATGATTAACTGATATTTAGCATATCATTCATATTAATTTAATTTTCTATCGTTCGGCTCATTTATTGGATAAATTTATCAACCTGATTGATTTTTGATAGATTCTTGATTATTGTATTACCTTAATCATTATGAGCCTCTCATGTTTTATTTAATTTGTTACTCTTTTTTTTCAATCAACTTATTTTGTGAAATTTTTATGCCAGAAAATCAGTTGATTGTAATAATAATAGATTCTTATTGTTGGGATTTTTGAATGGAGCAAGAAAATCAAATCAGTTAATCATAATCTACTTTTAATATGTGTTCAACTTTTAGATTATCTCAATTGATTCACTTATTATCAATTTAATCATAATAATTTTTCATTCATTTTGATTATTATTATTTATTTATTTTCTGCAAACTCAATTGCAATTGAAATTGAATGAAACAATCAGACAAAAAAAAACAAACTATATAATAGGTAATTGAATGAAAGCAAAAAACTGATCATAATTTATGGTTGATTAAGGTTTCAAATCAATAATAGCAGAAAATGATTATCATTATGATTTATAAATATAAACATTTACTTGGTTAATTTTAAGGATTAGTGACAATCAATTTCTAAATTAGGGTTACATGGTATAAATTAACCAACAACAGAAACGATTACGATCCAATTTTATGGATAAATCATCAAACTTGTTGATCTTTGTGTTGACTCTCAATACCAACTTATCTCCATCCTCATCCTCATCTTTATCTTCATCATCTTCTGCCCTTCGGCCCTCAAAAACCCGCCCAAAATACTGGAACCTTAATCCTGATGTGTTTTTACACCAAACACAATTTGTTTTTTGCTTCCTCTTGATTACACAAGCCTCTCAATTAATTAATCTTCCTCAAATTGGTTTTGTTTTATTATGTTGCTTGTTTTTTATATTGTTTTTTAACCTCATCTTCTTGTCTTCCTCCTCTTCACCTTTCTCAGAATGGACAAACCGCTTTAATGTTAGCCTCAAGTCACGGCCAGTTTTCCACATGTAAATTACTTCTAGAAGCTGGAGCCGCTCTTAATGTCCAAGATAACGATGGTTCAACGGCCTTAATGTGTGCAACTGAACATGGACAAATTGAAATCGTTAAATTATTACTATCACATCCTGATTGTGATCCAACGATTTCTGATAATGTAATTAATTGAAAACCACAATAATCAAAATGATTCAAAATTAATTGAATCAACTCATCACCAATATTATTAGTTTTTAAACCTTGTAGGTGTTTGAAAAAGTAAAAGTTTTAATAAATCATGTTGAAAGGTTAATTAGCTCATTCAAATTGAGCTAATTATTATATATCCCTTAAGGTTATCAATCATGGATGATGTTTTGATCAATGATTTTGAATGATAATTAATCAATCGTATTTAGTTTTATCTTGATTCTCAGTATATTTACTTTTGATATTTCAATTGATTTCATAAGATTTGATCAACTTTCTCACTAATTGTTTTACTTTGGAAACTTTTTCTTTCCTTCAGGATAAAGCGACCGCAATGACCATCGCCATGGAGTGTGGCCGTAAAGATATCGCCGTGTTACTTTACGCAAGTAGTAACATGTTGAGCCGAGGCTCATCTCCATATGCTTCCCTTAGAAGATCATCATCCAAGGCGATTACCACGCAATTACAACGAACCGGATCATTTAATTCACGATCAAATCATCAAGCGTTTAATCAACGAAACTTATCACTGGCTCCTTCCCCACCGACACGTTCCCGTACCTCCTCCGTTACCACAACAACGACATCAACTACTAATCAACATCGACGAACCAAAAAGTGACTTACCAAGGAAAACAAAACGACAACAATTAACTAACAATAAAAAACTTGCAATCCTGAAAATAAAAGTAAACACGGAAATCGAGACACAATCAAAAGCTTAATTGTTGCACAAAACCGGATAAAATATCAAATTAATAAATTACCGAGTTTGTTTGATTAAGTGTCATTAGTATTATTGTTATGGTGCTAAAAATGATTACCTTTTTAAACTATTGTTATATAAAAAAAAAATGGTTGATTGTTAATCACCCAGTTAATTGGACATGAAAATAGTTCAATCATCAATATTTGTTAAATAACAATCAACTAAATTGGATTATGATTAACCTTTTGCCATTTGTGTATGTTTATTTGGCAATTACAAAATGTTAATCACAATTAACTAGTCGGAATTTAATCATTCCTATTCAATTGTATCATCACCGCTAATTGTATTCATCAAGGTCCAACAATCAACAAACCCAAAATAATCAAATGGGTTTTTATTAACCTTGATTTTGTTTCTTCCTCTTCAAGACACAATCATTGACAATCAACAATCAACCCAACCTATTAAATTATTTCACCTTGCTTCAAATTGTAAGAGTTAATTGTTAATGACAATCATCATTAACAATTAACACCATTGATAATACAACAAAATTTTCATCTAGGAAACACCAACAAAAACTTTTATTGTACAAGAATTAACCTTCTTATCACTTGATTATTAAGAACAACAATTAGGTTAATTGTATGTTTCTCTTGATTCAATGTTACCTCCCTTTACCTTATCCTTAATTGTAATCAATAACATCAACAACAAAGTCTTTCTTTCAATTGTTAACAATCAACATTTTTCTGTAGATTAATTATCATCAAGTAATATAATATATAATTAAAGAGCTTGAAAATCAAAATCAATTGATTAGTTTTCCAAATATGGTTAACTGAATTATAAATTTCCTTCTCTCATAAAATCATCCAACAATTTAATCAACAATTTTTCCTTAATTATGATAATCTATTGTTTCTCATTTCAAATTGTATTTTCTTTAATTAGTTAATCATTTTGAGTTAATTTATTGAATATTGTTCAATTTAACTTTACTGGATTAAGGATTGATTTTGATTAACAACTTTTACCTCAATCGGAAGCTATTACCACGCAATTAGATTTACAATCAGTTGATTGTGATTGTGTGAGTGGTTTGATCAACCCAACAAATTAAATCCAATGAACCTTTTTTATTATTCACAATTAAACCTTTTCCTCTTATACACCAACACAATTTTTAATTGTTGATAGTTAACTAACTCCTCTGCAATTTACTGATTTCTTACTTCAACAATTAATTTGAGTTGTAATTACAGTTATATCAAAGATTAGATTAAATTTTCACCATTGAGAGATTTGTATTAACAGTAATTTGATTAATCGTAATGAATTTGCAATTTGTTTTAACATTAATTTGAATTAATTTGTTTTTTCCTTCATTTAATCATTTACATTTACATTTAAATTAAGATCAGTTTCCAGCTGATTTTGACTAATGTACATAATTAGTTTACTAATAATAAGTTAATTGTTGCCATGTTTTGGTTATATGATGTACAATGTAAAAGTTGATTACGGTTGATTAATACTAATTAAATTTTCTTTTTTTTCCTGATTTTCCATCGGCTTTGTGGTTTAGGTACATTGAACTGGATTAATTTGAATCATAATTAACTCATAGCTTTATAATATATGAGTTAATTGCTGATGTTGATTGTGAAGGATAAATAAATAAATAAATAAATAAATATAATGTAAATGTCATTATGATACACTGATTACATTTATGAACATTTTAATCAGCTGATTAAAGTTGATTGTTTGGAAATGGATGGAAAATCGTTTAGAGTATTTCTCCCAGGTCGATCGCCGCTCCGTCCAATGTGACCCTAAGTCGGCCTGTTGGTTTTTCTTTTGCTTTTAATCTAATTGGTTGATTGGTTTGCAAAAAATACGATTGCTTTTTCTCTTGCGCTTTTTGTAAATTCTCCAATAGTTCGGCTAAATTAGCGGCTTTAGCATCGGCTGCTTCCGATTTACCTCCTTTGGATGAATGCTCGTGATCATGGTGATGATGATGATCTGATGGGTAAGATGAAAGAGACAAATGATTAATTGTTTCAATTGATTTTAAAGGTATATTAGAATGGAGATTGGAAATTAATATTTACCATGGCCATGCTTGTGTCCGTGATCGTGCCAATGCTCATGGCCGTGGGCATGTGAGTGTTTATTGTCGTGTGCGTGCTCGTGTCCATGAGTATTTTTATGAGCGTGATCATGATTATGTGCCTGTTGAAGTGATAAAGTTGAAAGGTGAAAAAAAAGTTAGTTAATTTGATGATTAATCGTTGGGAAAATTGTCCAAAGTTTGATCAACAATTATTAAATCAATTAATCTACTTACATGAGTATGACCATGTCCGTGATTCTGTTGTTGATAAAGAAAAAATTAAAGTAAAACGAAAATGATTAAAAATAATTTTCACTAAATTAAATCATAAATCATTGGAAAAGATTTACAACTTGATAAATTGTGATTAAGGTGAGAATTAAAAATCTCTGAGTATTAAAAACTTACATGTCCATGTTGATGTCCATGTGTATGTGCATGTTGATGACCATGAGTGTGACCGTGATCATGAGTGTGACTTTGATCATGACCGTGACCATGATTATGGGCCTAAAGTTGAAGGTTGAAAGGTCATAATTAGTTAATAAATTAAGTAAATATAAGTTAATCTATTGTATTTAATAAAATGACTTACGTGTCCATGATCGTGATCATGTTCGTGATCATGTCCATGCTCATGTCCATGTTGATGTTCGTGTCCCTAATTGAAACAAATTAAAGTTAATTATTGTAAAATTAGTACATCAGTTAATGAGAATCAACTTATGGCTATCAGAACAATTAAAAAAAAAGGAAATCTCCTCAATAATTGAAGAAAGTTTAATAATTAAATTGATTTCAATCTTAATTATTAAAATTATTTCCGCCTAGATAAATCAGTTTTAATTATATTAGATTGGGTTAAATGATTTAGTTTAATCATTCAATCAACTATTAGGATAAATTTAAAAAGGTGGGTCAAAGTTTAAAAAGCCTGAAATTGATGAAATGTTTAAGGTACAAAAACAATGTCTTAATTAAAGGAAGAATTAATAAATTAAAAAGTTAATTGTGAGAGTAACAATCAACAGTTTTATCTCTCCCGCCTTTTTTTCGGGATTTTAAATTTGATTGAAGATAAAATGAATTTAAATTTAACTCTGCAATTGATTTAATTAAGGTGGAAAAGAGGTGATGATTGATAAAAGGTGGAAGTGAATTATTTGAAGAAAAAAAATGTAAAACTGATTAAAGTTGATTAAGTTGATTAGGATAATCCAACTTACATGATCGTGTTTGTGCCAACCATCGTGCTTGTGACCGTGCTCGTGCTCGTGGTCCTCTTGATTAGCATGGTGATGATGATGATGATGATGATGATGTGTTTCTAAATTAATTAAGGAGAGAAGGAAACAAAATTAAGATTAGATAATTTGGAAATGAAAATATTCAACAAAAAAAATAAGCGAAAGTCAAATGGACTTTCACTTTCACTTTCACTTTTTCTCATTAGAAATTGAAATTATTCTGATATAATCAACAGTTTCTCTTGATTATCTCGATGAATTGTAAATGTAATTTAGCTGATTGTTGTTCACACCAACACACCTTTTGTATGCCAAATGTGATCATCTCCTTTACCATCCTTTGTATGCCAACTTCTCATTACACCTTTGGGACCTTTATGGAAGCTTTCAGGTCCAAATCCGGGAATATCATCGTCATGATGATCATCACTATTGGAAGAAATAAATTTGACAATTAGTTGAAATTGATACTAAATTGAATACAATTTACTTACAAGTGTAAATCCATTTTCTTTGAAGGCATTGATACTTTAGGACCCATTTTAGGCCTTGGTGTACCATTGTAATCGTCATCGTAACGGGATTTCATTCGTGGAGCTTGTGATGATGGTGGAGGTGATGAATGTAACATTGAGGGAGGAGGAGATGATTTTGGATATCGATGCGGTGGGGGTGAAGGTGATGGAGATGGTCGATGCTGTGATCGTAATGTCGGTGGTGGATTAATAAAATCATCATCAAATCCATTTACCAATGAATGGCCTCTAGTTAATGGTAAAGCTGAGTTATCGTTGTTCAATCCTTGTTTAACTTTAGGTTTAGATGGACCAAGTGGATCTAAAATAGAAATGGAAATTTCAAAACATTAATTTATTGTTAACAAAATGTAACAATTTATATAATACAACAAAATGAAACATTGAATTAAATATAGAAAACAAAATACAAACCCAAAAATAATAAATAAATCAAAACGTTAAAACATTCAAACAAAAATTCAAATGTTTACATTATGATTATTAAAGTTAAATTAAATTCTAATTCACATTTAACTTTCTATCAGGAAGAAATTAACTTGTATTACGATTCACTGTTTTACTCTTATTCTAGTTACATTCACAAATCAAGATAATGGAAATTTAATTGCAATTAAAGTCCCAGTTAATCAATAAAGTGATTAATTAATTGGAAAGAAAATAATTTCGGTTAATTTAAAAATAGAAGAAAATTTGGTAATCACAGTCGCCATCTAACGATCGATTTGATAGTAAACCGGTCGAGGGAAAAATAGAAAAACTAATTTAATGTTGTTGACCATTATCTTAATTTGATCTTAATTGTTTTCTAACAATTTCCCATTAATTTACTTTCAACAAATTAATGATAGGAAAGAATTAACTAAATATAACAGTGAATCAATTTAGATAATATTTGTAACGCAATTTAGGAAGTAACTTTAATCCTTTTTAAATCATTTTTCCACCATTCATAAGGCCCAATGAACCCAAGGAAATTGTTTTCAATTGGTAAGTAATTGTGATTGTTGATTTGATTTCTAAATTTAATTCTATGTTTCAATTAATCTTGATGACAATACACGTATATTTATATATAAATTGTTTTCTTATTCTATTCTTTGTTAACTGTTTCAAGGAAATCAAAGGATTTTATGGATTAATAGATTTTGCTTACCGAAAACATCATCAGGTATTTGGATATTTTTTAAATCCATAAATGTGTCCGAATCCCAATCAAAATCTTTTGAAGGCATCATTGATTTGGAACAATTAATTACCAGTAAAAGTATTAATATATCGACATGGAAATTGTTAATCCTCATGGTGATGTACTGGTGAATATTCTTGGTGTTTAATTTAATCAACAATACAAAGGGTCCACTTGAACACTAACGATTTGTTATTATAGAGACACTGGAACACTGATTGACTGATGACACTGACACTCAATTGAATTTGACAATTTTCTTGATTGATTGTTTAAACTAAAGTTGTTGATTCGCCTGCGAAATCAACATTAAGAATCACTGGTTGGTTACACATGTTTCTTAAATACAATAGTTAGAAATTGATTCACTTTCTATTCCACCTCCTTTTCTTAATCATCTTCCACCATGATTGTCAACCTTAATTCATTTCCTCCTCCTCCTTCCTTACCCTTTCCTCTTATTCATCTTGACCCTTGTTAATTGTTAGTGATTAACTAAGATGAATTAGAAGAAACATCACAACACTAAGAGCCAGATAATTAACTAATTTCTCACATTTTTTCATCATCTTCTTTCTCTCTCTCTCTCTTTTTGTCTCCAACAATTTACAGATTATTGGGATGGAAACAAGGTTATCCTTAATCAAAAGAAGGTTAATCTTTTAATCTTCGGAACGATGATTTCAGTGTCTTCCAATCGGGAACAATTTAATCGTATGTTAATTGTTGTACCTTTTTCGTTTATTCGCCAATCCTTGATCATTTTACTCTATTACAATCAAGACCAAACTAATTGGTACAAATGGAAAACAAATTATACTATAAATTTGTTTTCGTTTGTAATCCAAACTTTCAATTGACTTTTTTTGTTCATTTCTGTTTATTGTTTTTTCCTCAAACAATTTACTGATTGTGATGTTAGTTCATGAAATTGATTCTCTTTTTTTTATTCATTTAATTGTAGCTCTTCCTTTGATTATATTGCTGATTACTCAACCAGTTAAACTTTTAATGGTGTGATGATTGACTTGGAAAATTTAAATTACAAATGAGACCAGTGAACAAAATTTAATCAACTAGCCACAATTAAGGACCAAAAATCAGTTAATCAATGATAATATGATATTAATTTTCATTTCTCCAACAAATTAATTGATTGTCAAACATTTTGCTTCACTTTTTTTTTGTTTCTTCTGCAATCAAGTTTAATTAATTATGAGACATTTGATTGTTAACTTTTTTTGTCTTATTTTTCAATTAGTTATTTGATTGTTAGTTTCAATTTAAAACAGGGCTTAAATAATTAACGATCCAATTAACCTTCCACTTGACAAAGAAAATTTCTCAGTTAACAATTAATTGTTTTCAACTTGATTGCAATTTAATTTAATCTTAATTAGAAAAGATCAAATTAATTTAACAAAAAGACAAATAATTAACATCTAAATTAACAATTAAGTTGATAAACTCAAGTTTCTGTTTTGCTAACTTATTAATTATTATCATAAACATTAACAATCATAACAATTTACTACAATTAAGTTTGACTTTTCTGGCTTGTAAATTTGCATCGTTGATCATTTTCACGCAATTAACCAAATTAACTCAATTAACTTTGGTATATTGGATAGTTTAATTGTTAATCGATTACAAATCAATTAAAACTGTCTGATACAATTATTTAATTGCTTCTGTAACAACTTTAACCTTGAATTACTTGGAATCTGATCAATTGTTGGATTGATTGATTTAAGTGATTTAGAAGGTAATTAACAAAATTAAATCATGATGGATAAAAAAATTTAGGGAAAAAAATCAACAAATTGGAAAAATTTAACGAAAAGAATCAAATTGATTTAATTGTTATGAAAATCAACTTGATACAAATTATTATTTATATTATATTACAAGATAGAAAGAGGAAGAGTAAGTGACATTTTAATTATCATTTAGTTAATTGTTGATTCTATTTGAGGAAAATAATCAGATAAGTTTTCATAATTTACTCTAAACAATTAGTTTCATCAGCTAATTGTGATTAAATTATTCAACAGTATTGATTTGATTTTCGCTCAAAGAAAAATGGTTAAGATATGTAACGGTAATTAGATTAATTAGTTAAAAACCATGATGATGATTAAATGAAATGATGGTAATGAATTAATGATTAATGAGCATGATGATAATCCATTTGATTTTTGAGTGAGTTAATTAAATCAAATGAAATTGTCTTGGTTATCATTGGATTAATTTGTCTTTAACAAAATCAACATCAACTTAAATGATAATTGTCACTTTCAGGGTTTCCATTGATCGTGTTGATTGTGTTTGATTGCTGATGAATTTTGATTGAGAATGAAATTGAAGGGAGTTAAAGGGTTGTGAGTGGAAGTGGGAGTGGGAGTGGAAAGGGTTATGATGAGTTCAGAGTCTTAAGTAGAGAGTGAGAGTGAAAAGTTTATCTTTTTGCTAATTCAAGGAGGGAAACTGGAAGGCGTCTAGTGAGATCAATAGCCTGAGGCACCTGAAGCGCCGCCCTTGCCCTTTCCACCGCCGTAACCAGATCCTGAACCAGAACCGTATCCTGATCCACCTGAGTTACCACCGTAACCTGAGCCTCCAGATGAGCCTCCGTATCCACCTGAACCTGAACCTGAACCAGAACCGTAGCCTGATCCACCTGAGGAACCACCGTAGCCACCTGATGATTTACCACCGGTTGAACCACCGCCATAACCTGAACCAGATCCACTGCCGTAACCTGATGATCCTGATGAAGCACCAGCTCCATAACCTGAACCACCTGATGAACCTCCGTAGCTTGAGCCACCTGAGGATGAACCTCCATAACCTCCAGCTGAGGCTTGTTGTCCACCGTAACCAGCTTCATCTTTTTGGATTATGATGACTGGGATAACTGGAGCATCGTCGGATTGACCTTGAGCACCATATCCACCTGATGATGAACCGCCATAACCACCGGCACTTGAACCAGAGTTACCGCCATATCCACCTGAGGATGAACCTCCGTAACCTCCGGCTGAAGCTTGTTGTTGACCTCCGTAGCTTGAGCCACCTGATGATCCACCGTAACCTCCAGCTTGTTGTCCACCATAACCTCCGGATTGTTGTCCACCGTATGATGAACCTCCTGAAGAGCCACCATAACCTCCGGCTGATTGTCCACCGTAGCTTGATCCACCAGAGTTACCTCCATAACCTCCAGCTTGTTGTTGACCTCCGTAGCTTGAGCCACCTGAGGATGAACCACCATAACCTCCAGCTGATTGTCCACCATAAGATGAACCGCCTGAAGAGCCACCATAACCTCCGGCTGAAGCTTGTTGTTGACCACCGTAGCCTGATGATCCTGATGAAGCACCAGCTCCATAACCTGAACCGCCTGATGAACCTCCGTAGCTTGAGCCACCTGAGGAACCACCATAACCTCCAGCTGATTGACCACCATAAGATGATGAGGAGGCACCAGAGTTACCGCCATAACCTCCGGCAGATTCACCGCCGTATCCACCAGATCCACCGGATTTTTGTGATTTCACTGGGATAACTGGCAAGTAGAGGACTTTGTAAGAGGATTTCTTGTTTGATCCACCTCCATAGCCTCCGGCTGATTGTCCACCATAAGATGAGCCACCTGAAGAACCGCCATAACCTCCAGCTGAGGCACCACCAGCATTACCACCATAACCACCTGATGATGATCCACCACCGTAACCTCCGGCTGATGAACCTCCACCATATCCACCTGAAGAGGCACCACCACCATAACCACCGGCTGATGATCCACCACCATATCCACCTGATGATGAACCTCCACCGTATCCACCGCTGGATCCACCACCGTAACCACCTGAGGAACCACCTCTAGAGGCAGCAACTAAAGTAACTGATAACTGTGAACAAAATTAAGAAAAGAGAAATCAAATCAACACAAAATAATCAAGAAAAAAAAGGTCAACACTCAAAGAACGAGATGAAATTTTACTAATCAGTAATCAAGTTAATTATCAAGTGAAATTTGATTCATTCCTGGTATCACAAATTAAACTCACTGACAAATTAACCATTAATCAACTGATTAAACAATTAAAACTTACAAGGACTAAGGCAAATGGCTTCATTGTTAATGTTTAAGATCACAGGATAATCGAGATAACAAAATAAAGGAAAAAACAAATTGGAGATGAAAAACTTTGCAAAAACTTTAACTGATCTTCGTTAAGACCAGACAATCGAATAAAGTTCTAAGTACTGGTCAGTTGGATCTTTTATATCGAACAAAAAGAGAGGAAGAGAGAGAGAGAGAGAGAGAGAGAGAGAGAGAGAAAAGTTTAACAAAATGGTTCTAAGTGAGAGTAAAAAGATGATCAAAGAGAGGGAGAAAAAGAGAGAGAGAGAATGACCAATATAAGTAACCGTTTCTCGAATAAGTTAGAACCCAAACAAAAAGTGCGAAAAGTGGGAGAAAGAGAAAGAGAAAGGGCTGATGATGATGATGAAGAAGAAGAAGATGAAGATGATGAATCCATAAATTCAATTGTAAGAAGAAAGAAAGAAAGAGAGAGAGAAGGAGAGTGAGAGTGAGAGTGAGAGAGATGATGATGATGATGGAAAAGTGAGTCCGTTAGTGAGTCCGTTATTTACAGGTTCGTTAACGGGTGGACTAAACCTCCACCTCCTCATCCAGTTTAACACCGAACCCGATTTTCAATTAAATCGTCTCTCTCCCTCATCATCTTTATCATCATTCTCATCATCATCTGTATTACCATCTCTTAATACAGGTCAAAATAGGTCAAGATGGAAATGACCAGTTAAAAAAATCAACTGTTGTTATGGTCTTGTTGTTGTTGTTGATGTTACTCGAAATGGTCAATCCATTTAAAATGCCAATCGTGTCAATATTTAATCAACTGATTATATTGTTATGATTAATAGGAATTAATTGTCTACCAAGTGAATTAAATTGTTTTTCATTTTGTCTGCTACCTTAATTATTAATAATATATAATCAAGAGTAATTAAGTCAAGTGTTGTAATATTTTAATCAACTGGTGATTGCTATTGATTTGTCATTTTCATGTTTAATTAATTGATTAATTAATTTGTGATGGATTAATTTCATCTGATTGCGACAACATTAAAGTAAACAATCAATTCTGATTAGCAATTGAAATCTGTTTCTTTTGCTAATATTTAAATTATTATTATATTATTATCATGCAATTAACTTTGATTAAAACATAATTTAAGTCTGTAATTAAACTTAATTGATTGTCCAGGAAAAAATTTGTTTCAAATTTGATTAACAAATAATTTCAATTGATTGACCAACAATCAAATTCAAATTTTTTACACATAAAAGTTAATCAATTCAATTTCATGTTAATTGTGATCAACAAAACTTTAATCCGGAAGCTGATTCTCTTTAATTGTTAACAGTTAATTCTTGTTGTATGTTAATTATCATGGTGATGATCAGATTTTTGATCATTGTAATCAAACATTTGTATCAATAACAATGATCAATAATATTAAATTGTTACACTTTTTTAATTACCATGATATTAAATTGACTGTTAGGTTAATCTTACTTTTGATTAGAATTCACAATCAGTTAAATCAATCCATAAGTTAATCATGATTGTTAATTGTTACACCAGATGATCAACTTTTTACTTTACTATCCCTAAGGTAAATTGTGTTGTTGATTAGATTGAGAAGATTAATCATTTTAATTTAAATGAAACCATTTTCTTAGTTAGTTAATCAAATGTTTCAAAGGCCTAATTGTTAATGGTCACAATTTAAATCGTGATTATCAGTAAATTTAGTTTAGCTTCTGATTAACTAATGATGATGATTAATCGTGAGGTTTGATTGTGCTTCTTGTTGTTTTTTAATTGTTATCAAGTATTAAAAGAAAGGGAAAACTTTTCAACTCGAAATGATTTAATTGTTGTTAATCATTAACAATCAGGAAATTTGATTATTAGCAAAACTAATGTAATCGTGATTGGCTTTTAATATTAATAACATTTGTTAATTGTTGTTTTATTTAATTTCATTTTCTTTCCTAATTAAAACAAATCAGTTATTGATTAATTATTCACATCAGAACGAAGTGTTTCCAACGACAATGATTTATTAATTGTTGGACTTTGCCTGATTTGATTGTAAATATCATTTAATGATTTATTTGAACCTGATTTGTGAATCAGAAACTTTTTAATCAACTCAGGCTCAGGTCAGTTTGAATTAAGTTAATCAAAGTGAATTAATAAATTCAACGCTCGAGAACAAAATTAATTCAAACTTTTAAAAACTTTTTTTTTACGAAAAAAGCTTAATTGTAATAATAGTAACAAGATGATTTCAAATATGATTAAGATGATGATATTAAATTAAAGGGTGTATCTTAATCACTTTTGATTATGATTAAAATTTTAAATGATTAACGATCTTAATATATAACAATATTATTATTATTCTTATGTAATATTGTTATGAATTAAATGAGTTCGAGTTAAATTGATCAACTAATCAGTTCGATGATTTGTTTTTAGTTTATTGCGTAATTATATTGATTTATATAGGAATCAAGTCTGAGACAAGGGCGGGAAGCAACTTGACCACTTCCGTTGGACTCGAAGCTCGAAGTGTTTGAGTAACGGAAGAGTTTAACACTTTGGAGTTGAAATCGAAGAGGAAAAAGTTCAAAAGGATATTAGAACTTTTTTTCACTCGAAACAATTTAAATTTTGGACAATTGAAAGAGATTTGGATTAAGTTTCAATTGCTAAATCGTTGATTGTGTTGGTAAGGATAAACTAATCAATCGATTTAGTATAACAATGGTCGTTTATTATTACCTTTTTTTACTTTAGGCCGTTCGACTTAAGAAAAGTTTCTTGGCGGTGATATAGTAATGAAATAATGTCGATAATGATAATGAACCTTGATTTAGTTATTTAAGTTTAATGGTAACAATTTAAAGCTTTTTTTGTATTGGATTTAACTGAAATCAATGTTGATCATTTTGATAATGTTGATAATGATTATGTTATATTGAGTATTGATGTTATTATTATCATCTTGTGATCAGTTGATTGTCAATGATGATGATGATGATGATGATGGTGATGATCAACAATTACCGTTATGTTGTAATATATGAGTTAACTTTAATTTCCTTTTCTTGATCATCTTTCTATCACTCTCACTAGCTCACTAACTCACTTTCTCTCTCTCTCTCTCCATCTTTTAATCATAGTAAAAGTACAGTAGTTAACTTAATCACCCTTAAGCTAATCAAGAATTACTATTCTCACGGTATTCAAATATATATACGATTATTATTATTATTACAATTTAGATGATGATTAAAAAAGATCATCATCAACTTAATCATCATCAACATCTTCAATACAAAAATAGTGTAACAATTTAAAAAGTTTTTTTCATTAAATCAAAAAGAATCAACAAAAAAGAGAGAGAGAGAATGAGAGAGAAACACTTTCATTGGAAACAATTTAAATTGTGTTTTCACCGTTGATTGTTATAATATCATAATAATCATCAGCATCAATATTTAACTTCAATTAATGTTTTCATTTTACATACAAATACTTAATTACTATGTTATTATTATTACAATCAACTAACTAACTAACTTACTAACTAACTAACTAACTATCTGCAACTACAACTACAACTACAATTACAATTACAATTACAACAACTAAATTCTTAATATTATTGATTGTTTGATGTTTCATGTTAATTATTTAAGATAAAAGTTTAAAATTGTGAATATATTATTGATTAACATTCCCAATTGAATGTATTACTTTTAATTAATCCAAACTCATGATCTAATGTAATAATAATAATCATAATATTATTATTATTTTATTGTTAATAATTAACTGATTACTAATTGAAATGATATGAAAATTTCGAAAATTGGAAAAAAAGTAAATAACAATTAACTTTTACCTTAACTTTTTCTTCACTCGATATTAGTTGTTTTCCTCATTAATTTATTATCTCCTTTTTTTCTTCGTGATTAAAACTAATCACAATTAAATATTAGCAAATAGTATTCTTTGGCTAGAGTTGATTTAACAATTTAGATTGTTAAATATGAGTTTTAATTGAGTTAATCAAAATCTTTTTTTCCTCTAAACAGCAAATAATTAATAAACATTTCATGGTACCAATCCAATTGTATTAAGATTTAATGAAGAAAAATTTTTCCTTCTCATTTGCTAATCACAATCAAGAACAACAATTAAGCAACAGAAAAATAATGTTATTAATTGTTAAAAATTGTTGAAACAACAAGACAAAAGAGTTGATCATCTCAAATAAAAAAAGGATCATCATCTTAATCACAATTAACTTACACATTGGAATCAAAACAAATTACAATTTGATTGCTTCGGGTTGTTCAATGATGAATGATTAACCTACTCAAAATTATCAAGTTAATCAACATACAATAATGGATATTAATGATCATAATTGTTGAGAATGGTTAAATTACAATCGACGATCATGTTAGTTTATTGTTTTCCATCAGTTGATTGTTAATTCATTTGGTTAACAATTAAATATGATTCCTTATATTTTATCATTTTTTTTTTTTTCTCATTGAAAATTCATGAGAAACCAATTTAATTCACAATCATTATCATTCATTGTTGACCTTATTTCTGGGTGAACACTGAACATAAGAAATGAAATTAAGCTTAATCATAATAAAATAATGAATGATAATGATTATAATAGTTGAAAAAGTGAAAGAGTTGGAGGAAATGATTAACTCAATTAAAACATATACAAACTCACAGATTGTTAAGCTAAATTGTTGTGAAGAAGAGACTCAAAGGAGAAAGTGAATTAACCAAATGTGATTTATAAATTATTGTTATTTAATTGTGATTAGTTTTAATCACGAAGAAAAAAAGGAGATAATAAATTAATGAGGAAAACAACTAATATCGAGTGAAGAAAAAGTTAAGGTAAAAGTTAATTGTTATTTACTTTTTTTCCAATTTTCGAAATTTTCATATCATTTCAATTAGTAATCAGTTAATTATTAACAATAAAATAATAATAATATTATGATTATTATTATTACATTAGATCATGAGTTTGGATTAATTAAAAGTAATACATTCAATTGGGAATGTTAATCAATAATATATTCACAATTTTAAACTTTTATCTTAAATAATTAACATGAAACATCAAACAATCAATAATAATAACAATTTAGTTGTTGTAATTGTAGTTGTAGTTGCAGATAGTTAGTTAGTTAGTTAGTAAGCTAGTTAGTTAGTTGATTGTAATAATAATAACATAGTAATTAAGTATTTGTATGTAAAATGAAAACATTAATTGAAGTTAAATATTGATGCTGATGATTATTATGATATTATAACAATCAACGGTGAAAACACAATTTAAATTGTTTCCAATGAAAGTGTTTCTCTCTCATTCTCTCTCTCTTTTTTGTTGATTCTTTTTGATTTAATGAAAAAAACTTTTTAAATTGTTACACTATTTTTGTATTGAAGATGTTGATGATGATCTTTTTTAATCATCATCTAAATTGTAATAATAATAATCGTATATATATTTGAATACCGTGAGAATAGTAATTCTTGATTAGCTCAAGGGTGATTAAGTTAACTACTGTACTTTTACTATGATTAAAAGATGGAGAGAGAGAGAGAGAGAAAGTGAGTTAGTGAGCTAGTGAGAGTGATAGAAAGATGATCAAGAAAAGGAAATTAAAGTTAACTCATATATTACAACATAACGGTAATTGTTGATCATCACCATCATCACCATCATCATCATCATTGACAATCAACTGATCACAAGATGATAATAATAACATCAATACTCAATATAACATAATCATTATCAACATTATCAAAATGATCAACATTGATTTCAGTTAAATCCAATACAAAAAAAGTTTTAAATTGTTACCATTAAACTTAAATAACTAAATCAAGGTTCATTATCATCAATAACCAATTATTTCATCTCAAAGCAATTAACTAACGATCCAGAATACACTCAACACCTACAAGTACGAGTTTTCTAACAATATTACAAACTTAACACTCGCAATCAATTAGATTATTAATACAATTAAAACTAAGTTGTAACATAATTGGGTATTCAATGATCAAATATCAAATATGATTCGATTGTAACAATTATCAATCAACAAATGATCAATAAAAAAAAGTCAAGATATCAGAATGTAGCACATTTGTGCTGAAAAATTGAAATTATCACGATTAATTAATCAATTGCATTTTACTGATTGAACTATTAAATTTTCTGGTCATTAACTCAATCTAACAATAAAAGATACGATTTCAACAACTAGAAGCAAATCACTAATCACGAATCATCATTAACAACTTACAACAATCAAAAAAGTTAATCAGAAGCTCAAACTAAATCAACTTAATCACGATAATAATTGTTATAATATTAAAATGGTTTTTAGTGAAAGTGGTCAGTACATATCGAGTGGTCATCCGTCAGTTAAGGTCACCCAATAGTAAATTAGTGTATTAACAACAATTTGTGATTCCGGGTTTTGATTAGAAGCAAAAAAATTAACCCAAACAGCAGACAATCAATTTGCACAATTTAAATTATCTCAGTTACTTGAATGGTCACTTTGGATTGACCTTTTCAAAGATTGACCAGAAAAACTTTACTGGTCAAGTGCCCCAACCCTAATTACTTTCATTTTTAGTGTAACCTAATGATCAATTTAATCACAACAATCAACGATTTAATCACCAATCAATTTGATTATTATTTTTTTCTGCCTTGCGGACAATTAACTCTCTCACTCATTTTATATAAATCATTGTTTAAATCATGATGGAAACATTAATCAAATCTGATCATCATCAAGCCCAACAATTAACAATTAAAGAGTTGATTAGTTTCCGTTATATTTGAATTTGTTTTTGTTTTAACATTTTAATCAATTGTAAATTGTTTATTGATATTATTATTATTATACAATCAAATCAATTTATATTGTATCAGGTAAATGATTAGTTAATTGTTGGCAAATTAATCATATTCAACTTTGTTTTTGATTAATTTGATTTGGTTTCCTCTTCCTTAACTTTTTGCTTTCTTGATTGTTTGATTTAAATTTCAAAGTTTAATTATGTTCACAATCATAATGAGTGTAAAAGTATCATGCAATTTAATCATAATCAAGATAATTATGATAACTATGATTTACCAGCAATTTAATATCAAGCAATCATTTACAAAGTTGTAAGTATATCAATAATATAATGATTAGATTTAATTGTTTAACTTTTTTTTTTATTTTAATTTCCATCTCAAAGTTAAATCATTGTTATTATCATTTAATAACGTTAATCAAATCTGATCACCATCATTACAACATCATCAAGAAATGTAATTAATTGCTAACAATTAAGAGGGTGAATCAGCTTCCGCATGAAAACAATTTGGTGTAAATAATTTTGTTTGTGAGAAAAGTAAAATCAATTGTGAATTAGTTTTAATTGTTGAATAGATTAACAATCTCTGATGATTAATTTTAATCTTATACATTTAAGATTAGAGATTGAGAATAACAATTTATATGTTAATTGTGACGATTTAAAAGTTTAATCAGTAAAGTTGATCAGGTTGGATTAAAATATAATCCCAAGCAATTAATTGACAACTAAAGGATAACATTTCATCAAGAGTTAAATTGTTGTTTTAAATTGTATTACAATTAAAGGATTTTAAACATGATAAAATATTAAGACAATTTAATCAGTTGATTAAATATTGACCAGATTGGGATTTAAATGGATTGACCATTTACCGTTACAACAATTAATTGGTCATTTCCATCTTGACCCATTTTGACCTGTTCATTGAGATGGACTCATAAGGAATCAAGATGATTTCAAATGTTGATTAAATTTCACAATTAAGGTTCAGTGATTAACTGGAAATTTAAACTGATTCATCTTAAATCAACTCCCACGTTGTTTCTGTTAATTGTTATCATTTTAATTAAAGAAGGAAAATTTTTTTCTCTATCTCTTTCAAATCGTAATTAACATTGTCCATTAACTTTTTAATTTCCTTCTCTTGGTTAACTTATTATACTCACCTGAGTGACCATTGAGTGACCATCTCTCTTGAACTGTTCATTATTTTTATCCAATCAACTTGATCATTATCATTAATTTAGTTTCTATAATTATTGTCTTGGAGTATATTGGAATCAATCAATAAGCTTAACAAGAAAAATAATTGTTTTTCTCAATCAATTTGAAACAATTAAATTAATTTTGTTTTTGATGAGAATTCAAATTGATTTTTTGATTGTGTCCTAAATAAGAAATGAACTTGATTTGGTCAATCAACAGTTAATTCAAGGATGACCATTAAGTGATTCATGTTAGATGAGCTGGTCAATTGAAGTGTTAAATTATGGATTCAATTTAATTGTTAACAGTTGATAATGGTCATTGTCCAGCAAAAAAAAACCAAATTAGTGATTAACTTTTCATTTGCAGTTATTGGTTTTAATTGTGTTGATTATTTTGGTCTCTTACCTTGACCAACTTAACAATTTAGTGTCCAAAAGTTTACAATTAACTCAATATTTTAATTGTGATTAACAAATGGACAAGAGGGGAAAGTGAATTGGTCAAGAGTTTTTGATTAAATGGATTAGCAGAAAAAGATTAAGCAAATTAAATTTAATTTCATTATTCAATTAATTGTTTTCTCTTACTTGTTCATTCAAAGGTAATATTGATAATCAATTGTAATTGTTTGATTGATTTAATTTTATTATATATTTTCAGGTCATTGATTAATAATTTTACTTTTAAATATATTGTATTGATTGTAACAATTAAAGACGAACTCAATTTTTGAGATTATTGTTGCTATTGTCATTTATGATTAGATTACAATGATTGGATGTACAGATAATTAAATTTAATCATGAATTGACCTTGAATTAGATTGTTGTTAAATTGTTGACTAAATTGTTAGTGAATGTCAATCCAATTCGGACAACCCTGTAATTGATTAATTGTTGCTAATTGTAGTCAAGTGTTACAAGTGGAACTCATTTTGTCTCTGTTAATTGTGATTAAGGTGATTTCATTAACTTATCAGAGTTAAGAGTTAATTTAATTGTTTCTCAGTGTACCAATTAAACTGTCACTTTAATCATCAGTCGATCCAATTTAATTCAGTTCAATACTTTTTTTTTCAATCATCTTTTCATAAGTTTAAATTAATCAGTTGATCATCACCAATTAATAAATTGTAATTCTCGTGAAATAATTGCTACTTTAGTCAATTTTATTGATTGTTACTTGATTAGAATGATGATAATTAATTACAATTTAGTTAACTGTTTATGTATTTTGTTAACAGTTAATTGTTCATTAATATCGAGTAGCAATTTAACCAAGGAATCAACAGTTTTACAATCACCATTTTATCAGAAATCATTTCATCAAAATCGCGATAATCAATTGATTAAATTGTCCAGATTAAGACAACAATTAGTGGTAATTTCTTTTGATGGATTTCGTCATGATTATATTGACACATTCAATACACCAAATCTTAAATCAATGGCAATTAATGGAGTTCATGCCCTCAGGGGTTATTATCCTGCTTTTGTCACCAAAACATTTCCAACTCACTGGACTCTTGCCACAGGTAAACAATTAAACTAATTAATATGATTAACTTTCATTTTGTATGACCGATTATTATTGGTTAACCATCATCTTAATTGTTTCCACAATCAATTTCTACCATAATTAACTGGAAATTTGTTGAAGTTACAATTAAGGTACAGGTTTTCATTGTGAGATTTGATTAACTTAATTATCTTTAAGAGGTAATTTTATGTTAACCTTATCTTATAGTAATTGTAGTTAATTACTAGATGTTGTTATTGATCAATTAAATCAAAATCAATTACCATTGAACATATTTAAACATGTTTGCTTTGATAAGGGGAAAATTAAGTTAATCAAAACGGAAACACTTTGATTGTAACCATTGAGATGATTAGTTAATCATGATTAGAGTTTGTAACTATTAATATTTGAATGGTTTGAAATTGATTATCAATTACAATCAATAAAGGTAAAGGGAGAGTGAGAGGGTGAGAGAGAAGGGAATTAATTAATTAATTGTGTTGTAGGTTTACACGAGGAAACTCATGGATTAATTGACAATCGTTTCTATGATTTACAATTTAATGAAACATTTACGCGGTCAAAGGTTGACCATAAATGGTTTGGAGGTGAACCGATCTGGTCAACATGCCGACGACAAAATTGTTCAGCTAATGTCCTTTTCTGGCCTGGAAGTGCATCAGTTAATCAATCTAATGGAAACCATTTTAGTTTACCTTATAATGAGACAATCAGTTTATCGGATCGATTTGATTATTTGATTGAATGGATTAACTCGGGTGTTGATTTAACGATGATTTACTTTCATCAACCGGATCAAGTTGGTCATGAATTTGGAGTCGCCTCTGAACCAGTTCGTAGTCAGGTTGAAACAATTGATTCAATGGTTGGTAATTTAATGATTACCTTACGAAACTCGTCTAGATATTCAAATGTTAACGTTATCATCACCGGTGACCATGGGATGGTCAATTTAACCTCCAACGGGACAATCTATTTGAATGATTACATTAACTTGACCGATATTTCAGTTATCTCCCAATTAGGTCCTGTGGCCAGTTTATTGCCCAAACCTGGTAAATTTGAGGTCATCTATGAGTTATTAAAGACCAGCGGTAATCCCAATTTTACCGTTTATCTGAGGAAAGATATTCCCAGTCGATTTTATTACAAAAATTCACTTCGGATTATGCCGATTGTGATTTTCGCACATGAAGGATACACGATTGATTCTGTAAGTTGTTTAATCAATGGTAACAATTAACAACAGGTCAAAATGTTTTCTAAATAATCTTTTGTACTTTGATCGTCTTTTTTAGGCTCCACGGGTACGACGAAGACGTAAAGTGGCCTTTCATGGGTACGATAATTTACTTCCCTCTATGAGGCCGATCTTTTTTGCCGAAGGACCAGAATTTAGGAAAAATTATCAAGTGGAACCTTTTAATTCTGTTAATTTGTATTCACTTTTTTGTCACATTTTACGAATTCAACCAGCGCCAAATAACGGGACCTTGAGCTCGATCAGTCATATGTTGTCCAAATCTAGTCAATTGTATCAAAATTTAGAAGATGAGAAAGAGCAAAAAGGTAAAATCTACGATTAACTGTCGATAATCAAAATCGATAAATTTGTTTGTCAATCACAAATGGAATAAGTTAATTTTCTAATTGTTTCTTATGATTAAAGAGGGAATATTTTTATACCAAAATGTCGATTCTGTAATTACTTTTGTACTAATATCGTCTTGATGGTGATCTGTTATTACTACAAGATTCAGTTTCTTTGATTAGTGATTTAAATAAGCGCCAAACTTGGTCGTTTTTAAGACAAACAACACCACCGCTTCGTTTATATTGTGACCTCATTCTGTTTATATCACCGATACAAGTCCAGTGGTTACTTGAAGTTTCTGTCTTGGTAATTGTCCATTTTGAATGATCTGAGGTGAATTCCCAATCAACTGAGGCTGAACGATTATCGGGAAAGTTAATTCTCAATGATTGGATGTTGATTGTTTGCTTTTTCCTTATGGGACAAGATGAATTTAATATCCCACCAGCACCTCGTCTCCATGTTTGTGTGTAAAGGTCACTTTTCAGGGTTGGACTGATTTCTTCTGAGTAAATGTCAACCAAAACCTTTGATGGTTTACTGAAAGCTAAAAATTCATCAGCTGATTTATCAGTTCCGGTGATTTTTGTCTTTATAATTTCATCGCTGATACTTTTCCGTGATTGGAGTGGTGATAATAAACTTTGGAAATATTCATTGTCACTGGGAATGGTTTTGATTAAATTGTAATCATAAATGTTTGGCCGTAAAAAGGTCAAGTGACGGCCAATTTTACTTCCTTCTGATTGAGTTTGGAAACTTAAACACATCGACAATTGACCATTTTCTCGGCCAGTATCGGGATAATTGTAACTTCCGTTGAAAAGAGGAGGGAAATTAGGAACTGAGTGTATTAACCAGAATCCCGATCTAGAGTCCAAAGCAAGAACACCCTTAGAATGAGCATAATAACTGTTACCTGGAATTGGAAGCATTTGGAAATAGAAAAGTTAACAAACAATTAGACTTTAACATAGATAATTATCAAACGAAACTGTACCTTCGCTGTTGGGTGGATCATCATTCCAGGCTAAATAAGTGTAATCACGACGATTAGAGTATAATGGTGCTAATGTTTTACCCCAAATTGAGTCTGCACTATTAACTAATCGTCTTGACAATTTCCAATTTTCATGTTGTTTACTTGTGATCAAACCATAAGTGTATCCATTTTGTTTATCACCATTTGAATTGTCTTTGGGAAGTTTATAAGTAAAAAACCAATCAACTGATTTACCAGTTTCGTCAAGACACTTAATTGCTTCAAACGGATCCAGAAAGCACAAAAATAGGCACATAATCAATGAACAATTTAAAATAATCATAGTGATTTTTTAGATGAATATAAATCAGAAAGAAATTGATATTTACCAGATTAATAGTATTTCCAAAGTTACAATAGTAAAACAAAATCTAGAGGTCATCATATGGTAAACCTGTTTTTCAGCAAACGGAAAAATTGTAGACCAACTGACTAAACCAATAATTATTAATAATTAACTGGTTGGAAAACATATTGATACACAATTAGGTGGATTAAAATAATCCCATCTAATTAATTACTCGTAAAGAAATGAAAACAATATTAGATTGACAAATATGTTTCTCTTGATTAGACTCATTCAATAATTCAATTATTGATTAAATTGATATTGAGATGATTGATCATTGAGAGAAATTAATTTGAGGAAAAAAATAACAATAAAAGTCGAAGAGTTGATATTGTAGGTCGAAAATGTGGAATACAATTAACTGATTGTGTCTTTTTCTCGGTAACAATTAAAAGTAATTCACTTACCGGTCCAGTTTTTGCGAAGGGTCACCCATTGATGAACTATTGGGTCCACGGGAAATTGGGGCTTCAACATGCTTGGTAATTGAACCAATTCCGAGACGAGGTGAATTAGATGGTGATATTGGGGTTGGTGTTCCAATTGTTCCTGATTGAACTTCTTATTGTTCATTGGGGATAATTAAACATTCACAAAATTAATTAAAAAAATTGAGAGAGACAATTAAAGGACAATTAGGAGTAAACAACAAGCTCTAAATTAGTATTACAGCCTAAAGGAGGTGAGAAATTTGGATAATCAATTAAGAAGCGGTAAAGCGGTGGATCGGTTAATCGCCTTGTCATTTGATTTCTTTGAAATAATTAACACTTTTTCTCTCATTTTATCGATTAAATTGTTACAACAGAGAATTAAATTTAAACATAATCAATTAAACAAAAAGAATATCATAATTACCTTTCTGTTTACTTTGTTCTTCTTCTAAAATCGCTTGATAAACAGCCGAATGCTTATTAACGGGAGCATCAGGTTTCATAAAATTAATTCTAAATCAACACATATCAACACATAATTAATCATTGAGAGAAATTAATTTGAAACAATTAAAACTTACCCCATAACACCAGGAGCCAATTGCTCCGTATGAGCTTGAAGAGTTTCCTTAATGTTACTCTCAGAGTATAAGTTAAGTGGTGAATTGAATTGTTTATGCACCAAAGCGGGAAGTCTAGGGTTACCTCCGCCGATCCCACCGACCCCACCGAATGGTTTCGCAGCGGAGTTGTGTCCAGTTCCGATGGGTCGAGGTTCCTGAACATTTTCACAACAATTACAAAGCAAAATTAAAAAAAATCGAGGAAAAACAATCAAAGTCAAAGGGTTGATATTGAAGGTCGAAAATGTGAATACAATTAACTGATTGTGTCTTTTTCTCGGTAACAATTAAAAGTAATTCACTTACCGGCCCAGTTTTTGCCAACGATGTCTTGGTAAATGTTGCTGGTGGTGTTGAATTAGATGTTGGTGTTGAGTTAATTGTTCCTGATTTAGGTAAATCACCAACTGCAGTGACCGTTGGTCGCCAAGTTAATGTCCCACCTCTGATTAGATATAACAACAATTAAGAGATAATTTGATGATACAAATATTAAAAACCGAATCAATTCTTATTGAGAATTTCTTAATTAAAATCTTGAATTGAAAACTTTTCTCTGAAAATAAAGTCTATTTATAGAGAAATGAGCGTAAGAATATCTCCAAGTTATTTCTACGAATTGTTTACAAATTGTTTCTGAATGTGATCAATGTGATAACATTTTCAACTAATTAATTGACATTTAAATTGTTTTTCTGTAAGAAATTTGATATTCTAATTAAATAGTTCAATTGTTCATCTGTAGAAATTGGAAAAATTAGGTAAATCAATTCTATTCTTATTTGTTTTGTTTTCTATTTTCTCTTTCCATTTTTCTGTTAAATTGATTGTTTACTTTTCTCTCTTCTAATTACACTCGTAGATTTCAATGTTATTTTCTTCCAAGTTAATTAATTATTCTAAATGTTGTTCACCTGTTCATCCATTGATCAGTGGTCGGTGGACTCAAGTAACTCATGGTAATTTCAAATGTTTCCATGAAGTAAATGGCAATAAAAGTGTTCATAGTCTGAAGAGATTTGATCTCAGAAGTAATTTTAATTGTCTCGAAACTATTCAGGTTTGTATTGATTATTATTAGAATGAATTTTGTTCTAATTGTTTTGTACCAAATTTACGAAATTTAATTATCAGTAATTATTAATTTTCTTTTTATTGTTTTTTTTCTAAAGATTCGCCAGTTATCAAAGAAGTTCAATGACAATTCTCAGACCGATAAAAGATCAACAGTGAAGAATAATAAATCTGAACAGTTCATCTCTCTTAGCCAAATGGAAACGGAAATTGGACAAAACGATGAAATTAACAAAAGAATCTGGACCATCCCTAATGGCCTATGTTTATTCAGAATACTTGTCTCTCCGATTGTCGCCTACACAATCATCAACAATCAACCTGTTGCATCGGTTGCGATTTGCATAGTTGCCGGTCTAAGTGATTTTGTGAGTTTTAATCATCAATTTAAAAGGAAATAATTTCTTAATTATCTCATCATAATTAAACTGATCTCTCAGGCTGATGGATTCATCGCTCGTCGATATGAAAGCCAAAAATCAACACTCGGAAGTATAATAGATCCAGTCGCTGATAAAATTCTGGTCACAACTTTATTTCTATCAACAGCAATTAGTGGACAATTACCTGGTAAGTTATTACGATTAATTCTCTTAAATTTGTCTAATTCTTATTCTACTTTTTAATCATTTACAGTTTTATTAGCTTCCATTGTAATTGGACGAGATTTAATCTTGATTCTTGGTGCAGCCTTTAAGCGATATCAGTTAATGTCCCAACCTCGCACGTTATTACAATTTTTCAATCTCAAAGGATTAAATATGGAGGTTAAATCATCAATGATTAGCAAATGGAACACAACATTTCAATTTACTTTAATTTCTTTAACAATTGCTTCACCAATTCTCAATATAAGTGATAGTATTTTTTTAATCTACTTTCAATATCTAGTCGCCACCACAACAATTGCTTCTGGAGTTGATTACATTTTCAATAGAGATAAATATATTTCTTCATTGAAACGAAAATGATGAAACGTAATTTGGTTTTGTTTGTTTGTTTGTTTTTCGGACAATCAGGAGAAAAGGCGGAAAAGGAAATTGGACAAAGATGAAACAATAGAGTAAAGGTGAGAATAGAAGGAAAAAGAATCACAATTAACAGAGAAAAATTGAACAATTTATCAATTATTTGAGGGATTTTAATTTTCTTTTCTCGTCTTTTTTTTCAAAAAGTAAGACTTTTTAATCGTTTAATTTAATATCTCTCATGATGTTTCACTTCCTTAGTTAAATATTATATTAATTTGATTGTTTTTCGGTTTTTTTCCTCTTTGATTATTGGCACTTTTAGAGTTGAAGATTGCATTTGGACCTTGGGTGGCGGCAGCGGTGGTGTTGGCAGAGAAATCGTTTTTATATTTGTCCCGTTGGTTTATTGTAGTTTTTAAGGTCATCTTTTCCGTTGTCGTTCATCTTGCATGACTTTTACAGAAAGGTCGACCTCCTTTGGCAAAGAAACTTTGACCTTCCAAATTTTTATGGCAAATGGTACATTTAAAACACGTTGAATGGTAATTGTTATTCAAGGCTTCCACCCATCGGTCACCAGCCTCAATTGGGAATCCACAGGCGACACATTTAGTGGTAAACAATTCGTTCCAATCTTTTTCGCAATAGGGAAGGCCATCTTCGAGATAGAATTGACTATTACCAAAGGGCCTTTTACAGTAATTGCAATTAAAACACTCGGGGTGCCATTGTTTTTCCAGAGCCATCAAGCAATCCTATTAATAGAGTCATAAAGGAAGAGGAAGTAAAAAGAAAATGTCAATCAATCAAATCTTAAAGTGCAAAAAAAGTCTTAAATATCTGTGAATTGTCAGTATCATCAAAATGTAAACCAAAAAGAAAACCTAAATTGTCACCAAATTTACAGCTATTAACGTTAATTGCGACCAACCACTTGGCTAGTACTAAAAATAGATTCATCTCATCAAGGGAAAACTCATATTAACCTTTTGAATCGATTGAATCGATTGAATTGTCTCATTCTCTTTTTTTTATTGTACTTTTCGTGCCTTATCCTTAATTGTAATGCCTACACACACATAACAATGTAAAAGAGAACAATCAAAATGAATTAATCTAATCAATCTTAACAACTAATCCATGGATTAGTTTTAAATTCAACCATGGATGTGTTGGATAAAACAAAGAAACAAAAACTATCAAGTAACAAGGAATTAACTAAATCATCAACCATTGCCTTTTAACAGAAGCCAAAACAACTTGATTTGCATTTTTCATCTTCCTCTCTTTTATCATCATCATCATCTTCCTCTTTCATCTTCTCTTTCTCCCTGAGAAAAACTAATTAACTTAACTCATCAATTTACTCCCATAAATATAACTTGCGATACTGAGTAAGTTACTCAAGTATTTTGTCCAACAAGAAGAAAATTAAAGAAAAAGTTAACAATCTGTTGATATTAGAATTAATTGTCTTCAACAATTAACTTACCTTTTTAATTCTAATTCCACATTTAGCACATATTGGTGCCAAATAGGATTCGAAACAAACTTCGCAATAAAGTTCACCTCGTTCCTCGACGAATCCAATGTCCTCCAGTAATCGGTGACAACTCGCGTTCGCACATTGAAAATGTTCAGGGCACCAAGTTTTTCCTAAGGCCACAATGAACGGACCTCTAAACAGTTTCGAGAGAAAGAAACAATTAGTTAATTGTGAAATTAAGCGTGGAAATTTTCGTGCCAATTCAAGTTACAATTAAAGTTAAGTCAGTTGATCGAAAGTTTTGTTTTTAAAAAGTTTGTAAACTTTTTCTTCTCATTGAAACAATTAATTCAATCAATTTAACTTGATTGCCAACTGTTGGTTATTAAATTGTTAGAATCTGATTAATAGAAAGTTTCTCAAGTTAATTGATTAGATTTTGGATGATTATTAGTTGTTTTTCAATCTTTACATTGTAACTCAATTTCTTCATGCTCATAATTAAGATTAATAATCTAATTACCTTAATTTTGAGATTAATTAACTGATGATTTCCAATGATTTTTAGAAGGCCACTTTTTAATTTAGTTAATTAATTTCATCTCGATTTTTGGGAATTTAATTTAATTTGTTTTACACTTTTACGTTTTCATGTTGAATTTAAAGTAAAACTAATTAATTAAAATCGCGACCTAACGACTCAATTACGATTTCTAAATTCGAAGCACTAAATTAACTTTCGATCGAGAAAACTGACCAATAGAACATTTGTTTTTCGATAATTACACTTTACCTTATCGGTGAACCACAACTCGAACAAATGGGAATTCGTATTCCAGGACCGACCTGAGGCTTTAGTTGACCTCGACCTCGACGAGGAGCGGGTCGAGAACCGGGTATTGATGATTGACCGATAGTGGTTGGTGTTGAATTGGTGGTAGTTCCTGACGGCAAGTTTACATTGGAAGCTAACGAAGTAATTAATCGGGTTAATATGAGATAATCAACATAATTAAATTGTAACTCATCTGATGGAGACAATCAACTAAACTGATTTATAATTAACTGAATAACTAATTAGCAATACGAATACCTAATTGGTCAGTTTGGTCAATTTTTTGTTTCTTTGTCTTAATTAAATGTTATATATAATTAAACTTAACGATTGATTAATAATTAACAATTTGATCATATGTTTGTTAAAGCTTCGTTTATTTTTAATCGTTTGTTTAGTGTTAGAATTGATCATCGCTGATAATTAGTTAATCGTGATAAGTGTTTATGTTATCGTTTTGTCTGTGTGATCGTTGATTTAATAATTGTAATTTATTTTCTTAATCATCGATAGTTACTTGCGTTACTTGGTGTTGATATTTTGGGAGGCTCATAGGTGCTCATTGGCCTTTGACCTCCGGGCGGAGGGACAGGTCTAAATGTTGGTGGGCCAGTTGAAGGTGGTACCATTGATGGGGTGGGCATTGAACCAGGTAATTGGGTTGAAATTGAAAGTGGTACCTCTGGAGTACCAACCGGGGTCACTGGTTTCGGTGGGGGCCAAGTAAATTTGGAACCACCTTTTTGAATTGATCGTGAAAGAAAATAGTAAATCAAATGAAACTGTTAATCAGGTGATTACAATAATCGATAAATGAAACAATTAGAACAATTTGAAACTCGAAACTCGAACCTGAAACATCCTTGTGAACATCTTGTGATGGAGCAGTGTAAGGATGGGGATGACTTTGATAAAGATTCGGCGATTGAGATCCCATTGGTTTGTACTATTATCGAGATAAAATTGTGGATTAAATTATTTTTCAACAATTAGAATTAGTTAATTATAATCGTTTACCTGTGGTTTAGGTGCAACCATAGGAGGTGGAGCCGAATTAACTTGATTCATCATCGGTGTTGTTGTTTGTAAAAGTCGAGGACTTTGAGGAGCATCAACATGATGGATACTTCCAGGGCTTTGTTGCTAAATTGCGAAACAAACACAATTAACTTGATTGTTGATTTACATTTACAACCTTATTTTTCATATCTTACATGCCAAGGTACTGCCCCAAGGACGGAAGGTGATGTAGGTCGATCTATTATGCTCGAAGGTTGCGTTGGTGAGGGTATCGTGATTCGTGGTGAACTCATCTTTCCAGGGGTCGGTGATACATTCTGAGGAATCCCTCCGATTCCGATGATATTTGCATCCTTTGGTATTGCTGCTCCACTGTTATCATTAGAAATCAATAGTCAATCAATTAATTATTACAAAGACAAACACACTAGTTGATTAACTCATCAAGATCATTCAACTAAATAGATTACAATTTGGTTTCATTGAATCAGTTTAATGAAATTGTTACTTGAAAGTAAATCAAATCCATTTGAAATCGATCAATGTTTAATCAATGAATAAAATTAACTGTTGATTTACAAACAATTATGTAAATGTTTCACTTTCTATTTATTATCATTACTAATACTTATTGGAATGAATTTTTTGGATTCAATCCAGAGAGAAATTTTTTCGCAACTAATTTTCATGATTAACTAACTGGAAATGTTGATGCTCTGTTAATTGTTATTCATTTATATAAATTTACTTTGGTTAACATTTTTCACTCATCAAGATTGACAAAAAACACAAAATGTCTGTTATATTATGTAAGACAATTAGGGTTACACGTGTTATCATTTGGTTGTATTGGCTGTTTTTCTGATTGTTATCGTTTAATTGTTGTGGTTAAATACTTACGGTCTTACGGTAACTGGTTCAAGGTTTGATTGTCCAGTTGAATTAGCCAAATGTTGAGCTGCTTGTCCTGCATGAGCATCGCAATAAAGTTTATCATTGACATTAAAGTAGCCTACGTTCTTAAGGGATGTCCCACAAGTGGCACATTTGAAACACTCAGCGTGTAAGGATTTATCTCGAATCCGACAGAAAACACCGGTAATTAATCCACCGCATTGACCACAAGTATTAATTGATGATTGTGAAGGGTCACCCATTGATGAACTATTGGGTCCACGGGAAATTGGGGCTTCAACATGCTTGGTAATTGAACCAATTCCGAGACGAGGTGAATTAGATGGTGATATTGGGGTTGGTGTTCCAATTGTTCCTGATTGAACTTCTTATTGTTCATTGGGGATAATTAAACATTCACAAAATTAATTAAAAAATTGAGAGAGACAATTAAAGGACAATTAGGAGTAAACAACAAGCTCTAAATTAGTATTACAGCCTAAAGGAGGTGAGAAATTTGGATAATCAATTAAGAAGCGGTAAAGCGGTGGATCGGTTAATCGCCTTGTCATTTGATTTCTTTGAAATAATTAACACTTTTTCTCATTTTATCGATTAAATTGTTACAACAGAGAATTAAATTAAACATAATCAATTAAACAAAAAGAATATCATAATTACCTTTCTGTTTACTTTGTTCTTCTTCTAAAATCGCTTGATAAACAGCCGAATGCTTATTAACGGGAGCATCAGGTTTCATAAAATTAATTCTAAATCAACACAAATCAACACATAATTAATCATTGAGAGAAATTAATTTGAAACAATTAAAACTTACCCCATAACACCAGGAGCCAATTGCTCCGTATGAGCTTGAAGAGTTTCCTTAATGTTACTCTCAGAGTATAAGTTAAGTGGTGAATTGAATTGTTTATGCACCAAAGCGGGAAGTCTAGGGTTACCTCCGCCGATCCCACCGACCCCACCGAATGGTTTCGCAGCGGAGTTGTGTCCAGTTCCGATGGGTCGAGGTTCCTGAACATTTTCACAACAATTACAAAGCAAAATTAAAAAAACGAGAAAAATCATTGTAACCGAGAAAAAAAACAACAATCAAAGTCAAAGGGTTGATATTGAAGGTCGAAAATGTGAAATACAATTAACTGATTGTGTCTTTTTCTCGGTAACAATTAAAAGTAATTCACTTACCGGCCAGTTTTTGCCAACGATGTCTTGGTAAATGTTGCTGGTGGTGTTGAATTAGATGTTGGTGTTGAGTTAATTGTTCCTGATTTAGGTAAATCACCAACTGCAGTGACCGTTGGTCGCCAAGTTAATGTCCCACCTCTGATTAGATATAACAACAATTAAGAGATAATTTGATGATACAAATATTAAAAACCAAATCAATTCTAATTAATCTTATCAACTCTAATTATAATTAACGTAGAAAAAGGTTAATCATAATTATCTGGTTTCTATTAGTTAATTTTGTTTTTCTCTCGCAATCAAACAAATCAAAATCTCTCATAAATAAATACATAAATAACTCTAATCACTAATCAGTCCCTTTTGGTTATAATTAGATTGTAAATGTCAAATTGTTGTTAAAACATCATCAACATTGACATGATCATCAACTTAATTCAGTTGAAACAATTTACAATCATAATAATTTACTCTCATTCTCATTTTTATTTTATTTCCACTAAATTGTTACCATTTTTCACCTTCGACAATTAACAAATTGTCTTTGCAATTTCATCTCATTTTTGATAAAATTTAAATTCCGAATCAATTAATAATAATTAGTAAGAAAAAGTTAAATTGTTATACGAATACAAATTAATTAATTTCTTTATTCTCATTCCTTTGCCAATCATTAGATGATTAAAATCTAATCATTTAGTTAATTTGGTTTATCCAATTTGATTAAAATTCATTTATATATAATTAACATGATCAATATACTTAAATTAAGCATTAAAATTTCAATTAAAAGTTTAAATTGTTAGCAAAATTTTCAATAACGAGATTATAACGGTAAATCCGATTGTTAATTCTTGTTTTGTAATCATAATCATAATTAACGGTTGATTTGATTGCAATTGATTCCTGATGAAGTTTTTATTTTTGATTCAACAGCCGATGACAATTTAATTGTTGTGACGAGAGCATTTGATTTGATTTAAAATAAAGATCGACGACACCTAAATACAATAATTAATAACAACAATTAGGAAGCAAATTAACTGAACACTAATATAAATTAACGTAACAATCAATCAAGAAAACAAGACGACAATTGAAAACAAAAGTAAATCAAATCAATGTTAATCTTTTTGTTAATTTACAATTAAAACGCGTAACTAACAGTTAATTACCACAATTTAGTAAATATTATTACTCCAATTAAAGTAAATTCAATTGATTATTTCTTTTCGTTCACAATTTCGCAATTACGATTAATTGATTTCTTTCTCATTCTGAAACTTTTTTTTTTCTTTCATTTCTACTCAAACATGATAATATATTGATTCTTTTGACGATTAAAGTTTAAGCAATTAGTTAATTGTTACTATTTACCTTTGAACTTGAAGGTCAAGATTATTCTTGGCACTTTTAATCGCTTCCTGGGCTTCATGATGTAACATTTCTTGACCACTCGAAGAGCCGATTTTAATTATGAAATCGCCGACTTGTAATCCACCTTGTTCAGCTAAACTTCCAGGGTTAATCTGTTAATCCAAAGCAAATTAACTCATTTGATTAATTGTTTTTCTTTCTTTATCAATTCAACAACTATCATCATTAATCATATCTTATTGTGTCTCTCTTATGAGTTGATTGTTGAGATTTTTTTCCAATTGTGTCACCTTGATATTGTTTTTCTTTTCCAGTTCTAATAATAATCTACAGGTAGAGAAGATGATTTCAGGAACTTCGATCAATATTCTCTCTCTCTCTCTCTCTCTCTCTCTCTCTCTCTCACTGTCTGTGTTTTTCCCTTTATCCCCTGAGGCATTTGTTTTTTTTTTCGATGTGTTTATGTTACATGTACTTTTCGTCTTTTCCTTAAGGTTGTTTTCGTCTTCTCTTTTCGTTGGTTGGTAATAAATACTCGTTGGTGTGGTGGTGATGCTTCAATTTTTACTTTTCCCTCTACTCATCATTTCTAACCCAAGGGGAAGACCTAATTTTGGAGTAGCTTGGATTACGTTGGTAACCATTTACACAAACACATAGAAGTCAGAGTGAGCAACCAAAGATGGTAAGTGGTATGAATCGTTTTCATCATCATCATCATCTCTCTTTCTCTCTATCATTCTCTTTCTTTCTGTCAAAATTTTCATCCTCATCCTTATCATCTCTCTCTCTCTCTCTCTTTCGTTGTCTTCAGATTCCTTCTCGATTGGTTTATACTCTATGCTGCCAAGTTAAGAGCAAAGCTAAACGGGAACACGCATCGGGATTGTTAACATTTTACACTCAAGAATCTCATCACCATTCAGGATTTTTCGCCATCTTTTTCATCATCATCATCATCATCTAAATCTAAATCTTCAATATTCATCTCATTCTCATAATCTACATCTCTTTCTTTTTCTTTCTTTCATCTCTTTTCATCATCATCTTCCTCTTTCTCTTTTGTATTTCTATTGAATGAATGTAAACAAAATTGAGATAAAAATTCAACTCATTGTAAGGTTGATTGTCGACAATTTCATTAATCAACTTGGTTTACTCTTAATTTACTGATTTACTTCATCTTCCCTTAAACTTTTTCCTAATCAACTTGGTGATCTTGTTTTCGCTTTCGTTATCTAATTAACCACCACACTCTCATTTAGACACCGGCTCCTTCATCTCAGAGACTTAATTGAAGTTGATGTTGTCACTGATTATCAATGAGGTAACAATTAACTAGACAACAACAGATAGATAATGATAATCAACTGAATTGACTTTGATTTAGATGAATTGATGATAAAATGTTGATACAACATTCGCTGGTCAATTGTATTGTCTTAATTGTAAAGGTTTAAATCATTTCAATCGGTGATAATTAAGGTTAAGCTGCACTAGATTGATCAATATCAAGTTTAAATATTTAATCCATCATGATAGATACAGTCAACAATTAACACTAATCAACAATCTAACCCACCTTAGTGTTGAATTTTGAGATGAATGAAAAAAAGATTAAGGTAAAAAAAAACAATGTCAATGTGTCAATCAAATTGTTATGGTCAAGGACAATCAACTGGTCAAAGTTGAAATGATCAAAAGTGATCCTTAATTACTGACATAATCGTGTTAAATTGCATACAATTAAGGAGATGTTGGGATAAATTGAGAAGCTAAAATATCACTAACTGATTTTGAATGTTAATCATTGACAGATTAACTATTAACCTTTATTTTCCTGACCAATAACTTTAATCAATTACAACAATTAGTGAAAGACAGACACAAGAAAAAGGCAACAATTAACTTAATCACTTGAAATGAAATACAAAAAGAAAACAAAATTAATGATGATCAAGAAAAACCAATTTCTCAGCTCAAAAGTAATCAATCAAATGATGATTAAGAAAAATGAACAATCAACAATAATTATAATCACTTTGAAAGAAAACAATTGTAAATTGTTAAGTTAATAAGGGAAATAGATTCCTGTCACTCTCTTAATTGTTACAATCAAATTAGTCAGTTAATTACCTTTGAAACTGCTAAAGGTGTTCCCCAATCCTTACCACCCTGTAGCCTGAATCCCCAGGGTGATGAAGCATCACCTCGGTTCATCCGAACGGTAATTAATTGTCCAGACATGATTGAAGTTGATCAGCTGATGAGGGAGAAGAAATTAACTTAATCACAACAATTAGGAAATCACAGAACAAAAAAAAAGTAGGAAAGAAGAAGAAATTTTTTTCTTTCGAAATCGAAGTTAACAATTAACAATCAGATGATAATGATGATGATTATGAAGATGATGAGGTAACACACACAATCCAAGAGTAAGAGAAACAATTTAATCAACAATTAAAGTAGATGGTAGGGAAAGACACATAAAAAGATGGTAAACAATCAAATTTAATTGTTGCTTTAAATGTGGGGAAAAAGATTCAACAACCAACCAGAAAGAAGACAAATCAGTTCTCTCTGGTTCGAGAAAACCAGAGATCTAAAAATGAACTAACATGATGATAATGGCGAAGATGAGAGAGAGAGAGAGAGAGAGAGAGAGAGAGAGAGAGAGAGAGAGAGAGAGAGAGAGAGAGAGAGAGAGATAAAAAAGACAGAAAGAGAAGAAAAAGAGATGATGAGGATGATAAAGAAAGAGGAAGAGAAAAAACTTTTCAACAGTTTGTTCTGATTCGATGTTACGTTTTCTTCTGACGAAAGAAATAAAGAAAGAGAAAGAGAGAGAGAGAGAGAAGAGAAGAGACGATGATGATGATGATGATGATAAAGATGAAATGTACAGTTAGATGAAAAAAACGTTCTAAAAGCTTGGAATTATCTTCGAGGCGTAAAAATGTCTTGATATTTATTTCGTTACGAAAAAGTCGCCTAATCATGTTGATCATCTTGATCATCACCTCTAAATTAGTTTGTTAATTGTTGTTTGATTTGTGGTTAGAATTTGATTCTTAGCCCTTAATCAAGATTCGTGGTGATGATTAACTAATGAAAGCTTGATGAATTATTATTACATAATAATTAACTGATAATGATTGTGTTCAGGATGATGATTAAAAGGAAATGATTAATTTAACGTTGATTATGTTTGATTTTAATTGTTTCGATTAACAATTTTTAGTCTATCATTGTAAATTCACTTAATTAGCATTAAAAAAAATTCCTTATAGCTAATTTTGGAATTTAATTCTCTTCACCTTGATTGTTAATCTTCTTAGTGATTTACTTGAAATTTGTGTTTATATTTATAACAATTTAAACTAAATTTGTTTCTCTCTCAGAGCAATTTATTTAACCCAAAGAGTTAATAGCTGATTCGCTCGAAGCTAAACTTGGCACAGACAAACATAATTATAATTACCAACAATTAACTAACTAATCTAATGAAAAAAATGTGCTCATCAAGTGGAAGGAAGAAAAATTCACCAAATTAACTAAATTAATTGTGATTCATATGCTTCACAATTTATCAAATCATCGTAATAATTAATGTTAACACAAATTCACAAAAAGGCAAATAATAATAATAATTTCCTTTAATTCCATATAAGTATCGATAATTATAGAAAATCTGTTAATTGTTAATTTATCAATTCGATATTAACAAATAAACGAACTCAATTAACTATTATTGATCATAATTTCCGATCCATAAATTAATTTCCTTTATCGAAAAAATTAATCATTCAAACTCTCTTTTCACCATAAATTGATTAACAATCCCAATAGAAATTAATTTCTTTCAATTGTTTAAGTTTAAATTTCTATTGATAATTTAAATTGTTTCATTTTCACCGAGAGATGGAGCCACTGAAACTCTTTTTCTATTTGGATAAAAATGATTATCTAATTAACGATCACTGTTTATATTTTATTTTCCTTTTTTAATTTCTTAGTATCGACGTAATTTTGATCTAATTTCGTATTTTAATTGTGTCTTCTAGTCCCTTGTAGCCCGTGAGACGCCACAAGAAACCGTCACGAGGAATTTGAATCGACCGGTTCATGAGTTTCCCTCGAGTTGAATCAAAACCATGGATACAAAAAGTGAGTTTATTTGGTTTTGTCTCATGTGTTTTGTTTAAATTGTTTAGTTTTGATCAATTTAAATTGTAAATTGTTCACTTGTTTTCTTGGTTCTTTTTCTTTCTTCAACTTAGTTTATTGTTAAGTTACAACATTAATTATCATACAAGAGAATTTGAGCTTTTCGCTGGTTCGTTTACATATTATCTTTCTTGGAGATATTTTTTCTTGAAGGTCCAACAAAAGTGGTTGTAATTTTTTTGGGGATTTTCAATCAAAGGTGTGGTGGTGATTGTGGTAAAGAGGAGAAAAGAACAAAAAAAAACGAAAGAGAGAAAAGAACATAATGGAAATAATCAAGAAACCAACCATTTTGTGTAGTAATTATGAAGTTTTGAACATATTGAAGGAGGTAAAGGAGAGTAAAAAACATAAGGATCAGAAAAACTTGGCCACGGTGACATATGAGGCGCTTAAATATTTGGAGGAGACCAATGTTTGTGTCTATCAAAGTGAGGATACAATAAGAGCTTTTTTACTTGCTATCAAAGCAAAAGGTATACGACTTACTAAAGCCGAGAAATTACAGTTAATTAACAATCGACCGGCTACTTTGGTAGAACTTCAATTATTAATTGAGGAAAATGAGGAGCGATTCAGTGAAGAAGCGCTTAACTTGATTCTGAACTTGGTTCAAGAGTATCTTCCAGGAGATCCTAATCAAGAGACAGCTGAGATGCCAAGTGATGATGAAGAGGAACAAAATGGAGGAGGAGGAGTAGGAGGAGAAGGTGAAGAGGAGGAGGAGGATGATGACGATGACGATGATGATGATGATGATGATGATCATGTTGAACAAGAGAAGGAGGGTGGTGATCATGTGGTAAAGGTGAAACAGGAGGTGGAAGACGAAGAGGATAAAGAAATTCCTATGGATTCAAGTTGATTGGTTTTCTGTCTTATGGATTGCTAAATGATGAGATTAATGTACAATGATATAAAAAAAATTGTATAATATCATCTTACTTGTTGCACATAATGATTGCTTTTGTTAAGATTTTTTTTTGTCAAAATGTTTTATAAATAGAATAAAAAAAAGTTATCAAACCCCTTTTTTCACCATTTAATTCAATCTCTGGTTTTTTTTAACTCATCAACTTTTTCTTAATATGATTGTGATTATTTGTATTATTGCGATGAAAAGCAGAAAACTTTGCTTTGCCAGTTCCCGTCATTGCTTTTACGATTAGGTGGATAAATTGTGTGTATGTTTGTGTGTATGTGTGAATATTTGGTTATTGGTTTATCTTAGTTCATCGTAATGACGATTATTGCGACATTCTATATAATCTAGAATGTGATTTACATTAGCATCTAGATCATCAGGTTCATCGTTGTTCAATTCATTGATCATATCTTTCTCAAAAGTTGCTTTTGCCTCATCCAAGATGACTTGAAATATTTCACTTTCCATGTTGGTATCAAGCTTTTTCTGTGAATAACCACGATCCGATAGACGATCAAATAAGGGAGTATTGGAAGTGCGTAGAACGAAAACTTGGTCAAACCAATCGTCAGGGAAAAGGTCACAACCATGAAAATCAACAATGACACCACCTTGATCATCCTCCATGATAGGCCTCATCTGTTCAACAACAGCATCTTCATCCAATACATGACATTCAAGTGAATGATCATATTCAATGTAAAGTTGCCTTTCAGCAGCAAATTCACTTACATTGATGTATTGGTAATTATGGAGGGAACTTAAAAGTTTCTCACAAACTGAAGTCTTACCAGTACCTGGAGTTCCGGTAACCAAGATATTTGCATAGCGACGGACACTGGCCATTCCTTGGTGGGAAAACAAGATGAAAAAAAAAGAAGAGCTAAAGATGAGAAATGAAGATGATGATGAAGATGGAGTTTTGGTGGAGTTTGACGAGAGAAGAGGAAAAAGGGAAGGAGGACAAAAGAAGAAGAGATTGACAAAACTATCAAATGAACGAGTAACAATCAACAATAGAAATTAAATAATATTAATCGATAAACAATTTACTAAATCTGAGAGTAGAAAAAAAAAATTCACAATAAAAGTGGAAAAATCAAACATTCCAATTGTGAAGAGAAATTGAAGATCCATTAGAAGCGCCATCTTTGGGGTAGAAGAGAATTTACCATTTTTGTTCTTCTCTCTTTTTCTCTTTCTCTTGATATTTCTTTTTTTTTCTTTCTTTAGTTTCTTTCCTTGATAACAATTGAATGGATAATTATTATTCTCTAAGTTAATAGGAATTAGTTCAAATGTTTCAAGAACAAGAGAAAGAGAAAGAAACTTGAACAACAAAAAAAGAAAAAGTTCCAACCAAGAAACTTGTTTTTCGAAAGCAGCGCCATCTGGGGGGTGGGTTACATTTCGTTTTGTATGTCAAGAGAAAAAAAGAGAAAGAGAGAAAAGAGAGAAGAAAAGTAAATAATAAAATCTCAGGTGAATGCGAAATGGAATTAAACACAAGTTAGAAGGTAAATGGGCGCGGCTCTCAGGGGAAGAAATGATTTTTCTTTTTGTTTAGAAGGTTAAAGAAAAGAGATAAAAAAAAAGAGAGAGACAAAGATATAAATGAGAAGGGGAAAAGGTGAGTTTAAATTAGAGAAGAGAAAAATTCCGAAGCTCCTCCCACTTCGGTGGGAAAATTTTTGTTCTTTTTTGAACCGCCACCTGTTGGTGGAAAATGAGACGAGCGATAAAAAGAATATTTGAATTTTCCGCGCGCAACGAAAAGTTTCATTTTCGTAGTTTCGAAAAACTTTTCCTTCTAATGACCAAACAATTGAGAGCAAATTAAAATTTCAACCAATAATTTCATTTGAACCTTCAATCAATCATATACATTGATTCCAAGCATTGATGATCAGTTGATTAACAGGAAGAAAAAACCAATTCGATCAAAGCAAAAAGGTTAAGTTTTTCATTTTCGATTAGTAAATAATATTGATCGAACTTTGGAAAAACTTTTCATGTATTCGAAAGAGTCTAGAAAATTTATCACAGAGAATGTGGTTAGATTAGTTGATGTAATTTAATTGAAACTCAAGAATAAGAGTAATTAAATATTCAACTGTCCAAAAAAAGTCTTCAAACGACCCCAATGACCTTGACCTATGATAACATTGATCATTGATTTGTTGGCAGGTTAACTGGTTCGAAGTTATTAAAAAATCTTTCTAATTATCGTAGTTAATGATACTGATGAAAAAAGAATCGAAAAACTAATTAAACAAAAAGTTGCACATTTCATTTTAAATGTAATTGAAAGTTTATTTTGAATTAGTTTGTAGTATCATTAACAATCAACTTATACACAGAAAACAACAAAAGAATCAACAATCAACCCAGACAGAATCAATAATTAACTGTATCATAATTCAAATGATCTATTTTCAAATGATAAACAAAACTTTTTTTTAGCTTCATCAATAGACAATGAAATAAGTGTAATAATCATTAAATTGTAATTCTAATCAATACAATCATTTAATAGTATTGATAGTTTATCATAATAATAATAATAACAGAACCAAGAGTAACTCCAAGCATGGACTTTGATGGTTCGAGTGGATAAAATTTTCTTCCACCTTCGAGATTAATATTTTCTTCCTTCTCCCTCTCCCTCTTCTCCTCCTCCTCTTCCTCTTCCTCTCACTATCTTCCTCCCACCTCTTCCTTTTGACTCTTTCACCCACTTATCAGCCAAAACCCACCACGAACTTATCAATAAGTTATTATCGAAATGTTGACCAATTGGAGTGAAAAGAATAACCCAAAAAAAAGTGACCATTAACTTCAATTGGTTTCAATATTTCCCTCTGACAATTAAGTTAATTTTCTTAAATTATGTCATCTAATCATCATCAATATCATCGATCTCACGTTAACGATATATATCAAGTTAATTGTTTCTACTAATATTTTGTGATAAGTTTTTACTCCTCGATATTTGTTTTCTCATATTTTAAAGTCAAAAAGGTGATTCGGTTCACCTTTTTGATTAACTAATTGTAAACAATCAAGATGATGCACTTATTTGCTCAAAAGAGACGAGATTATATCGCTAAATCAAATATTCCCGAACAGCCGATAATTAAATCTAATGATATGCCAATGGGAACTAAATTTACTTTCGTTGATTTTGTGCCTTCTTATAAAGGGACTGACACTGACACTGGAAAACCAACTTATCATTCATTTGGGTAAATCTAATTGTCCACAATTAGTTGATTACAATTTGATGATTTTCGATGAGAAAAAGTTTTTTTCTTCTTCTTCCTTTTCGATTAGATTGACAATTTTAATTTCTATTTCTTTTCTGTTTTTCTTCACAATTAATCACAGAGATTTAATTACAATCGCTAATCGTTGGCTACGAACTGTTTATGATTGGGAATTAGTTAATTGTGAGACAGGAATTACAAGTTACCTCAGAGATTCTGATCTTTATTGTGTCTCAATTTGGGAAAGACAAACACGAGATGCTTATCATCAAGGAGTTAAAGGTTAGTTAATTAATTTAGTTTATCGATTGTCAGAAAACATTGAAAATTATGATTAACTTAATTTTCACAATCAATAGTTTACCGATTAACTTTATCTCTTATTAAAGGTTAGTCTGTATTCATTTATAATTAGTTTCATTTTCATCATTCTATTGATTGTCAATTAACTTTCAAGAGTAAATTGAATGACAATCAATTGGAATCATCAATTTCCAATCAATTAATCAATTTGATTTTTCATTCAATTTAAAAGTTGCGAATCATTTGTTTACAATTAACTTTCGATGGTTAATCAAAGAATCAAATCAAATTAGAATTTGTTTATTTCTCTAATTACTTTAGATGTTAATGGTCCGTACGTTGAATCCGCTCTTTCGGTCCTCAGGTAAGTTAATTAATTCTCATATTTTTCTCTAATTAATCAACTCATCCTTCTTTTAAATTGTTGATCAATTTTTCTAATTGCAATTAATTGAGAATAGAAAAGAATAACAAAATTTTAATTCTCTTTTCTCTCAATTTCTATTCTTTTTCTTTGTTCAAATTTCTCAGCTGATTGTTGGTTTTTTTCTTCTCTTCCAATTATTGATTTGATTTGATTCTTTGATTGTTTTCTATTTGTGTTTAGTTGATTTTCTGATTTCTGTGTCATTTGTTTGTATTCATAGAACTGGATTAATGTGAGAAAATTACAATTACAATTCAAATGAATTCCAATTGAATCTCATTCTTCATTTGTTTACATATTTTCCCATCAACATGTCATCAATTTTCATTAATCAATCATTTCTATTGTGTTAACAATGTTATTTGCTCATCAGATTCAGTGATTATCTATCATGGAATATAATTAATCATCTAAATCATTTGATTTTCGTTTAATTATTTAAATTTTTCTCTTTCTAGTTTCCATTTTCAAGAGTCACAATCATAGGTCAACCTATTAACCAACGTCTCTCTTGTTACCAACGTCTTTTTTTTCAATCGCCATTTTTATTAATTTATTTTCTATATTAACCCAATCCTCTAGTAATCTATTTTTAATTGTGTCTTAATTGTCAGTGAATTGTTTTCTTGTGTGCGTGTGTTCACTTAATCGCTCTGGTTCAACATTCGCCATGTTTGTTTCTATTTCTCTTATGGCTTCTCTATTTTTGCCTCCATTTCTTGTTTCTCTTTGTGTTTCTATATAAATTTCACTTTCGCTTTTGTATTTCCAACAATTAATTTGATTGTCTTTTCGCTCATCTCTTTTTTCTGTTTTATTAGATTGTGGATGCAGAAACGAGTGAATCCCATGTTAAAGATTGTCAATTTAAGCTACATCGATTTTGAGCCTGTTCGTTTAAGTGATGGTTCCTTTGAGAATTTGGATCATGTTGTCGCTCGATTGAATAATGAAATCACCTCAGCCGATGGATCTTCGGGCAGAATAATTAATATTGAAACGGTTAATATTTCATCGGAAACTCGTGATTTAACTGAATGTGATCCCGAATTGACTGTTTGCTGTAATCTAAATGAAATTCAAGGGATTCTTCAATTTGTCCGAGTTTATTTAGATGACGATGAAATTTCAAAGAGGATGACGATTGGATTTAAAGATTTTATTCCGGAGCATCTTTCGGGTGGGGTTTTTCTTAAACCTGAATATGAATCTTTCTCTAATATCAGTGATAGAGCCATGTTATGGTTATCTCAAGATCCAGAGCTTATTTTCATCTCAGCTGAGACCAAAGAGGCTCCAATGAAATCAAGTGAGTTTTTTTCTTTTCCAATCCAGATTAACCATTTTCTCTCAGGCCCTATCTCAACCTAATCTTTATAATGTTTCTATGCTTAATTTAATCTTCTCTATCTCTTTTTTGTTGTAATTTTAACTATTCAGTTCAAGGATTCATTTTAAATCGTAATGTGATCAAGAGAGAGAGAGAGAGAGAGAGAGTTAAATAGACATGAAAATGAAAAAGAGAGAGAGACTAGAAGGTGAATTTCAAGATTCTCCCATTGACAATGATTGATAGAGGAGAGAAAAAAATAGAATTGAATCAAATTTAATCATATTGAATGAATTGTTTACTTCATGATTAAGCAGAATCTCTGACGGAGCAGAAGAGAAAAATTTTCCCTTTGTATCAGGTCATTAAGCCTTTTTTAACCTTTTCTCATTTGATGGACAGAATTTCTCAGTACATGATCAATATGGGAATTCATTGACTTTAAGGTGTTAGTTCATCTCAAACGTAATAAACTACTATTAGGTAATCATCATTTTCTTTGTACGAGTAAAAAACTACACCAAATTAGATTCACGCTTGAAAAATGTTGTAATTACGTTAAAAATCAGTTAGAACTCAATGAAATTTGAAAACACCCATGAGACCATTTCCCATAATAATTTGATCTGATTTATTTCTCGTGATGAGTATCAATCTTTTCACAATAATTCATCTTAAACTTAACCAATTTTATGGTTACTGAGATGATTAAATTGCTCTAGAAACTGTATTAACCGATTGAATTAAAATTCTAAACAATCTGTGCTATGTTTTCATTTAGAAATCGTTTAAATCTTGTTACTAATCGTTTTCTCTGTTATCCAATTTACATGTTTGTATTTTCTAGGGGCCAGTTTGGATACTCGACGGATGAGACACTATTTAGCGAAATCGGGACTTGACTATATACGATTTATCCGAATCTGGTTTGGAAAAAGTTTAGTTGATGAGAGTCCATCAACTAACGATCGTCGTGTTAGTTTTGTAACGAGTAAAATTGTCTCAACGAAGCACACCGATAATCGTCCCATGTGTGTGACCATTGAACAGACGAAATTGACAGTTGCCCGTTGGTTTGATTCGATTGAATCTAAATTAGAAATCAAAGGAGGAAAGTTTATCGAATTGTTTCCTAAATCAAAGTTTGATGTCAAAGATGAGATTGAAAATTGTTACCAAGCTCACAATATGTTCATCAACAGAACCAAATATTTAGCTGCTCAAATTTATTTTGACGTTGGACCGACCATTGGAGTGGAAAAAGTGGAAACAATCAAGTATGCATTGGTTAACAAACAAACGAAAGCTGTTAAATCAATGTACTGTACAATTAGTTAATTGCTACAAAAAGCAGTTAACAGAGAACAATGGAATCAAAAAGGAATCAAGAAAATCACTTTCGTATAATCAAAACCACAACTAGGATATTATAAAGATCAACAGAAATCAATTTGTTTTGTTATTCAAATTAATAATTTTTGATCCTATTTTGTTATCAACTAATGACCATCGACGGACCAATGGTCAGTGTTTGATTTAAAGGTCACTTGTAGTGAAATTGACAGAGAATCAAAAGATGAGCAATCAGCGAATCAATTGAAAAGGGGCAACCATGATGGACGTTAATTATGATCCAAACAATAGATGGAGGATCAAAAAAGGTCACGATATTGAATGGAAACCGTTTTTCGGACTTTTCTCAACAAAACAATTGTATTGCGATTTCGTGACCAGAAACGTTAAAGGAGCGGAACTAATAATAAGAAAACGATAACAACTCATATCTAAATCAAGTGTCTCAAGGTTGACGGAAGTTACGGATTTCGGCAAGAACAACAATTAACAACAAACAGTCAACAATCAACCTGCTCAAAATTAACTTTTACATGTATATTACGAGAACGAATCAAATTATTGTAACAATTGATTTTGCAAATCAATTCTATCCAACGGAAATATTTAACTCTAATCAACAATTTTTTAATTGTAAAAAAAAGAAAATATAATTAACACCAACAACTCATCAACTGTGGAGACCGTTTGTTAAATTGTTGGTTAAACAAATTGTAAACTTTTTGTATCTTATCATTTATAAGTAATTATAATTGTATTAATAATTATAATTTGATTCTGTAAGAGTTAATTTCTTGATTAATTAACATTAATCATTCAATGTTACTGATTTTGTTTTCTCTCAAGTAAACAATCGTGTCTCAGTTAACTGTTTAGTTAACTTGTAGTTCGTGTTAATTAACAATCGTTAACATGTTACAATTTAATCATGTTTATGTTTCACTTAAATTCTAATGACCTCAACATTATTATTTGATTAGTAAGAATAATTAATTAATAATATTTGTATTATTAATTGTTTACAGATGAAGGTTAATCAATGAATTAAAGATTGGTAACAATTAATTGTCCACAATTGAAGATTGAATTAATTAACATCCAGGTAACTTGATTTGTTGATCGTTGATTGATTTTCAATTTGATTGTCTCTCTTTGTCTTTAATTGTTTACTTGATCTTCAACTGATTGAGTAAATAATCAAGGTTACAATGAGTCGTATTGTTGATTTGATTATTTGTTGTTTAGTTTTTTTTAGTGAATCGTTGTATTAATTTACGTCATTTGTTTGTCTTGGTTAATCATATCTACTAACTAAAGGTAAATGATTTATTTTAATTATTACGATGATTCAGAGAGAGTTGATAAATCAACAGTTGATTAGAAACATTTGCTTTAAATCATTGATTGTCAACTTTGTGATATTTGCAAATAATAATGAAAACTTGAAACATACAAAACGTTACAGTTAATGATTTGTATTGATTGATGATTAATGGGAAAACGTTAATGTTCAATCAATTTAACCTGGAAGATTGTTAACAACACTAATCAAATCATCTGATTAACAATTAACTTTGCACAATTTAACTGATTAGCATTTCTAATCATTCGGTTAATAAACATAATCGGAACAACTCCCTAATTTACAATCAGCAATCAAGCAAAAAGAGAGGGAAGAGGAAAGAAAAACATGGCGGACGTTCAACAGAAAAGCACCAACACAATCAAATTAAATAATTAAGTAATCGAATTCTCTCTAACTAACTGTATTGTTACAACCAAATTGTTACAATTGTTACAATTAACAAGAAATTAAATCACCAAGAAGAGTAAAATTGATCAACAAGAGAGAAAAAGGTTAACCCAAAGGTTTGAGAGATGAAAAAGTAAACAAAATGGCGAGAGAATAGAAAATGAAAACAATTAATTATGAAAGAAAAACAATTAACTGATTGTTGAGACAATTAAGTGAAATAAATGAATCACAGTTAATAAAAGTAATCACTAAATCGATTAAAATCAACAATAAATTGAAACAATTAAGAAGAACAATTAATAAAAAAAAGATGGAAGATGAAACTGGTTGTGTCGATTTTCGGTTCTCTTTCTATTTCCCTTTCGCATGGTCGCGTTTCTCCCTCCCTTTTTATGTTCTTTTTCTCTTTCTTTTTCTGTGTCTTCGTTTTTTCTCTTCTCCCTTTCGACTTTTCTTTTCCCTTCTTTTCCAAATGTTCTCTTTCTCACCTTCTCTCCTTCCCCTTCTCTCTCTCAGTCTCACCTTTTTTCTTTCTAAAAGTTTTCATTTCCTGTGCTGAGTTGAGTTACTTTAAGTTCAATTCTGTTTTGGGACAAACTTGTTCTCTCTCATTTTTAATTCTAATTCCATTAATTAGTTAATCTAATTTTAATCTTCTCTCTCCTTTGTGACTTGTAGTTTAATCAGCTAATGTTCACATTCACCACCATTTTTGGTCACCTTTTAATTTCTTCTCGATTCTAACATTTTGTCTTTCATAGTTTAAAGTTGTTCTCTTTTCCTTTCTTTCTTTGCTCTTGATATTCTATTCTTTTTACATTTTTCTTTCTTTTTCTTTCTTTTCCCCTCCATCTTTAATTCTATTTTTCTATGTGAATGTGTATTGGATCTTAAATTTGTTCTATTTTTCTTTTTGCTGCTTGACATTTGACATTTCTTTTTTTTTTAATTTTGCTCTTCATCATATTTTCTATTCAAATTTGAATGTCTTTAATTGTGATTTCTAATTGTTACTGTGATATCTCGTCTTCTTTCTGTTGCCTTAATTGTTGTTATGGGTCCAAATAACGTTTCATTGGAGAGAAATGATTCATCTAAAAGTGAACGAATATTCACCAATAATTCACTAGACCAAACATCATCTTCACAACCAAGTTCACCTTCATCTGGTTACCTATCCTACCATTGTGATGACCTGGTCAACGATCCAAATAGTCTAGAAGATAGTATATTCCATCAATTAAATGAAAAGGTAATTAACAGTCAACTGATCGCCGTAATACCAAAGGTATAATAACCTTTACTTTCTTTATTCTCATTATTTCTTCTTAACCTTTCCCATCACTTTTTTTTCTGCGAAAAAATGTTAATCTAACCAACAGTAAAAGAGAAAAACATCAACAATACTTTCAGAAAGACACGTCAAAAAAAAATTCACTCTCTTAAAACACCAATCACATTAACCTGAACAATTAACATCTACTGGTTAATCAGCGAATAACAATCGAGATTTGTTTCTCTTTTCTCTTGAATTAACACAATCAATTCAACTAATCAACAGTTCAAACGGTTATTCGAATTAGATCTTATTTCCGTTTATCCAATGTAATAATAACTTCAACCCTCTAACTTTCTGTTTTGTTGTCATGCGAGTTTTTTTTATTCTTTTGTTATTCTCTTGATATCAACAAATAGTTGGAATTAAATTCTAATTAGTCGCTAATTTTTTTTCTTTCTCTTTTCACCTCATGATATGTACCTTGATCTCTCATCATCACATGTCTACCTTCATCTTCTCATGTGCCTGTTAATCCATTAACGAACTGGTACTTGTTTCCCTTGATCATCTTATCCTGGATAATAATCAAATCAAATCAACTGTGAATTAATTGTTTCAACTTGATTATGTCAATGACATTTTTGGACACAAATGCAACTCATGGTTAACCAATTTCCAACATAGATTGATCTCTTACAACATCAAATAACCATTTTAGAAGAGAATCAATCTCTGAATGATGAGAAATATCGTCGGGTTAAACAAGATAATAATAGCTTATTAAACAAGTAAGTGTCCATTTAAACGGAAACGGAATCATATGTATAAGTTTCATAAAAACGTCTTCGCCCTTGACAATTTTTCCAACAAATTATCACCTAATTTAGTTATCGCTTTTGATTATAACATTGACAAGTTTAACTGTCACAATATTACCTTCATGTTTAATGAAAAAAAATGGCTGCGTGATTATGATTTTTTTTTGTGATCATGGTGACGATGATGATTAAAAATCATACAATTTAAGCAACGTAAATGATATTCAATCGACTAAGTGAAAAAATGTTTTAATTTATGGTGATGACAAGATAAATTTTGAACAGTTAAAATAATTTGCGAATACCTTTAATTTAGTCATTTAATTAAATGGTAAACACTTTTATCTATAACCTCAATCATCAACAATAACAGAATAACGATGATGATTATTATCTATTATTGTTGATTGATAAAGAAAGAGAAAAGAAAACATAATCAACAGGTAATTACATGTGAAACGGAAAAAAGAGCGTAATACCAATTGGATTCAGTGTGTGTATATCCTGTTGACACGTTGTGAGAAAGGTAAAAATTATCAATTATGCATCAGCGTATCTTGATTTACTACTAACACATACTGAGTAATTAACAACAATCACCACTGAAAACTAAATCTTAAAACTTGGAACAAGACAATCATGATGATCATCTTGGTTTTATTGTGATTCCGTTTGATTTGTTTTAATTTTTCTCTCTCTTTGTCTCAGCGGTTTTTGTTTCTCTCTTCCTCTCCCTTCTCCCTTTCCAATACATGATGTATAATATCAACAATAATCAACAATCAACAAGCAATCACACATAATACACAACATGTCATTTTGAGGCTGTTAAAAAAGTAGAAAACCATTTGACCTAAATGATATTGTTTTGTGTTTTGAACACTTTAATCTCGAACCTTACTTGCTTCATAACCTATTTTCTAATGACACTTATTACAATCATTTACCGAAGCAGTTTGATGTCTACAGAGTGTGTATGTGAGTGTTTACCGTTGCTATTATATCTCTCTAACAACGGACGTGCGTTTCTCTTTTGCCATCTTATATTCACCTAAAAATGTTTGATAATACAATAAGGAATCACCAAAAAGGGATACGATTTTCTGGATGGAAAAAGTTAACAAATTGAATAGTCTGAAGAATTTTGATAATTGGTTTCATGAAAACTCGTTCTTCTTTCCAAGCCTTGCGATGCGACGATACCATTAACCGGAAGGAGATGCTGTAGGTGTAAGAAAAGGGTTCAAAAGGAAAACAATATGGTGATAATTTATAAAGAAATGGAGAAACACCAAGTTACCTGTTGATAATTTCTAGTAAATGATTGCAGATCATTATTTTCATCAATTGGAGAATGAAGATTCATCTCTTGATCCCGAAAATTTATGATCACTGAATCATGAAGTTCTGTCACTAAGAAAAAGGAGAATCATCGTCATACTTTTGAGAAGAGGGAAAAAAATTCACTGATCCACAATGTTGACAACAATGAAGAGGATGAACCAACGGTGACAAATAATCAACATGTAATCATCTACTTTAAAGGAAAAAGGGTTAATCCATGGATGATTTTGATCAACGAGCTCCGAAAAAGTAACCAGATTAACCAGAAGTTACCAAGCTAATCAGCTTGTGGATAATAATGGATATTATTTTTATTCTTCAAAAAAAATTATAGTTTTGAAGGTTACCAGTTTTTCTGCTGTTTTCCTTTTTGTCTGTTGTTTAAATTGCTACTGAAAATTCAATTGGCAAACAAGTTTAATCAACAATCTAAAGTAATCATTGTGTGTATGTGCTGCTTTTTTTTGTCAACACTTTTTCACTTTTCATTTTCAACGTTCGTTTGTTTTGGATTAGTTTTTTTACCCTCTTTTCCCTTACCTGGATATAAAAATATTATTTCGATCGATTCTCTCGATTCTTAATCAATTTGTACTTTCGAAGTTGCTGTTGACTATATTTGACCTGAAGGAGCAACAACCAGATTATCGGTTAGAAATGTTTTGGTTCCAATCCAAGATAGAAATCGATTGGGGAGAATAAGCAAAAAAAAGAAGGAGCTGAATGTTAATCAATGAATCTGAAGAGTTGGCTGTTTTTCATTGGAAAATGAAAATTAACTGTAATCACCTAAATACTTTGGAAAGTTTCACATCAATATAATCTCACTATCAATGGATTAACAACAAAAAACTGGATTCCCTTCATCATCTGTTGATACACTTTGGAGGTTGTGAGAAAATAAAATCTTTGTCAAGAGCAAAGGAAACAATTTGTTTAATGGTTGACATAACATTCCTACATGAGGATAGATGATGCTGATGATAACAAATAAACCAGAAAGAGGGAAAGTGATCCGTGTTAGGAAAATGCGTGTTAAACATTAAACGTCATCTAGTGATTAATTAATCTTTGGATGGACCGTTATCCATTTATAACAGTTACTCATTAATTTAGTAATTTATTACTTGAAGAGCAAGAAATCAACTGTACAAACTTGTTTCAGCCTCAACAACAATTACAACGGTCTCTGTGTTTTTCCAGCAGCAGCAACAACAACTCGCCTCTCATATAAGCATTTAATAAGCTTCTCTCATGGCGATAATGATGATTTGATGCTAATGATGCTGATCGACCTTGTCTCTTTCTCATCTTATTCGCCAAATACTTTCTGTTACCACGCAACCGAAATCATTTGATCGTTTTTTCACTCGAATTTACCTGGAATCATCATAGAGGATATTTGTTGATCTCTTCAGCTCCTGATGTTAATTTTAAACACGAATCTTTTTCATTTTTATTGTATGTATGTGTGTTTGTGTTGCTGTCTGTTTATTGTAATTATTGAATAATATCATTGAATGATCTGATCATTTAACAATTTATCCAGGTGAGTATTGACATATTAATGTAATGTAGCAAATACTCATACAGAAAACACATCCAGCCAATGACAACCTAGTCTATAATTGATATTGTTATTCAATATGAGATCCGTTAGATTGATTAGTATAATAATTTAGCTAATTGTGCCAACGACAACAATGGAAAAGAAGAGAAAAACAAAAACAAAATTAGAACATATAAAATCCAATGAACAAAATTGATCATTTTCTATATTCTTTTTTTTCTATTATTCAATTAATTCCGAATCAAATTAGTTTCCCCTTGATCATTTTTCTTTACTTCTCCTTATTATGTTAACCCTTAGTACGTTTGATCAATTAATTAATTTACTGTTAATCACCGTAAGTTGTATCGCTTTTTGTCATATTGTTATCGTTACAGTGTTGCCCAAATTTCCTCTAATTAGAAATCATTTGTCCAAATATCTTCATCTTTTGGGGTAAATTGATTAATTACTATTACATAAAAGAAATTTTAATTAACTTGTAAACTGTTCAAACAGAAAAGTAACTACAAACAACTTCATCATTGACCTTGATTTTATTTATGAATTAGTTAACCAAGGAACCGAATCAACAACAATATTATCATCATCTCCATCATCATCATCATCATCATCAAGATATACAATCATCATAATCATCATTGTTAACTTAATAACTCGAGTGGTCATTTATAGTTATAAGATAACCTTAAAAAATGACCTTCGTTTAGCTTAATATTTACTAATCTTAAACGATGATAATGCCACGTTATTAGTTATAAATCTATAATTAACTTTACTTAACTGTACCCACCCTAAATCTTGGTACTAGTGGAGACAAGTTACTAACTAGAATTTGTTGTTCTTTTTCTTTCGATACAGAATTCACGCTTTAGAAGATCAAATTCGAGATTTGGAGGTACAAGGTGAAGAGTGGCGACGGGAAGAGGAGAAAATGCTGAAAACTGCCATCGCTCGTTCAGATCGAGAAAAAAGTGACCAATGTGATGAATTAAAGTCGCAAATTTATAGTTTACAACATGAACTGTTGGAGGTTCGCAGTGAGACTCATAAACATTCAAATTTGGTGGATAAATTGAAAGAGGAGAAACGTTCATTGCGAGAAACAATTAAATGTAAAGATGATGAAATTGAAGAATTACGAAATGATTTAACCAAAATAAGGGAGATGAATAAACGTCTCAAAGATGATGAAAGAGTTAATATTAAGATGATTCAAGTATTAAGCATGGAATTGGAAGATTTAAGATGCCAACAATTACCAAATTTACACCAATTATCATCTTCTCAATCATCACCATCCTATTCATCACCTTTAGCAGCATCATCACCATTGTCGCACAATCATCAATCCAATCAACAATTAGCAGCCAATGATTCAACAAATAACAGGAGGAAACTGAGTAGTTCAAGTATAACCAGTGAAACCAAAGAGGTTAAATTATTTTTGGAATTTAAAGAAGAAGTGAAAAAATTGAAAGAGGAGAACAGAAATTTACGAGAAGCGAATGAAGAATTGGAAGCTCAAATTTTGGCGAATCATCTGGAAGAGGGAAGATCATTGCTAAGGGAAGAAGAAGCTGCATCTTCCCTCGCCGAGGAATTGAATAACCTCTCCTTAGAACCGGTAAGTTGATTTGTTTCCATTGTTCCCACTCAGTCATCAGATTTTCTCGACTATTAATACAATATCGCTTTCCAATCAACTGATCAATGTTATGATCTCTTTATTATTGGATTTTAATTGTCTCAAAATAGCATTTGATTAGTTTCTTCCAATCTAATATTCATTTTTTCTTTCTTTTAATTTGATTTGATTGTTTTTTTCTTCAATTGTTTACTTTTTTTGATCAACTGTATGTTTATATTGATTGTCAAAGTCAATTAGGCTTTTTGATTGTTGTTATGGTTAAATTGTTTTCTTTTATTAATTGATTGGTGAGAATCGTAATTTTTGATAAACCATCTTAGTGAGTTAATTGATTTTAAACCATTAATTAAATGAGAACAGTTTTGTTACAAGTTTTGCCTTTTTTCTGTAATTAGATACTGATAAAGATTGTGATTAGTTAATTGTTGAGATTGATCAAGATTAAGATTAAGTAATTTGAGTTTTTTTACTTTATAAACAAAAAAAGTACGTTGATTGAATTGTTAAATCATTTAAGTTACTAAATTGTTGTCGCTTTAATTTTTTAGGTTAAAAGGATTTCATCTCACAGTGATTAAGTGTTACAATTAATAATCAAAATTTAACTGAAGATTATCATGTTATTGTTATCAAATCAATGATGATAACAATTAACTCTGGCTACAAATTGCATTTATCAATAACATCAATTGTTATTTTTTTCTGTTGATTGTTATTGTTGATATTTAATAACATAAATATTAATAACTGACCACAACTAATAATGATTATTTCATGATTATGATTATTATTATTGTTGTTAACTGATTTATCACTTTAATTGTAGCCAGAATTTTTAATAATCATCATGATCGCCATTAAAACATATTAAAGTCAACAAACTTTAATACAATCAGTCAGTCATCATCCTAATTATTATTATCTGATTTTAATCTAACTAATCACTTGAGAAATGAATTTATTTAAAAGGATTCAATTTAGATTAACAGCTTAATATACTTTAATTATTTTCAATTAAATATTATCTTAGGTTCAATTTGATTGTTGATTGTTTATCTCAATAACTGTTAACTTTTTGTTTCCTTAAATAATAGTAATGATATCGTAATTACAAAAATTAACCAAAACAATTAACTTAAATACAGTATTAAAACGATGTACTTTCACAATACAATTTGATTATATGTTTACCTAAATTGTTAGTTAATTTAGTTTCTAACAATCAAGAGCAACTATCAACAATCAGTTACAATAAAAAGAAACCAGTCTGATGTTTTTTGATTAATGTTAATGACACATCGTCAGTTGAGCAAATAATTAAGAAATCAAATCAAGATGAGAGGTAGAAAAATTAAATCTCATCGTTAATCCTAAATTGTTTACTCAATCAATGGATTATCACAATTAAGTTAATTATAACCCTATATTGATGATGATTACTTTGTAAGTGAATTGAATTTCATTTTCAATTTCTCACAATTTATTAATCCAAATTTAAATTGTTAATTTTTTTCTTCTTCATCGTTAATGATGCTGCTTATCACCATCATTAGCATAATTATTATTGTTATATCATCATCTAGATCATGATGATTATTATTAAATTGTTGATCTATCTCATGAACTTTATCCAATTAATCTGAAAATCAGACATACCAATTAGGTGATAATTTAATGAGAAAAAAAGAGTTGATCATCATGAAGGAATCAGATGATAATCATTATGATGATTGCAAACTAATTGGGTTACAATTAAAAAATCGAGTATAATTGAAGCAAAGAAAAAACTAATCAACTTTTCTTAATCATGTTTTCTTTTGATTAACTTTCAACTTAATCATTTCGTTACGATATTTTCAAGCTACTTGTTGATTTTGACATTGACTAATTGCTAACAATCAACTGATCAAGTTTTTTTCCCTACCTTTTAATCATCTTCATTATTTACTTAATTTACCTTTACAATTAATATTTGACATCATATTAATCAATCAATTTATTGAATTAATATATAATTATAACAATTCAATTATTCTCAGCATTTTTTTCCTCTCTCTCTCTCTCACTATATTAACAATGATTAAATTAATTCTGTTAAAATGTTTACTGTTCATTTTTTAATTGTCGAGTTAATTGTGGACTACAATTACTCACTTGATTTATTATATTAGTTTCTGTTCATAGGAATGTTTGTCAATCATTATGTTTACAGTTTTTCTGTAACAATTAAGCCAACAAAGTAAATTATTTAATCTAAATTGTGTGTATCCATCACAGTTAAATAGTACAACAATTAACTTAAATTTTTATATGTTGATTTACAGTTGATTGACCTGAAGTAAAGTTTTTTGTTTTGATTGTGTAGGTTAATAGTTTATTGAAAAGTTTGATCATCAAATTAATCAAACTTTTATTTTTCTAATCACAATTAACTCTATGATTAGATGTAAATCATGTAATAATTGTAACAATGAGAATGAATTAAATTAAATAGGTTAATTTATATATAACAATCGCTTATTTTAATGATTAACATGTTGATTACTTGATTGTCGTTAATGATTATGATTATGATGATGATGTAAATTAGTCTTCTAATTAGTTGATTGTGATTCAACTTTATGCTCATTGAATAATAAAATAGTTTCACCATTGTAAATGTAACATTATTTTGTTTTCTGTTCACAATTTATTAATTGTGACTGATTATCCAACTCAATTATTCTAGATTATTAATTATTCTCAATTCTAATTGTAATCATGTTTCTCTTTTCTCCTTGACAGTTACGAGTTGCACTTCGGGAACAAAAGGAATGTAATAAAAAGCTTCGTGCCTACATTGATGGAATCTTATTGAATATCGTTGAGAATTATCCCCAATTATTGGAAGTAAAGAAAAAGTGATTAACTAATTGGACTTTTGGAACAATTTAAAGAATCATTTATCAATTTATTCAATCGAAATTACCTTATGAACATCAATCTAATCTATTCCAATATAAATAATATCTTCCTCTTTTCTGTAAATCATCTTCTTCCTCTTTGTGTTAATCATATTCAATTGTTGATTATTGATTGTTGATCAATATTCAGGTTAAAAAAAATTGTTTCCTAGTTAATCAGTTAACTAATTTAGTTGTCAGTAAATCTTAAGCCTTCTAATGTTAACTTATCAAGAGATGCAAATGTTTGGTTAACCAAATTAATTGATTTATGTTTTTTGGTGAATTTGTTAACCAACAAAATCAGTTAATTTAATTGTCTTGAAAAAAAAAGTCTCTTTGTTGGTTAAATTCAAAAAATTGTGACAACAATTAAATCAAATTGATAAATTTGATAAACAAAAGTAACTAAATCAATTAAAGTTATTTCCATCAAATTAAAAACGGTAAAGTGTAAAATTAATTACAATTAATTATTTTTCCAATCAAGGTAAACAATCAACAATCAACTAATTGAATATGTTTTGTAATTATCTTAAAACCATGATCCCAATTTAGTTACAATTGATTACCAATTTATAATCGTAACACTTTTTTTAATCAACACACGAAAAAAAAATCACAATTAATCAACCGATTAATTTAATCATCAACAATTCTATGTCACTTTCACAATTCTCAATTGACAATTTCCCTTTTTTCATATCAACATTTAAATTGTATTTATAAATATCTTTCACCATAGAAAACACAAAATCTATTTCTTTTAATAGTAAACAATTAAACGTCCAACCAAAAAGAAACACACAAATTGATCAAAAATCAGTTAATTGTAAAGTAAAACTTTTCTTCGAGTTGATGAGATTGATTAAAATGCCCAAACGAACATAGTTCATTGACCCTCGATGAATTATTACTAATCATCAATGAGTATTGATCGATTGGAGTTTTTAACTATACACCGTTTTCAAGGTCATGCCCTTTGATAATATTCTAATTCGGGATAACTATCAATTCTGTTGGAATCGGAATACGAATTTCTGATAACTTCTAATATTAGGGTTTCGGTCGCGTTCATGGACTTCGGTCAGATTATTGATAATTTTGAATGGTATTTACTTTTGGAGAAACGACTTGGTTGTTGATGTTTAACTCGAGAGAAAATTTTATTTCAATATTTTACTTTTTATTTGGAAAAAGAATCGAAAACTGGTTTAAATTAATTCTCTTCGTTTGAATGTGAACTTTATATAAGATTTTACTGAACTTTGAGTTATGCCCGACGATAGCTCAGTTGGTAGAGCGGAGGACTGTAGTTGTTTCTCAATAGTGATCCTTAGGTCGCTGGTTCGAATCCGGCTCGTCGGAAAAACTTTTTACCTTATAAAAGGAGATTATTTTTTTCTGATAACATTAAACGTCAGTTTCATGTGACAGATTAATCAGAACGATTTTCTTTCCATCGATTATCGATTATTAGGAATTTTTAAAATCGATACTATCGAGGTGACTATCAGTCGTTTTTTTCTCCCTAGAATTGAATCTTTGTCAGGATGGCCGAGTGGTCTAAGGCGCTGCGTTCAGGTCGCAGTCAGATTTATCTGGCGTGGGTTCGAATCCCACTTCTGACAGAATTTTCTACTTTTTTTTCTCTATCAAACTTTTTCATTCCATTGAAACTTTCTCATTGTTTTTCCTTTTCTTTGATTGTTTTCTATTTTTTTTCCTTTCTGCTATTACAATTATAATATGGTAACAATTGATTAAGTTAATTAGTTGGTTGTAATTGTATTGGAAAGGTTGAAAATACTTCTATTAATATTTATACAAGACCATAATGTATACATTCAATTTTGGGATTCTCTGTATTTATATGACTTTTCATTAGATAATTAATTGGAACGGGAATATTTGATTTGTCACTTTGATCAGGATTTTGAGGATTATAATTGTGATTGTTATGATTTGGACTGATTGTTGTTGTTGAATTTATTATTGTATTGGTTGGCCTTATGATGCCTTTGTTTGTATTTCCGCTGGTGAATGGTAATTGTGGTGAAATGTGAACAACAGGTTGATTGTTGATTAGATTTTGATGATTTGATGATGAGTTTAATTTGTTTTTCACCTTAGGAGGTAAAGGTGGAGGTTGTGGAGGTTTTGTCGATCTCATAGAAAGATTTTCTTTTAGTAAATCAACTGGTAATATTGATGAAGGAATATTAATATGTTTCTGTTGATTTTCCTCAGAAAATTGATTAGTGTTAACAAAATAATTAAACTGATTAACCGAGTATCCAGATTGAGTTGATTCTGTGGAACTTTCAATGTTAATTGTTGGTAAATTATTATCAGTCTTTCCATTTGAATTGTTGTAAACACTTTTTGACAATTTATGAGTGATAATCTCATTTCGTTTCCTTGGTGATGAATAAACTGCAATTGAATCAGAGGAATTAGCAGATGATGATTCCTTACGAACTGGTTTAAATGTAATAAGATGATTAACTGTCATTTGATTTGGTGATGAGGTATCATTATGTTGATAAGCTGTCGAGTTATTGACCAAATGATTTAATCCTAGGACAGAATGATTATTATTGTCAACTTGTTGATTTGAGTTAATTTTTTGTCCTACAAATGAGGTTGAACTGATTAAGGGTCTCAATTGATTAGTCAATCGGAGTGTTGATTGACTAGAATCACTTTGTAATGTTTCGGGTGTTTGTTGTTTATCATTTATGGCAAGTTGATGAGGAGATGAAGGTGATCTTGATGAAGATGGTGAAGGTGATAGAGATGAAGATAAAGATGATGAGTGAAATTTGTGAGCATTTTGTAAGGAAACTGAAGCTAGTTTATCATTTCCTCTTTCTTTGGCAGTCTTATGAAGAAGGAGGAATAAATGTCGACTCTTCAAATCCAAGGCGAGAAGAAAAGCTTTTTCAAGGCACGAATAACGGTAAAGATGATAGAAAAATCTTTTGGCAATACAATGCATCTCATATTGATACTCTTCGATTATATCTTCTGCTATTGGAATTTTGGGAATAAAAAACGAGGCCAATGCTTCTTGAAGTTGAGATTCTTTGATTGAATTGAGTGGACTTCGTAGGAGACAATTGAAGATGATATTTAGTGAGGAATAGGCAAGGTAAGAATTTAAATTCCAATTGAGTAATTGAACGTTTTCAATGGCTTCATTGATGTAATCATGTTTGACATAAGAGCGAATCAGTCCAATATAATCTAAATTAAGTGGTAACACGATTAACATGATATTCGGATCATCGGTAAATCTTAAATAAACCAACGAATTGTTTACAAATTTCATCTCATTTAAACCGGTAAAAGCTTCACGGAGAAAGAGATCATCATAATTGGCCGGCATAACATGTAATCCATAATCGTACATCATAATTTGTCCAAATGAATCGGCTAATATAAAATAAGAATCGAGTGGACTGTTGATCAGATTAATAGCGTTTATGGGCGCTTGAAAGTAACGTATCGAGTTTTGATCAATACTATAAATTAGGACACTACGATCTTCACATAGAAGGCAAACTTTGTTAAGATCAAAGTTTACATCGGCTTTGATAACAAGACTGGGAACAGTTAATTGAATGGATTCAACTAAATCTAAAATATAACAATCGTCAATCAGATTAATCTGATATTCTCGGTAAAGAATAGAACAAGGATCTCCGTCACTTTCGATAGTCATCAGTCTGTTTACTCGACGTTTACAGAAACAGATCTTGAGAAAGAAAAGAAACAAAGAAGAGAAAAGAAAAGAAAAGAAAACAGTTAATTATTTAAGAATTTAGGATAAAAAGTTAAAGATCAATATATTAAATCGAGTATAATTTACCTTTAGAATATCGTTAAGAATGGAAGCATATCCAACCAAATCGAAAGAGTCACGAATTAGATTATAAATCAAAATGTTACAAAAATCTTTATTCGATGTGATCGGTGATGACCAAGGACAAACTGTACTCGAACCATTTTGCCACCAAACTAATAGTAAATCTTCATTATCGTTTTTAATTTCACTTTTAAGTAAATGTCTTTCCACTCGACGGCCACAATTAGTATCCAATTCGTGTTCGATTATTTTTACATTTTGTGACTTCAATTTGAACAATTTACGTTTACGAGAAATCCAACCTTTATTACGATGTTTATCATCCAATAAAATACACGTTATCCTGTCAATTGATTGGATAAATACACAAATAGAAAATGTAATTGGAGAAAAGAATTGATTAAATTGATTAATAGTTTGAATTGCAAATTAGTCAGCAAGGAATTACAAGGAAATCGTTCAATGTACAGTAACGAAAACAATGATATTCGAGCTAATTTAAAGAGTTGAAATTATTTGATTCTAAAACGAAACATCTTAAAAGTGACAACAACAATTAGAATTTTGATTTTTCAAGTTCTAAAAAAAATCTCAAGGATTTGAATCTTTTTCTTAAGAGATTTATTTGCATTTCTCTCAGTGTGAAATCTAAATTTACTTGATATCATTTTGGATGTTTTTTTGTTTATGCTAAATGGGACAAGCACAATATTAGCAAAAGAAAAAGATGTAAACCAGATTAACCGGATTTTCGGTAACAAGAGTGATCTCTCATCAAGAACCAAAAGAAGTGAAAGAGGAAAAGAAGAGAAAAAAAAAACTTTGACATTGGTAGAATATTGGAAAAGAGAAAACAACTCACCTTGGATTAGTATATGAGATGAGAATCATTCTATTGTCATAGATAAAATCAACCATATATTCAGTCTTAATTTTGCCAATTAGATGTTTATCTAAATAGATATAGTTAATTGAATTAAGGTAAACAGGGTGAAAGAAACAATAAGCAATCAGGCCATTGGAAAGGATTATTACAAGTGATTTATAAACATCATTCCAATGGATTGAGACGATCCTTTCAACGGAACCATTGGCAAAGGTTGAATGGTATTGATGTTGATTGTTTGAACAATTAGATGTGGAATTAATTGATCCTGGTAGATTGGTTGATGAGGTTGCTAATGATTGGGTTGGTAATGATGCTGGTTGACCAGTTGATGGTTTAACAATTGAAGTTAATTGTGACGGCCAACTTTGTTTACTGTGAAGACCAAGGTAACCCGATAGCTCCTTTAACCGTTTCTCTGTTTTAACATATTCACTTGGACTCAAATCTTTGGATATGGAGTCAGTTGTGAACAATTTAAAAGAACCTAAACTAAACATAATTAACTATTAATACAATCAATTAACTACAATTAAAACTTTGTAAGTACAAAAAATAAATTAAGTTGATAAAAAAGAGAGAGCAAAAAATACCAAAGTGAGCTGATTGATGCTCCCTTGAGGTAGAAGCGCCAAAATTAAACTTTTTATTGAATTCTAATTGTAAACAATTAACTAATTAATTAGTTATTCTTATGATATTTTGATTGTAATTTAAATTCATACCATTTTGAAATCAATTGGAAATTGATTGGAAAAGTTTTAATTTCTTGATGTCCGTTTTTGTCTTTTATTTTCTTTTATTACAATTAAAACTTTAATTTAAATTGTCAACAATTAGTTAATTGTGATATTAGTAAATGATTATGGAAACAATTTTCCTAGTTTTTTACAATGTTTTCAGATGTTTTATTTCATTTGATTTAGAATCAGATTTTAATCAAAGAGAAATACAATTAATTTTAAATCTGTTAATTGTTGGAATGTGGAAAAGTTATAATAACTTTAATTGTTCAATTAAGTTAATTGTATAATTAGATTGTTGGAGGAAAATGTTTATTTCAGTTTTCTCTGGTTTCTCCTTTTTGTTTATTATTATCTGCAATTTGATTATTGTGAATTATTTTAACAACAATTAACAATTTAAAGTGATCAAGTTAATCATAATTTAAATTTATGTGCTGAGATTATTGAAACTTGTTGATTGTTAAAAACTTCAATGATAATTTACAAATCAATCAACAACTTTTTAAGTAAGGACTTGATTAAGATTTTAAATCTATTGCCCTTGATTAACATTTCTTGAAGTTAATTAAATGTTGATACAATACATAAGTAAATATGATTAACAATATGATTTAACAAGATAATGAGATCAGATTAGTTGATTGTTACGGATGTTAAATATAACAATAAGATCTGATTTTCAGATTGATTGCCGATTCCAATTGCAAGATAATATGTAACCAGAATCAATCAAATCGTAATTACAATTAAAATTTAGTTATTTAACTAACTATCTGAAGAGGCACTTGGAAGGACGGGATGTAAATGATTCCCAGGAATTATGATTATTTAAGATAAATTAACATAATTAACGATAATTGTGACATAATAAAATCAAAACAGATTGAAAGTTTTTCCAGAACAAAAAAACAAATACAATCAATTCAGAGTAAAGATGAAAAATATATAATGATGATGATGATGATAAAACAGGAATCAGGCAACGATGTTGATTAACGGTAACAATTAACTATAAATGAGTTGATTCTTTACTGACAGCGGTGTATTTGTGACCATTAACGTTGATGAAAGTAACATCATCGAATCCAGTTGATAGATGGATTTCCGAAGCTCCTCTTGAATTATCAAGAATATGAAGCTGCGATTGATTGGCTCGCAATCCGAGTGCCAGTGAATCATGTCGAGTCTGTGGTCGAATGCAACAATAAAGACAATTAATGTTTTCGGCTAATTTGATCAACAAACTGTCCATTGGGTCAAGTGAATGCATCCAAAGAGGAAGCCAATTCCAATTCTGTAATTTCAATGGTAACCAACTGGGTTTCTTTGATTGTATTATGTTAATTGTGATGATTGCGATGATGGTGAGGAAAGCAGAGGTGAAAACAATTCCAAAAGGAATCGGACCCGCTAATGAGAGTAAAAAAAAGAAAGTGGGTAAAAGGAAAAACATTGTCAACAGGTAGAAGATGCTGAACCAACGATACTTGGCAGTTGTATCGCCCAACAATTTAGCTAATCGGATTGGAAATCTCATCCATGGGATTGGATAAAATAACAGAATTCCACTGATGTTAAAAAAAAGATGAGCGAACGCCAATTGTAAGGTGTCATTTAAAACCGAAGCATCAGCTGTTAGAGCAGCCAAAAGTCCTAGAAGAAAATTTAATTCATCAAATTATAATTAGAACAACAAATTCAACTAATTGTAAAAACTTAAGTATTAGTAGTAGTAGATAAAGGAGAAAGTAATTAATTACCTGTTGTTGTTGTGCCAACATTAGAGCCCAAGGTTAAAGGGTAGATTCGTTCAATTGAGATGACACCTATTCCCGCGAGCGGTGTCAACGCTGAGGTAAAAATGGAACTACTTTGTACCAATATGGTTAAAACACAGCCCATTAATAGAGCCAAATAATCAACTAACACTGACCAGGGCAATTTGTATTCAGCGTTAACGTATTTTTTAATTATCGTTGCGATACGACCTCTGGGAGTAGAAAAGAGTTAATTAGTTTTAGAACAAAGGAAAAGTTATAATTAACATTGGAGTCGCAACTATTAGATTGATTAGTATCATTATTGTTATTCTTTTGTTGGCAATCAACTAGTGTGATTTGTTGTTGTTTTTTTCTTTGATTGTCACAATTAACTTACTTTAACATTGAATGAAGTATCTTAACAATACATATAAGACAAAAGCATAAAACTCCCAACGAAATTGTGATCAATATGATTCCAGAAAAGTTATCCGTTAATTTTAACGAATTAATCAACGATTTACCTAATTAACAAATAAAATCGATTAATTAACTTAGTCAATTTGTTTAATTATCATCGTAACACTTACTGTCTTTTTTAAGTAACGAATCAACTTGTTTTGATGAATTGCCAACAGCGATATCTTTAATGGCATCACTATCAAGCTGATGACAATTAACAAAAAATAAGATGACAGAAATTAAAATGTCAAAGTTTAGTGAATTATTTTGATTACTCAACATAAATTGATTTAATCACTGCCAACAATTAACTTTTATACGATAAGTAAACAATCAAAACAAAAGACGACAGTTAAACTGTTAACATGTAGCTAATTAATAGTGATCATTGTTAACCACAATCAATAATAATCAATCAATAATAATTTTGATTTTGTATGACCCAAAAAAAAAATGAAACTCAATCAATTAAATCAATACACAAAAGGGGAATTGAAAATTGTGAGGGGAAAAAGAGGAAACGGAAATGATGAGATGAAGCTAAAAGAGGAAATGATAACAATGATGGTAAAATTACTCAGATCGATAACAATACTAAATGTTGGTGAGGGAATTAAACAATCAACGAAATGATTTGAAAGGGAATCCATTCAACTAATATATTACAAAGATAAATTGGAAATTGATCAAATTGTTACAATCAGGTTAAAATTGAATCTAATTGTATTAAAAGATGATGATGATGATGATAAAATAACCTTGCACCTAACAAAATATTAATAGATCAACAATTAGAGTGAAAATATTTAGGATAAGAAAAATATCAAACTCAATTAATTGTGAGAAAATATTTCTAAAAAAAGGAAATTATAATTTACTCAACAATTTAATACCTTTCATCAACTAATCATTATCAAAGAATCACCATCATTATCGTATTATGATTAGTAAATTGTTTGATCGATATTCGGGTGAACAATGTTATCAAAATACTAATAATAATCATCTTCAACTACTGTTTAGTTAAAGTGAATGTACATTGATCATGTTCAATTGTATCGATCACCCTGTAAGTATATGGATAAATTTTCGGTTAACTATTAATAAAATATTAAGATGAAAATGTCACCAAGAGTTTGATAGATGAAAAAGAAAGAGAAAAAGAAAGAGAAAAGTTTTCTTATCATCATCATGTTATTTTATTCATGGCAAGTTATATTTTCGTCATCATGAATCAGGTCAACTGAATAGGCCAAGGAAATTATTACAATTCTGATTACTGGAAATGTTGTTGATTCTTTGGGAGGAATCGAGTTGATATAATCATGATTAAGATGATAATCAAATTTGTTATTATTATTTATAAATCTAATACTAAATCCATTAAGAAGTTATCAAGAAACCTATTGACTTAATTGGTTATTTTTTTTATATTATTGATTTAATTGCTGATTATTGGACATTAATGTCCAGAAATGTAGTTAATTATGTTCATTTTGATATGAAAATTCAGTTTATATCAAAATTGATCAGGTAACAAATTGATTTTGATTTTTTTTTAAATATTTCGATTATGATAATTGATATGATTCTGAATGAATTTATAAATGCTTGTAGTTAATATGGAGCATGATGTAATCAATTGCTCGAGTTACATAACATGTAATTTAGTATCGGATATATTTCATGATAAATTCATGAACATTACAAGACATGAGCATTGGCATTGATTTGGTAACTCTAGTGACTCAGATTGATTTGTAATTTAAACTAAATATTAAATTATTACTTCAAATGTATGAGATCAATCAAATATTAAAATAAGTTTAATTTGTCATCATCATGATAATGATTAAAATTTTTCAATATATAACAATTAGTGAAAAAAAGTGAATAATTAACTTGAATCGTTAGAATTAAATTTGAAAGAAATTGTAATTCAATCAGATGTAACTCAGAATTGATTGTGATCACGTAATCAAGATTAAGTTTCCTAAGGTAATTTATAAATTGTTAAGGTCTAGACTTGATTAGATTATTATTATTATTATAGTTAATTAATTGATTGATTAATCAAATCTTGTTGAGTTAATCATTTATGGTTAGTTAATTTAAAGATAATGATATTGTTACCTGGACAATTAATTTGGATAAAGGTGCTGTAAATTTTTTAAGGTACTCAGGTGATGTTGTGTTTGAAGTTTCCCATTTAATTGAATTAACTGCTAATCGAGTTGACTTTTCCAAATAGCCAGTGGTCACTTCCAGAGGTAATAATACAATTACCGTTAGCCAATTGAACATATCATGAACTGTTGCAGCAGCAAATGCCCGGCGGAATTCATTTCGATCAGTGGCTTGAATCAATGAAACCTATTGATTGATTAGACAGAATGAGAAGAGGGTGGGAAAGGTAAGTGTGGGAGGTGGGAGAAGATGATGGATCAAGATGATGAAAGATGAGGATGGAAAGTTAAATATACAAGGAAATAGTAAATAAGATGAATGAATGATAAGAGAATACAAGTTAAAAATATTAATAGAAAGAGATGAAAAAAAAGGTGAGAGTGTGAACAAAGTAGATTTGATTAGAGAAGAGAAAATGAAGAGATTAATTAGTTAATTACTATTGTGTTTGTGATGGAAGTTCCAATGTTGGCCCCCATTACAATAGGAATTGCTTCTTTCACTCTAATCACTGTAATGAAAGAGAAGAAGAGGAAGAAAACAAAGAAAGAAAGAGAGAGAGAGAGAGAGAGAGAGAGAGAGAGAGAGAGAGAGAGACAAGAAATAGGATAAATTGTAAGTCTCTCTCGATAACAATCATCGTAATCAAATTGTTAAAGTTTAGCAACGATATTATGGATTAGGAGTTTACTTGATAATCTATTGGGAGGATTAGCTAATCATCTTAACAGGGAAAGTGCTATTTTCCAATGATTGATTTCTCATTCCCAGTGGGAGTTAATTTACAAAGATAAACATCTAAATCAATTCGCAACTCTAAACAATTAACCTCTTTCTTTTCAATTAGTAATTGAATTAAATGCGTAATCAGGGAGGGGAGAATTCCCAATCTGATTAAACAACAAGTGAATATGATATATAAATGATTTATAAGAAAATTAACTTTTTCATTGTAATTAATTTACACTAAAATTAACACTGAGAAAACAATCATATGTTAATTGTTACATGGGTTGAATGTGAATGTAAATTAGATGAACGAATGAGTTTGTCTGAATTGATCCTTATAAAACTTAATTACTTTGAAATTCTCACTGAGCTTTGACTTGAAATTATGATAATCAGAGTAATAGATTTGAATTGATTTTCTCATGATGTTTTGTTTTTCTATGGAAAAAAGTAAAAGATAAATAATCTTACACTCGGAAGCGACTAAAGTGACCGCAATCGAGGTCGATGTAGATGAACTTTGGACAAGAACAGTGACCAGGATTCCAATGAGTAGGCCAACGATCGGGTTTTGAAGAAGCTCATTATGGCGGAAAACTGATCCGGCGGTTCGACCTCCAAGTAAACGGAAACCGGAACTAAGAAAATCCAACGAGGTGATAAACGAATAGAGTAAAAGTAACAAGGTAAAGGTTTTCAGTAAAATTATTAGAAGTCGACGAATCTTTCCAGTGGTGGGTAATTCTGAAGGTAAATGATTCCATTTCCATTGATGGTTGGGTAATTAATTGATTTTTGTTATTCGATTGTAGAAACAGAAAAGGATTATATTAGTACATCAAGTTATTAATATCATCGTCATTATTTATCTTAATTGAGGAAGAGACAATGAGAGAGAGAGATAAACAATTGTTTCGATCATCATATGATAACCGGTAATCAATATCGATCCGAGAAAAATGTCTATTGGGAGAAGAGTGAAAAGGGAATTGTTGTCTCTATAATAACCTAATTTACTAAATTGTAAATTGTAGAATTTGAAAAATCAATTTCAAGATTAGAATACGAAAATAGACTTACCGTTCCAAGGGGTCGTGTGTTCATATGTTTCCGGCATTTCCCATGGATCTGGAGTTCTGGTTGGTGTATAAGGTGAACTCATTGGACTTGGTAGGCTTAAATCACCACGAGCTGATTTAAATTCAGTAAATTCTGGAGGTGGTGTTATTTGTGTACAAGTCATGGTTACGTAAATAGAGACAAATGTTAATCCCAACAGGAGCTTATTAAAGATTAGCTTGCAGATTAACAATCTTGTCTTGTTTTTTTTTATCAGAATGGAAAACAATAGAAATGATTTTTTCTCTTCTTCAACAGATGAAACACTTATATAGAGATGAAGGAAATTAGAATTAAACTAATTAGAAGATGATGATGAGAATAATTAACAATCGTTATGGTAATCACAAGGAAATGAAAATCAATGTTAACCTTTAACCCTTTAGGTGAGTTTATAAAAGAGAGAGAGAGAAGGAGGTTAAGAGGATCTTTCTTGATGTTACCGGTTAAATCCAATTGTATTTGGAAATTGATTGTTGAGTTGATTGTATTGTTGACCAATCATGGAATTGATTGTATCCATAGTTGGTTGATTAATTGGTGAGGATTTTGTTGTTGGATTATCCATGTTATCGTAACAATAATTAGATGTGTTCACTTGTGAGGGAGAGATTAAAATAAAAACATTGGATTAGAATGAAAGAGAAACTGAGAGAGAGAATGGAAGAGAGAGAGAATGAAGAAAGAGATGAAGAAAGAGATGATTAAAATGAGAGCAACTCGATTTTCGAGAGAATGTTAAATGTACAAATTGTTTGGATTCGACTCGTAAATTATTCGTTCGTTCATCTAATCAATTTGATCTTCTTTCGACTTGTCGACTTTACCTGTCGTATTTACTTTCATTTCCCTCCATCTTTTGTCTCATTTTTTAACCTCGTAACTCGTAAATATTAATAGTTGAAGGGAATTTGTTTTATTTTCTATTACAATTAATTAGGTGAACAATTTAATTTAGTGAAATATTGTATATGTATTTGGCTTAAGGTTTTTCTTTTTGGTTTAAAAGTAAATTACTAATACAATGAAGGGAAAGAGAGAGAGAGAGAGAAAGGAAAAGAAAACATTGTTTTGTAAGAGATTAGAATTGTTATCATTACAATTAGTGGTAATTAGTTAATTATCTGCTTTCAGGCCAATGTCTTTTGTATTCTTCGTGTTCTGCCAGATCTTCAAGTACTTCTTTTCGGTGGAGGAGGAGGATAATTAAAGCCAGAACAACACATATACAGGTTAAGGTGATTAAGGTTGAGATGACAATGTCACTTGGAGTAATAAATAATTTGGTTCGCCATATTTTTGGATCACTGGGTGGATAAGGGATAACAACAACCTGAGCATCAGGAACAATTTGAAGCCATGAACTAACTCTTACAGAATTATCTTCCGCTGCAGGTATGGAAGCGGTGAGGTTATCAACAAAATTGGGAAATTGACCAAGGCCAAATATTGTGTAGGGCATTTGTAAACTAAAATCGGACGATTGAGATAATTGTCCAGCAAATCCTGCTCGACGATTTCCAGAAGCATCAACTAATTGATAGGTTATTGCAGGACCTGGTTGATTGGTACCATAAGGAATAGGAGATGCTGGTGCTGATCCGTCAATTGTTTTCTCAATAGATGGACAGTCACCATAACAAAGACCACTGGTAACCAAAACTTTGAGGAAACACGCATCGTACATTTGGTCATTTAATACCACTGATATGGCATAATTAGATTTGCCTGAACCTTGCGAGTTAATTATCACGTCAGCCTTACCATCTTCACTTATATCAGCCCAGGCCGTTAGAATTGGTAGATTGGTTGACTCGTAACCACCTTCGATTAACCAACGAGGCACAAATGATCTTCCAAGAGGATTTGTTGCGTTCTTGATATTTTGTAATATAATCACTTTAATGTTTGGTTTATCTTTTGACTTCATTAATCCAAGTAGATCAGGAAAACCATCACCATCAACATCAGCTTGACGTAGTTTTAAGGGGAAAATAAATTTCGCCGAATCATCTGTAGCCACAGAAAATAGTAATGATGATCCAGGAGGTGGAGGTGATGATGATGATGATGATGATGATGATACATCAGGAAAATTATCATTTACAATGAACCATTCATTTTTAGCTCCATCTAAAGCTAATAAGGTTGATGTTGATGAGCAACTGGAATCACTACAAACAGGTAATATATGATCAACGATTCCGTCACCATTCATATCAGCGAGAGTTGATAGGCCAATTAATTTATAATTAGGATAAGGTATTTCTTTAGTTTTAACGAAACCACCAGACGAATGATACCAATATTCCATTGATTTATCATTCTCGATAATAAGATCACTTCTAAAGTCTCCATTTAAATCAATGAAACCATTGCTATTTGGTGAACGAATTTTACCAATATTACTCTCGGTATTGGTTAAATTTACACGAGTAACATTAGATTCTTTAATCGAAGTGTAAATATATCGTTGGCCATTTATATCACGAGCAAATAGATCGACAATCATATCACCATTATAGTCCAATGCTAAAGGCTGGTGAGTAACTTGAGCGAAAAACATTTTATCTCTAAGGTAACGACACTCCAAGTGATTCCTATCTCCAGGTACGAGGTAAAGGTTAAGCTGATCATTATCACCAATTGAATGATCAGAATCTCGAGTGATCACAACGACATCCATAAAAGCTTTACCCGAAAAATCTCCCGGTATAAGGCCAACAATTGACTCTCCATGTCCAGAAACATTACATTCAAGATTAGAATCATAAATGAAATCGGGTTTATTGGTTGCTCTCAAAACCTGGAATGAATTACGAGCTGGACTAATGATAAAAAGGTCCGTTAATTTGTCCGAATCAAAATCACCTAAAGCTGTAATTAAACCATTGGCTTGAATAGAAATCAATTTTTTATCCACAGAGAAACTATTAGTTAATAGAAATAAATTGATCAATCCAACAGTTAAAATACAGATGACATGTTTTAACAAGGCAGTGAGATTCATTGCCTTTCAATGAATATGGGAGAAAAATAAATAACTATAAAACAAACAAAAGAACACAAATCAATAGAGAAAAAAACAACAGTTTAAACCATAATTAACACAGGAAAATAAATGAGATAACCCAATAAAAATGGGTTAATAAATTAGTCTCTCTACTTTTGGTTGGTAACCAGAACGTTTGAAAGAAAACACCAACCAGAAAGAGATAAACAGAATCTAATTCACTGTCCAGTTTCTAGTGGTCACTCAACAGAAATGGAATGTAAAAATAACATCAAAAAAAAAGAATATGAATTAAACAAAATATTCCACCAATAATCTCAATGATTAACTTGATTTAGAATTGGAATCAAAATGTAAACAAAAATTTCTCAAAAGAAAAGTCTATTCATCGAGCATCTTAGGTTAGAATAGGAGAGAACGTTATTTCCACAGCTTGTTTATTATTCTTCCAATGTGACTGAAGGAAACATCTTAATTAAATTAACTCTTAATTGTGGTTCCAATTTTCATTTGTATTTGTTTAACTGTTGTTTCTAAATTACAAGTAAACGTTGTAGCTGATGAATTGTTAAGGGAACACTTTTAAGGTAAGTGATTTGATCTCTTTAGTTGGTTTTGTTTTTGTGTCTTGTTTTTTTCTCTCATTTTTTTTTCTTTCTTTTGTGATGATTTATTTTCTAGATATCAATGGCTTCTACTTTTAAATTAATTAATCGTGTGAAATGTTGGCTACCTGGTAATTCGTTGGCTGTTGGAAGATGGAATCTGGTGAGATGTTTTCATGAGGTACCTGAATTTAAAAGTGATCACAGCTTAGAGAAAATTTATCCTAATAGTAAATTGGATCCATTTAGAAATGTTGAGGTTTGTCACTCGTTTTGTAATCATTTGCGTTTATTTTTTTTTTTTTAAATTATTTCAATTTAATCTTTTAAAGGTTTCACAGTCATCAGATAAATTTAATGGTTATATTCCAGTTGACAAATTAACAGTAACTAGAGTTAGAGCTAGTAAACCAGGAGGACAAAATGTTAATAAAAGTAATACCAAAGTGACGATTACATTTAAATTATCTGAAGCCGATTGGATTCCTGAACCTGTGAGAGATAAATTAGCTTTATTAGTAAGTATCATCAGGATGTTCACGATTCAAATTAAGCTTTGAGCTTAACCTTTCTTGTTCAAAAAAAAAATTACAATTAAACCTTTCGATATAAGCAAATTGTCACCACATTGTTTTGGTGATAGATTGACAAGAATTAACTAGGATAAAGTTAATTCCAGTGATTATTCTTATAAATTTCTAAAAATGTATCAATTACAATTTAGAAAACACACGATTTTAATTGTTTACATTCTTCAATTATTGTAATGTGATTACAAGATTATTTTAATTTTCTTTTTTTTTTCTTCTTTCCTTTTCACTCTTTATCCTTTTTCTATTGATTTCATCTATTCCCATAGCATAAGAATTCAATAAACAAAGAAGGCGAATGGATAATTAGATCCCAGAAGACAAGAACGAGTTCTCTTAATTTAGCTGATTGTATGGATAAATTAAGAGTTTATATAACCGAAGCAGAGGAATCGATTCCTCCTCCCGAAGATCCAGTGACAATTGAGATGAGACGAGAACGATATGAAAAAGCAGCTCAAGAGAGACTAAGACAGAAACGACATCGATCAATGGTCAATCGAATGAAAACTTATGCTTATCATGCAGAATAGTTGAACAGTTCGAACTAATCATCGAATTAAACTTATATACACATAATATTAACTAATTTGTTTAGAATATAAATAAAAAAAAAATTCTTAAATAGTGAAAAGGAAGAGAGAGAAAAAGAAAATTATGAATGATTATCCTTCTGGCTTTCATTTCACCACAAATTATGTAACAATATCCACAAATTGATGAATAACTACAATCGAATTTAAATTAATTACGATTGGTTAATTAACTATGTTCATTTGTGATGTAATTTTTTCTTTGTTTTCACAAATTCAGTCAACCGATTTCATCTCTTTTTTTTTCATCAAGTTACATAGTCTTTCATCATCTACCAGGCACTTTTGAGTTTTGTGTTGTGTTGATGTTAAGATGTTGCATGTTGTCAATATTTGATTGAAATGTTTTCACAATTTACTGATTTGGAAAATAATTCAGATGAATTGAGTTAGTTTTTTATGATGATCATTATCGGGTTAAAGGGAAATATATTATCCGACAATAGCCCGTTCTTTATTGTCCAAATAGAGGTGAGACATGGTATGTGTTGGTTGTGAATGTGTATATATTTTGTAATTTTTTTTTGTCAAATGAAGAGGTTGGGTTTGTTGTTGTTGTTGTTGTTGTTATGGTGGTGGTGGTGGTGGTGTTTAAATGGTTGATTGGCTCATTCATGGTGATAGAGATATAATTGATTATTAAGTTTAATGTCATACATTGATATTATGTGTTTTCTCTTTGTGACTGTTGAGTCCATGCTTCCAAGAAAACTTTTTACCACATAAATCACACTCAAATTTATTCCGATAATATGAATGGATCTGCATGTGTCGCTGGAGATTACGTTTTGCGGTGAAACCTTGATGGCATATATGACATTGGAACCTTTGAACTCCTTGAAAAGCAAAATTAGAAGGTGATCCATCTGAACTGGTTGTATTTGTTTTACGTCCTTTCTTTCCTCGGCTAGTTTGTGCTGATGTTTCCCCACCTCCACCCTCATGTGGTACAAGACTTTTAGTTGCATTGACTTCCGATAATCCTTTTACTTTAAGGCTTTCCGCGCTTTTCAGTACAGATGCTAACTGTTCTTGTGGTACAAAAACTTCTCCCCGATAAATAAATTCAACGATGGCGCGTAAATCAGCAAATGGCATGTCTTTCATGATAACAACAGGATATTGGTATGGATTGATAAATTTGCTGAAAATGTTTTTGAAATAAGATGAACACGCGCTAAGAACCATTTTATGAGCACGGATTGAACCATCACCACAGGATAGGGTAACATCAACCATTGATTCCTCCTTAAACATCCTCTCAAAGTGTTCTGACATATCCGATGAATGGTTATTCCGTCTAAGACAGAAGGCTTGAGCCGACATAGGTGGTAATGCTGCTGATGCTTCTGGAGCTGTAGCCATGGTTGGTGGTGGTGGTGGTGGTAAAGGTAAAAAGGGAGGGAGGGATGAGGGATGAGTGGAGGAAAAGGGAGAAATTTACAAGTATAGAAAAGGAAGAAAACTCATGAAGAAAGTGGGCAGAATGATGAACCAAATATATTTCAACAATCGATCGCCAAACGGAAGATATTATCGTAATCACAGGTAATAAACGGTCGCAAAGACTAAAAAACAAATCTTTACAGAAATAAAAGTGAAAGCAAAATGGAACCAGAATTCTGGTTGCTGACAAAACAGCGTTAACACCGGGCGACCTCTATGGGAGGCTTCGTTAAGCCCTTTGTTATCATTTTCAGCTTTTCTATCAAATTTTTGTATTTTCTTGCAAATTTTGTTCCAAATTTTTGTTTTCGATTCACTTTAAATTACAATTCTTATTAAAGTGATTCCGTGTAACTAGAAAAATTAACTAATTCAGTGAGTAAAAAATTCTACTGACAAGTTATCATGTTTATCTCTCTCTCTCTCTCTCTCTCTCTTTCTCTCTTTTTTTCTCTTCTTCTCTCTCTTTCTCTCTTTCTCTTCTCTAATTCCATGCAACTACTACCATCTATTATCTAGAGTTGTAACTAACTGAGATCGATTAATTTGACTAATCGATTTTAGAGAATTCAAATTTTCATAATTTGAATTTGGATAAGAAGATGTTAATCCAATTAACTAATTGAGTAAAAGTGGGAATGATTTGGTGATGGGATGAAAAAAAGAGAGTTTGAGAAAAATTTGATGATTCAAATTGTGGTCGTTATTACTTGTGAAAATTGTTCGTTTTATTAAACTTGATTGTTAAACTAAATTAACATGATTTACAAACTGCAAATTTGACTTTCAGTTGCATATTTTTGGATAAATTTCTTGTATTTGGCAACGATGGTGTAAAGTGTTGGTATATTTATGTTACCACAAACACCATATCCCCCAGAAACCAAACCTACAGCGTACCAACGATGATTTTCTGGATTTTTGTACATCAAAGGTCCACCCGAGTCACCGATACAAGAACCCCCACCGGTGTTTGTATCTATGGCGCACATATGACTTTCATGGATCGGAGTGACCAAACTAGCGTATTCACCAGGATAAGTCTCGATAACACCTCGAACTCTTAAAGTGAACTCATAATTCATTTTGTTACACTTTGTTTCTGTTAATTTGATGGAAAACATAACAATTAATTGAATGTACCAAAAATTAAAGAGAATAACAAATTACTTACTATCAATATAATCCACTTCAACTTCATTAAGTTTATCGGGTGCACCCTCGATTTCAGAAAGTTTACCCCAACCGGTAACAATCAAGCTCTCATACTCTTTGATATTGGCATCGGGAATACAAATTGGATAAATATCTTCCGTATATTGAACGGGTTTACTTAACTTTAGAATCGCAAAATCAAAATCAAGTTTACGCTCTGTGATATCGAAACGTTTATCGTAAATAAATTTGGAAACACTATGTTTATTGTCCAAATCTTTGGATATACTATGAGCACCGAGATAAACTTCGGTTAATTTCCGTTTCCTTAGAACTCCAAACTCATCGAAAATGCAATGAGCCGCTGTCATTACGTGCTGATTGTCAATTAAACTTCCACCACATTTAACATATCGATTATCATGTAGATTCAATTTAAATCTAAATGAACAATGAAAATCCAAAAAAAAAATTGTGAGAAAAAAAAGTTAATCACAATTGAGACAATTTACCTTATATGAGCCATCCACGGGTACTTATTGGGTGTCGCCTCTTTCCCCATGAATATGCGACTTTGAGCACCGGCTTCAATACCACATTCTAAGTAAACGATTAAAATATCAATTAATCGTCACATAATTAGAAAAGGAAGATCACTTTCTATCGTTAGGAAATTAAATCTTTTCAACGAACGAGTAAAAATAATCACAAACTCCATTTGATTAGTCTGATCATTTCATCGCAATCATGAATTGGAAGATGAAAAACGTACTCACCACAATCATCATCACATGAAACCATGATTAATTGACCAGATCCAAATATGATTAAAATAATTAACGAGAATAACATATCTCATTCAAACGATTATCCCATGAACAAGTTTGCTGAATTGAGAAACACCATTGAGAAAATTAATGCTTCCGTTTGAGCATAAGAACAAAATAAAAACACCAATGTGATTAATAAGAAAATCAATCACCAATAACATATCCAGTTTCCATTAGGAAAACTGAACGATATGTGACCACAAATATCCATAGGAATCCATCAAAAGCAATCACAATTTCCACACAATTAACACAATAGTTTAATCAACAACAAAAACAGAATTTAAAATTGAAATAAAAACAAAACGAATACGAAATAAGCGCCAAAACGATTGATACTTTGACGAGATAAAAAAAAGTTCCAACGAAATGTTCAATCTTAATTTTTGATTTTCTAACAATCAAATCTAATTGTTGTTCACTTTAACTCGATAATATGTCAAATGATTTAAATCGACGATAAAGGTTACAATTTATATTAATACTTTCCCCTTTTATTATCTGTGTACGAACACACCAATTGATTGTTACATTTTCACTACTCTCACTTTCTCATTTAATTTGTTTTCTTAATCATCATTAAATTGTGATTGGCTTTTCTAAATTGAGAAAGGATGTATCGGATTTCCCTAAATAACCATTAACAATTATCGCTCTCTCTCTCTCTCTCTGGCCTGAGATCAGTATTTATCGCTCTACCTGCCGATCTTTTCAATTCTCAACTGAAACCATTATCATCATGAAAAGTTCATCAACTGTAATATTCAAGCTTCAACGGAAAAGGGAAACCGTTGATTGTTAATTTATATATTATAACCAATTTCTTGATCATCATTATATTTATGGTGAGAAGACAATTGTATCAACAATTAGTGTTTCATTCTGTTTGTTTATCGATTGTGAACATTAATTTGTACCATTTGGTTTCCTTATTACCGATTTAAGCCTTTTCATCTTAATTGTTGATTTGTTTTTCTTTATTTACGTTGAAACAATTAACATTTCTCTCTCACTTTCACTCTAACATTTCCTTAATTTGTGTATTTATATAGAATGTGTATCATCATCATCATCATCATCAATAGAGAAAAAGAAATAAAAAACAATCATCTAATTGTGATGATCGTTATTGTTTCTCAAAATTGATTGTTTGTGATCGTTACTCATTTAATATCATTAAAAGTGAAAAAGTGATAACACAATTTGATTAACGATTAATTTTCTGATACAAAATGGATTAAGATTAATGTTAATTGCTTTTAGTTTGCAACACTATTAATGGGACTAATTTCGTCTTTCGATTATCATTTGATTTACTTTCGAGTCCTTTTTAATTTGTATCAACATTTAAATTCTCATCTTGATTGGAACCAATTTATGGGGAAAAAGTTAATTGTCAAGCTCATCATCTCCCCTTTAATGTGTTACATTTCAATTGCTGTCCCATCATTAGTGAGATTTACCGTTTACAATTAACAATCGGATTTAATTATCACGAATATGTTTATATCATCTAATGATCGTAGAGATGAAGACTAATGAGATTTAAGAAAACTTTTTTTTTATAGAACTTGAATAATTAATAATATAATTAATTTACTATTTTTCGAGGAGTAAAATGATAAATTTTAGAAAATTTTGAAGGATAAAATTTTCGTTGCTAAAGAGAAGACAAAAGTTTTCATTTTCTTTCGTCAAATCGATGATCTGTTTTTAATTAGAACTTACTAATTAGTCTGATTTCTAAAAATTGTATTACCTGGGATAACTTCAAGTCCGAATAACTTGGATAACCTTAATAACTTGTTGTACCTTTTACTTACCTTCCCTCTTTCTACATTCCTTTTATCTCTTACCTGTTCCTCTGTCTGTGTCTCTTTCTATTTTCACCTTTTCTTTCTCTCTCTCTCTCTCTCTTCCCTCCCTCTCTCATCATCCTCATCATCTTCTTCTTCGCCGTCCACACCTGTTGTTTTTTTTTCTTTTTTCAAAAGTAATTGAGGTCGCCATTAGATCCTCGTTGATCCTCGTTAAGTTAACAACTTTTACCCAAGTGAAAAGAGGATTTTGATCATTTTCAGTTCTAAACATTTGACTTTTTCGCTAATCAGTTAATCACTACCAATATGGATAACAGTAATTACCTTTCTGGTCAATATTTTGATCGGACATCATCAACAGTTTCAGATAATCTTGTTTGTGACAATCAATATTATTCAGGATACACTATTGTTAACAATCAACAATTAGCTGAGCAGCAACAACATCAACAAGTTTACCAATTTAATCAAAATGTGCAGCAGCGTCTTAATCCTCAACATCAAATACAACCCCAACAACAACAACAATTAACAAATCATTTGGATGGGAACAATTACAATTATGTTTACAATCAAGCAGTTATGCCGACAACTAATTACAACAATTATCAGTTAGTTATCAATGGCGATGCTAACGACAATCCCCATCACCAACAACATCAACAACAATACAACTCCAATCACATAGCGACCACAACCACAGGCACAGGCACAACCACGACCACGACCAATAGTAATGTTATTAGTACTGTGAAAGAGGAAAATAAAGTTGTTAAGACTAAAAGGAAGAAGAAAATAAACCGTAAAAAAGAGCCGTCGAATAATAAGAAATCGGCATCGGCTTATGCTCATTTTTTTAGAGATAAACAAGCTCGAATTAAAGAAGAAAATAAATCGGCTTCTTTTGGTGAGATTTCAAAAATTGTGGCCTCAGAATGGGAAGCCTTGTCCATTGATGAGAAAGCGGTTTACAAACGGAAAGCAGAAGTGGCCAAGAATGACCAATTCAAGGACATCGCTCTGTCTCACGCCATGGCTGTTGCTGGAGCGAAATTCAATAATAATAATACAAACAATCAGCTTGACAATAATCAAACTAATCAAAACAATTTACAACAACAACAACAATCAACACAACCACCGATACAATCAATACAATCAACTCATCACCACAGCAACAACCACAACCACAACCACCACCACCACCACCACAACAACAACAACAACAACAACAACAACATGAAGCCAATTATAATTATGTTCAAATTAATTATCCCGATAATGTTGGAGTCACAAATGAAATGTTGTATACAAATGAATCCATTTATCAATATTAATTGTTTCAAACAGGACAGTTAATGAAATTGATGAGTGGGGATGATAATTGAATAACGGGTACTAATTCAACGATATGATTGCATGAATGAAATTGCGAGTGAATAAAATTGTAATTAATTTCTACAATAAAGATGATCTGAGGTATTGATGGATTATAACAGTGGATTAAACTTTGGATGAAATATCGTACAGATCTTCCGGATTGGAGTTAATTTCCGTTTTATCCTTTGGTTTTGATGGTGTTTCAACTGTTCCCCAAGGTTGAGGCTTCGTTGTGGCAAAGGTTAAAAATGAAAAAGCTCCGATCATTTGTAACCCAGCGAAAGTATAAAATGTTGTATTCCATAGACTTTGAGAATGAACCTTTCGATTGAAAAAAAAGAAAATAATTAATAATAAATTGAATGCAAAGAGAAAAAATAAAGTTCAATTCGATATACTCACTTGTTCACCAATAATCGCTGCTATTATCACGGGGGCGATAAAACCCGAAGCACAACCAAGGGTATTAGCGAAACCAAAAGCAGTACCAACAAGATGCGGAGCCATTTCCATGACTATCGGTGTATCACCTCCAATGGTAAATCCATTACAGAACATACTTGCGATTAGAACAATTATAATCACGTCAGGTCGATTTCCAAGACTTGGTATGATACCCAAACAAAGAGCAGTACCAAAAAGAGCTGAATACGAGAAAATAGATTGTAACAATTAAGAGTTTTTCGATGGTTTTCGATGCTATTAGAATTAACTTACCAATCGATTCAAATATTTTTCGAGTAACTGTCCTAGAGAACCATTTTTTACCAATCACCCATCTCGCCATTGGTCCAGAGATTAATTGAGTTGAACAAATTGCAACATAAAAAAGTGAATTAATTAATCCATTCCCTTGTAATTGATAACCTAGAACCATTTCCATATAAACGGGTATCTTTGTGTTAATCGCATAATAGATTAGCCCATTGATACCACGAGTTATCATAACTGACCAAAGAGGTAGAGAGGTTAACATGCTAATCCATGGGGTTTTGGTGATCTGATTAAAATGAAGATTAATTGTTGTTAATGATAAAATTGGTGAATATTTTCTAATGATGAATTACCTTTGATTTGACCACTTTAGCACTGGTCATTTTGTCGAGAAAATTTTTCTCCGATTGTGATACCCAACGATTATCCGAAGGGTCAAGAGTCATGGTGATTATCCAGATAATTATGAATAAAATGTTGACCGCTGCGGTTACATAAAATGCTGAAGGCCAACCACCCGCGAATCCATTATCACATAACCAAGCGGTTAACGGCATGATAATTACTATGCCGAAATTTGATCCAACAGCAACACAACTTTGGGCAAATGCTTTTTCCGTGGGTACTAACCACCTTTCCATGAGTATATAACAGGAAGGGAACAATAACCCATGGGCTAAGCCAAGGGCCATTCGAGCTGCGACCAGGTAGATTATCCCATATTCAGCGGCAATGGGACACAAGAAGGTACAAGCGATCGCAGCCAATTGCGAGGCCGTCATCAAGTGGACAGCGTTGAATTTATCGGTCAAAATACCTGAGATAATTTGAGCGGCCGTATATGTGTAAAAATAGGCTCCCAATACAAGACCTTGATCCTGTTGGTCCCAATTGAATTTAATCTGTTACAATTTAACAAAGAGAATGGAAAATAAAATCAGAATCAGATTAAATCAACTCAGTGATTATCATTTCATTGTGTTCATAATCAAGGTGAACGATTATAAATTACAATCTCTCTCTCTCTCATTGCATATTCTCGTGTTATTATCATGACATCTTCTTGAATATCGTTAATCAGCTGGTTAATTGTTCATTTTTCATCTTCGATTGAAGTGAATAAAAAATTTCGACCCTACAATCAATCAACTTACCTCATCTTTTATCACCGTTGAATTAAGTTGATCTGTTGACGTTGTTGAATCTTCGTTGACCATGGCCAATATAGCGACATTTATGACACATCGAACAGCGAAACTAATTGTGGCCGCGAAGAAGAGTAAAAGTATCACAAAATAACGAAAAGGGAACAAAGATTTTTTCTCTAATTGTTGTCGCAAATTAGAAACATTGGACAATTTAATTGAAAGAGATTCTCGAATACTGATCGTCATTTTTATCACTTTGGTCTTTTCTAATTTCAAACTACCTGAGATTAAAAGGTAAAAAAGGAAAAGGGAAAAATAAACGACATCGAAAAAAGGAAAAAAAAAGGAAAATCTAAACAAAAAGGTAAAAGGATTAAAGGGAGAAACTAATCAACTCGATAAATGGATTAACTGGATTAAAGTCATTCTCAAATCGTGAAAAATTCATCCTTAAATAGAGACGAGGGAATCACAAGGAGGTAGGAAGATGAGGAGGAGGTGATGGACTTAAATTGATCAGATTAATGGTAAAGATCATGATCAATGTGATGATGATGATGATGAGATAATTAGAGTAGTAAAAGAGGAGAGAATATAAATTACGATTGACAATCAACAGATTGTTGAGAAAGATACATTTACATGGAAAGAGAGATTTGATTGTAGTCGAAAGGAAAAAGAAATAAAAAGTTACAAGAGTTAATTGTGATTCTAATTTTGAAAATTAACTGGTGTAAATCAATTGAGATTCTCATTTTTTTTTAATTCACTTTTAATTCACTGAGACTGAATTTAGTACAAATTGTTAATTGTGAGCAAATTTTAACCACACAAATCAAAACAAAGGGAAAGACACAATGGAAACTGATTTATGTCCATAAAGATAATCAACAATTAACCAGATTAATTGAGATCTAATTTTGATAGTTTAACAATGAGCTAACTGATTGGTTAAAAAGAGCAACAATTAATAGATATGAGAACAAGAAATCATAATTAGTTTACCATTGAAAATGTAAGATTGACAATTTAAATTTACACAATTAATTTCTCCAGCAATTAATCTGATCAAACTTAATCTGTGTTTCTATTAATATTCAGAGAATCATGATTAGGTTAATTAGGAGTAAAAAAAAGGGGTTAATTAAACTGGAAATTGCTGGTTACGAGAATTAACTTTGTCAGTTATCATAATTATCTCAAGATGATTAAAATTTTCATGGTTAATTGTTTGATTCTGATGTTGGTGTTTTACTTTGATTACTTAATCATTTGTATGTGTTTCTGTATGTTAATTTACATTGAGGTAATCATATGATGATTCATTTTGATTTAATTAAGTTAGAATATACCTTTAATTGTTGTATATATTTATTTGTATATCCCCCAACAATTAGATGAAGAAAATCCTAATGATTATAATCAAAAGTGATGATTGTAATTAGTTGTTGTTTTATTGTTATGATTAAGGTTACATAAATACTAGAGGTGTCAAGATTAAACCGGTTCAGTTATCATTGATTAACTTGGTGAAGGAAATTAATTTGCTAATTGTTTTTCTAATTGCTAGAAAAACAATAGCAAGAAAAAACCAGAGGAATGACATTAATTAATCGTAACAATTAACGAGCAATATCAAATTCAGCTTCAAATTGGATTTCTAATCTAAACAAAACGATCATGATTCAAATTAAGATTGTGAATTCGAAAGCAATTAACCAACAAAAACCAGTAGTAGCTAACCAAATTTAATTTAATTCTAAACAAATTACAAATCCATTTTTATTCATTTAATTAATTTAATTGTCGATTTTTAGGAAATTCAATAAAAGCGCTCAAATTGACTGACCAATCAGGTTCTTCTCTCCGATTTTGTTTACTAGTTGAAAGCATTAATTGTTTTTCTTTATCATTTGGTTTGATTATTTGGACATTATTGTTAATTAACACTAATTGTTTTTGATTAAGAATTGATTTGATAGTCGTGCTTCTCAAGTTACATGCGATAATTTAGATTCCGTTTTTAGTTACATCGGTTTCTAGACTGATGTAATAACGACCAAAACTGTGAGAGTTAATCAGATTCATTTTGATCATTGACTCTTTTTTTGCTAATTAAATCAATTACATTGTAATACTTATCTTAAATTGTTTTCTACTTGAAACTTGTGAGATTAAAAGGTTGGTAATTTTATCTGTGAAAATTAGAATTAGAATTGTAATATGTGATTGAAGAAGTTTAAATGATTGATATTTAGCTTTCTTTTTTCAGTAATTTATTAATCATTTTTCTATTTCTCTTTTCTCCCTTTTCTAAATAGCTCCGAATCAACATGACAGAATATCTTACCAAGTGTCTTTTCATTGTTCTCATAGTTTTATCTCTAATTGTTTTCATTTGTTCAACACATGGTTCAACCTTTAACCAAGCTGAAGATTCAGAGGATCCTGAGTATAAACAAATCTATCAACCTGTTGATAAATCCGATTGGATTGATAGTGGAGATATGTTCACATATGATCCATCTTCTGGGACGAATCGTGAATCCAAATTCAAAGAAGCTGCTTCGATGGTGATACAAATGGCCAAAGAGAGGAGAAAAACTCAACAAGATTCAAAAGATCATTGCTTCAATGATTGTCAGGAGATTATTGTTAAACTGAAAGATTGCGAAGAATCTCAGAAAAAAGTTCGATGTGAATGTTTAAACAATGATCATTGTGGTGCACGAAGTTATCAAATAATTAGGAGATTGATGATTCTATTGAATAAACAATTAACAAACGAATACTCTAGAGGATCAATATTGGAATTAAAAGTTAACCTGGATGATTTTTTCTTCCAGATGCCGGAAAATATCAAGAATATAAGTGATTGTGACTATTTGGCTAATCTTCATCCACTTGCCGATCAAATATTACCATCGATTATTATCTATCATCCTGATCCATTAATTTCTCCTGAATATTTATCGGTCAAATTTGGTGCCACTGGTTTAGGATGTTTACTAACTTTAATATGGCTCTTTAAAATGGCTTGGAAAATTAGATTATTAGCTCTAATTTCAATCTTCTTCTTTATTACTCTAATATGGGAATATCTTCTTCTTTATCAAACTGAAATGGCCAAAGTTGAAGAGAAATCAAATCGTTTGAAAGATAAATGTGAATCACAAGCTTCGATTAATTTTCTTGGTTGGATCTCATCTTTAGTACCAGTTTTAAGCTTTGGAAGTGAAAACTCTGAGTGTACCGATTATTACATTTCAACTCGTGTTAACCCTTTATTATCGGTTAATCCAATTATGGCCTTTTCAAAACTTTACGAACACACGATTCTTTTTGCATTAACATTAACTGCCAACGCGACTGGCCTTTCATTTAAAGCTTTCTTTAGTCATATTCCCACCTTTTGGGTACCAATATTCCTATTAGCTGGTGTAACTGTAACAATTTTCTACTGCAAGTACAGTTTTAAGTACAGATCGAAAGCCCGAAAATCGAAACCCCCAAAACCCAAATCATCAGTTCGAGTACCAAAGATTATTGGTCAACCAAGTACGAAAGGTTTACCATCACCACCACCAAGAAGAGAAACAAAAGCCAAAAAACTATCCATTGATGTTCCAATTTCCCGATATGGTTCAACAGGAGATATTCTAAAGCTCTTTGATTAAATAAAAAGTGCCAAAAATCCTTAATCAAATTAGTTGCATAAACTTTAATCATCATCATCATTAATTGATTAAAATTCATCAGCTGAGAGTTAATACTTTGTCCTCGTCAGATGGCGTAAGTGTTTTACTTTCATTCAAGTTTCAAAATTTGAATTCAGTTGAAAACAAATGTTGATGTTGTCTAATAATTTGTTTTGATTTTAACTTTTTTTTTCTTTAATTTTTAGTTAATTTTTAATTATTGTTTTACCTTTTATATTAATTTTTATTATAGGATTGGTCATCTACTCCAGTTGATTGTTGGATAAAAAGATTGAATCATTGAATGTGAATATCGTTCTAACCAGTTACTATTATGAGTAAGGAAGAAAACTCAAAACCTGAGAGATATAATTTAGGAGATAAAGTGATTGCCCGTTGGGTTGATGGTAAACGTTATCCTGGTCAAATTCATCAGGTGTTAACCTGTGATAGTTATACGGTTTTATTTGAAGATGGTTTACAAAAGGCAGTTAAAGTTAATCATATTGAGCCCAATTTAAATCCTGTTCCAAGATCAGAGCTTCCATTTGAAGATGCTAGGGAACAACGGGCAATCCATGAAAGTGACATTTGTGATCTAATTGTTAACTGTAGTTGTGGTTCTATTGAAGATACTGGTTTCCTAATTCAATGTGAACATTGTTTAACATTTCAACATGCTGATTGTTTGGATATTAAAACTGATGCTGATCTTTTAGAAGCCATTACATGTTCCAGTTGTTTGAATCCAAAAGGTGTCCGGGAAAGTTGTCGGTACAAGTTTGACCATTCCTGGTTGAAAGATGCCACTCTACCTAGTTTAATTCCGAACCCTAATGAACCAGTTCAAGCAAATAAACGGATTGCCACAGTCAATAATCTTCTAGAAGCTGCATTACAATGTTCAGAAGTGGTCCATGGACTGGCAGCCAAAATCTCGCTGAAAAACAAGAAAATTTGTTCCTCCGAAGAATTGAAATGTTGGAGCAAATCTTGGCTTACCACTGACTTTGAAAATCTACCTAAAAAGAAGCCAAATTTAGGCGTTAAAGCCGTTACACCTTTCAAGGTGAAAAGTAAAAGTGGCAATAAATCAAGATCATCAACCAAGAAGAAAAAAAGTGCCATTAATTCATGTTCGAGATTAAATGCTGATGACTTTAATCTCCCTGCAGCTACCAATTCAAATCAAGTGGCAATTGAAAAGATTGGTGGATCAATGGATCAAATGGATTCATCAAATAGCAGTAAATCTTTTACCGTCAAAGAAAATCAATCAAAGTCCTCAAATAATCTGGACGAAATTTGTCAGAAGCATTTAGATGAACACATTGAGAATTTAAAAAGTCGATTGGAAAGTCGATTGAAATATATTGAATCGAGAATAGATGAATTGGAAGAATGGTATGGTCCAGATCTCGATCATAACGATGTTGAAGCAAATCGTACAGAATTCAGGATAGCTCTTAAAAATCTTCGCTCTAATTTGAAAACCTTCGAAAGGATTCACATTCTGATTAAACGTCTACAATTAAGTTCAGATGGACAATCAAACGAAAATGATAACGATTATCAGGCTGGTGTTCATTTAAAGAGAATCTGAATTCACCCCCGAAAACTCACCATGATCTCAATTAATTCTTCAACCCGGTAAATCCTAAGTTGTAAATCAGCCTCAATTTGTAAATTGTCCACTCAACGGATCTCTCATTCTTAACTGAAAACTATTTTTTATCCTTTTCTATTGCTCAAAATCACTTCCGTTCATATGATGAATCAATCATAATTTGAATAGTCTTATTTTTAATTATATTACTATTGCTTTTATAAGTATCGATTGTTACAATTTATGTATATTGCCACTTTAATGATGAAAGAAACATACAAAACAACATTGAAAGAGAAATTAATTATTACAATTACATTTACACCAGTTTTGTTTTCGTAAAATTTATATGTATTATTTTCTTATAAATTGATCTTGATTATTATCAAAAGGGAAAGTTGATCAGTGTACATTATCTGATTAAACGAAACTTTGATTAACTTGATTATTTGATTATTGTATTGAAAACAAATGATTCGGATTGACAATTTATATAATAGTTAATTGAATCTGAATTGAAGCTCGTCTGACAATCAAGTATAATCAAGAGTGTTACAATCAAACAAATTATTATAATAAGGATTATGATATGATGATGATTGACAGAATGAATAAATTACAATTAAGTGATAATTAAGATGATAACAATTACAATGGAAATTAATTTGGTTCCATAAAGTGAAAGTTAGAAACTGTCATTCTTAATTGTTTCACTTGATTTCCATGAAATCAGTTAGATGAATCTTCAAAGGTGTGAGCAAAACTATCAACCGAAAGTTGATTAACGTTAATTGTAACAATTAACGTTACAATTGTTGAATTTGAACAGTTAAAGATATGGAAGATTCTTGGTTAATATCATCGAGTGAATCTTTTTTTTCTTCGAGTTCATTTGGCTCCAATAGAATTTAAATCAATTGGTTGATTTGATTGATAGTAAAATCGATAAGTTAATTAGCAAAGGTATCCATAAGGTGTTTTCCTTGGGAAATTTGGTTTAAGGTCAAATTCCAGCGGAGATTCATAAATAACAGAGGAATCGACTGTCGAATCGGGTTTATCACTATTAGATTCAGTTCTAAGCTCATTATTATTTGATGGAGAGATGAATGTAAAGTGGGACGGAGTTGATTGATTAATTGTTGCCGGATGATGAGGAAGTGGTATTGTTGGTGGTGGTGGTGGTGGTGGTGGTTGTCTAGGTGGTGTTGGATGATGATATAAATGCCGATGATAATGGGAAGTTGGTGGTGGTGTTGATGTTAATCCAGAGTAATTGGGATGATGATGATGACCTATTGGAGTTGATTGATTATTATTGTTACGATTTGTAATTGGATACATATCATATTGTCTTTGTTCATGATTTAAATCATTGTGGTTAATTGTTGGACCAAATAAACCAGCTGGACGATCAAGGACTTGATTAAATTTAGGATTAATCGGTGAGCGTAATTTAATATAAGATAATAACAGTAAAAGGATAATTAACACAAGGAAAATGGCGCCGATTGAAGCAACGATAAAGGGTAACGATAATTTATCCACCCAAAGGTCACTATCAACCGATTTAATTGTTGAGCCAAATATTTTAGGCTCGAGAGATGATGATGGTGATAATATTGGTCGATTATAAGAGTTAACTGTGGATAACAAGGGATCCAATGGATCTGCTATAATAAGAAATAACAAATCAGATTAAAAAGATTACATTTTGTCATTGATTAAAATCAATTAATATGGTAAAGTTTTTCCCAATATCGATCGATATAAATCTAGTTCGAACTCCTAATTGGATATTTTATTTTTTGAACTCGAATAAAATTTCAGAACTAATGAAAGTTTTTGCTCGAACTTGAAACGTAAAGATTATATTGAACTTCTTATAACCAATAAGAAGACAATCAACTAATAACAATCAAAATGTACTATTTGAAATCTCTCCAAGTTAATAAATTGTATAAGAAACTGATAGAAAATAATATCAACACTAGAAAATGGAGGAAAAAATCTCGAAATTGTTTGTTCCTTAGAAAAGATTATCATCTTTTGTTACCTGGAAAAGATGTTACCGGATCTTCATCAATCCTGTCAATTTCCGGTGGTATTGTAGTTGTAGTTGTTGTTGTTGTTGTGGTTGTAGTCGTAGTTGTTGATTGAATTGATAAACCATTTTCATCTAGAGAAAGTGAATCAATAAAATATCACAATTAGTCAACGTTTAATCATTCAATTGATTGAGTGATTATCTGAGATCATATTATCAGTTGGTTGTGTCATTTATTGAATATAAACAAATTGAATCGCTTAATTATCTTCCAATTGATTTATTGCTCAGCTTAATTGTTAGATAAACAAAGTTCATTGAAATATTAAACTTTCTGTTAACAGTTAGGATTTTGTTTGTTTTCATAATGATAAAAAAAACTCATGAGAACCAGAATTAATCTCATGATGACCATGTTGAGATTAACGGTTAATCTTGTGAAGTAATTAGTCTATTGTTGATTGTTATCTTTCATCACAATTAAATTAATCCTGTATAAACATTTCCTTTGCAGCTAAAACATAAACAAATAATCAAATCATATCTGTTGATTGTCAATCGTCAACAACACTCATCTCATTGTCCAAATGTTGATATTAAATCACCTCGAGGGTAAAATTGATTCAATCAACATCAGCAACAGTTTTTGATAAAATATTTACATTAAATGAACCGAAAGTTTTGTTTCTCAACCAGGAATTGAATTGGTCAAAATTAGGAGATTGTTTCACAATCAACTTAAATCATTACTAATTCAATGGCAATTAATCTGATTGAGTCTCAGATTTACCATGAAATTAATGTTTCTGATAAATGAATCTGATGATTTTTTCTCTTTCTTTTTCTAATATCTTCATGTTATTAGTTATCTGAATTGTTGATTTTTCTTCCATTTCTTTCTTGAATGATTTACACCATGAAAATGGATACGATCTCATGGAATTGAATAAGTAAACATTAGGTAAATTCATTTTGTTCATCCAAACGTAAATCACTTTCACAAATAAACATGAAATTGTAATACAATTTGATAATAACGTTTCAACCTAATGATCATGTTAACATGATTACCATGTTTCTATCTTGAACTTATCTTCATGATACCCAATGAATTTTCACTCTTCATATACGATAATCAAGGTATAAGGAATCAGAAATACCTTCTCACCAGGTAACATGAATGAAATTGGTCAGTGAAACAATTTAATGAGATAAACACAAATCTAATGATCATATTCATCTCCAGAGTATAATAATAATGATAATGTAACGAAAATCATATTATTGCAATTAAATTGAAATCTAATTGCGATTAATAAGTTACATCGCTTTCACAGCAATTTATTCAAATGAAATTACATGTAAATTTGTTAATCAACTGGATTTGCAGTGAAAATCATAGTTAATTGTTAATTTAGTTTCTTTTTAATCATATATACAAATTTCCCATTCATCAATAAGGATTATTGGACTAAAAGTTTTCACTCCTCGGATTTAATTAAAACATTGATCCTTTTTTTGTCTATTGTTATTAGCTGATTGTACTGTTATCATTAAACAATCAGGGAACAATTAAAATAACTTGAAATATGAATGAGATGTAATTGAAATCGGAACAAAGTGAGAGATGATCAAGTTTATTGAAGCGAATTTCATCTTGATTTCAATTTCACCATTAAAATCAATAGAAAAAAGAAAATCTCTTGAGTATTTCCATCTTCTTCTACATCACCATCATCATCATCATCTCTCTCTCTCTTTCTCTCTCATCTTTTTTACCATCATCTCTTTCATTCTCTTTTTCCTTATCATCTTCTTTCAAAATCGGATCAACAGTTTTGTTGAAGCAAAAAATTGAAAGAAAAAAATCTCATTGAAACTAACAGTTGTTTGCTGTTCCTTTTAAATCTTCTCATCACTGCATCTTTCATCCTCATCTCATCCTCATTCTCATCTTTTCATCCACCACCAAGGCTTAGTTGAGCTTAACAGTCAATTTTATCAGTTGTATTCATTGTTAAATAAATAGCAACTAATATAAAGTTTAATGAGAGGCTGAAATGAATGTGCTCTCATTGATTATCAACATGCAACACAATTTCATTATCATCATGATATCAACATGATTACTTGATGAACTAAAGAATACAACCTTTCAGGTATAATATTAATTCAGGGGAAAAGTCATATTAATATTTTTAACTGCGAAAAAAGTTCATTTTTGTGACTAATATTCAGCAATTATATTTTACATGATAATCATTAGTTTTAATGATTCTGAGACATGAGCAAATTGATGAGAAAAATTTGTAACAATTGTTGAGATTTTCTATTATTAGTAAAGTCTAAATTGTTAACATTTTCTCTCAAAAGGAAATGATGATTAAAACAATTTATTGTCTTGTAGCATTTAGATGATGAGGATGAGGCAGATTAACTGTTGACTGACATTTTAAATTGTACTTATTATCATTAGGTGACAGTTAAATATGTCATTTGATTATCAATCCGAGTGACAATGATGATGATGAATACAACTTGATGGACAAAAGGGAAAGATAATAATAATAGTCGAAATGATAATAATGGTTTTATCTGTCAACTCAACATTCATCAGATAATTTTTTTTATATTCCAAATACATTGAATGAATAAAGGATCATCATGATAACTGATTGAAAGGTGAAGTCATAGGAATCCGATGAAATTTCAGTTATCTTCATGAACCATAATATACTTTGGAAGATGGGGAATGCAAAGTGAAAATGGAGAGAGAGAGAGAGAGCAACCAGAATATCTCAAAGGAATTCATCTTGTTCCCATTAGATTATGAATCGGATGAGTATTTGTTCATGTTGATTGTAATTCTAATTCTAACCCTGATTCTTTCTCAGTCTGAAACAATTCATTGTATTAACTGTTAAATGGACACCTTAAGATAAGATAATCTAGCTCATCTTATCCACTGGCATTCAAACTGAACCATAAACACATTAGCTGAATGATAATCAAGATTTATGGTCCATAGGTAGAAACAGTTACCTTTTATTATCATCATTATCATTACCATGAATATCATCATGATTAAAGGTGATATTGATTAATCTGGTTTTATAGTTACGAATGTAGTATTACTATCAAAGTATTCTGAGAGGATTACTAATTAATTCTTTTCTTTTAATACAAATTATCATCTCTCTCTCTCTCTCTCTCTCTCTCTCTCTCTCTCTCTCTCTCTCACAATTGATTATGGAAACAAATTTGGCTTAAAAACAATTTAATTGCTTTGGAAATGTTTTCAGTTATTTAATCCATAATTAAAATTGATTCGTTTTCATTTCTAAATGTCTTTTAATCTTAACAATTAATTCCCAACAACACACAAAACTACCTGTTGATTTATTTTCATGGATAATGAACAATCAGGTTATGATTCATTTCATGTTATTTAATAATTTGTGTTGTTCATGGTAATCAAAGTTACAAAACTCTGATATGAAACTCATTTCATGGTTGAAATATTCAAATTACAATTCACTGAATTTTATATCTTCAAGTCATTAGGTTAATTCTGTAAATATTAATATTAATTAACGAGGGAAAACTTCGTAAACAATTAAAGTGTATCATGATAAGTATAAACAAACTCAGGGTGGTAGTGATGGTTTGTGAATTTTCATTGATAAATTAAGGTTCTTGAGATACAAATGATTAACATGTAACATCCTCATCATTGAGATGAAACCACTAATCATTTAGTTTTGGTAACCATTAATCAATTAGATAATCAAAACCAGGAGAAAAAAAAACTCCAACAAGAATATAATCTTAACGGATTAATAATAATCTTTTCATCATTAATCTTACTTTTTTTTACTCTTTTTCCTGATGATAATCAAAATGAAATCAACTCACTAAATGTTTGTCAGTTTTGATTGTTGATTAAAGTATCAGAAAAACTGAGGATATTAATAAGTAAAAAAACGTCAACAATTAGTTGATTGTCATTATAATGTTTTTCCCATTAACAAAAATAGTAAACAAATTGTTTCAAAGTGTTTGAAAGTTTATCAGGGAAAAACATTGAATCACCTTAAGGTATTTCTTATGAAAAATGATATAATCTAATTCACTGGGAAATGATTCCCATGGGTGATGATGATGATAATCATAATCATGATAATAATAATGGCGGGTAATCATAATAATGATGTAATATTATCAGGTAAATGTTGAAATAATGTGCATTGGAATGGGTTGAGTAAAAGCAGGATGAGGGTGAAGAGTGGAAAGTGGAAGGTGGGTAGAGATGGAGGTGGAAAAAACTTCCAAGGGTCATAACCATGAGAGTGGAAAGTTAAAGTAAGAAATTTTCATGTTCCTATGGTTGTGATGTTATTATAATATTATCAGGGGTTTCTTGATGTTTTCCTCTTGTAAAGATAATGAAATATTCAAAAGTGACCATTACCAGAGCAATAATTTGATATTTTTACCAGAATTTTGGATAAATTTAGTTGTTGTAAACTCACCAAAAACTATTAGCTGAATGAACATTTCAACTGCTCCAAATCCATTAACTGCTTGACATTTATACTGACCGGAATCGGTTAATCGGGTATCTCTGATACGAAGTGCTCCACTTTGTGTTTTACGAAATCGATTGTCAAATATGTTCAATGAAGAACCATCTTTGTACCATTCGATGTACACGTTATCAGTATCATCTTCATCTTCGTCTTCATCTTCTTGGCCTACATTTTCACCATCCAAAGTCTCATGAGTCTCAACTGGACAAGGTAAACTGGCCTGACTACCTATCGGCACGGCAAGTTTACGTTCGGACTCTTTAGTTCGAGAAACTGGTCTAGGAGGATCTAAGGATATTATTCAAAGAAGAAAACAATTAGCTCAATGATACAAGAAAATTTCTCATCGATTTAGGTTCATTGGGATCGTTTTGTCAAAAATTGACACTCGATTAGTGAGAAAATATATTAATCGGGTTAGTATTATTTGAGTAGCTCTTCAACTTGTCTTCTTTATCATCATCATCATCATCAGATTTTTGATGAAAATCCATGCATAATAATAAGAAGCACCATCATCATTATCAAGACCATTGAATTTATTCAAAACTCTGATGACAAGAAAAAAAGATGATGATAAAAAATGATGAGGATGAACACAAGTACTCTCAAGGGATACTCATGATTTCCATTATTATTATCATGATGAAGATGAAATCTGAGATGAGGAAGGACTATTGATAAGATCATCATCATCATGATAATGATAATAATCATTAAAAAGCAAATTCAAATTCAGTGGATAATATAAATCAAAATCTCTTGGGATTTCATCGCAATCTCAGTATCATCCTGATGACAATTAACAAAATCGTGATTAAAACAATCTATCTCTAAATCAGGATAATTATCTTCCCATTACTAACCATAATTATCTAAATTACAATTTAGTAAATGAATCAAATGACTATCTGTTTATTATCACAATCAATTAGGTTGTTACAAATGAAAAGAAATCAATTATCAATATAATCTAATCCAATATATCAAATTAACAACAGGTAAAAATATTTACAATCTAATATTTGGATTACACTGATTGGAGGATCAGCTAATTGTGTTGATTTAATTGCAATCCCTTTAATTGTAGTGTTGATAATTAAATGCTCTTTATGGGTTCTTGTATATTAAAATAAGAGTGACAGAATCTCTGTTGTTTTGATTGACATGGAAAATTAATTTTCCATTTTTTTATTCTTCTGCTTAATTAACTATTCATTAAGTTGATAATTAAGTAAATCATAGTTAAACATAACTTCCTGTTTAATCATGATCATAATGATTAAAATTAATTTCCAAATAATTAACTGGAAATGATGAATCAAAAGGAAATTATTTCAATCTATTTTCTCATAATTTCAAATGAGAATCCAAAATTTTATGATTGATTTTCCCGGGAAAATGAAGTCTTAATTAACTATTAATAATTATAACAAATTTATAAAATTAAAAATTAGTTTTTGAAACAATTAACAAGTAAGTTTTGTGTTACCTAATCAACATGTAAATTAGTAACAATCGATAATCATTCATTGATTAACTGAAAGAAAAAGTTTTTCTAAAAATATCGATCTGATTAAATGTCTATTGAAAAATTGTATCGAATTTACAATTTAGTAATGATGACAATTTGGCCAATAGTTCGTGCTGATCAACTATTAGTTGATTGTTCACCAAGGCCAATGAACAATCAATTGATCATCTGAGAGAAGAAAAAAAAATGATTCCAAATGATGATATTATTGATGATAAATTGTTATTACTCATTGAATGACAATCTAAATTGAATGAATGAAAAGTAACTCTTGAAGATATTAGGATGTTTATGTTTCATTTCATGATGATGATGATGATGAAGATGATGAAAGATGATTTGAAAAAGATGATGAAGATAACCCGAAAACTGAAGAGGATAAGTTGATATTGAAAGAGAATCAACAATTTAATGTTGATTTAAAAGACAACAATCTAATTGTAATCTTCATCTCAACTCTTTGTAAGTTTTATACTTTCATTTCCTCCTTTATATTATTACAACTATTATCATCTGAGATTAAACATCCTCTTGGTCATTATCATCATCATCAATGGTCATCTTCATGTTATTACTTTAACTTAATGTTACTCACGTAATGTCCAGTTGTTTACCTGTATCATCATCATTAAAGGTAAATACTGAAAAGGTAAACACTAAGGAAAAGATATCTTCATGTTTATAATCATAGATTATCTCAGATTATCGTTTTTTTTTCATGTTATCATCATCAACATCATCCAAATGTCCATTAAAACTGGACAATTTAATGTCACTTTCAAGTCTACAAACAATAATAATAATAATAGTAACTCAATGATCAGATGAAATATCAACAACAACCATTGATTTTAATATTTGGATTAATAATCAACGAGCTTATTAAATTGTTAATTTCGTCATGATCATAATCCATTGTTGTAATATTTATATATAAATAAATTGTCAAGCTGTTCCTCTTGTAATATTATTTGATTGTGATTATATTTTTTTATTGTCAATTTAATTTAATCTTTGATTTTTTAGCTGCTCTCTATTTGCTTGGTTTAACAGATAATCAATTTTGATTTATCCCTCATGCTCACGATAATGTTTCATTTCAATTCAATTTCAACACTGAATCAGTGGTGTGACTTTAATCATCTTGAAATTGATTAGATTCATTGAAACATTACAAACATTGGACATTTTTTTTCATCGATCTCAGCGTTTTTTTTTTGAATTTAATTCATCGGATCATTTTTTTGATTGTTACAATTTACAAATTGTTGACACTTTATATTGGGTTGAGTTGATTGGGTTTCCCTTTGAGTGATTAAATTTAATCTAAATTGTATTATTGATATTAAATATCTGCTTTCACTATCTTATTATGATCAATGGTTTCAATTTTAATTGCGTGATAATTGTGATTAGTGTCTAATTGTTTTGGGTTATGTGTTGGTTTCAATTGATTATCTGGTTAATATATTTGATTGTTAACTAGGTGAAGACAATTAAAGCTACTAATCAATAAGTGTACGGTTTGAAAAGGGTTAATCAATGATTAATTGTTGAATGATGATGAGTGTCATAGTAATAGTTTAAATTAACTTAGCAAATCATTTAAACCACAATTAACTTTAATTTCTCACAATTCATAATACTGAGCAAGTCGTAAATCATTTGACAAGTTTCAAATGATTAATGAAATTGAATATTAACTCAATTGAAATACCAACAATCAAGAAACAATTGAATTGAGAAAAAAAAATTCTATTGTATTTTCAACTTTAATTGATTAAAAAATTATTCTCATTCATTGAGTAAAACTACTACAATTAAGTGGATAATTTAAATTTGCAAATTTAAAACAAACAATCAAATACCTTTTAATATTTAATTAAATGGAGAGCAAATTGTTTAATAATGAAGAATCAACAATTAGATTAGTTTTTTTTTCCAAATTTATGAATAAAGTTGAAATTTGAATTAAGCTTCAATTGATTATTTCTGAGTAAAGGTAAACAAATCAATCCTTTTTCATGATGATGATGAAAATAATGATGGTTAATCATGATGATTCTGATGATGATCAGGTAAACATGATATTCATCATTGAATAATATATCATGTTGGAACTGTTAATAATCTTTTAACCGGAAAAATGGTTGTACAATCGAGTGAAAATTAATGTATCCCAGTTGATAAATTATTGATGATGACAGTTGATGGTTTGTACTATTAAAGTGTATAACTCACTCAGGAGATGATGAAGATGAGAAGCATCAAGTCTCTCATGATGATGATGAAGATGAGAAGATGATATTATTATATGTTTATGTTTGTTTTATTAGAGATGAAGCAAAAGGATGAGTAGATAGTATCATCTGAATCAAAGGTAAATATCATGGGATTTCATGAGTTGCATCAGTTTTTATATCATTATTATTATAATAACTTGAATAACTCTAACAATCTAATAAATATGATAGTATTTTTTTTCCTCATCATCATCAGAATCATCTTCATGTTACCATGGAGCCTCATCTTCAATTCACAGGTAAGTTCATAAAACTAGTATGAAAATATGAATATAAATATGATTCTTTTGAATAATAACAATAATAATCATCATCATCATGACTTTTTCCTTCTCAGCTTTTATCCTCATCCTCATCCTCATCTTCATCTTCATCTTCATCATGATTATCATTAATTTTGTAACATATTTCAAATTTTTGCTCATTCATTTACTATTATCATTTGTATCTCAGTAATAAAACAAATCTGATTAAAGTTTCATACCTTTAAAAGGGTTAAATGTGAGAGTTAATTGTTGGTTGATTAAATTACTTTCTAGGTTGATGCAATGTGACACAATTACTATGATCAATTGTTAATTAAATTGCTGATATCATTTAGTTTATAAGAATTTGTAATCTTTTTGCTTTTTCAATTTCTTTCCATGATTAGGATTAGATGGATGAATCAATTGTTGCGATAATTTAATTAGTAAATAGTGTAAAGGAATTGATTATCTGTTAGTTAATCAAAAATTTATTAACTATTAAATAAAGAGTTGTTTCTTTTGGGAGTTAATTATTAACTAAGTCTTAACTACCAGGGTAACGGTTAATTCAATTGTCTAATATCATTAATTAATCAGATCATTGAGTTGATCGATTGTTGAATCAATCATCATTTTGTTTTCTCAATATTATATCAATAGATTAATGATTTAGTTGCAGTTACAATTACATAATCACAATCACTTGTTGCATGAATTTATTTGTTTGTCTTTTTATCAATTGATTATCATGTTAATTGTGATTGAATATCAATTGATTGTTATACTTACTTTGAGCAAAAGTTGTGAGCACTTGAGATGAACTGATGATGATTAAGATAATCACTGAAAAGTCAAAGTAATCCATTGTTTTTAATCAGTGTTGTTATATGATTATTTTAATTATCAACTATTGACGATGATTAAGATGATTAATAATATTAATACGTGTTGCAAATCCAATGGGAATTTAATGGAGACAAATATTGATGGAAAAGAGGAGAAAAAGTTGAAAGGAAAAAAAAAGATTGATGATTACCTTGCGATCTGTATATGAGATAATCATTTTTGATTTACAAGTTGATTATGATTTAAGTAGCTGATAATCAACTGATAGTGTAAATAGTTGCAGAGTAATTATTTTGATAGTTAACTGATTGACTTAGTTGATTGTGTTGAATTGAGAGAGTTGATCAGTTGATCAAATAAATTGTTGCATATCAAAAGTAAAGTTAACACAGAGAAAGTAAAGGAATCAATGGTTGAAACGATTCCTCTGGTTCTGTTTTCATCTCTCTCTCTCTCTGTGAATATCTTCATGGAGTATAGGTTGAAGATGATAAGGAAGAGCAATAGGAAGATGAGGATGATGAGGTGGGAGGAAAATGATGATAATGATGAGAGAGCGTGTCTAAGAGCTGTTACTTGTAGGTCTAATAGGAAGATTGAAGAGAGAAAGAGAGAGAATTCAATGTTAATAGAGATGAAGATGAGGATGAAGATGAAGATGAAGATGAGGAGGATAGACAAGGTAGAGAATAAACAAATTGGAGGATAAAAGGAGGAGATAATGAAGATGGAGGTTAGTTGTGTTTAAGCTTGATAATTAATTATTGATTAGTTTTTAAAATAATCAAGAGATGAGGTTTGGTGTTTTTTTGGCGATTCCGTGTTCATCTCTTTATCATAATGAATTATGATTATAATGAGTTAATTGCTATTCTTATGGATCAGTGAACTGATTGAGATATTTATATGATTATTACCATGATAATGTGTCACTTTGATATGATGATGAGAGGAAGATGAAGAGATGAATCTTTTTTTGTATCAACTAATAAAGTAGCTGATGTTACCTCGATTTGTGTAAACATAACTTATTATGTTTAATACATGCGATGTTAATTGGTTGGGATTGTCTTCTCAACTATTTTTAATTAATTTCTGCGAAAAATTTGCATACACAATGGGTTCTTATTAGTTTACCTTTTTTTTCTCATTCTTTCGTTATTCTGATATTGATGTAACAGAAAAGTTTGGTAGTTGTTGAACTTACGATGAAATAATTTCAAGAAGATTCAATATTAGTTGTCTTGAAAAAACAACTTCTTTTTGTATTATCTCCAGAATAATAGATTCAGTTTCTTGGTTAACTGTTACATGGTGATTCTCTAGATGAAGATGAGGATGTTAACCTGGAAAAGAAAGGTAAATAATCAACATTTGTCTTATTTATCTCTTTCTTTTCTTTCCTGGTGACATGATAAAGGTGAATACAAAAGGTGAGTTTGTTTGGAGGATGAAGATTTAGAAGCGTAAGAAGATGAAGATAAGGGATAAAAGTGGAAAGAGGAAGATAAAAGAAGATGAAAATTATGTTGAAAAGAATCAAATCAAGGTGAATGTCTTTCTCACTCTAACCCAAGAAAATCCAATAAGTTTTCATTAGATTTTGTCTTTTTCATCTTCGATGTAATAAAAAAGAGATATCTATGATTCTGAAGAGAGAGAGAGAGAGAGAGAGAGAGAAGATGATGAAAGAAAAGGAATGAGATGATGAGGGCGGAGATGGAAGATGACAAGAAGTGTTAAGTATTAAAAAGATGAGCAGGGATGTTTGATGATGAAAATAGAGATGAAATTGATTCTCAGCATTTACATCTCTCTCATCTTCATCTTCTTCACGATGTAATATGAATCTAATTTTGTTTCTCCCAGAATTTGTAAAGGTATAAAGATAATCATAAGACAAAAATGATTATTCAATAATGAAAATTTCTGTTGAAAATCAAAGCAATAATAAGAAAACTAAGAAGTGATGAGGATAAAAAGTAAAGAAATTTGAAAATTTTATGGTTACATGAATGAGAGAGATAAAGAAGACATTGTTCTAAGATTTCAATCTCAACAGAAATGGTCAAATGTTGATGATACAGACCAGAGATTGATTTCATGTTCTTCGTCATCTCCTTACAAACCAATGGTGATAATTGATAAGAGAAGGATGATAAATAAGAGGATGAGAGAAAAAAAGTCTCAAGTGATGAACTTTCAACTTCCTTTTCCTGTTCTTTTCTCAAGTTTTACAGCCATTGGGAGATCCATTTGTAAAACATTAATGAGAATAAATTAATGCTGATGAACATTTTCAAACAGTTGAATTAAATTGTTGTTGAACATGTAAATCGACGGTTGTGTAAATTGTTGAATAATCGATTACAATTGTAATTGGATAACAATTTTCATGGAAAGTGGTGTTTTCATAACCATGAATATTATGAAAATCTATCGATTTTTACAATTCATCATGTTCTCATGTTCTCATGTAATATCACTATTAATACTTGTGAATAAACTTATTCACAGTTACGATTGTTTCAATATGCATCTTAATACAAACTAATTAGTGTTTGAAAGATTGTTCAATTAATCACAATTTAAATTGGAAACTGAGAGATTTTTCAGTTAACTGTTATTTCATTAGAATGCTGCAAATATTTAATCTTCTTAATTGTTTGTAACTTTCTTTTTATGTACAAAGTGTATAACTTTGAGCGATCTGATTGAGCCCGGGGTCAGGTTTGAATTGTAATAACAAAGTAAAACAATCAAATAGGAAGTTCAAAATTGTAACTGAGTTTTCATGGTGATTTCAATTTGCAGTTGAATTGTTTAATTTGCAACAAGAATCTATTTATATTAGAAAGAAAGTTAATTGAATTGAATTAGAGGTAGTGATGAAGGAAAAGATGAATTTTGTATTCTGTTAAAGTGAATGTTTCTTCAAAAAGGAATTATTGAAATTAGTCAACATGAAATCTTGAAGAATATTAGATGATAAACATTGGGGATGAAGAAAATTCTCAAGGTTTGATTGTATTAAATATGAGAATCTTTTGTTTCGTCAATTTTTTATGAGAAAAATTGGAATGGGAAATGAATTTCATCTTATGTTATTAATTTGTCTTGGAGGGAAATTTTTCTCTTCAATAATGTAAATGAAGACAATTATTATATATCAAAGGAAGAGGATGATGATTGTTGAATGATGGATGAGGATGGAAAGGTATTGGTGGATTAATTTGTTGGTGTGTAAATTGGTATCAATTTTTTTTTCCACTGTATCAATAATCAAATGCAATAGGAAGATGTAGTTGTTTGTGGATGGTGAGTAATGGAAATGGTAATGATAAGTAATCATATTCATGATTAGCATTGGATTATAGTTAAATCGGATCAAACATAACGGATTAGTGATGAATTAATAAGTTTTTAATGGTGATTGTTAGTGAAGAGTAGGAAGATAGATGAGGAATTGAGGAGGGAAAATACTTGGAGTGGAAAATAATATATTGGGGATTGGGTAAAAGGTATATTATTATTGGAACTTTGTTAGTGAGGGCTCATTATTTTAAATATTATCACTGATTGGGAGATACACTTGAAGTAAGTTGATTGTATAGTTAAGTTAATTAGTGATGTCATTGTGAGTATTGTGAATCATTCGTTTTTTCATGAAAAATAAAAAAGGAATTGATTGTAGCCGATGACAGACCCTGTTGATTCAATAAATATACAAATAGAGAGAGAGAGAGAGATAGAGTTTCCTTATAAATCAGTTTAAGGCCAATTTGTTTCTCTCTTTTATTGGATTGAGTGATTCAATAGTGATGATTATGAAGAGAGATACTCCAGAAAGGAAGAGAGGGGGAAGAGACACATTATCCGGTCCGATGGTAAAAACCTCCGAGTTTTTGATAATAGGATTTCAATGTGTCTTGTCATAAGCAGCACATGATATTCACTAGATGAAAGTGGAAGGGAGAGAGAGAGAGGAAGATGAGGAAGAGAAAAGTGTTTATTAGTTGTAACAGATAAGGATGAAGAAAAGATGAAGACAGGAATACAAATACAGAGGAAGATAAGAGTTGAATCAATGGTACATATGTGAGTGAGTGTCAGTATGTATCAGTCTATCTCTCTCTCTATGTGTGTGTCAGAAATTAATTTGATTTGATATATTGAGTGTTAAATATATTGTGAATTATTTGATGGGAATTGGTGGCTTCTTAATGATAATAATCATTTGCCTTAATGAGATGTTGATGATGTTAATAATGAGAAGGGAGGGTGAAAACTAAGCAGAATAGAGTGACTGAACTTTTTGTTTCCTTTTCCTTTATTTAAAGATGAGGATGATAAAATTAACGTACCTTTTTTTTTATCAATATTGACTGTTGAAGAGATGGATGAACTTTCAACATGAAAGGCTAATTAATTTACCTAAATGAAGGTAAAATTTACTTAGTTTACTACTTTCACTGTTTCTTTCCCTCTGTTATGTTGTCTTCTTTTTTTGTGACTATCTTTTGACATCATCGTGTACACTTGTTGAAGGATTTTCATTCACTGGATTATATTTGTTTCTCCTAATTACTTGCTCATCACACACCGAGAGACAAGTTAAAAGGCTTTTTTTTTCTTGTCATCAACCATCTTGCCTTTCGCACTAAAAATAGGAGAAAATGATAGAGAGCAATTCTTTTCTTTTTTCCACTTTGCTTGATTCTTCTGCTTCTTCTTCCCTCCATTTACACTTGAAGATTGAATTGTCGCTTTTAAGTTGCATCGATTTCTTTTTGTTGATTGATTCTACGGTAAATTAAACCATAATTTTTACAACATTATTGCTGTCACCATGTAGATTTAAAGGAAAGAGAAGACATTCTTAAAGAAACAGGATGATGATTAGGGTGGACAAGGCTTCATTGAATAACCAATTGGAGTCCATGTTTTTGTCAGGCCTCTTTGACACACAACATTGAATAATCATTTCCTTTGATTGGTTCACCAACATTAAGTAGACTTCCTCTTGTTAACAATTAACAGACAGCAATGTTTAATTCCTTTTAGAAAAGAAAAGACAAGAAATAAATTATCAGCAAATATCCACAATCAATTAAAAAAGAAAACATTGAAATTCAAAACAAACGATTACCAAAAGTTACTTCAACCATTAATTACCTTAAATTAGCTCGTTTTATATCCAAATCATGAATTGAACATCATTGAACGACAGGTAAGAAACCAACTCGAACTTATAGAAATTAACAAACTATAAGAATTTAATTCTTAAAAATAAATTATAATTCAAAATAATCTTAATTGTAAATCTTAATCAGTTCAACTAAATTTCAGTTGAAAAATAAGAAGAAAATGTGGTGACATCTAACGGAGAAAAAATTTACTTTAGAATTTCAATTTTGATTTTGTTTCTCTTTGAGAAAATTGTTGTTAATTATTATTAACTAATTAAGTTTATTTAACTTTTAAATGTTATTTTTAATCAAGTTAAAAGGAATCAAATGTGTTTCAGATGAGGTGATATAATGTTACCACCATTAGTTTGTGTTCATATTTCTTGATGATTTAAAGATTTTCTGATTTACATGTGTTGATGATTAACTTTACATTGAAAGATATTGGCAATTGTTATTATTGGTGATTGACTGATTGTAATTACAATTAAATATGATACTATGTTTAATTTTCTTCTAATCTGACATTCATGTGATAATGGTTTGTTCATCTAGCCCTTTTCCAAGTATATTTATCTTGAACACACACAATAATCTATCAAATGGTAATGATTTATCACTGAATCATCGTATTGATCACCAGATACCAAAGGGATTGTGATTTTGGTTTTCTTTTTTTTTCATTTGAAATTGGATCTTTTTCTTGTCTCATGTTTGTCTTATCATCTTGTGTAAATTGTGTCACATTAATTGTTACCAATTAATCCTCTGTAACCAAAGAATCCCTGGATTGATAGATCAAAATCTATATAAAGTCAAGTGGATTATCTTCTGATTCATCATTGTTCATCATCAATCACCGATTTAATATTTTCTCTCTCTCTCTCTCCACAACAATAATCAGATTTCCTCTCACTCAAAGTTACACCCGGTTAAAAGTCTCAGGTAAATAAAAATGATATAATTTTAACGGAAATGAATTTACTCCAATTGCTACCAACTGAGATAAAAACGCTCAAGTTTAGCAACCTCTCCGATTTCATTGATCATAACAGTACAGTGTTACTGACGTTGAAAGAGGAAAGTAATAAGTTGAGAGAGAGAGAGAGAGAGAGATGTTTATTTGTAAGAGAAAGAGACACAGACAGAGTGAGAATGAGAGAGTGGGAAAGATGATAGGAGAGAGAGTTACCAAGTTCTCCTTTCAACATTTTCTGTATTTATTTTCTCTTCTTTCAACCAGTGTTGTCATTGTGCTTTTTCACTCTCAGACAATTTGAATCTTTGTTCTTTTTTCTCTCTCAATTTTTATTCTAATTTAGGTTTTAATCATGAATGGAAATGACTGTAAGAAACCTCGTAAACAGGTACGAGTTTGGTGCGATGGATGCTACGATATGGTCCACTATGGTCATGCTAATCAACTCAGACAAGCCAAAGGTAAGTGTTTGTCCTCAATTGGTTCACTTTCACTTTGTTATTGATGAAACTTCCTCCTTTTCCTTTAATTTTTACTCTTCTCTTTCCTTTTTATCATCACAATTTAATAGAAATGGGAGATTATCTGATTGTAGGTGTACACACCGATGCAGAGATAATGAAACATAAAGGTCCACCGGTGTTCAATGAAAAGGAAAGGTACAAAATGGTTCGAGCCATTAAATGGGTTGATGAAGTGGTTGAAGGTGCTCCTTATGTAACAACCCTTGAGACACTTGATAAGTATGATTGTGATTTTTGTGTTCACGGTGATGATATAACATTTGACTCTGAAGGTCTTGACACTTATCGGTTGGTTAAAACTGCAGGTCGATATAAGGAATGTAAAAGAACCGCTGGTGTATCAACAACCGATCTTGTTGGTAGAATGCTTTTGGTGACTAAAGATCATCATCAACACTCTTCCGATGATACACCAAACAAGGAACAAGCTTCGTCCATTGGTTGTGATTCATCAACCCATTCACCTTGGACTGGAATATCTCAATTTCTTCCAACTACTCAGAAAATAATTCAATTCGCTGAGGGAAAAGAGCCAAAACCTGGAGACAGAATTGTTTATGTTTCCGGTGCATTCGATTTATTTCACATTGGCCATGTTGACTTTTTAGAGAAGGTTAAAGCTCTCGGCGATTATCTTATCGTTGGCCTCCATTCGGACCAAATAGTCAATCAATACCATAAAAGCAACTATCCCATCATGAACCTTCATGAGAGAGTACTTTCTGTCCTTGCTTGTAAGGTAATGTTAGACAATCTTAAGCTACTTGATTGGGCGGGATATTATTTTTTTTCCTGTTCCATAGTTTTTTATTCAATTTTCATTATTCTTTTGTTACTTTTTATTCTGTGACGAATATTGGAATTGAATTGAAATTCGTTCTTGAATTGTATCTTTCTCAAGGCTATTGGCAACTTGTTTACTTCCTCATTATTAATCGAAAATATTTTCTCTCTTTTTCTAATCAACAGTATGTTAATGAAGTCGTCATGGGAGCTCCTTACACGATCTCTGAAGACTTGATGGACCACTTTAAAGTTGATTTGGTTTGTCATGGGATAACCAGATACGAGAACGATTCAAATGGGAAAGATCCGTTTGAAGTGAGTTGATGGATGAAAATTCAGAATATAAACAAGAATTTCCAATAATAATTCTCATAACTATTATCCTTCTTACACCCACACCCTTTTTTCAAATTAGGTACCAAAGAAACGAGGAAAATTCAAAATTGTGGACAGTAAAAATAATCTGTCAACTTCCGACATAGTTAATAGGATCGTTAAGAATCGTTATGAATATTCAGTTCGTAATAATGAAAAAGAGATGAAGGAAATCAAAGCCTTTGAAGCATTGAAAGCAGCTAAGTCATCACCAACAATTGCAAATGATTCAAATAATAACAGGGATGTCGCAGCTTAATCCTAATCCGAGTGAGATAATCTTTTCCCTCTCTCAATTGTCCGTCTGAAATTTGCCTTCACCACAAACTATACTTTCTTTTAATCATCAAGAATCTTTTTTTGTTCGTCTTTTACTTATTTGGTCTATTAATCCCTCTCATGTCATCATTTCTTTAATCTCATGAGATAATCAGAAAGAAACTGGAGACACGAACCTTGTTTTCTTAATTGTGGTTCATGTTTCTTTCTAATTTACTCTGAGATGTTTTTGTAAATTAATTCGTAGCATTTGAAATTGTAAAACAATTTCGATTGCTAATCTCTTCTAATTACCACTGTTTTTATAGTAACTCTTTTATTTTTCTTTTTATCGAAATTATTGTAATTATGAATTATTTGTCGTGCTTATGGAAATAAAGAAAAAGCTCTGTTTGCTCAAATCTTTTACGATTTAACGATCTCCCAAATGTTTATTGATGTTTGATTGTTTGAAGAAGATTTTAATTATTTCCTGTGTTTATATTTTAGAGAAATCAGTTAATCTTTTAAGACATCGATTCTCAAAGAAAGTGTTTTGCTTTTTCTTCTTGGGTACGAATTGGGTCATGGATCTTTTATTATTATTAGTTGGCTTCTCTTCTACCTCATCCCTATGATGGAAAAGAAAAAAAATAGAATATAACTTGAAAAAAGAACATCATTAAGAGGAAGAAAATTAAATTGTTACCATTCACATTCAATTGCTTTGGATTCTAAAATACTATCAGCTGTTGACCAACTAAATCGGACGAATGATGGATAACCAAACACTGGATCCATGTTTTTCTGTAGAAAGGCTTTTGTTTTCGGATCTAATGGTAATTGTAATTGGGTGAAAAGAGGTAAAATTTACATTACAATCAATTAATTTGATATTTGATCGGCACAATTTGATTACCTGCTGGATAACCTGAACCATAATCACCGATATTTTTAACATCTTCTCGAAATCTCCAATTAGCTATGATTCGATCTCTAATTACCTTGGCACAAATACTCGCCGCACTGACAACAGAATATTTGGAATCGGCCTTTTGAGCGACAGTGAAGTTAATTGTCGGAAATCGGTCACTTAATTTGGCCTTGTATTTGGCTTCGGGTCCAACTGTATCAACATAAACCTTTGGAGTAAACAAAGATCGAGATGATTAGTAATTAATGATTTAGATGTGACATGAGACTCACCTCTTCAACATTGACTCCTTCATCTATCGCTCTCTGAATCAGACCCATGGCAGTATCATGAGACAGTGAATTAAGGTTATATTTAGTTCTGACAGATTGGAAAACAGAAAATTACTAATTGTTATTGATGAAAAGTCTTCCTTGTTATTATTTTAAAACTAACCTTTTGAACATTGAATTGGAAATTGTTACAGGTGATAAAACCATAGTCATCCAGCCAAAATTTGCGACCTTATTATTTAGTATCTTATTGAATATTTCTTCACGTTTGGATTCAGTTAAAGTTTTGGAATCTATTAAAGAAATTAATTAATTAAGTAAAGGCGGTAATCCAATTGGCGAGTGAAAAAACGGCAAAATTATTCAGCCAATTTAACTTTAATCCCAACAATTACTAACCAGCGAAATCTTGTTTTTCCATGACAGATTTAACTTTAATTGGATAATAAGCGATTCCATAAACCATTGGGCCTGAAGAAATAATTAAGAAAAGAATAGAAATTAAATTAATTACCTTATTATTAATCATGAAAGTTGATGTTTCTTTTGAAATGAAAATGAGTTTACCTAAAACTGGACCTCGTCCAGCTTCATCTATACCAAGTAAACATGGTTCTTTCTTTGATTCTTCTGGAATGTCTGATTTAAATACACAATCTTTACAACAATTATCGAGAAAGTCACTTAAATCCATAATTAATTGAAAACAAATTAAAAATTATCAATCAAAATGTATCAACATTTCAGAAACAAAAGTAAACAAAGTGTTGAAAACAGTCCAGAAAAAGAAGCGGTTTATTTGATTTTACGAACAAATCGAAAAATAAATCATAACAATTAAAAGTGAAATGATTTAATTGTTTGAATATTTTTTGCTTTTTCTCGAAAAGACTGATGAGTAAAATTTATCGTTAGCTAAAAGGTAATTAATTAGTCGAAAAAAGTTTCCATCGAAAGCTGTAATTGATTAGCAAATTGTAATCAAATATTATATCAACCAAAGTAACAACAAATAAATTAGTTGATTTAAATGTGGTAATTACTACGTAACAATTATTAATTATCCTAAAAGCTGAACCTAATTTACTGATAATCAAATTGCAAAACGATAATTAATTGTTGGCCTCTTGAAGATTGACTGAATTGAAACTATTCAATCATTTTCAATCGTTTCTCATTAATCATTTACATCTAATACTTTCCAATTAAAAGATTCCTTTTAATTTGATTGAAACAATTTCCATTAATATAATGTTAATTGTTGAATAATCAACCAGGTAACATCAAATTTAACCTTAATTAGTGAATTTTGATGAAAATTAATATTAACTTAATGAGAAAGAAAAACAAACATTTGGAAACAAAGTAACAATTAAAGGTAATATAAACAAATGCCTTTTCTTTATTAATCCTAAATTGTTAATAATTGATGTTTCATTAATTCGCAGAATAATTTGATTGATTAGTCTAATTAAGTTGAAGAAAAATAAAATGACTGATTATCATTAATTAGCTGTAATGGTCACGGTGATGGAGTTCAGTCCAACCTCTCAGATTTGAACGAAATCCTGCCACCTGTTGGATTTTAGTTTTGTCCTCTATCTTTTTCTATGGAAAATTGAATCATTTCAAATTCTCCGCATTTTTTTATTTATTTTGACCAATCAAAACTGTTTGTTTACACACCAATTTTGTTCATGAGAGGTCTGACTCCGAAATCAATTGGAAGAAAACAAGGTCGAAAACGGAAAAAGTATATAAACAGCAAAGCCACAGGTGGAATAATTGATTCAACGATTAAAAGGATCATCATCGTAATTAATATTTTCGTAAGTAATTAAATCCTTTTAAATTAAGTTTTGTGTTGTTTTCAAATTTTGAACACAAACAAATGAGTTGTTACCATAGAGATGATGATGACAACATTTCCACATGGAAATCTCTCATCGATGAAATGATTCTCATTCTCTCTCTTGTTTACTTTTTGTTAATTTTTGCTTCTTTAGGTGAACTATGGATAAACCCTCGGAGCCTAAATTGTTTCAATGTTCGTTTGAAGGTTGTGATGCTTCTTTCGTCAGACCCTACAAATTAAATCGACACATCAGAATTCATAAAGGAGAGGTATGTGGTTTCCTTCACTCTCTCTCTCTCTCTCTCGATTGATTGTTTATTTTTCTTCGTTCCAATAGCGACCTTATATTTGCGACATTGGAGGGTGTGACAAATCATTTACGTGCAAGTTTTATCTGGCCAAACACAAGAAGAGACCTCATGGTAACATTGACATGGAAACTGGTTGCCCACTTGTTATCAGGGAGAAAAGGTATAATTGTGTTGATTGTTTGAAAGAATTTAAAAGCAAATTTCTTCTCAAAACCCACCGAGCTGAGCATACCGGAGAAAAGCCCTTTAAATGTGACCAATGCGAGGCCAGTTTTGCGATGCGATCTCGCCTTAAACGACATAAAGCTCATCACGCTGGTTTCCCTGCGATCAACCTGATTGCTCGCAAATCTTTGAGAAGCACAACCAACTTCGTAAACACATCGCAACCGACCACAAGCAAATCAACAAGTGTCATATCTGTGATAAAATTTTCACCAAAAAATGTAACCTTAAAGATCACATTAAGGCTCATAAATTCAACTGCGAAATCGAGGGATGCATCAAATCTTTCGTTCGTAAATGTCAACTCAAGGAGCACCTTGATACAGATCATATTCTGCCGAAAGAAAGTTACAATTGCCCCGATTGTGGTACTAAATTTGACGATCAATTAATCCTTGCTCAACATGTAAAGTGTCATGCAAACGTCGACTCAGAGGTAAGTTCAACCAATGACTAAATCCTAAATTCTCTAAAATTGTCTCTCTTTTTTTATTCATTGTCCCAGAGTCCCGTTATTGCATCCAAGAAAGTGATCTTCCCGTATCGTAAAAGTTTGGCTCAAGAATTGTCCGGTTTCGAGGCCGATGAGAAAGATCTTAGTGATATTTTCACTCGAGATAAAAATTTCCGTAAACAAGGATTGATAATTTAATTTATTTATAGAAACTCAGTTAATTGGAATGGATATTTTGTTTGTTTATTATTTCAACCTGTTGATTTTTATCAATTGTAATCAAATTGCTCTACTTTTTTTCAATTTGAGCTGCAAATTGAAGACAGAAAATTGTTTTTTTCTTATCATCCAATAATGACACTTGAATATCAACAGGTATTGCTGGATATTCATCTTTAATCGGCAAAGAAATGGTCATCGTTGATTGTGAGTTCGCTGATAGTGGACAATGAACACCCCAACTGGCACAAGCATTGGGTTCGATTATAAATGGAACTGGAATTCTTTTCATTAAGATTCCAAAGATTTTCAAATTTGCCTGAGACGTTTGATTAACTAATCATATATAGAAAGACATTTATTAATTATAGATGTTTATATTGTAATATAAATGAAAAGACAATTTAATTTCAAGTAAATTAAACAAAAATTGACTTACAATTTTGAAAAGTAGCTACTAAAGTTGATGTTTCTCCTTTGTTTAGAACACATTTATCACTATCCTCGTTGAATGAACAACCAGTAACCGATAAACTGATTAATTTACCAGTTTCAGAATTACAATCACGAATAATTGTTGCCCATGAAGGTGACAATTGTCCAATTACTAGAAAGGAGAAAACAATTAACACCGATTTAAACATGATTATCTGGCTATAATTTACTACTACAATTGTATTGACTTGATATTGTCACCAGAAAATAGCAGGAAAAGACAAAATCAATGTTAACAATCAAGACGATTTCTTTATTCTTGTATCAGTTAAATGGACGATGTTGTTTGATGAAGATAATTAGGATGATTAATTGAAAGATGTAATTGTTTTTAATATAAGAGCTGCTGATAATCAGTAAGAGTAGCTTGTTGAAATCAAACAGACTCAGCTAAACAATTAACAGTCATTTAGTTGCTTAGAGAGTCAAAATTGAACGATAGGAACAATTCAACTATTTAATTGACATTAAATTGTTGGTTCTGTTAAAATTTACAATCAACTGTTTACTCCTTTCCTTTGATTTTATTAATTGTTATTGTTTTCGTACTCACTAACTTAGAAGTTTCTAATTTTTATTTCAATTTGCTATGAAATCGTCTCACAAACTTAATTCAGCAATAAAATCGGGTGATTTTCAGCCTCAGTTGATGATTAATCACTGATAATTTAACACTCTAAATGTTTTCTCAATTAAAATACAAATCAAATTATAATATTTAACTTTTCTATTCAAGCAAATTGCGATTGTCAATGTTGTAATGTTTTGTTTCTGAATCAAATCTCAAGTGACACTCTTGAGAGAAGTTGATTGTGATTTGATTATATTTTATTATTAAGGTTAATAGTTTGACAATTGATTAGCTTTTCATAATTTAATCTTTTGTAGATACTATTAGATAGTATTTTAACCATTTACAGAAGTAAAAAATTCAACAAGTAGCATCTTGAGAATCATTTTAGTTCGTACTCGAGTGGTATGAATATTCAATAGTATTTGGGCAAATTAAGTACGAAAGTTTCATCAAGTGACACTCTCGAAGATACTTTTCTGTGAACATCAGCTCGAAAATCAATTATTACAAAGATTTTCTTTCGAAAAGGAAAGAATAAATTTCTAAATATTATTAGAATCTCTCGAATCTCATCATGAAATTATAATTATTTTAATCTCGAGCTATCGCTTAAAACAAGTTTCACTCTGAATAAGAATCTGATATAATAATTTCCAACTCTTGATTCCCATGAATAACAAATCTGATTCGATATTATTAGAATTGGAATTTTTAGGATAACATTTTATTCAATTGAAAAAATACTTCGATTGTTGGTAGAAATTGATTCATCTTCATGAAAGTACATTAGTATTGGGATTTTCTAATAACTGGATTAGTTATCTTCAACACCCAACCATTAAGATCTGAGATGATTGGCTTGAGATTGATTCGCAATTTTTTATCTAAATCATTGTACCAATTACAAGGGATTAATACACCATCCGGAGCAATTAGGTTTACTTTGGTTGAATTAAGTTTACCATAAACGGAGCCCAAATTGATTATATTTCCTTCAGGCCAATTTAAAAGAATCGCATAGACAATTGATTCTTTTGATTCTTTCGGTTCTGTGTAACTGTTGATATAAATAGAAAATTAAGTTAAAGTGGTAACAAGTCAATTATAACTTGATTGCTTTTGATAAATTGTTATGAAATTAACTTACTACACTTGTTCAGTAATTGAATCATTCTGGTAAACCCAAGGTTGAGTGTGGTAAATTGCCTCACCATTGACCTTTAACCAAGCTCCCATTTGTCTTAATCTCTCCTCCATGATCGGTGGTAATGTCCCTCAGCGGTTGGACCAATGTTGATCAATAGATTACCACCATAACTGTAAATTAATATCAACATTTATAAATGATTAACAATTGATTAGATTATGTGTTTCTACAAACTCATTTTGTCTTTTGTTACCTGACGGTTTGAACAAGCGTTTTGATTATATCTTTAATGGTCAAGTAATCGTTGACTGTTGATGTTTGGACATAACCCCATGAATTTTGATCAATGGTCATCGCGTTTTCCCATTTACGAGTTTGCAAAGTTCCAGGTTGATAGCGATCTTGGCAGGTAAGAAAACCTCCATGATTACACATGATTCCAGATCCCCAACGATCATTAGTAACAACAGTATCTTTGACTGGACTATAATCAATCAATAATTTTAATTTCTTCACACTGATTGTTACACCAAAATTAAATTACCTTTCATTGTAAAGCCAAGCGATCCACTCCTTTGATCCCCAATAATCATCAGAAGCTTCACCATCGCCATCGGACCAAATCACTTCGGGCTTGTAAGTGTTTACGATATCATAAAGTTCAGAAATCGTTTTCGCCTAACAAAGTGATTTACAAAATTAATTGATTGTCACAGAAAATTATTTGAAAAATTACAGGAAAACCTTTTGCAACTTACATGGGGAAAGATTCTGGTTGTGAAATTGTTAGCTTTATCTGATTCGTACAAGGGATTGAACCATTCATACAACGAATGATAAAGTCCAAATCTTACATCCGTTTTTCGCACGGCAGTTGCCAGGTCACCTAAATTTTAAAGTAAAGTAAATCTGAAATTTAGATTCTACTTTTATAAATATTAATTAGACTTAATTGTCTTACCAACTAGATCTCTTTTTGGTCCAACGTCCATTGCATTCCAGTTCCATGAAGTTTTGGAAGGCCAAAGGGTAAAACCTTCGTGATGTTTACTGGTCAGTACAACGTATTTAGCACCGGACGATTGGAAAACCGATGCCCAATAATCTGGATCAAAATCTTGAGCTGTAAACATTGGTGCAAATTCAGCGTACGTAAAATTGGGCTTGAAATTTTGGGCCATAAACTGGACACAATCAGCTTCACGATTCTGTCTCCAATAGAACCAGAACCATTCACTTCGATAAGCTGGAACTGAAAAGACACCCCAATGGATGAAAATTCCTACCTTTGAATTATCGTACCAATCAGGAAGTGGACGAGAATCAATTGATTCCCATGTAGGTTCATATTTTTGAGAGTAACAATTAACCCCAATGGTCAAACCAATCAGCAAGAAAACAATAAACCCACCTAATTGTGACATAATTAAACCTCGATTAACAAATTAATAAGAGTAAATAACAAGTTTGATTTAATTTTATATCAAATTTGTAGCATTTGATTGCTAAAAACTATCATTTTTCTCTGTATATTGTTAATTGTTTTCAGTTTGATTGGTTGATATTAAAATCATAATGATGTGATACTGATTTTCAGTTTTGTCGTATTGATAACAATTAATGAAGTCTTTGTTTAATTTACTTAATTGTTGTTGTTTTGACTTCTATTGCCAATTTATGATTAGATTAACGTTGACTCTTTAAAGACAATAATCATTGCCAAGTTGAAAAGATCAACTAAGAAATCAGTTGATAATCATTGCAGTTCAAAGACATTGTTAATTGTTGTTTGCTTGATTGTTAGATTAGATATTAACTATTCAAGTAGAGTATTCTATTAGTTTGTAATTAGTTTGTAATTAAGATAATTGATTACTTGATCATCAGAACTTTCCAGCTATTGAAAATGAAGTTGATTCTAAAATTCATTGACACTATTTTAGAGTAAATTAATTAATCAAATTGGAAAGGTTAAAAGGACACAAACTGTTAATTAAGCGTTTTAACCAAATACAATTGATTAATTTGATTGTTTTAAAATGTCAATTATATTTGTTATTTACACTTTCAATCAGTTACCTCAATTAGTGAGTAATTTACTCAGGTGATAAAGATGATCAACTGATGATGTTGATGATGTTAAGTTGTTATTGTTAAACAATTAATTAACTTTGAAAATATATTATTGGTTTATGCAAATCAGTTAATCATATAAAGGTGTTTAATTAGTTTCGTTGGTCCTGAAAGAAAAAGTTTTCATTGATGTTTATTTGAGTATTTTTCATTATTTATCCGCTAATTAGTGTTTACTTGATAGTTTTCTGTTCCAATAATAATGTTGTTTATTTGATTGAATCACCAATGATTCTAACAAATTGATTGTTGGGTTAATTAGAGTGGATTAACGTGAGTTAATACAATAACCCAGCCCCAAAAATCTGAAATGACTGGATTCAAATGGACAATTATATGAGATCCACGTTTCGTCCATACGAGCGGGGCCAATGTTCCGTCCGGTCCAATGAAAGAGACTTGGGTTTTGTTCAGGTTTCCATTTACTGATCCAAGTTCTAAGCGATTGGTTATCGGCCATTCCAAAAATATGGCGAAAACAGTTTGATCGTCAGAGTATTTCGGCTCAGTGTAGCTGATTGAAATTGAGAAGGAGAAAAATACAAACAATTAGCTGGAAGTAATTGAAGATTGGCTCTAAAGTTACTTACTAAACATCTCTAGTTAAAGAATCATTTTGATAGACCCAAGGTTGAGTGTGATAAATTGCCTCACCATTGACCTTTAACCAAGCTCCCATTTGTCTTAATCTCTCCTCCATGATCGGTGGTAATGTCCCCTCAGCGGTTGGACCAATGTTGATCAATAGATTACCACCATAACTGTAAATTAATATCATTATAAATACATTTATAAATGACCATTGATCACTAATTAACTTGCCTAACTGTTTTAACAAGAGATGTTATTATTTCCTTGTAAGTTAAATAATCGGCGGCAGTTGAAGTTCTCACATATCCCCATGAGTGGCGATCAATGGTCATCGTGCTTTCCCATTTACGAGTTTGCAAAGTTCCAGGTTGATAGCGATCTTGACAGGTAAGAAAACCTCCATGATTACACATGACTCCAGATCCCCAACGATCATTTGTAACAACAGTATCTCTGACTGGGCTTTAATGGAACCAAAATCAAAGTATTTATATTAGAAATCAAATCGTTGAATAACAATCAAATTACCTTTCATTGTAAAGCCAAGTGATCCAATCCCTTGATGTCCAGTAATCATCAGTTGCATTCCAATCACCGTCAGACCAAATTATCTCAGGTCTATACGTGTTCACGATATCGTAAAGTTCAGGAATAGTTTTAGCCTAAGGGTTCATCAAGAATATTGATTAGAAGATGATAGATAATCAAATAGATCACAAACTTACATGGACAAATGCTTGAGTGGTGAAATTATTTGCTTGATCTGCTAGGAATAGAGGATTGAACCACTCATATAGCGAATGGTAAAGGCCAAATCGTAGATCAGTTTTCCTTATAGCTGTTGCCAATTCACCTAATTGAATATTCAACGAAAAGTTTTGTAACATTTACATAGAAAACAATTTATGTGATTAACCCTTTTCAATGTAAATAATATTTCTCATAAAAGTTGGTGCAACTTTCATTCACACGTAACAATTGATCAAGCGATCGAGTGATACTATTGTAATTTTATATATACAATTAAAGTTTAATTGTCTTACCAACTAGATCCCTTTTTGGTCCAACGTCCATTGCATTCCAGTTCCATGAAGTTTTGGAAGGCCAAAGGGTAAAACCTTCGTGATGTTTACTGGTCATTACAACGTATCTGGCACCAGAGTGTTTGAACACTGATGTCCAATGGTCTGGATTATAATGTCGAGCTGTAAACATTGGTGCAAATTCAGCGTACGTAAAATTGGGCTTGAAATTATGAACCATGTAATCGATTAGATTCTGATTGTTTAGACCCTTCCAGTCCCACCAGAACCATTCGCTTTGTCGAGCGGGAACCGAGAAAACACCCCAATGGATGAAAATACCGACCTTTGCGTTGTCATACCATTCGGGAAGTGGCCGTGAATCAATTGATTCCCATGTTGGTTTATATCGCCTTGGAAAATTTTCCGACTGGACAATCAGATGGCTTAAAAATACACTTATCAATAGGAAATAATATTTCATGTCCATTTTGAATTAACAGATAATATGATGAATGATGATGATGATGAGAAATCAATTAAATAAAGGAAAAGCTCTTCAAAGACTCAATTGATTTGTATATAAACGTTTGATCAGATCTATTGTCCTATGGATTCATTGCAACAATTGATTGATTTGATTGAACAGTATTTATAATTATCAGATGATAAAATCTTATTATTAATATTGTAAAAGGAAAAATTAACGAATCAATTAACTTTATACTAATTTGTGATTCAATTTTCTCATTGATTTATTTGTTGCTGTTGTAAAATTTGTATCCAGTTGAGATGAGAATCAAATTGTAATCATTATCGACGCCATCATAGTATCAGCATCATCATCTAATTGTTTGCTTAACTTGATGATTGTTTTGTTTGTTCAAGTTTCTAATCAACTCTACAATATACGAGACTACTGGTAGAGAGATGATATATTTGCGAGGTCGAGGTAAATTTCATGAGGTTCGATGTGTTTTGTCAAAGACCAGCTGAAAAAACACATGAGTTGATTATGACATTTGACCTTTTCCCTCAGAAATTCTCTATTTCTCAATGAACTAATCATCAATTGAAAGAGAACTTGTAATTCTACATTTATCTTTACTATGGTTTACCAGAAGTCAACAAAGAAAATATCATCTACATGATTCGACAAAACCTAACCCACCAAATCGCTTGAACATAATTTCTAAAAATGGTTTCGATCTCATTGATAGAAACAATTAGATATTCGATTGCTTATCCCTAATTAATTTTGCGTAATTGTTTAAACTGTAACTAACTTTCATCAACTAATTGCTATAATTAACCCTCAATCCTTAAAAAGCTCAGCTGTAACTATCGATAAATTGTCACGATGATGAACTGATTGATTTTTAATTTCAATCAATTGCAGGCAAAATAATTAGCCTTCCAACCTAATTAAGTGTTAATCCATGACCAAACTTTAATAATGAAGATCAATGAAGCCATTAAATTAGTGGACAAATTCAAATTGGGCTTGACTAAAGTTTTAAGATTTTAATTCATTGAATACTTAATTGTTAACAGGTTGTATCTTCAATCAAAATGAAAAGTTTTCTACTTTATTTGCTAATTTGTTTGATTTTAAATTGTGATACAAGTGAATTTGTTAATTGTGATCCAAATAAAGCTTCAATTCTGGTTGATATTGGTAAGCCAGAGGAATTGATTTACGAAAAAAATTCTCGAACTCCAATTGAGTTTCTTACCCGTTTACCTGGTCGAGGAAAAAAGTTCATGAGATTCATTCAATTCGGTGAGTTAATTTCTTATTCACTCAATTAACTATTAATAATAATCATTCTAATTGAAATCTACTATTAGGTCATGTTGGTGTTGATTGGAATTATCCATAATCAGGCCGATTAATTTGTAATTTTTTTTCTCTATTTTGATTGAAAATGAAATAAAAATTAAACCATTGGTTTGAAATCAAATGAAACAATTTAATTATTTCATCAGAATTTAATTAATTTTGTTCTAATTAGAATTGAAAATAGTTGAACAGAGGAAAAGAAAAAAGTTTAAGATTAAAGGCACAATTGTTTTCCAAAATTATACAATCATCATGTTTGATTAACCAATTTTCTAGTGGTTATTGATCATAATTCAATCTTCAATTGATAACAACACTAATTGTGGTTAATAATTGTGATCCATTTAAATAATTGTAATCATAACATTTCCATTTGCGGTGTTGAACGAAAAATTTTGAAAAAAACATTAATTATTGATAAATCCATTTGCTAGTTTGATACAACCAAAGACAATTAACCAAATTTGAACGTCAACGAGCCAATAGATTGGATTTATCATTAATCCCTAATTTTATAAATTAAGGCACATGCAGTTAATCGTGTTGATTAACTTGCAATTAAAATTATTATTTCACCGATTGATTTACCAGGGAATAGTTTAGATTACAATAGTTATTCAAATTGTTGGTTTCTTTTGAGCAAGAGTTGGTCACTTTTCCTCTTTAATGATTTTAAAAGCTTCTTTAATCCATTTTCGTGTTTAATTAACGTGAATTTATCTTTAAATTGTCGTCGATCAATCGATCAAGATTTAATTTGTTGGTCTTGTTTCTTCCGTTGGTTAGAAAATTGTTTTCTTTAGTTGTTATTGGTGACAAGAAGTTAGTCGATTAGTTGACAATAAGCAAGAAATATAATCAAACACGCGATCGTAATGTTCACGTGTTACATGTATTGTTGATATCATTCTGAGGATAAAATGAGAAGAAAAAAATTAACATTAGAAATCAAATAGAATTGAAATTTTCTGTATTCATGGTAAATATCAGGTAAGAAAGATATAATCTGATACCTTATTAATTGTCTCAATAAATTGTATATATGGTTTTAGTTGTTAACTTTGTCACATCATCGAACACTAGAACGAGAATATTTTCCGATGATTAATTAGTTGGTAAACTTAATGATCTATCGATTAGTCATTAATTACCTTTGTATTTGATTTATCATCGGGTTTGTTACTATTTTTTCTTGGTGGTAAACTGTGACTTCTTTTATTTCCAGATCCAGGAGATCTGAAGTTATCCCTTGATTGCTCATTGTTATGGCTTTGATTATGTTGATTCGGTTCGTTCTGTTGAAGGAGAAATAGAGAAATAATCAATTAATATTTAGAATTAATGTAACAATTAAATGTGACAATTATTATTGTGTTGAAGTGATCGAGACTTACCTGAGATGATTGTCCATTCTCGTTATCTCCTCTATTGGTTAACAAACAAAGATGGAGTAAAAATGATTAGTAATTAAGATTGATAAATAAGCATAAAAATAGCAAATTGACAATTTAGAAAAGTGAGAAAAACAATTAAGCTAATCGGGAGGAGGGAAACTGTAAGGTGCAATTAAAAATGATTACATTTTCGCTAATTAAATTGCCGATGTAGATGAACTTGAGTGAGTTGATAAAATCGTGCAAATGTTAATAACAACTCACTGGTAATTAGTTAATTGTCCTGCTTTACGGCTCTCTTCTTCTTGTAATTTTCGGGCGAATTCCTCATCACTAAGCTCGTTTAATCCATTTTCGCTTTTATATGTTTCCCATTCTTTTTCTTTCTCAAATTCTTTTTTTTGTTCCTCTTGGAGACTCAGAGCAATTAGATAATCTTGATCAACTTGAACCTGCTGATCCTCAGCAGTTAATGAAGATTTCGGAGGGACCGGAATAAAATCACCATCGACGAATAATCCATCATTCTCAATGTTGTTAAGTGTCTCCCAAACAACTCTTGATTCCGTAAGAAAACCTTGATCAGTAACTAATTGATACAATTGATCCTGATGTAAACAATATTAAGAGACGAGAAATCAAATATGGAAGGAAAAAAAAGACTGGATTAGTTGCGAAATTGGAAACAATTGAAATTACTTGTAATTAAAACTCTTAAATACCTTAGATTTTAACAGGGTAATGAAATGATTGTTACGAAATAGAACACTGAGTTCACCGTCTTTCAGGGTTGAATTTAATTGGGATAATCCATGGTAAGTTAATTGTGATGCTGTTCTTTCCAAAAAGTGTTCCACAACCAAAGCTACAATCAAAAAGCGTAAAAAAACCAAAAAAATGTATTAGAATTAACAATAGCAATTGTATTAAATTGTACTGAAGAGTTAATTGTTTGGCGATGAAAGAGAACACCAAAAAAACGACCGAAAAGGACAATTGATTAAGAGAAAATTGTTGTTTTTTTTCACTTTGAGATGATCGATAATTGAATTAACAATCAACTCTGATTGGCGAGGAAATTGTGTTATGTTGAAAAGCAAAAAGGATATTGAATTGATGGGAATCTCTTTCCTTGTTTCATCTGATTTCTCATTAAATGATTTCTTTCATTTTGATTTAATTAGATTTTAGTGTGTAAATATCGATAGAAATGTCTGAATAAAATTGATTAATCAAAATATAAAGAGAACTGCCAATGTAAACTATGTAAACTCCTACGAATTGTTTCCGCTCATTTACAATGTCAGTCTGGAAGAGTTTGTTTTCTGATGTGTGGGATGAAATTACTATTAATGAACATTAAATTAGTAAAACTAGTAAAACGGTTAACACAATTAAATTAATAGACTGACTCATTGTATTAAAACAATTACGATTAATCTAATTTGACTTACCTTCAAAAGCCAACTCGGGACGAGTTGATGTTTTATGAGTGATTATTTTGTCAACCAATTGATTGTAACTTAAATTACCAATGGAAGTCACTGTTTCGATATCATTTGGATCAACAAGCCAACCATGATAAAGTGGAATGTGTAGAAGGTCAAAAAAGATGAGTTCGGGTGTATACTCAAAATCGGAAACTCCAGTAAACCGGACATTTACGTCTAATCCAGTTTGTAATTTAGGTAGAATGGCGATTGCATCATGCATATTTTGCTCGTAATTAAGTTGATCTTCTTCTTTTAAGCCTTTGGGAATATTTTCCAATATACAATCACCAAGATATTCGATCAGTTGATTTGCTGTGATCACTTCCATCATCGAGGGTAATCGTAAGCGTCCTTTCACAAGGAGAACATTGATAATAGCTATTAATGGACATGGACCATTCTCATTCTGTGTGACTATTGGATATTTGTTTCCTTTCAATTTGACCCATTTCAAGTGATATGAGGGTTGAGATTGAGTTGATTGTGATTGTGGTAATTGAGTTATGGTGTTTGACTCATATTCACAAATTTCCATTGGTTCGAAAATAGGTTGTAACCCAGAGCTTGGAACTTGCAGCTTTTCCTCTGGTAATTCTGGTTCTAAGGTGTTTTCTTGTATCGATTCCTTAACTGGTTCTTCGACTGGTTCTGGTTCACCTGGAGATGAAAATTCTAACGGTTTCTCTTCTTCTAACTTGCCCTTAGGTTCAACATTATGTTTAGAATCAATTAAGGATTCATTTATTGTAGAGTTTACTGATAAATTAGTTTCCAAGGATTCTCTCTCTAAATCTGTATCTTTTACCTCTTCTTCAATCAATGTATTTTCCAGATCGGGCGTGATACCTGAGGATAACTGTAATTCAGTTTCTGTTAATATTTCTGGTTGCTGACATTCCGAGACTAGAGTATCAACTAACATCTCAGGTAATTGTGATTGTTTTACTGGTGAAAATGGTAAAACTGGTGTTTGAAAAGGTGGTGATGATGTAGAAGGTAATAAAGATGATGACGGTGGTTGGGGTGTTGATAGCGGTAACCCTGATACAGGTAAAGATGGTGACGATTGGTCACTTGATTCACTAATTAACTGTGATGATGACATGTTGATGTTACCTTGTTGTTTTTGGACATCAATAAAATCAACTTGGACCAATTAACAGCATTAATTACTAATCAAAGTGACAAAATAAAATTGCAAACATTGGACATTAAATACAGAGAGAAAACAAAAACAAAACCTAATTTTTTTTTACATTTAAAGAGAGAAAAGAAAGAGAAAATATTTGTCATGAAAAATGAATATAAACAAGAATTCAGCTCTGAGAATAGCTCACCAAGTCTATTTTAAGAGCAAAAGAAAATTTTCCAAAAAGTAACAACAGATGGAGCCACAAATGAAAAAGTTCATTCGACTAACGAATTTAAAATTGTCCCTTTAGGAAACTGATTATTAAAACACTAATTTAATTCTGGTTTGGTGGGCTGATCATCATATCACAATTTAGTGAAACATTTCAGGAATCACTTGCAATGGAAGACTACAAGTGCTGTCCACAATAGGAACCACGTGTGTGAAAACCCTAAATGGAGCATCGTTTGAATTTTGTACCAAATCCCATCTTTTCACATCCTCTGTACGATTGTCACTTCCGGGAACGATGGATCTTAATTCATCGGAGTCTCCCATGAATTGGCTTAAAATAAAGAAGACCACTTTATAAACAATTGAAATGATCCATGACAGATAGATGAACACGCATATACTGAATTCGAACTAGCATTTGAGAGAAAGTTTTTTTATATTTTACCTGTTGGTTGATGATAAAGATGATGATATCTTCACCTTCATCATGTTTGGGTATTTCTTCATCATCTTTATCATCAACCAACAGGTAAAATATAAAAAAACTTTCTCTCGACCTTAAGGTAGGTTTTTAACCGAAACAACCTTTATTTTTGGCTACGCTTTTGACTAAAAGTGTCATACAGAATTTTCTTGAGTACAGGCGCAGCAATTAACCATTTCCACTTTTGAGAGCTGATTGCTTGAAAATTATAAATAAAATTTTCGATCTAATTCCGCCGATCGGTAGGTAAATGTGTACATTTATTATTCTCTCTGAATCAAAATCAAAGGGTGTGTAGTTCAAATAACAAAGGCAAAGGGTAAGAAAAAAAGATAATCTGACCTTTTACCTGTTACTTTCTTATCTCGAAACTTTTTAAATAACATACCCTTTAGGACTTTCGTTTACTATGAAACTTGCGGATAAACTTTTGCGTTTTCATCCACCATTTTCACTCATTGATTTTGGCCGATTTTGACGTCCATCTTTTAAATGGTCAAGACAAGTCGATAATAATGAGGAACATCAAAATGAAATTGAAATCTGATCTAATCAAACAATTGATTTCGACTTTATTTATGTTCCTATTAATAGCACAATCAAAGATTGTAACATGAATTTAATCTTGTTTCACCAATATTAATCCTTATTCAGATGACTTACGAATATATTGGGAAGGTTATTCGCTTGCTAACCACGTTTCCAACTGATTCCGTTTCCTTTTTCAAATGTGAAAGTTTACGAACGATGCTAAAAATATTTATTCAGAAGCCTCTGGAATATATTGAAGAGGCACTTTTAATGTTAACTACGTTTCCATTGATTCCAACTGATTAATCAAACTAATTAACTAGAATATACAGGGGATAACAACCGAATATCATCATATCATATATCACTTTTCCAACTTTGAGAGGCCACTGTTCATTAATGGCTTATGGAAAAGTCTCAAACCAGAACACAAAAATCTCTGGTTAGGCCATAATCAGTGATCTAAGTTGTTTTTATTTTTCGATTAAAACGCATAAACTAAGCAGAATTTCGTCGTGATTTTTGTACAATTTTATTTCTTATTATGATCTAGCAACTGACGAAAGCTTCTTTCGATATCTACTTTTCTTGACCTGCTACAGCGGGTGATCTGATTCGATGAGTATAACTTTGTGAGCTTATAACTTCGTAACCAAATGTCATTAGATCACCCAAATTAGATCATTATACTTCTGATTACACGCACTATAAATATCAAGAGATTTTTCAGAACTTTTGAAAAGAGTCAGAGAGTTTTTATATTAATAAATGTTCTATCTATTAAAATAGTTGTTAACTTTATGTTTGACGAAGGTCGATTTGAGGGTTGACATGCCCCTTTAAATTATTGTTGTATTAATAACTAACTTGTTAGACCAACTCAACGGTTTTTTATTTGTACATAAATACAATTAAACAATTAACATTGATCTCACAGATGAAAATAATTATTTTCATCTCATGTTAATGATATTTTGTCTCTCGCGCTCATTTGGCCTTGTTTACAAATGATCAGCTGATTTTATTTAATTTGTTGTTTTTTTTTGTGAAAGAAGAGTTTTTAATTATTTATAATTAATAAGTTAATTTGGCGTTTATTGTATATTTTGTTTTTCTTCAACAATTAACATAGAATATGAAGATCTAATCATGCTGCTAAATGAATTACCTGATGATTGTTTGTTAACCATTTTTGGAAACTTTGATTGTCTCGATGATTTCATAAATTGTTCAAAAGGTAAACAATCAGTTTTTTCAATTTTTTTATTGTCAATTCTTTCGATGATTTATAATTTATCCAAGTGAAATAATCTCTACATTTTATTTGACATTTTAGTTTGTACAAGATGGGCTTTCCTCACATCTTATCACCTTAACAAAGTAAAGTGTTTACTAAGTGAGTTTTGTTTAATTTTTACCAACACTTTAATTATGTTATCATTTCGATCAACTATTGAAACTTTTTTCTCGGTCATTTTATTATCCAGCAAAAAAGACTACTGATAATTCATCGAGTATCCTTCGAATCACCAATCCATTAGTTTTACTTGAACCAAATTTACATAAACTTTTACAAAATTTACAGGTAATTTTACAACTAAACTCTTAACAAAATCAGAGAAATAAATTATTAATAACATAATCTTATTTTCTTATTTATTTATGAAAGATTTTAGATATTGCATCGGTAATAGGAGTTATCGACGATGAGAAAATCAAAAGAATTATCAATTCCAATCAATCAATCAGTACATTGATCTATCCATCTCTTTATGACGATGGATCAGCGGGCTATTGTTTTGCTAAAGTTGACTCTCAATTTACCATGAATATTGATTCTCAAGAGATTGTGAATCCTGATAATTTGATTCAAATCTTTTTTCGCAACTGTATCGTATCATGTTTATCAAAATACATGATAAAGTACCAAAATCTTATAAGGATACACATAACTGATATCGAACGTAAGAATCGATGTAAAGTCTAATGATTAGGTCTGTGGGTAAGGCTCCGTACTATGCCCGTAAGCTCAACTTTTCTACTTTCAGCTGATTTTTTCCGCCTAATAATCAAAGCTACATATGGAAATTAACTTGATTGCTCAATTAATTGGTTACTTAATTAAATTAAATCGATTTCCTTAGATGCCGCGAATGTTTAGCCAGAGAAAAGTCCGCTGAAAGTGTTAATAGTGAGCTAACGCGCATATCATGAGCATTACCGTACATACCAAATGCTTTTATCTTATCAAAATTTTCTTATTCATCCAAAAAAATTGATTATCCTCTGTTCAGAATAGATTTAATAGGCGTAAGCGATGTTTTCTACAATGGACCATTGCTAGTAAATCTCAAGATACTGGAGTTAACTTCCGCTTCCTATGATGGTACATTTATTTACACCGGATTTCATTTGATGGATTTTTGTCCAGCATTGGAAAGTGCTTTTTTCTATTCTGAAACGATTGACTATTATGTCAATGAATCGATAAAAAATTTCAATCTAAGAGATTTGGTTATCCAATACGTAAGGCGAAAATAATCTTTAATATTACTCTTTTCTAATGGAAAACTGATTATGATTCATCTCTCTACTTTCTAGATGGAAGGTGATTATTCACAAGAATGGTCTTCGTTGCGAAGTCTTTTGTCCAAATTTCCAAACTTGAAACATCTCGCCCTCAGAGGAAATAATGATATCTCTGATTTACACGTTGAACAAATGGTCCAATTGTTACCCAAATTAAAACTACTTGACTGTCGACAATCACCAAATGTTACTCACAAATCAAGTGAATATCTGAAAGGACTGAGTCAAGAATCCAATCGCTCTATTACAATTTATTATAATTGTGACAATCAGGAGTCTGGAGATTGGCCTAAAATCGACCACGAAAAGAATCAAATCTGTTATGGACTTGATTTCATGAAACACTGTTTCTTCCGATCATATTATAACCTTCCATTGTTAATGGCCCCCTAATTTACAATCAACCGACCATTATTTGAATTTAAAACTAATTAACCTTTTAAAAATAAACAAATATTTGTACAGCAATTGAACGTTCATTATAATGCTGATTATAAATAGTCAGCGTACAATAAATGTTAAAACAAAAGTTTGTAAACAGTAGGTTAATTATAATTATCTTTGCAAGTAATTAACACTTAATCAAGTGACTATCTTACTGCTTTAACTTTGAACTTTATAAACTCCTTGGATAGCTCGTAACAGAATATGGAAAAGCATAGTGGATAATATTCAATATAAAAATGAAATAAGCACCATGACAATAATACCAAGTATCCAATTGGAATTAGTGATTCAACCATCTTAATGATGGTGGGAAGGAAAGAAAGACCACCAATTAATCAATATTATTATTCCCTCCAGTCTTGGAAACTGAAAAATGAAATCTCCACATTAGATTACTTTCCTTTTTTCACATTTTCTGATTACAACTGAAAAATTATATTTAGTCTGATGGAGAAATTGAATAACTTAAAGGTTAGAATTTGATTCAATCAATTATAATCTCTTGTTCTGAATTTGGATTAACATTCGGGGTCTCAATTAAATTGAGGTAGCTAATCATGGTAATGAGTTAATGGTAAGTAAATGATTAATATCAATTTAGATAATCTGACAGATGAAAATAATTATTTTCATCTCATGTTAATAATATTTTGACTCTCGCGCTCATTTGGCCTTGTTTACAAATGATCAGCTGATTTTATTTAATTTGTTGTTTTTTTGTGAAAGAAGAGTTTTTAATTATTTATAATTAATAAGTTAATTTGGCGTTTATTGTATATTTTGTTTTTCTTCAACAATTAACATAGAATATGAAGATCTAATCATGCTGCTAAATGAATTACCTGATGATTGTTTGTTAACCATTTTTGGAAACTTTGATTGTCTCGATGATTTCATAAATTGTTCAAAAGGTAAACAATTAGTTTTTTCTATTTTTTTATTGTCAATTCTTTTGGTGATTTATAATTTATCCAATTGAAATAATCTCTACATTTTATTTGACATTTTAGTTTGTACAAGATGGGCTTTCCTAACATCTTATCACCTTAACAAAGTAAAGTGTTTACTAAGTGAGTTTTGTTTAATTTTTACCAACACTTTAATTATGTTATCATTTCGATCAACTATTGAAACTTTTTTCTCGGTTACTTTATTATCCAGCAAAAAAGACTACTGATAATTCATCGAGTATCCTTCGAATCACCAATCCATTAGTTTTACTAGAACCAAATTTACATAAACTTTTACAAAATCTTCAGGTAATTTTACAACTAAAATCTTAACAAAATCGGAAAGATAAATTATTAATCACATAATCTTATTTTCTTATTTATTTATGAAAGATTTTAGATATTGCATCGGCAATAGGAGTCATCGACGATGAGAAAATCAAAAGAATTATCTATTCCAATCAATCAATAAGTACATTGATCTATCCACCTTTTTTTGAAAAGAATGGAGTAGTGGGCTGGCGTTTTGCTAAAGTTGACTCTCAATTTACCATGAATATTGATTCTCAAGAGATTGATAATCCTGATAGTTTCTTTCAAATCTTTTTTCGAAGTTTTCTGTTATCGCGTTTGAAAGAATACACGACAGAGTATCAAAATCTTCTAAGAATTCACATTACTGATATCGAATGTAAGAAGCGAGATATTTTTATTCTATCAAAACGTTCTTATTTGTCCAAAAAAGTTGATTATATCTTGTTCAAAATAGATTTAATAGGTTTAGGTGATGTTTTCTACAATGGACCATTGCTAGTAAATCTCAAGATACTGGAGTTAACTTCCGCTTCCTATGATGGTACATTTATTTACCCCGGATTTCATTTGATGGATTTTTGTCCAGCATTAGAAAGTGCTTTTTTCTATTCTGAAACGATTGATTATTATGTCAATGAATCGATAAAAAACTTCAATCTAAGAGATTTAGTTATCCAATACGTAAGGAGAAAATCATCTTTAATATATCTCTTTTCTAATGGAAAACTGATTATTATTTATCTCTCTACTTTCTTAGATGGAAGGTGATTATTCACAAGAATGGTCTTCGTTGCGAAGTCTTTTGTCCAAATTTCCAAACTTGAAACATCTCGCTCTCAGAGGAAATAATGATATCTCCGATTTACACGTTGAACAAATGGTCCAATTGTTACCCAAATTAAAACTACTCGACTGTCGACAATCACCAAATGTTACTCACAAATCAAGTGAATATCTGAAAGGACTGAATATTACAATTTATTATAATTGTGACAATCAGGAGTCGGGAGATTGGCCTAAAATTGACAATGAAAAGAATCGCTTTTGTTATGGACTTGATTTTATGAAACATTGTTTCTTCCGATCATATAAGAACCTTCCATTGCTAATGGCACCCTAATTCACTATCAACTGACTATTCTTTTAATCTGAAACTTTAATTAACCTTTCAACTACAGCGAAATATTTGTACAGCAATTGAACGTTCATTATAATGCCGATTATAAGTTCATTCCTAAACTTATTCAATTGGTTTCTTTACTGCTCCAATTATGAACTCTTGTTACTTCGGGAATTTCTGCCAACAGAATATGGAAAAGCATAGTGTAAAATACTCAATATAAAAATAAAATAAACAACAATATCTGGTATCCAATTGGAATTAGACATTTGACCACCTTTATTATGGTGGTAAATAACGAGAGAGAAATAATCATGAAAATTACCTTCTCCCAATACAGAGATAATTGTATTATTCACCTAATGTGCATTCATATACATGAATATAAATATTTACCAATTGTTCCTTATTAAAAGTTAGATGATACAAGAAAATTGTTATGAAAATAATTCATTCGATTCATTCGTAAATTAGACAAGATTTCACTCAATTCCTAAACTTTTGTCACGCATGGTATTAATTGATTGCTGTAAGTAAACTTGAGACTTATCTAATTATAAATATTTTTATATCGAAGTGGTCTAGTTTTTCTGAGGTGATTGTCCATTCTATTTATCTTGCTTTTCTATTGATTGCGAAACTGAGAAAAAATGTGATTACTAAATAAAAAAATAGAGAAGGACAATGAAGTGAAAATTGTTGTTTCTTGAGATGAAAATCAAATGAATATCGATAGAAATTGTTTCGAATTATTTCCGCTCTTTTACAACACCGATTGAGAAGAGCTTGTTTTCTGATGTTTGGCATAAAATTGCTATTAATGAAATAATTATCTTATGATTATCTTTAAATGAACAAGTTTACACGTGTATTTTGAACTATTAATACATTCGTGGGATTTGAAGAGTGAGCATCTTTGGGAAATGTGGAAAGAATCATAGGGAGATGAGTGAACGAAATTAATAAAATTATTAATATTTTAGAAAGGTACTAGTATTTTCGGCTACGCTTTTGACTAAGCATGGCTTAGAATTTTCTTTAGTACAGGCGTTGCAACAAAACATTTCCGCTTTTGAGAGGTGACCTTTCGAAAACTATGCATTCAATTTTCGATCTAATCACGTGGGTGGGTAAAATGTGCATATTTATTATTCCGTTTGAATAATTTTCGTTTACTATGCAACTACGATAACTTTTTTGTGTTTTCATCCACATTTTCAGTGATTCATTTTGCACGATTTAGACGTCCATCTTTTACATGGTCAAGACAAGTCGATAATAATGAAGAAGATCAAAATGAAATTCAAATATGATCTAATCAAACAATTAATTTCGACCTTGTTTATGTTACTATTAATAGCACAATCAAATATTGTAACATGAATTTAATCTTGTTTCACCAATACAAATATCAATAACTTTCTAACCTAATCTTAGAAAATAATATTTTTCGGTCATTAAAACCAATAGAATGATCATTGTAGAAGATCAAATGACTCGAGAATATTTATTCAGATGCCTTTGGAATATATTGGGAAGGTTACTCGCTTGTTAACCACGTTTCCAACTGATTCCGTTTCCTTTTCCAAATGTGAAAGTGTACGAATGATCCTAAAAATATTTATTCAGAAGCCTTTGGAATATATTGAAAAGGCACTTTTCATGTTAACCACGTTTCCAAATGGAACTGATTAATCAAACTAATTAACTGGAATATACAGGGCTTAACAACCAAATATCATCATATCATATATCATTTTCGACTTTGAAAGGCCACTTTTCATCAATGGCTGATGAAAAAGTCCCAAACCAGAACACAACAAAAATTTGACATCATCTCCGTTGAATCGAGGAAAAAATCTGACCTGATAAGTAGCCTAGAAAGGGCAAAGAGTCGAAAGTACGAATATTTGGTCGTTACGCCCCGTATTTCAATAAACGGTATTGATAAACTTTTTCAAATGTGAATGAGGACGAGTCATTGTAAAAATAGTCATTGATCAGAATTATCTTATTGAGACAGGCACACAAATGTTATTGAAAGGTTAATTATGTTTCCTTAGCTGCAATGGAGACTTTGAATTTAAAATATTATTTGAGCAAGTTCGACACCTAGACTTTTTCAGTATAAAAAGCGATAGATTTTAAGAGGAATTATCAGTCAACTATCTCATCTCATCTATTCAATTACATTGAAATTGAAAAGTTACAATTAACGAAATGGCTTTAAGACTAATCAACTTAAGTGTTTTACTTTTTTTACTATTCAACTATTCCTACGCCTCACAGAGTTCTAGTGTTACAGCGAATTCTGACGCAGATTCATCAAACGATCAAAATGGCTATGGTGATAGTTATGAAAATGGAATGGGAATGAAATTGGACATGGACTCTGCGATGAAGGCAATGTCAGATTCAATGGCTTCAGCAGGTTCAATGTTTGGTGGCTTCGGTTCTGAAATGGACAACAATTATGGAGGTTCTGGAAGTAGTTCATCATCATCTGCTGCCGCTTCATCAGATGCAAGCAATAACGGTAACTCAGGAGCTGGAAATGGAAATGGTGGAAGCGCTTCATCATCATCTGCTGCCGCTTCATCAGATGCAAGCAATAACGGTAACTCAGGAGCTGGAAATGGAAATGGTGGAAGCGCTTCATCAGCAGCTGCTGACGCTTCATCAGATGCAAGCAATAACGGTAACTCAGGAGCTGGAAATGGAAATGGTGGAAGCGCTTCATCAGCAGCTGCTGACGCTTCATCGAACGCTCAAAATGGCAATGGTTATGGGAATGGAATGGAAATGGAATTGGACATGAAATCTGCAGCGAAGGCAATGTCAGATTCAATGGCTTCAGCAGGTTCAATGTTTGGTGGCTTCGGTTCTGAAATGGACAACAATTATGGAGGATCTGGAAGTAGTTCATCATCATCTGCTGCCGCTTCATCAGATGCAAGCAATAACGGTAACTCAGGAGCTGGAAATGGAAATGGTGGAAGCGCTTCATCATCATCTGCTGCCGCTTCATCAGATGCAAGCAATAACGGTAACTCAGGAGCTGGAAATGGAAATGGTGGAAGCGCTTCATCATCATCTGCTGCCGCTTCATCAGATGCAAGCAATAACGGTAACTCAGGAGCTGGAAATGGAAATGGTGGAAGCGCTTCATCATCATCTGCTGCCGCTTCATCAGATGCAAGCAATAACGGTAACTCAGGAGCTGGAAATGGAAATGGTGGAAGCGCTTCATCATCATCGCTGCCGCTTCATCAGATGCAAGCAATAACGGTAACTCAGGAGCTGGAAATGGAAATGGTGAAGTTCATCATCATCTGCTGCCGCTTCATCAGATGCAAGCAATAACGGTAACTCAGGAGCTGGAAATGGAAATGGTGGAAGCGCTTCATCAGCAGCTGCTGACGCTTCATCGAACGCTCAAAATGGCAATGGTTATGGGAATGGAATGGGAATGGAATTGGACATGAACTCTGCAGCGAAAGCACTGTCAGATTCAATAGCTTCAGCAGGTTCAATGTTTGGAAGTTTCAGTTCTGTAAAAGACAAGAATTATGGAGGTTATGGCAGTCGTGCAGCATCATCTGCTGGCGCTTCAGCTGCTTCAACAGGTCATAGAAATGAAGGTAATTTAGGATCTAAAAATGGAGCTTCAGATAACGCTGCATCGTCATCAGCTGCTGCAACCAGTGCATCAAATACCAACGGTAAAGGAAATTCAGGATCTGGAAATGGAAACTCTGCATCGTCATCAGCTGCTGCAACCGGTGCATCAAATACCAACGGTAAAGGAAATTCACGATCTGGAAATGGAAACTCTGCATCGTCATCAGCTGCTGCAACCGGTGCATCAAATACCAACGGTAAAGGAAATTCAGGATCTGGAAATGGAAACTCTGCATCGTCATCAGCTGCTGCAACCAGTGCATCAAATACCAACGGTAAAGGAAATTCAGGATCTGGAAATGGAAACTCTGCATCGTCATCAGCTGCTGCAACCAGTGCATCAAATACCAACGGTAAAGGAAATTCAGGATCTGGAAATGGAAACTCTGCATCGTCATCAGCTGCTGCAACCAGTGCATCAAATACCAACGGTAAAGGAAATTCAGGATCTGGAAATGGAAACTCTGCATCGTCATCAGCTGCTGCAACCAGTGCATCAAATACCAACGGTAAAGGAAATTCAGGATCTGAAATGGAAACTCTGCATCGTCATCAGCTGCTGCAACCAGTGCATCAAATACCAACGGTAAAGGAAATTCAGGATCTGGAAATGGAAACTCTGCATCGTCATCAGCTGCTGCAACCAGTGCATCAAATACCAACGGTAAAGGAAATTCAGGATCTGGAAATGGAAACTCTGCATCGTCATCAGCTGCTGCAACCAGTGCATCAAATACCAACGGTAAAGGAAATTCAGGATCTGGAAATGGAAACTCTGCATCGTCATCAGCTGCTGCAACTGCTACGTCAAAGCGTAAGAATAATGGTAATTCAGGACCTTTAAACGGAGTTACAATCAAGATGCCCGCCGCACCTATGTCAGCAGCTTCAATGTTGTCATAAATTTCTGTAGGCTCGCAAAGAGGACATTGAAATTGAAGTAATACAAGTTCTTTAGCATCAACTGCAGCGTCATCTAGCAAAAATGTTAACTCCTCAAATCAATTCGTCTGTAACACTCACTTTATGATTTAATATTAAAAATAGCCTATGCAACTATCTTCGAAAATTATTCACTCTTCAGTATAGCTTCTAATATTTGAGCACCTTCCATTTATTTGTACCTTGATAAAATCGCAGCTATAGCCCCTCCAGAGGAGGATTGTTGATCATCTTCGGCTCATGCATTCTCGGCTGCTCATGCTGCTTACAAGTCAGAAAATGAGGTCCCTGTCTCCCCGAACACTGTGGGTTCCACCTACACCTAGTGTCGTGAGTTTGTTTGCTAAATATACTGTTGTTGGTGTTGTTTTAATCTCAAATATTTTGAAAATTTTAAAGAAAATCAGACATCGGTGATTAACTTTTCACATTCTGCTGATTGGGGTGAATATTGATACAAATTGAATAAGAAATTCATATTATCGCTGAAAGATTTTTCTTTTAAATTCTTTTATTAATAAACAATAAAGCAAAAAGATAATAATTTGTTTGTGTACAAGATTTTAGATATACAGAGACCCTGAAAATTCAATTAAATTGAATTATTTTTGAAATTTTATTAATTATTCAAACTGATTAAAAAAGAAAAAAAGGCACCATTACACCAATAAACTAACCTACTTTATTCTTCTAAAGATTACCTTTTCTGTGTAAACCTATTGATTTACATTGATTTTAATCTAACCAAATTTAGGCCACGCAAAAGTGTTTCTTCTTGTCCGATCTTTAAGTTTAGATATTCAAGTGCTGTAATAAATAACTGATACATTATTTGCTTAGTAATTGGATTCATTTGTAAAAGTAGACTAAATCAGCACGAGATAGAGGGAGTTACTCGAACTTTTCTTGATAATAAACTTCATTCAACAGAGCAAGTCTTTCATGGAGATGAAAGAGTAATGTTTGAAACATTTTCTCAATGTGCACAATGAAAATCATCAACAATCGTACTCTTGGCAAAAATTTGTCTTTATCTTTTGAAGTCTTGCTAGTTTATTAACTGTTAATTGTTTCGAATTATTTCCGATCATATAAGAACCTTCCATTGCTAATGGCACCCTAATTCACTATCAACTGACTATTCCTTTAATCTGAAACTTTAATTAACCTTTCAACTACAGCGAAATATTTGTACAGCAATTGAACGTTCATTATAATGCCGATTATAAGTTCATTCCTAAACTTATTCAATTGGTTTCTTTACTGCTCCAATTATGAACTCTTGTTACTTCGGGAATTTCTGCCAACAGAATATGGAAAAGCATAGTGTAAAATACTCAATATAAAAATAAAATAAACAACAATATCTGGTATCCAATTGGAATTAGACATTTGACCACCTTTATTATGGTGGTAAATAACGAGAGAGAAATAATCATGAAAATTACCTTCTCCCAATACAGAGATAATTGTATTATTCACCTAATGTGCATTCATATACATGAATATAAATATTTACCAATTGTTCCTTATTAAAAGTTAGATGATACAAGAAAATTGTTATGAAAATAATTCATTCGATTCATTCGTAAATTAGACAAGATTTCACTCAATTCCTAAACTTTTGTCACGCATGGTATTAATTGATTGCTGTAAGTAAACTTGAGACTTATCTAATTATAAATATTTTTATATCGAAGTGGTCTAGTTTTTCTGAGGTGATTGTCCATTCTATTTATCTTGCTTTTCTATTGATTGCGAAACTGAGAAAAAATGTGATTACTAAATAAAAAAATAGAGAAGGACAATGAAGTGAAAATTGTTGTTTCTTGAGATGAAAATCAAATGAATATCGATAGAAATTGTTTCGAATTATTTCCGCTCTTTTACAACACCGATTGAGAAGAGCTTGTTTTCTGATGTTTGGCATAAAATTGCTATTAATGAAATAATTATCTTATGATTATCTTTAAATGAACAAGTTTACACGTGTATTTTGAACTATTAATACATTCGTGGGATTTGAAGAGTGAGCATCTTTGGGAAATGTGGAAAGAATCATAGGGAGATGAGTGAACGAAATTAATAAAATTATTAATATTTTAGAAAGGTACTAGTATTTTCGGCTACGCTTTTGACTAAGCATGGCTTAGAATTTTCTTTAGTACAGGCGTTGCAACAAAACATTTCCGCTTTGAGAGGTGACCTTTCGAAAACTATGCATTCAATTTTCGATCTAATCACGTGGTGGGTAAATGTATATTTATTATTCCGTTTGAATAATTTTCGTTTACTATGCAACTACGATAACTTTTTGTGTTTTCATCCACATTTTCAGTGATTCATTTTGCACGATTTAGACGTCCATCTTTTATGGTCAAGACAAGTCGATAATAATGAAGAAGATCAAAATGAAATTCAAATATGATCTAATCAAACAATTAATTTCGACCTTGTTTATGTTACTATTAATAGCACAATCAAATATTGTAACATGAATTTAATCTTGTTTCACCAATACAAATATCAATAACTTTCTAACCTAATCTTAGAAAATAATATTTTTCGGTCATTAAAACCAATAGAATGATCATTGTAGAAGATCAAATGACTCGAGAATATTTATTCAGATGCCTTTGGAATATATTGGGAAGGTTACTCGCTTGTTAACCACGTTTCCAACTGATTCCGTTTCCTTTTCCAAATGTGAAAGTGTACGAATGATCCTAAAAATATTTATTCAGAAGCCTTTGGAATATATTGAAAAGGCACTTTTCATGTTAACCACGTTTCCAAATGGAACTGATTAATCAAACTAATTAACTGGAATATACAGGGCTTAACAACCAAATATCATCATATCATATATCATTTTCGACTTTGAAAGGCCACTTTTCATCAATGGCTGATGAAAAAGTCCCAAACCAGAACACAACAAAAATTTGACATCATCTCCGTTGAATCGAGGAAAAAATCTGACCTGATAAGTAGCCTAGAAAGGGCAAAGAGTCGAAAGTACGAATATTTGGTCGTTACGCCCCGTATTTCAATAAACGGTATTGATAAACTTTTTCAAATGTGAATGAGGACGAGTCATTGTAAAAATAGTCATTGATCAGAATTATCTTATTGAGACAGGCACACAAATGTTATTGAAAGGTTAATTATGTTTCCTTAGCTGCAATGGAGACTTTGAATTTAAAATATTATTTGAGCAAGTTCGACACCTAGACTTTTTCAGTATAAAAAGCGATAGATTTTAAGAGGAATTATCAGTCAACTATCTCATCTCATCTATTCAATTACATTGAAATTGAAAAGTTACAATTAACGAAATGGCTTTAAGACTAATCAACTTAAGTGTTTTACTTTTTTTACTATTCAACTATTCCTACGCCTCACAGAGTTCTAGTGTTACAGCGAATTCTGACGCAGATTCATCAAACGATCAAAATGGCTATGGTGATAGTTATGAAAATGGAATGGGAATGAAATTGGACATGGACTCTGCGATGAAGGCAATGTCAGATTCAATGGCTTCAGCAGGTTCAATGTTTGGTGGCTTCGGTTCTGAAATGGACAACAATTATGGAGGTTCTGGAAGTAGTTCATCATCATCTGCTGCCGCTTCATCAGATGCAAGCAATAACGGTAACTCAGGAGCTGGAAATGGAAATGGTGGAAGCGCTTCATCATCATCTGCTGCCGCTTCATCAGATGCAAGCAATAACGGTAACTCAGGAGCTGGAAATGGAAATGGTGGAAGCGCTTCATCATCATCTGCTGCCGCTTCATCAGATGCAAGCAATAACGGTAACTCAGGAGCTGGAAATGGAAATGGTGGAAGCCTTCATCATCATCTGCTGCCGCTTCATCAGATGCAAGCAATAACGGTAACTCAGGAGCTGGAAATGGAAATGGTGGAAGCTTCATCAGCTGCTGACGCTTCATCGAACGCTCAAAATGGCAATGGTTATGGGAATGGAATGGAAATGGAATTGGACATGAAATCTGCAGCGAAGGCAATGTCAGATTCAATGGCTTCAGCAGGTTCAATGTTTGGTGGCTTCGGTTCTGAAATGGACAACAATTATGGAGGTTCTGGAAGTAGTTCATCATCATCTGCTGCCGCTTCATCAGATGCAAGCAATAACGGTAACTCAGGAGCTGGAAATGGAAATGGTGGAAGCGCTTCATCATCATCTGCTGCCGCTTCATCAGATGCAAGCAATAACGGTAACTCAGGAGCTGGAAATGGAAATGGTGGAAGCGCTTCATCATCATCTGCTGCCATCAGATGCAAGCAATAACGGTAACTCAGGAGCTGGAAATGGAAATGGTGGAAGCGCTTCATCATCATCTGCTGCCGCTTCATCAGATGCAAGCAATAACGGTAACTCAGGAGCTGGAAATGGAAATGGTGGAAGCGCTTCATCAGCAGCTGCTGACGCTTCATCGAACGCTCAAAATGGCAATGGTTATGGGAATGGAATGGGAATGGAATTGGACATGAAATCTGCAGCGAAGGCAATGTCAGATTCAATGGCTTCAGCAGGTTCAATGTTTGGTGGCTTCGGTTCTGAAATGGACAACAATTATGGAGGATCTGGAAGTAGTTCATCATCATCTGCTGCCGCTTCATCAGATGCAAGCAATAACGGTAACTCAGGAGCTGGAAATGGAAATGGTGGAAGCATCATCATCTGCTGCCGCTTCATCAGATGCAAGCAATAACGGTAACTCAGGAGCTGGAAATGGAAATGGTGGAAGCGCTTCATCATCTGCTGCCGCTTCATCAGATGCAAGCAATAACGGTAACTCAGGAGCTGGAAATGGAAATGGTAGCGCTTCATCATCATCGCTGCCGCTTCATCAGATGCAAGCAATAACGGTAACTCAGAGCTGGAAATGGAATGGTGGAAGCGTCATCATCATCGCTGCCGCTTCATCAGATGCAAGCAATAACGGTAACTCAGGAGCTGGAAATGGAAATGGTGGAAGGCTTCATCATCATCTGCTGCCGCTTCATCAGATGCAAGCAATAACGGTAACTCAGGAGCTGGAAATGGAAATGGTGGAGCATCATCATCATCTGCCGCTTCATCAGATGCAAGTAACGGTAACTCAGGAGCTGGAAATGGTGTGGAAGCGCTTCATCAGCAGCTGCTGACGCTTCATCGAACGCTCAAAATGGCAATGGTTATGGGAATGGAATGGGAATGGAATTGACATGAAATCTGCAGCGAAGGCAATGTCAGATTCAATAGCTTCAGCAGGTTCAATGTTTGTGGCTTCGGTTCTGAAATGGACAACAATTATGGAGGATCTGGAAGTAGTTCATCATCATCTGCTGCCGCTTCATCAGATGCAAGCAATAACGGTAACTCAGGAGCTGGAAATGGAAATGGTGGAAGCGCTTCATCATCATCTGCTGCCGCTTCATCAGATGCAAGCAATAACGGTAACTCAGGAGCTGGAAATGGAAATGGTGGAAGCGCTTCATCATCATCTGCTGCCGCTTCATCAGATGCAAGCAATAACGGTAACTCAGGAGCTGGAAATGGAAATGGTGGAAGCGCTTCATCATCATCTGCTGCCGCTTCATCAGATGCAAGCAATAACGGTAACTCAGGAGCTGGAAATGGAAATGGTGGAAGCGCTTCATCAGCAGCTGCTGACGCTTCATCGAACGCTCAAAATGGCAATGGTTATGGGAATGGAATGGAATGGAATTGGACATGAAATCTGCAGCGAAGGCAATGTCAGATTCAATGGCTTCAGCAGGTTCAATGTTTGGTGGCTTCGGTTCTGAAATGGACAACAATTATGGAGGTTCTGGAAGTAGTTCATCATCATCGCTGCCGCTTCATCAGATGCAAGCAACGGTAACTCAGGAGCTGGAAATGAAATGGTGGAAGGTCATCATCTGCTGCCGCTTCATCAGATGCAAGCAATAACGGTAACTCAGGAGATGGAAATGGAAATGGTGGAAGCGCTTCATCATCATCTGCTGCCGCTTCATCAGATGCAAGCAATAACGGTAACTCAGGAGCTGGAAATGGAAATGGTGGAAGCGCTTCATCATCAGCTGCTGCCGCTTCATCAAACGCTCAAAATGGCAATGGTTATGGGAATGGAATGGGAATGGAATTGGACATGAACTCTGCAGCGAAAGCACTGTCAGATTCAATAGCTTCAGCAGGTTCAATGTTTGGAAGTTTCAGTTCTGTAAAAGACAACAATTATGGAGGTTATGGTGTCGCAGCATCATCTGCTGGCGCTCAGCTGCTCAACAGTCATGAAATGAAGGCATTTAGGATCTAAAATGGAGCTTCAGGATAACGCTGCATCGTCATCAGCTGCAACCAGTGCATCAAATACCAACGGTAAAGGAAATTCAGGATCTGAAATGGAAACTCTGCATCGTCATCAGCTGCTGCAACCAGTGCATCAAATACCAACGGTAAAGGAAATTCAGGATCTGGAAATGGAAACTCTGCATCGTCATCAGCTGCTGCAACCAGTGCATCAAATACCAACGGTAAAGGAAATTCAGGATCTGGAAATGAAACTCTGCATCGTCATCAGCTGCAACTGCACGTCAAAGCGTAAGAATAATGGTAATTCAGGACCTTAAACGGAGTTACAATCAAGATGCCCGCCGCACCTATGTCAGCAGCTTCAATGTTGTCATAAATTTCTGTAGGCTCGCAAAGAGGACATTGAAATTGAAGTAATACAAGTTCTTTAGCATCAACTGCAGCGTCATCTAGCAAAATGTTAACTCCTCAAATCAATTCGTCTGTAACACTCACTTTATGATTTAATAAAAATAGCCTATGCAACTATCTTCGAAAATTATTCACTTCAGTATAGCTTCTAATATTTGAGCACCTTCCATTTATTTGTACCTTGATAAAATCGCAGCTATAGCCTCCAGAGGAGGATTGATCATCTTCGGCTCATGCATTCTCGGCTGCTCATGCTGCTTACAAGTCAGAAAATGAGGTCCCTGTCTCCCGAACACTGTGGGTTCCACCCACCTAGTGTCGTGAGTTTGTTTGCTAAATATACTGTTGGTGTTGTTTTTAATCTCAAATATTTTGAAAATTTTAAAGAAAATCAGACATCGGTGATTAACTTTTCACATTCTGCTGATTGGGGTGAATATTGATACAAATTGAATAAGAAATTCATATTATCGCTGAAAGATTTTTCTTTTAAATTCTTTTATTAATAAACAATAAAGCAAAAAGATAATAATTTGTTTGTGTACAAGATTTTAGATATACAGAGACCCTGAAAATTCAATTAAATTGAATTATTTTTGAAATTTTATTAATTATTCAAACTGATTAAAAAAGAAAAAAAGGCACCATTACACCAATAAACTAACCTACTTTATTCTTCTAAAGATTACCTTTTCTGTGTAAACCTATTGATTTACATTGATTTTAATCTAACCAAATTTAGGCCACGCAAAGTGTTTCTTCTTGTCCGATCTTTAAGTTTAGATATTCAAGTGCTGTAATAAATAACTGATACATTATTTGCTTAGTAATTGGATTCATTTGTAAAAGTAGACTAAATCAGCACGAGATAGAGGGAGTTACTCGAACTTTTCTTGATAATAAACTTCATTCAACAGAGCAAGTCTTTCATGGAGATGAAAGAGTAATGTTTGAAACATTTTCTCAATGTGCACAATGAAAATCATCAACAATCGTACTCTTGGCAAAAATTTGTCTTTATCTTTTGAAGTCTTGCTAGTTTATTAACTGTTAATTGTGATAAATTTGGAAAATTTATCCAATAGTTAAAGAGAAATTGAGGAAAGACGGGCTTTACTCTTGAAATACACAAATTATTGGTAATCTGCTTGTGAATAAAGGTTACATCAAATTTTTTTGTTACATTTGGCATTTTAATATACGTTTTTTAACTATCGCTAATTTGTATCTAAAGTGTGTGATGTTTAACATATCATCTTATCATACACTCAAATGATAAACTAATTGTCACAACCCCGCCATTGGATGAATCTTGATTGATACACTTTCAAGGAAAACTTTGCAAGTTAAAACAAGTCGTAACGATGACATTTATTTCAACTTCCAATTTACTTCTCCAATGTTAACTCATCCCACTTATTGAATCGATCCAATCTACATAAACTTTTGTTTTGATGAACTTTTCATCTCATGATGAATTTTAGATTAGTAGATGGTTAATTTGACTGTTCACCATTCAAACAAAAGGTAATGTAGATGAGATGTCGACTTTTTTCAAATATTATGAACAATTTTATTCGAATCTAAGCTATAATTCTGATCATCTTGATATTGGTCGTCGTAACCGTTTAAAACTAATATTTTCTTGTGATAATTATTGTAAACATCAGAATGATTTCATCGTCAAACCGCCAATTCCATCTAATACCAATTCCAGTTCCACCGGTGAAACCTTTACTCCGTCGAACCATCAAAAGGTTCTTACGTCTTTTACCTTCCATTTTATTACTGTTATTTGTTTTCTCGTTAATTTTTGTCACTCTAATGCAAATCGCTGTAATCCATGCTAATCGTCGATTCACAATCAATAAAGTTTCCACATTTTCATCATCATCATTATCTAGTTCAACTTCATCGTCCCTCTCAGTGTCTCCAACAATTAGACCACTAAGACAAGTTAACCAAATTCAAACAACCGGAAATACTAATAATGTGCTACCTTCATCATCTAATGGACAGCATTCAGTTTCTTCTAATGTTAATGAAAATATTGTCAATGATAAAGTGTCCAATTCAACAATGTTGTTATCTGCATCTATTTCTCATCCAACCTCATCTTCAGTAACCAAAGATCCCAAAAACCCTCAATTACTAAGTATTGAGGGTTTACTAGATAAAAAAACAGCATCTCGAGACCAATCCAATTCAAATTATTTCCAAAATTTGATAAATAGCCAACTAGTTAAAAAGATAATCAATAGTATTATGTTAGACCATAAATTTGGATTATCATCTGTAAATAGTTCCAATATTTCATCAGAAAAATCCTTCCATTCATCATCTTCAGCCTTGTCAACTGTGCCCAACTCATCATCTCTTTTATCAACAACCAACACATCACTTGGGAATCCGAATGGGTCATCCTCTGGTCAGTCAGGATTGAAACACTCTTGCCCTGAAGTACTTGAGCAATTGGGTAATTATATAAAATCGTAATCATTTGTTAATCTTTTTCCTAGTCAATTACCTCTTGATTCTGTTGATTATTTACAATTTTAAATGCGTAAACAAAATTTTCTTTCATTGCAATTTAACTTTTACGGGCAATCAGCCAAACCGAGTAACAATTTACTTCATGGTTTCATTAACTGAATGATAATAATTCAAAACTTATATAATGAAGTTTATAATCAACTTGGATAATTATTTTGGCAGGCGAATCAAATTTTCCAATGATTAATTTTTACTGAAAGACTTACCCACTCATTATGATTAATTAACTCAGTTGATTTACTTTCCATTTCTTTCATTTCCGGTATTTATTAGGAATATGTAATCAGCTAATTTACAGATACTGATTCAATTGATTGATGGTTTGTTAACAAGTTTAACTTTTCTTTATCAAAACATTTCAACCAATCAAATTGTTGACTTTTGATTAGATTATGAGAAATTTTTGACTCTAATCACCAAGAATAGTTTTAATTGTCCCATCTTAAATTGATTAAATTAACCTACCAAAGGTCAGTGTCTACAGATTAGAATGACTTGAGGATAATTAAACTGATTGTTATCAATCAAGGATCAAATGTTGTTGTTTAATCTGATTGAGACTCGAGTTAAAGATTTGACTGTTTCCCTTTATATTTTCAATAATTAAATATGATCAGTTAGTGTTGATTGATTTGTGATAGTTTTTTATGTGTTTTAATGACAATTTAATTGTTAACCGTTTAACAATAATCCTCTGATGATTAAGATAAATTGTTTCGAGTTGAGTTTCTGCCTATTGGTTTATTTTATTTGTTTATGTTTCCAATCAAAGTAATGATTAATATCTTATATTATATCAAATGTTAATTGTAACTACAAATAACATTTACTTTCATGGGCGTTTAATTGTACAATTTACTGTTGTTTGATTAATTGTTTCGTCTCCTTTTCTATTACAATTAAAATTAACTACAATCACCATATACATATGTAATTTGATTATTTCTCACTAGTAAAATTGTTCCGTTTTAAGTCACTTGCGAAACTTTTTCTTGATTCATTTTCATTGTTGATAATTAAGATATGACGATTATTGAAAAGTTCAATTGTTATCATTAAATTTAATTTCATACATTAATCATTTCAGTGATGAGAGAGAAGAAGAAAAAATCATGATGGAAAAAGTTCAGATGTTAGAAAAAAAACTGAGAACATGAAAGGGAAAAAGAAACATTGACACCAACCATTTTCAATAAGAACTTTTGGAAAATTAAATTTCTTGATAAAAGTTCATTTCATTGCCATGGTCATGATGGTGAATCCCATGAGTGAATTGATGAACACTTCCTTTTTCATTTGTATTTCACGCGAGAGAAAAAAAAGAGAGAAAGAGACAATGATGGAACCTCATTCAAAAGGAACTGAGTATAAAAAGGAAAAGGAAGGAAGAAGATGAAGTAAATAGCAAAGAGCAATGGAAGAAAAAATAACAGAGATGAAGATGAGGATGAGGATGAGGATGAGGATGGAGATGAACATAAAGTGATGAGGGAAAAAAACGTACAAATGAAATGTGAGGCAAAAGATGAAGCATTTGCTTGTCATTGGGATGGAAACGTTTCATCATGATTTTTATTACAATTGACAATAAATCTGATTCCATAAGTAATTAAATGTTACAAAAGTTTATCCATTTATCTTGATTGTATATCGCTAATTGTTGTAATGTTAAAATTAACCGGCAATATAACAATAGTCTGAATTGATGATTGTGTGTGAAAAATTAAATTGTTTCAATTAACTGATTTTTACAACTTTTTCTCCGCCAAAATCGGAAAGTTTGATTAAAATCACAATTAATTAATGTCTCTACATGTATTATAACCATCTATTCATTAATGAAATACAATTAAATTGTTAATCACCATCAATTATTTGTTATATTCAATTACTGATGAATGATTTTAATGTGATATTTATCATGATTACTAAATAATTGAGTTTAATTAATCAATTTAAAAGATTTATGATAATTAACAAAATTTGAGATAATCAACTAACCAAATGTTTCATTTGCATTAAATTGTTCAATTAATTATCTCTCTCTTTTTGTCTTAATCACTTGTAAATTGTTATCGTGATAATTGTCTGTAATTAAATCTTGCCTCTTCCAATTAGCTCAATATGAATTATATCACAATCTTCATCTTCCCATTGCAAGTGATGAAAAACTTTTCCTCCTCATCTTTAATCACAATTAACGACAATTATAATTTGACAATACACATTACGAAATATATTAATACCATATATTTACATATATTCAATGATAATTTATATTATCATACTGATCTATTTAATTGAATCTACTGATTGTTTCGTGATAATCAATAGTTAATCATAATAAAAGTCTACCAATAGTTTCACCCAATTTTAATCCAATCATTTTTTTTTGCTGACATCTTTGCCCTAATAATAATATCAACTTTACCTTCCTGGAATCATTTTCAGTCACTTAGATTATCAGTTAATTTAGTTTATCATGATAATTGTAATTGTGTGTGAAAAATTAAATTGTTTCAATTAACTGATTTTTACAACTTTTTCTCCGCCAAAATCGGAAAGTTTGATTAAAATCACAATTAATTAATGTCTCTACATGTATTATAACCATCTATTCATTAATGAAATACAATTAAATTGTTAATCACCATCAATTATTTGTTATATTCAATTACTGATGAGTGATTTTAATGTGATATTTATCATGATTACTAAATAATTGAGTTTAATTAATCAATTTAAAAGATTTATGATAATTAACAAAATTTGAGATAATCAACTAACCAAAATGTTTCATTTTGCATTAAATTGTTCAATTAATTATCTCTCTCTCTCTCTCTCTTTTTTGTCTTAATCACTTGTAAATTGTTATCGTGATAATTGTCTGTAATTAAATCTTGCCTCTTCCAATTAGCTCAATATGAATTATATCACAATCTTCATCTTCCCATTGCAAGTGATGAAAAACTTTTCCTCCTCATCTTTAATCACAATTAACGACAATTATAATTTGACAATACACATTACGAAATATATTAATACCATATATTTACATATATTCAATGATAATTTATATTATCATACTGATCTATTTAATTGAATCTACTGATTGTTTCGTGATAATCAATAGTTAATCATAATAAAAGTCTACCAATAGTTTCACCCAATTTTAATCCAATCATTTTTTTTTGCTGACATCTTTGCCCTAATAATAATATCAACTTTACCTTCCTGGAATCATTTTCAGTCACTTAGATTATCAGTTAATTTAGTTTATCATGATAATTGTAATCAAGGGTTTAGACACATGGAAAAGGTAATCAACGATTTCCTCGATATCCGGGTTAATATTAATATGATGAAGATGATTAACTTGATTAGATAATAAAAACTAAAAGTTAACATGTAATTGTCCTGTCAACCATTAATAATCATATGGAAAATGTAATAAACTTGTACCATTGATACAGAAAATTCAATGAGCAGAAATGATCTTATTTACGATTAGAACATTTTATTTTCTCTTCAACTTTTCCAGCTATTTTTGTGTGTCCCTTTTTCCTTCAGATTGTTAGTACATGATTCGTTTTTCCCCTCTCGAAAATTGGACCTAATATCTTGTACCAAACCTTGTAATTGGAATACGTTCCGTTACTATAATTATATTGATTTAGTTTCGATTTTATTTGATTGTTGTCAATTTTTGCTTCCTTTTCTTTGATATTGATTACGATTTGAAGTTTAAATTAACCATAAATGTGTCCAATCAACTTCATTATTGATCTGATTTTGATGTGACACTTTAATCTGTTTCCATCCATTGATGTTTGATGATAAAACTTTGATCATAACATCAGATTAGTTAACTAATAATAATCGTTACAATCAACGTGTTGATTTACATTATTGATTATCATTTGGAAAGATTTAAAAGTCTCAGTAATCAACCAAAAAGATTAGACAGTTTAAATTGTCAACAGTTAATCACATCAAAAGCCATAATTATTTAACATGTTTAATCAATATCCTGTTCCTTATTCAATTTATCAAAAGATCCAGAGTATTACCTTTTAATATCTACGTATGAATATTATACCTTCTGGGAGAAATTATTTCTTCATGATCGAGAATAAGAGTTGAAGATATAAAGGCAACTATGGTTTACTTATTTTTCCAAAATTTTACTAATATTCTATTTCGAATTTGTTTCTTCTTTGTATTTTTCTTTTTATGCTCGATTTTCTTCATTCTTAAGCCTTGAAGTTTTATAATCTGTTCTAGGATTCGAACGTGATTCATTATTCTAAACTTGCTATTTTGAAGTATCCAAGAATCTGACATCCGACGACAGTTATGATCAATATTTAAATTCTAGACTCATGTAAACTTTTACAAGAATAATGAACTTGGAATTTTTAATTACACCAAACTATTGCATGTTTCATAGTTGAAGATCTATTTCATAATAAATTATGGAAATTTAGTTCCATGATGTGACTATCATGAAAATTCCAAGTCAATATATTCAACATGGAACAGGAAAACTTTAACCTCAACGCTAATCTAATAACATACCGATAAACATGAGTTATCATTAGCTGAACAACATAATATTATTCAGATTTTTTCTTCTTTTTTCTATTTGACTCATGTTTTAATCTATTGAGATCCATATTAATTCAGTCTTTATGAGATTTTTTTCTGCCACTATGGTGAAGACTAATACATTTTCAGAATGGACCTGAATTCAAGTATTAATTATATTCATGAACCATGAATTGTTGATTTGATCAAGTGCAAATCAAGTAGCAAATGTAATTAACCATAATGATGAATAACAGTTAAAAGAAGGAAAAAAATTCCCTCATCATAAAGATTACAGGTAGGCGAAAGTATCATGAAAGAAGATGAAATTTCATG